CAAGCACACCGCTCAGTCGGGTGTTTTTTTTTGTTTGCTTCCCGCCATCATGAGGGGGGCAATTACATGGCAACCTTTGCCAACGGCCGGGAAGAGAAATGGTGATTAAAAGTACTCCGTAGAACAACAGGCAAAGAAGAAAAAGAAGATAAAAATCAAAAAAAAAAAAAAAGAAAAAAAGAAAGAGCTCGTGGTTAATTGTCCCAGAAATTCAGTCTCAAATGTGACTTCCCGTGCGATGCCCATCCCAAACACCAAAAGTAAACGAAAGAAAAAAGCAAGTGTATGTTTTCATGTCCCTCCCGTCATGGTAGTCATATTACAGGTATCATTCCCCTCCAGGTCATATGCAGTAGTTGGCGCAGGCGCTCATCAAATCAGAATGTGGTAGGTGGTGATGATGTTCCCATGTCAGCAGGCCTTGCCGTGGCTGGTCTCCTCGTCCGAGAGGAACACCTCGTTTCGTAGGCTGGAGAGGTGATCGACAGGTCTATGGAGTTCCTGCTCCACGCGAAGCCCGCGGCTTCGGCTCCTCATCCGCGGCGGCTGCTGTTGAAAGGCCTCTGTGTTGGCGGGCGAAGCATATCTGGAAGGGCAGTGCTCGCGGCGCTTCTCCCTCATGCGGTTGTGCAGCATGAGTCTGTTGGCAGATGGCTTGACGGCAGGAGACGAGGTTCGAGAAGTAAGGCTGAAGGGAGAGACTGATCGTCGACGAGAGCGGCCCCGGAGCGTGCTTGATTCGTCCGGGCGCAGGTTCTTGGAGTTGGGAATGTTGATGTTGCGGTCACGTGTGCGCCCTCGGGAGCCATCGAGGTCCGTGGGAGGGACGACAGTCATTTTGATATCGCGGAATGCGTCGCCAGGAGGTGCCATTGTAAGGTTGATGGCGATTTGTGAAGAGCAGGGTGTTGTGGTGTAGCTGATGGACGAAAAGTTGGGGAGATGGAACGTCTTGTAGAAGGACGGGTGCCAAGTAGAAGCCGAGAGAGCAAGGGTTCAGTCAGGTCCCGTGCATCCGTCGCTCGCTTGTGGTGAAATATGGAGTCTGGAGTCTGGAGTATCTCGTACTCGTATGAGGTGTGGCGTAGAAGTACTTGTACTGTACAGGCAGCAGTACTCGTACGGGTAGGTAGAACAGGTTGAGCAAGCGGAAGAGAACAGGAATTGATTGCTCAACCAGGAGCAGCAGACGTGGGCAATATAAAGGCGAGTGCTCGTATGGGGTCTTGTGGTTGTGCCGGGTTTTGAGCAAGGGCAGGTGGCATGAATGAGAGCGGCACTATTAGAAATGGTCTCCCGTGGTGTTTCAAGCCCCCGCCGGCGATGGATTTGGTATGGATGACTCGTACTAGAACAGAAGAGAAGAGAAGTCAGTTGGAGAGAAAGAAGAAGAAGAAGAAGAGAGCGAGCCAGGGGTTGTCGGTATTGGTACTAGCCGTACGGAGACGGAGCACGAGAGTAATGGAACCTGGAAACAATTTATAGAGTTCCAGGGATCCAATCTAGCTGATGCTGCCATGCTTGTCCGTGCTCCAGGGTCTGACAGGGGGGGCGAAGTGCTGTGCATCATCCCGGCAAGAGCCCGCGGGGGTCACCTGAGCAGGCCCAACAGCAGTAGCCTGGACAAAGCCTGGGGTGGCCTAATTAGCGGATGCTAGCGCTGGAAGTGGTGCAGCTTAGGGCCTCGGGCGCCAAAAGACGGGGCTGGACTGGGCTTCCGAGACGGCCGGCCATTGACTTGATGGTCCATTGTGTTGGGTTGGATTGATTCACGGCAACGAGGAGACAGACCAGTGTGAGTAGATGCAACATGCCGAGGACATTGCAATTGGTACTGTGCTGACTGGCATGGATGTAAATCATTGATTGGGCCGTCTTTTTGTTGATGACACAGTGAATGCTGGAGGCCCAGGCTGGGTGAGCATCTGATACCCTGAGCATGTACTTGCATGTTCGTGCATGTGCATGTACCGTAGCGAGTGAACGTGAGTGATCCATGGAATGCTGCTTGGCCGTGGGCGCAGAGAGAGAGAGAGAGTGTGTGTGTGTGTGTGACAGAGCCCGTCACTGCAGATCGTGACACAATTCACAAGATGCTCCAGCGTCAAGTCAGCCAACAGCGTCCCAATGCCGTCTGCCGTCCAGCGCCACTCATCATAGCGTGTGACGCCGGCCTGCATAACCAATTTGACTTGACGCACCGCTGCAAACTGCAAACAATGCGGCTGTGGCTCGCCTGCTGGGCCATCCAGGCCAAAAGATTCACCAAAGCCTCGTACGCAGGTGGAGGGTTGGGAAACATGGAATTGGCTTTTGCAGCGTCCATGTTTGCTCGTGTGCCTCCGCTCGCTGATTTAACCGCGAGGCATCGAATCGAATCTCTCCTCGTCACCACCACCAGCTGAGCTATCTTTGGGGGGCGCCATCACAACCTCCCCCCTCTTGGCCCAACTGGCCTGTGGTCCATCCCTTAGCTCATCAATGCATTGATTGCTACTGTAAAACTGCGAGCATAACCTCAAGTGCTTGCCTTGATCGCGGGCAGAGGTGGCGACGCACTACTGAACGGTATGGATGCTTGGTCAGGCGTTCACATTGGCCGAGATAACTACAATACAGCGCTTTCCAACCAAGCAGGATCCCAAGCGAGAGGCGGCAGACGTCCCGACCAAGCCTTATAACCGGACGGAACCTTGACACCCCCGGACCCAAACAACCGGATATGAGCATCTTGAGCATATCGGCCCCTCATCCATCATGGCGGAACGCTGCTACTACTGTCTATCAAATCACCAAGCAAACCAGCCAGACGGGAATCAGCCACGTCATCTCCACTTGGATGAACTCTGCAGCCTCTGATGCTGTAGTTGGGTTGCTGAGTGCAGCAGTTCAAGCTTGCTGCGATAAGCTGATACCTAGCCCTTTGTTCTATTTTAACCTCTCGCGCAGCCATCAGCCCTCTTACGAGTACAAACGTGGTCTATCTACACTGTATCCGGAGGAGGCGGCTTGGCCATGATCCAGGGAGATGGACACACCATGTAACGTCCTCCCGTAGCAACGGAGGTTGTACTCCCACTGACTGTATGGATGACATGCAACAAACCTACTCATCTTCCGTATTGATACAGTGATTGTCGCCCCGAAAACTCTACGCAAATGAACGAAATCCTTCCCAGCATGGGGATCGAGATGACCGGCCGCTCCAAGACGTCAAGAGACAGGGACGATCAAACCACCAGCGCCCAGGATGCCTTGATAGCTCTCCGAGCTAACGTTAGTGCAAGCTGGGGTTCACCGAGTTAGTCTCCTTGGAACGCAGGCACCCTTCGGTTGGGTGTTGATGGGCGCCACAGCGTAGCATTAGCCAAAGTATGACAACGGCCATGGTTGGACTTTTTGACACATTCTATCAGCCCGGTTTTGGGCACGATTTCGCCTCCGCTTGCCCTGTGGTTTATCGGCTGTTGGAGCAGCACGTGCATCTTTGCCGGACAGAAATCGAGGCCTCCCCAAGAGGAGAGAGGAGAGAGGAGAGAGGAGAGAACAAGTGAAAGCTGCTTCTTGCGCCCGGCCGCGTAGCACAATAGATTAGATTCCGCAATTCGAGTGGGTTAGCGCCCGTCTAGTTTACGACGAGTGCGCCGAGTAAATGAGCTGGAGGCAATCCGAACGATCTGTGCTCACAAAGCTTCCATTTGCCTTCTGTGTCAACAAAAAGAAGAAGAAGAAAATTTGGGACTCCCTGGAGCAGCAGGGGGCAGGGGGGGATCTACCTAGTACGTAGCTCCAAGACACGGACTTGGCCGTCCTGGTAGAGAGATCCATCAAGCTGGCCCCCTTTTTTTGGTCCTGCTCTTTGATTTTACGGCCTTGGGGTTGCAAAAGTACTGCAATTCCGCGCCCATCGAGATCCAACGAAAAGGCTGTCCGTACTCGTATATATTCGATGGAGCGCAATATGGAGTCCGTTGAACATGTGATGATGGCGGCCTGCAAATTGAATTAGCGGAGAACCTGCCAAGACTCCCCATTTACAACCGGCCTGATTCATGGGCTGCGAGGCCTCAATGATGCTCTACTGTACATCGAATGGAATGAAATGCTGGCCGAGCTTTGACCGTTTCTCGTAGGTCTATTAGAGGTACCTTGTTATCGTCACAGCTTTAATAGTGGAGCCGCAGACGGCAGACTTGAGCTGCTGCTTCGGCTCAGCTTTGCTAGATATTCCGCTTATAATCTGATGCTGAATTGCAGCCAAGTGAGTCAAGCAGCATCTCTTCTGCAAACCCTCCAGAGAGGAGCATGACCTGCCTTTTTGAGTAGTTGGGTGCTGCGCTTCGAAATTGGAAGCGTACAATACTTCCAAGATTCTGTTTTCAGAGTCTGGATTCCAAGTTCTTACAGACTCTAGCCTACGAGGTAGGTACATGTATGCTGGGTGTATATCAATCAAAAACCGTTGGCAGTCTGCCAAGTACTCTCAAATATCTAAATACAAAAACGCTCAATGGGTATCTCAAAATATCAAATGCTATCAAATCATCAATCACCACAATGCCCTCACATTGGCTCATCCGTCTACGCTCACCTAGAGTCGGAGAAGAGTCTGACAAAGACTTGGCCGAGACTGCATCAAGGGAAGCGCCGTTCGTTGTTTTCTTCAACCTGCGCCGCTGCACCCAGCCCTGCCAGGATAACGACCATGATCTCAGAAATTTACAACTCTTTGGCGCTGCTTGAACTGCGCCGCTGCACCCGGAAACCCTGCCAGGATAACGACCATGTTCTGCGTCTAGACACGCCATCTCTCATCAAGCTACGCCGCTGCACCCGGCCCTGCCAGGATAACGACCATGCTCTCTGTTAGAACGCCGTGTCAATGTTTCCTTCGACCTAACCGCTGCACCCAGCCCTGCCAGGATAACGGCCATGATCTCGGAAACTCAAACTCCCAGCAGCCTCATACTCCAGTCTTTGTCTTTTTCTTTCAAGCCTCACTAGATCAAACGTGACTTGCCCGAGGAATCCAGTTCCCAGAGCGTAGATGATGTCGATCTCCTCGAAGACCTCGTGTTAAGAGTATTCCGAGGAGATTTTCCGTGCAAAGTTTGCGATGTGGACTTTTGTAGTCGTTGCTTGCGTCTTCCGTTATTGCTTGCTCGCTCCTTTGGCACCTTTTCTGAAGTTCCCCGAGCTAGATGACTTGCTGATCCGTCTTCCGTAGAGCTAGCAGGCGAAATAAGAGATGGTGGTTGTGGCACATTCTCTATTTTTTGACGCTTATATCCATTATCTTCTTCTTCTTCTTCTTCTTCTTCGTCAGGCCTGGACCTCTTCCTTGATACGCCCGCGTCTGCAACTTGCTTTATAGATGAAGGGACGTGAGCAGTCGGAGAGGTCGGGGTAGGCGAAAGCGGATTCTCCAATTTTCGACGTTTGGGCTCATGGATGCTGACATCCTCATCCTCATCCTCATCCTCATCACTGAATCGGACCCTCTTCTTGGCCGAATTTGAGGTGTTGCTTTTGGATAAAATACTTGATGGCCTTCCCAGCCCATCTTCCATCGCCACAGTCTCATTTGCGTCCACAAAGTCCTGTGAGTCGTCATCAGAGTCGTCGGTATCATCGTCCGGTGCAGGTTTAGAAGACCCGTATTTAGACTCATGCGTTCTCGGAGGCTTATAACCCCAGTCTACGTCGTCGAAATACTGAGTGCCATTTTCTGTGAGATCTTGAAATTCATATTCATATTCCTCCGGTTCATTAGAGGGTTCATAGTCCTCCGGGTTAACAGGGGGGGGTTGAGTGACCTCCCTGATAAGAGTCTCCGTCTCGTCTTCGATAGATATTCCCTCCCATTCTTGAAGAGAATTTTCTTCCATATGGTTGTGTTTCTCCATGACTGCTTCTGCTTCTGCTTCTGCTTCTGCTTCTGCTGCTTGTGCTGCTTGTGCTGCTTGTGCTTTCAGCTCGAGGGCATAGTCCCCCAATACTCTGACAAAGCGTTCGATGCAGTTGAAACTGAAGATGACATCGGTACCCTTGAACATATTTATCAACAAGGACCGGAGCTCTTCAAGTCGTCGTTCGTTTAATTCCTCGAATTTCCTCTCAAAATCTTGTTTGCTTTTGGCGTCCTTTGCTATCGTCATAGCTGTTCTGAAATAGTCTTGCTTGTTAAAGATCGGAATGGGGAATAGGTTGAATCGCTGCCAGTATTCTCCCCAGAGATGATCAGGGCTGCGCATGCCACGAGGAGCAGCCCTGCGCCATTGGGAGTTTTTTGTCCTCTCATCGCCCGGATACGGCGCGTCGAACATGCCCATGGTCGCTATATCTCGTATCTATCGCTAGATTCGCAGTCGCAGTCGCAGTCGCAGTCGAAGTCGGCTTGGAGCGATTTCCGGGTGCTATTGAATGAGCCAGAAGCGTTTTCGAGTCGTTTTTAGATAGCCACGGTGTTGTGATTGTGTTAAGAGGAGGCGTAAGAGCATGGAATCAATGGATTCCAAGGTCCAGCCACTCCGCAGCCTGACGCTTAGTCATGGAGCTCCACCTACATTAGTACCTACCTAGTAGGTACCTTTACGGTCGTTAAACGCTGTGGTGGGTCACGGCGTGGCTTGTGTATCGGTACTTGTACAGCATTACTAGGTAACAAAGCGTGCAGCAACTCACACAAAATTTGAACACTGCAGGTCGTATCAATACGTATTGATTTTATCAGTCCATGTCTCTAGTAGCGCTGCAGTGATGAGCTGCTGCTCATATTGTGTCCATACAACAAACTTGCATCCATCTACAAGTACGGCAAACATATCCAGTACAGGTACCTTACCTATAAATCGGGGTCGTATCTGACACTAAGGAACTGTCCGCTTTTAGTGCCCAACGTGGCACCAGATAGCGCCTGGTGTAGCGTCGGGTTTCATTGTATGGACGTGTACACGTATGGAGCTATAAGTTGGTGACCCTGGCGCGTTGTGCTCTTTTTGTTCAGTGCTCTCCGACAATGTGTACAAGGACGTATGTACCTACATATAAGTTTGAGGTCGCAGATGGGATTTGATAAATCAAGCTCCTGCAGCCTTCAACCTTACCGACTAACCATACAGAGTGTTCAATTCTTCTCATCTCAGCATGTCTGAGCTCAACCAAGAATCGACCCAATCGGCTTCTTTTGTCACCGCCCAGTCGCATTTCAGTGCTACTACCACCACCTGTTCTCATTCCTCCTCGCAATGGTCGTCGACTCAGATAGACCCTCGCGCTACAGGAGTGGCTGAAGCGCTGGGGACTCGAAACTCCATTCTGACATCGTCTCAGCCTAGTTTCGGCTCTACAACGCAGATAGAGCCACGCGTCGTTGCTTATGAAGCCGCGTTGGCTCGCAAACGAGACCGCCAGGCTCAGATATTGGCTTCAACAGCCCCAACCATCAAGCAGATAACTACGCTGCTCACTAGGGCACTGCCCGATGTGCCCGATGCTCGAATGATTGTGGCATCAACTCGCTTTCCCAACGAAACGAGTCAGAATTCGTCCATTATACCCCTCTCATACAAAGCCAAGAACAGAGTGACGTTCGGCGTCATCCAACAAGCCCAGGACGTGGACTTAATACTACATCTACCATTGGAAGATAATTATACAACAGTTGACACTGGAATTGAATGTCAGATTATCTACAGTCCTGGGAGCGATGATTGCCTTTTGGTAAACCATGCAGAACCGCAGCTACGCTTGACGAATTTTAGTTCCTCTTCGAATCTCCAGCTATCAATCATGCCAGGAGGCAGCCATTTTATCCAGCCTGGCATGTGGAGAATATCTATAGCCAGTGGTAGTGATGACGATGAAGATCTCGAGGAGCATCATCTTGCTGAGTTTTTGCTATTCGGGAGACAATTTAGCGTTTCAATTCACATAGCGAATCTCTCATTGAAAACAAAGCGGGGCATTGACGACGACGCGGAAGCGCTTATCGGCAAGAGACAAAAACGAAATGATGGCTTGGCAGAAACTGCCTCTGTCCAGCCTACAAATACAACGACTATGGAGCCAAGACCTGTTACTACTGCCACTGAGATGAACAATGCCCCCGATCCATCTCCATCGTCCCCTGTTCGACAGATTTCCGACAAAATCAATGTCCCGCTTCTAGATCTCGCAGATGGAGAGACAGCTGTTGTCCGGGCTTTCCGAGATAGGACAGACAGGTCTCACTCTCAATCGCTATCTGCAGCAAAAGGACCAGCCAGGTATCGACTACGGCGGGTTAAGCAGATTGCAGTTACAAAGTCAGCGGTTGTCTTTGCTTGCAAACATTCTGCTGTGTCTGAGCCCGTAGTTGCAAAAGTCCTTCGATGCAATAAAGATTCGCCTAGTGATCTCAGAAACTCTGCGTTATTGTGGAAGAGAGAAAAAGAGACACTTGAGAAGCTAAAGCATGTGAGTCAAACCGCCACCCCTTTGCCTACATACTCCTTTCTAATCCAGCAAAGAGGAACGTTATAGCGCTCAGGGCATTTGATGGACGCATGTTTGCAATGTACTTGGAGCCTCTTCCGCCATCCCTGTATCGAGGGCAAGTAGCAACAATGCCAATATCCGACATATCTAGAACATTGTATGATATTTCATCTGCTCTGGTATACTTGAAGACGGTACCAATGGTCCATAACGACATCAAGCCACGCAACATTACCTACTCTCCTCGCCGTGGTGCCATTCTTATCGATTTTGGATCGGCTACACCGACCAACGAATGGAACGCGGGAGGCACACCTTGGTATCTGCCTCCAGATCTCATTGACGACAGTTCACGTGGATTGCCAGGAGATGTATGGGCATTGGGCATTACGATGCTCTACTTGCTTGGCAGGATTGGTCATCCGGAGCAGAGCTGGCCCGGCTGGCCCGTTTACGAGCTTGATAATGATGCTACACGAAAACGAATGGAAGACTGGTTGGAGCATATTTCAACCACTAGAGCCAAGTTGAATCCAGTGAATATGGGAACTGGAAGAAAAAAGCTCGAATACATAGTGTTTAAAATGCTTGAGAGCGACAGCGAGTTTCGAATCGACGCGGAAAGTATCATTTCTATCCTTGATTCGTCAACGAGAGCTCCATTGCTGCTGGCGGCTTAAGACAGGTGTTAGTTAATGATCATATACCCACAGGATTTAATTATAGGATATCTAGAAGTTTTGAACAAAACTATATCAATTTCTGCATTTTATTCGTTCACAGAGATGTTATCCCGTTTCACTTACATCTTGAGCAAATGTGGCTTGAGTGCCGTGATTACATAACGTATATATGCCTAAATTTCAGACGAGCCAGCCATCAAACAGTGCACTCCTCTGTGGCGCAATTGGCTAGCGCGTCTGACTGTTAATCAGGAGGTTGGAAGTTCGAGCCTTCCCGGAGGAGACGCGGATGGCCGTTTGTCTTTTTGCCGCTCATCTTGTCTTATCATGGTTCTTGTTGTTTGCCGAAATGAGTACCTTGGTAGTTGTTTCGTTTGGCTCAACCAACCAACCAGCTGACTTACATGGCTAGACGAAGATGGTTGTGGTGGTTGAGAACTAAATGGTAGGTATCTTTCTGTATGCATGTGTTCAACAATGAAGAGAAAATAGGTAGCAGTTGTGCTACTTCTTGGCCCGTTCATTGTCTGTCTGTCTCATGTAGCATTGACCCGTTTTGCCACAATTGTTGGAATGACACACACACAAACTTTATCAACAGGAGAAGAAGGTCCATGGATCTATCCAACTTTTGACGCTCCTCGTATTTATAGGTGGTAGCAGGCAGAAGTCCCTGCCTAAGGCCATTGATCCACTGCGGCACAGTCACTACCTCTAGGCAACCACTGCAATCTGTGTGAAAGGCCTCCATGGGTCCATCCATCTTTGGTCGATTGAAGAACATGTACTCGTACTTCCGCGATACACACCTGGTACAAGCCGCCCCTCGTTCCATCGCCACCAACCTTGGCTCGTCTCAGCGCGTCCAGTGGCCACAAGAGGCTCCCCGTCACCCCACCCGTCTCGCATCGGCAGCAGTCACGCGGTTCCGCAACTGGAGCTGCTACACCTGCCCGATGTAGCGCGCGGTAGATTCTCTGTATCGCCCTGGCTGGGCTGTGACTCGTCGTTTTGCGCTGCTGGGCAGGCAGAAGAGGCAACCAGTCAGCAGCAACTCAAGTCATCTGGGCCATCCGTCGCTTTTAGTTTTAGGTGACTAACAGCAGTTACGTGGACGTGCCGTAACGGGTCAACTTGCAGCGGGCTGTGTTGTGTGGCCACTGGTAACTTGAGGCATGGATGTTAGCAGCTTAGCATTGCCTTGGGGCACAGTACTAACTGCCTCTAGGTACCTATGCCTACCTACCTACCTATATCATGAGGTACTGGAACCTGTAGCTCTTTTGACTTGTCATCGACACCCTTCGTCATCTGGCCTTATTTTTCCATCTCTTCTTTTTTCGCACCTCAAATTCTTCATCCTTCCTGTAGCTATAGCTTATTGACGTCCAACCTGCGCAGCTCAATCATCGACTTGTTTGGCATCAATCGCCTCGTCGTCTTCGTCAGCAGCTGCTGTTTCGGAGCTCTCCCCCTCTCTCTGTCTGTCTTCTCCCCAAATATACATGTAAGCAAGCTTAGCTTTCTGATCTGAGCTTTGAGGGAGCTTCTCCCTTGCATTGTGGGGGGTTCATCGGCTCATCAGCAGTTTGCACATCCCAGATTGTTCATCATTCGTCAATCTGGAGTAGCTCTCCAATCTCCATCTCTTCTTCATGTAAGTTCTGCGCTTTCATGTCAACTCGATGCGACAAGCTACACCTCGCCCCATTGGATTTACCCGTGGCTTGCAAACCGTTGGATTGTATAGCCTAGACACTTCCTACTTGAACCCTACAACCAAGACTTCCTCCTTACAGCGTTTGCTATTCGCTCTGTTGGGCGATTGATTGCTAAGAGTACAACGCAGAGAAATGGACAGCTATGTCAACGAGCCGTGGCCATCCAGTACTCAAAGGACTTCCAACATTGTTGTACCTCTAGTGCAGAATCAAGCCAGTGGCGGCGCCTCAGAAGCCCCCGTCGTGGTCCCTAGGAACGCTCTTGACCCCGTGTCCGATCAAGGATCGAGTAACGAAGACTACAGCCTTCTCGCCCTCCTCAACCGAGTAGCCAAGAACCCCCAAGACGATACGTCAAGTTCGCTAAAGGGCGAGTACGACAAATTCGAGTCTCATCAACTTTCCCAGTGGGCCAAGGTTATGCAAGGCCTCATGGCCGAGGACTCTATCCCGTCATCTCGCTTTGTCGAGGTCTGCAGGCTGCGATCCATCGAACAAGAGCTCAGAGAGGGGGACACGCTGGTTTTCATCGACTTCCCCGATGTTTCGCGACGCCAATGGAGACGAACAGACTGTTACGGCATGCCGTACTCATCGAAACAATTCCGCGTACACTCGAAAAAGCTGCTCGCAACAGGCTCCGCCAAGTTCGCCGACATGTTAAGCCCGACTTACCAGTTTCGTATTCAAAGACGGAAGAAGCTGGCCAAGAACCTCCCTGAAGGCATCAAGTACGTGCTCGACTTGACGCCACCGTCTGAGGGCGATGAACTCGTCTTCCAGATGACTCAGCTGTCTCTCACTCCCGGAATCATCAAGTGGTGGGCTTCCAACGCCCTTCACAAAGTGTCCAACTGGCTGGTATCTGGACACGACGACGTCTGCGCATGTGGTCAGTCGCCCATTCCCGGCTGGGGGCTCCCCAGAGAAGAGGTAAAAGAGCAGAGACTCAGTGAGAATTCCAATGGAGAGCCAGAGTCAGATAACAACAACAACAATAATAATAATAAAGCAGATGGCATTGATGCCATTAATGGACCGAAACTCGTCCCGCCCTCGCCGCAAAACTTGCTTGACAAGAAGCTTCACGGAATCGATCAACCGTATGAGACGCCAGAGTACCGCAACATTCCCGATTATTGTCCCACACGCCACTGCAATAGCATCATCCGCCTCCTGCTGATGATTGAGGGACGCGATGTTATGCTCGACTCGGCAAACCGGGTCTGGACTCTTGTCGCCCTGGCAAAGATATTCGACTGCACGTCCGTCATTAGAGACCAAGTGACCCAGTGGCTCATGTATGACGACAATACCAAGTTCATCGAAGTCCTCCCGGAAGAAGCACTGCAAATTGCCTTCGCCCTAGAGCTTACGCAAGTCGCGCAATGTGCTTTTCGGATACTCGTCAACGAGCTGGCCCTCAAGGACGCAAACACCGACTCGAAGCGGGATTTGAGTCGCGTTACTATTTTCGGAAGAAGGCTGGGCAATTTAGATGACGAGCTGCAAAACATAGTTCAGCACGCTGCCCGGGCCCTTGTTGAAAGGGTGTCGTTGATCCCTGACGCGTTCCAGAGTGAACAAAGCCTCGACTGCTGGATGGTGGATGAATGGGTCAAGCTTCGGAAAATGGAAGGCATACTCACCCAGCATCCCTCTGCATCTGGCAAGCTGGCCTTGGATGCCCTGCGCGACTTGATGAAGACAATCCAGATGACCGTCTCACGCGCCTTTGACAGGCCTATATTGGTCAACACCGAGAATGCACGGCAGGCACTTATTTCCATGGACGAGGACCGGGCTACCTATGTGTTGCCCAACGACTTTCAGCTGCTCGAGGACATTTTACCAAGTTTCAATCGCACCCAGAAGCTCCTGTGTCCGTTTATTTACCAGCAGATAGGCGATATGTGGGATACCAACTACAGTGAATCCAAATGGAAGACTCTAGTATACTCAATGTCGTCCAAACGGATGGTCCGGGCACAGGCTCATGTGCAGCAGATGGTCGACACAGCCCCAGAACTGGCAACCTTGGCCCCCTTTGAGATGTTCATGAATCAGGAGAATGGTGTTGAAGGAGGGACTCTCGGCGTGAAGGATCCGCTCATTGATCTAAACATTCTCAACCGGCAGATTCATGATGCCGTCTTGCCGTTCAGCACTTCATGGGTACGGTTTGACATTGAGCCGGCGCTGAATCTGACCCGTCACATGCTTCTCACGCTCGATATCAACGAGCTCAAGTTTCTTCCCCTCTGGGCTGGAGGCTGCAACGACGGCACCGGCGGCGTGTTTGAGAAAGAGCTTCCTCCCGCTCAATGGGGTCCGAACGGGCCTGGGCCAGCCTATCACACTGGAAGCACGATTCCCTCCACCTCTAGCGTCTCGGGCTCGTTTGTCGACGACTTCTCTACGATGAAGGTTAGGGGCAGCACCGTAGTTGGATCGCTGGATGCTCAGGACAGCATATCGACCGTGTACGCCCGCGACCACGTCATTGCCGACAGTGTCTCCGTTGCGTCTGAATCCTTTGACATGGACGGGGCCGAATATTACCAGGAGGCGAGGTTCGTGATCCCGGCAGAGCATCAGGACACTGGTCGGGCAGTAGACATGATGGTCGAATCTCTGCACTCGGATGCAGACACGGCGTCTGTCATGACGGATAGAGTGGGCAGTAACCACGATAGTGGCGACGACGATGTTATGAACATTGATGATCCGGTGGCTAATGTGATTGCCCAGAGCGATGAGAGCGATAGCGATGCGAGCACATTAGAGGCGTGGGATGAAATATGATGACTCTGGATATTAAAATTTTGGGTTTGGTCTTTTTGGGGGATAATATCTTGGGAATTGCGGTTTTTTGATATCGATGTCTCTTTTTTTTTTTTTTTTTTGGAGAGAGAGTTACAGAATGATTGGATGAATATTTGCGAAATGATGAGGATATGAAGATGGATAGATTGACAGCACTAACTCACACGATGAGATTTTCTACATTTTAGCAATGCAGACATTGATGCAACCCGAATAGGTTTTTTTAATAGAATTTTTTTAAACCTTGATCTAGTTGTTCATTCTATAATGTCGAGTATTAAGTCGTCTATTTTTTTTTTATTATATTCCATAAGTAATCGCCAACCCGCTTCGCCTGTCCAATATCTTCATGTTCTCCAACGCAACACAAAAAAAAAAAAAAAAGGGTAAATGCAAATTCCTTTTAGACAAGACAGAAAAAAGTGAGATGACCAAAACCACGCCCAACGTATGAAAATCATCATGCCCATTTTCAACATTTCTTTTCCTCCTCGTTTAACCCATGTTGAGCGTATTCCCCGACCCCTTCCTATTATCGTCCGTGAAATCGTCCCACTGCCTCGCCTTGTACGTCGCTCGATCGACAGCCTCCATATCGTCCTCGTCGACCTCCTGCTTTGGAGGCTCCGTGCCGCCCTCGAGGATGCCGCCCCGGCGCCGCTCCTCCTCGAGGTATTCGTCGATCGACATGGTGGGCAGGTTGTGTCCCGGCCGGAAGACGCCGCGGGCGAGATCGGCGCGAGAGCCCACGAGCGTAAACGGCTGGAGAGGCTTTCCCTTTGTAGAGAGCAAGGGTCCGCCGGCGCCGGCGCGGAGCTGGCCGAGAGGCTGGTCGAGCCGGAAGGACGTGTCTGTGGGATCGTCGGAGGAGGCCTTCGGGGCGGCAGTCGGCGAGGGCGCGGATCGAAGCAGCGGCACCTCGCGGTTGAGCGAGTCGAGCGCCTGGAAGGCGTTGTGGATTGAGAACCGGATGCTGGCGACGTGCACCTCGCGCACGAGCTCCTCATCACCGTGATCAAGATACCGCGGGTTGCGCTTCAGCATCTGCAGCTTCTCCCGCAACGCCTTTTCCGCCTTGAAGTTTGCAATCTTGGCCTCCCTCTTCGCCGCCATGTCCCCCGCCACCGCCGCAAACGCCTCCTCATCATCACGATACCGCTCCAACATCTTGCCATACGGCCCCGTCACCAATCCATACCCATCCACCGCGTTCAAAAACCTCTCATACGAAGCCCTCGCCCTCTCCAGAACCTCCAGCCTCTCCTTCGGCGCCAAATGCGGCGTCCGCTGCACAAGCTCAGCAAAGTAAAAGTCCACGAGCAAGTACGGCAACGACGACGTCGCAACGTCTTCCAAGCCCTCGTTGGCCGAGAAGAGCGACAGCGCCGAGATCTGCTCGAGGGCCTGTGTGTACAGCTTCAGCGCGGCTGCGAGATCTTCTGCGTATTTGGGAGACGTTGCGCTGGGAGCTTCGTTGACTTCTTGACGCTTGTCTTCGGCGGCCTCGAAGACGGCGCGGAGGGATTGCGGCTCGTCGGACGAAGCCATGGCTGGATGAAGTTTGGGTGGGAGTCGAAAGACTGGAGTCGTACAGCGGAGAGGTCGGATTACTTTGTTCTGTATTGTCTTTGCTTTGGTGGTCGTTGAAGGTTGTGAAGCTATGCTTTGTGCTGTGAGGTTCGGTTTGTAATATGGCAATGGTGTGAGCTTGGGAAAATAGCTGGGGTGGAGGGGCAAATAATCCAGCCCCTCCAACAAAGGATATCGATAACGGCGTACTCCAAGGCGTTCACATACAAACAACTAGACTCAATGAGACCACACATTTATATCAAGGTACTTCAACATATAATAAAGATCAACAATATTTTACATTCCTCAGAATAAGCAAATTAAAAAGAAGCTATGCTGTAATAAAGAAAAAAGGAAAACCCTGCGAAATACTAGATAGACCTGTCATTTACCATGTTCAGCCAAGGGCCAACCCTGTCTATCACAAACATTCATGTCAAAATAAACCTATGCACCGATGAATCCAGCCTCTGAAAGCAAACCATGAGCTCTCAACATATGCCTCTATTGCATCCTGTTCAATCATCGTCATCATCAACCACAAACGGGTCGTCGCTCTCCTCTTCTTCTTCTTCTCCTTCTTCTTCTTCATCCTCTTCTTCGTCGAGCACCATGGATGAGTCGTCGTCAATGACAACCTTTCGGTTCGCAGCCGCAGCCCGTCCAGGTCTCGATCGGGCCGCCGGCCTTGGAGCAATCGACTCATCCAACTCATCGTCTTCGGCGTCGGAATCGCCTTCCAATGCCTTCTTCTTCGCCGCATATCTCCTAGCAGCTGGCGACAGAGTCGAAGCTGTCACCGCAGCCTTGAGGGCCACCTTGGGCTTGCTTGTTGGTTTGCCTTCCACCTTGCTCGTTGATGCAATCGGCCTGCCACGTTTCTTGGCTGCAGTTAGGCTTGATGATGCTGCAGCCTTACCCTTTGAAGAAACTCCCAAGTCATCGTCATCTCCCGACGCTTCGGCATCATTGTTAGCCGGTTTGAAGGGCGACGGCTTGGCTAACATCTCATAGTTGGTCTCATCAGGGCTGTCAAAATCAAATGCTTTGGCTGATTTGACTCTTGGCTTTGAGATGGTTCCAGCGCTAGTGTTGCCATGGCTGGAGTCGGGTCGGCCCATGGTGTGCAGGCTGAGTCGCGCGCTGGCTTCTCCAGAAGGCTTGTCTTCAATGCCCTTGACCAGCGCACCAACGTCACCAAGCATCTGATCGTCGTCGTCTTCACTGTCTGAGTCGGCGTCGAACAAGGTTCTGGCTTTGGAGGCAGCTGCTCGCTTGTTGCGGACAGGCACCACCTCAGGCTCTTCCGATTGCGATACCGAGACGGATCGCGACTCAGAAGTCTTGGAGGGAGGTGCTCGCTTGTTGCGAACGGGGACGACCTCTGGTTCCTCCGATAGAGAGATGGATCGCGACTCAGAGGCCTTGGTGACTTTAGGTGCAGCTTTAGGCGCAGCTTTAGGCGCAGCTTTGGGGGCAGATTTGGGAGCAGCCGCTTTGGGGGCAGCTGCCGGTTTGCTCCGGCTGAGAGCGGCGAAATCATCGTCAGAAAAGTTGTCAGACAATTCGACAACCTCCGGCTCCGACTCCTTCTTGACTTTGGGTTTGGCGCTAAACATGTCGGCAAACCTCTGCGCCGTCTTGGTCTCCGTCTTCGCAGCGGGCGCCGCCTTCTTTCGACCCTTCTTTTCTGGCTCATAATCATCGTCCGCCCCCTTAGCCTTCTTGCCGCGACCACCTCCTCCAGCTCCTATCTTTTTGGATACTCGGCGGCCCATGCGACGAATGTTGGTCTGAATTTCTGCGCTGAGGGCAAGGGACTTCTCCCACTCAGCCTCGAAGGCGACAAGATCCTCACACCACAGATCTTTGTCGCTCTTGGCCTCCAGCTCGTCGTACTCGGCCTTCTTTCTCCGAATAGCATCCTTCAACTTCTCAAGACGTTCTGCGGTCAATGCCCAAATTGGCATCTAGGAGGAAAGTTGTGTTAGATGTTATACGGCATAATGGCAGCTGTTTGCATGGTTGAAAGGGGAGAAACTTACAGAGAGAAGGTAGTCATAGTCACGGGCGCTCTCTTCACCCTCTTCGTCCTCTTCCTCTTCCTCCTCTGGAGTCTTCTTTGTTTGGCTATTCTTGATTGGGGGGAATGCCTCATATTTGCGATCTCGAAGCTCCTTGACAAGCACATCCTTCCTCTTCTTACCAACGATCAAATCACCGTCAATAATCTCCTGGATGAAACGCGCCTGGTTCTTCAACTTCCGGTAGTCGGCATCGTAGACACTGAGCCAGTGATTCTAGAGCAACATAATCAGTGAATGCAAACACAGGGATATGACAAGTAACTCTTCACATACCTTTCGCTTCAGATACATCTCCAGTCGATAAACATAGTATTCCTCCAGAATATCCTCCACCTTCTCATACTTGCGAATCCGGCCATTGGTGTCGAACGCAACCAGGTTCGATGTCGCCACTTGCTTAGTGAGCTTGAACCGCTCCAGCAAACCTTCTTCAAGGACCTTGGCCATGTGCTTCTCATCCACTTGAATCTCAAAGTGGACAGTCTTGTGGTCGTTGAATTCTTTGTAGTCCTTGATCCAAGTGGGGCCATCCACGCCGCTGATAATCTTTTCCAGACGGGCCTTGAAGTCATCAGTCCATACGCGGATGGGAAGCTCAGTGATGACCACCTCGTTCGCGTTCTGCTCGTTCTGGTAGGCAATGCCGTTGAACTTGTAACGATCAGGGCCAGCAGCCTCTGGTGTACCCTTCCAGCCCCGGAACCAGGGAGTCATGGTCTCAAATGGCTTCTCTTCTTCATCACCTTCCTCGAAACGGCCCATTCGTCGCCTCAAATTCTTCACAACCTCCAGCGGGTGGTAGTTGGGGATGGAGGTGCTCCAACCTGTGCCAATACCATCGGCACCATTGATGAGCACCATTGGCAGGACAGGAGCATAAATCTCCGGCTCAATCTGCTTGCCATCCTCAAACTGGTGGCTCAGGTTTGGATCATCGAGGGAGGAGAAAATTGAGCGGGCAAACGGAGACAAGCGGGTGAAGGTATAACGAGGGCTGGCAGCATCAGAGCCACCGGCAAGTCGAGAACCAAAGTTACCGCTGGGCTCCAAAACATTGATGTTATTGGATCCCACAAAATCCTGGGCCAGTCCAATGATGGTCTGCTGCAGAGAGGCTTCACCGTGGTGGTAGGCAGTCAGTCCAGAGACATAACCAGCCAGCTCCACAACCTTTTCGTCCTTGACCACGTTTCGCTTGAAACATGCGTAGAGCACCTTTCGCTGACCGGGCTTCAATCCATCAATCATTGACGGAATGGATCTTATGTTATCCGCCATGCTGAACAAAATGAGCTCCTTGTTCACAAAGTCGCCATAGCTGATAGTCTTGGAAGAGTGATCCAAGTAGGTGCCGGGAATAAAGTTGCCCAGCCACTCCTTTCTCGCGTCGGCCTTCTTCTTGGAGAAGGCCAGGTCGAACATGTCCGCCTCCTCCGGCTTCATGACGTCAAATTCTTTCAAGTGCTCGTCGAGGTTGGTGAAGTATACCTGGGCATCTTCGTTGCTGCTACTGCCCAGACCCTTCAAGTACTTGTAATGCCATCTAGTGATTTCGCTGCCACGTTCTTCCTTCCATTCCTCGTATTGGGGTTGTGTGAAGAAGGACTTGAGTCTCTGCGGCTTCTTGGGGTTGGGACCCTGCCAGACTTTGACAATGGGTGTGATGAATTCTCGGAAGAAATCGGGAATCTGGAGCAGTGAGGGGAACTGCACTTGAAGAAAGTTGATGAGAAGACCCTTGATGTGACTACCGTCGTGATCCTGATCGGCCATGATCATCAGGTGACCGTAGCGAAGGCTTTTTGTGTCCGTGTACACCTGCTTGTGCTTGAGACCCAGGAACTGCTTGATGTTCTGAATCTCCTGGTTTTTGGTGATTTGGTCGATGGAGGCGTCTCGTACGTTGAGAAGTTTACCACGAAGCGGGAACACACCGATACGGTCGGGGTCCAAGATGGCTCGCCCAGAAACGGCCAGACCTTTGGCGGAGTCACCTTCGGTCAAGATGAGCGTGCATTCATGACCACGTCTGGTACCTGCCAAGTTAGCCTCGACAAGCTTAGCATTGCTCACTCGCGAGCGCTTGTTGCCATCGCTCTTGGCCATCATCTTGTCCGCTTTTCGTTCGGCAAAGTCCATAATGTTTTTGATTGCGTCAGATTTGGCCACCTTCTTCAGGAAATCTTCTCCCAGGGCACACTTGCTGCCGAACTGGCTAGCTTTGGTTGTCATCTGCTCTTTGGTCTGCGACGTAAACGCAGGGTTATCGACCAAGCAGTTGACAAAAATGAAGATGTGGTTTCGGAGATGTGCCTGCTTCAGACCGTGGCCTTTCCTCAGCTTCGTCACCGCCTTGAGGAGATATGCTGTAATCTGGTCAGCGATATAGTTAACATGAGTACCTCCCGACGTCGTTGCGATCGAGTTCACAAATGACACTTGCTGGAAAGTGCCATCTGATACAGTGAATCCGACTTCCCATCGGGGATGGCCCTTGTCCTTGTCGATTTCGACAGTACAAGTTGGGCTGCCGCCCTCCTCCATGCTCCTCTCGCCTGCAATAGACTTTGCATAGAGATCGCAGTATGCCTTGAAGTCCTTGATCTTGATAAGTTCGCCGTTAAGTTGAACCTTGACACCTCTCATTGTGCCAGCCATGTCGTAAACTCTGCGGAAGAGCAGGGCCTCGAGATCGTCTGTGATGCCTTCTTCCATTCCAAATCGAGCGTAGTCCGGCTTGAAGGTGACTCGGACGAAATCTGATGTCTTGTTGGAAGTAATTTTGGCCTTGTGCATAGTCTGCATGTTGTTGGTCCATAGCTGTTTGTAACGTTTTCCGTTTTCGCTGTCCTGGCACTCCAGGGTGAATTCTGTGCTGAACACGTTACACAGCTTCGCACCATAACCGTTACGACCACCCACGGTTTTCTTCTCGTTATCATCAAAGTTGGAGCCAGCCAACAAGTGACCAAAGATGAGCTCAGGAATGTAAACTTTTTCCTTCTCGTGCATGACAATGGGGATTCCCTTGCCGTTGTTCTCAACACTAATCTCGCCAGTAGCGCGATCAATGTTGACCTTCATCATGCTCATGGAGCCGTCACGCTGCTTGTTGTCGGCAGCATTGACGAGAATTTCGTCAAAGATCTTGTAGAAACCAGGGACATATGTAATGTTGCGATACTCCATCTGCTTCGACTCTTTGTTGTAGACCCAGATCTGTTGGTCTGTCTTTTCCACGGAGCCGATATACGTATCGGGACGTTTGATGATGTGTTCGAGTTGTGTCAGCTTCTGGTACGTTTCCGTTGCTGTCTTCTTCTTGGTGCCAGCCTTGGACTCCTCCTTGGGATCGTCGTCGATGATCATGCTGTCATTTTCCAGCTCCGCTAGAGGCTTGCTGCCCGACTTCTTAGGTGGAGCCGCCGTCTTCTGCTTCTTAGCGATTGGCGGAGTGTTGGAGAAGCCAGATGAGGCACTCGGGTCCTCGTCGTCTTCGTCGCTTTCCATGATGGGGCGCTTCTTCGGCGCCGGTTTTGATTTTAACGTTGTTTGCACCATCTTTTTGGCAGCTGGCTTCGCGACAGCTGGTTTCGCAGCAGCCTTGGCCTTCTACAGTAGAGACGTTAGCCACTGTGGGATAAACACACTAGGTTGAGCAGACGTAGATGTGGGGTGAGAGTGCTGTTCGTAGAGTTGGTGTGTTGAATCGTGGGTGGAGGGGATGGAGAATGAGTTGAGCGGGCGCAGTCGAGATGCGAAAGAGGAGACGAGAGTGAATCGATGCTGAAGCCACACGTGCCAAAGTGAATGGGAAATGCAAAGTCACATCACATAACATGACAGCAGAGCGGCGCATCGAATCGCACCCCAGTGCAGCATCGATATAGGAGCTTTGAAAGGGACCCAGAGTAACTTACGGGCTTTGGGACATATCCCTCGGAATCATCTTCGATGTTGAAGACGGAGTCATCGTCGGAATCCATGGTCTCGGTATCTCTCAGCGGAGAGCTGACGGGAAATCGTACAGTCGTAGATGATCTTGGGCGCACAAACAGGGTACTCGATAAAGTCGTCGACAAGGATGATGCAGGGCTTGAGACACGCGGCTGTGACAAAGGAGAGTTGAGCCAAGCGGCTGGAACGGCTCGTGAGCAGTGTCGCAAAGGAGAGAAAAAGGGAGCGGCCGTGACTCGAATCGAATTAGAAAAGGGCCCAAGTCACATGGAAAGGCCAGAGTAAAGAGCGATGCTGGTAAAGGCGGTGATAATTTTTTGTTGTTGAGCCCCGCGTAAACAAATAATCGATCCTTTGATTGACGCGACCTGGCTTATCGCTTTGTCGCAGAGTGCCGCATCGGGACTAGCGCTGATCGAGTAGTGGAGCGCGTTTTTTCTGCCTGAGGCATAAGTGAGATGGCCGACCTATCAAGGTACTCGGCTTTGAGCCTTGAGTGAGATGCGGCAGAGGTACCACTTGGCGGTCCAAAAGCTAGCCGGTACCTGGTCCGTAACCAAACAAAGTACTAACCCTCTTCATGCTGCTATGGAAAGAACATCAATCTTGCCTGGCCTCACAACTCACCATTGCACTTAATCTTTACATCGAGTTTTGCTGCTCTTCCTCTAATGATTAAGCATCACATCGTCATTGAGGGGTCTATCAAGAATAACAAAGATTGTCTTCCAACATTTTGTTGGTCTTTTGTTGAACACATCTATTAACGCTCTTTTAGTCTGTGCAACACTCAACCTTCCCAAATATCGGCCGCAAACAGGACGTGCGTGTTTGTTGGAATTCAACTCGACACAACAGCCCAAAATCCAATTGACAAAGAGACCAAAAGCATCACATCATGATCTCACACATACCAGGGTTGGTTTTTACGCACATTGGTGATGATGTTTTGCAGGCTTCTGTGCTATGGGTCGTTGGATCCCTCCTACCCTGGAAATATTGTTGACCGGTTCAGCAAACATGAAAGCCTGCCCTTGGGTGACAGTGCTACTGTGGAACGAATCACGACAGCAATTATCCTCCCCTGCCGGTTGGATGAAATTGAATCAATGGAGACCAAGTTCTGTCATGGTCAGCGCTTAAAGATAGTCTATTTGCATGGCCTTTGCTGGACTGGTGGCCCTTAATTTCCGGGAAAAGCCTTTCGATGGAGTCGCTTCCCGACCAGCTTCTTCGCCTCATCAAACGAGTGCCAATTAGCCAGAAGTTGTGAATGAAATTTGCCTTTCGAATATTGCATCTGTTCTAACATCTGGAAGGTGGAGCTGAGACCTTGTGGTCTTGGTAAAGAGGCGGTTCCATGCAGACCACGGGGCGTTTACATCGAGGTATGCAAACATCCGTTACAGCTTCAGTTTCTGTGCAGAGAAAATGGCGTAATACCTGTAGGTTCCTTCGACATCCCGTGTACGACTTGGATACTGTGCCATCATATGAAACCTCCCTGCCAGAGTCTCTGCTGTGTATGTAGATGGACCTTTGTACAACAGCAGTTATATTTCTCTGCGTGTATGAACGTTCGATTGGCATTCCATGGCTGATATTTTCTTAGCATCCTCCTGCTCTCAAACGGTCAAGCGGCTATTAAAGAGATGAATCTTCGGACACGCTCGTCCGTTTGCCACAACGCCCTTGCCTGCCTTGAAATTGGTCATTAGCCTTTGCCGAGGCATGGCACTCCCGCCAGGCTTCCGTCTTCCACGTTCCATTTCGTGATGAGATGGAGACAAATAACTAGTGCGAGGAAATGATGGTTGCATGCCGAGCTATCGGGCCGGGACAATCTGCCTGCTAATTCATGATAACAGGCGTTGACAGGTGCAATTGGTATTCCATCAAGCTTGACTCGAGCTCATTGAGCACACTACTCCCGATTCAGAATCGTCTTGGAGAGCTGCATGAGTCCTCTGATGCATCTGCTCGATGCCGAGAATTTGTACAACAAGAATTACCTGCGCCATAGTGATCTGATGAGAGCCGCGCCTGACAGAGGAAAGCTCAGCAGTGTTGGATAACAGATATTACGTTGTATTTTCAACAGCAATTCTCGTTGCCGACACATAATTGACTCGACAGTATGACTCAATGAACCGGCTTCTTTCTCAACCACTCCTTTGCTCAGGCTCTTTGCTACCGAGAGGGATTCACGAGGTGATTAAACTTGTGCATCATCGGAGAATTTCCCCGAATCTGTACGCACATACTTCTCTACGTTGCCTCCAAGTTGGAACGAGTTGATATATTGAATGGAAACCACGATTCATTTGCTTATTTTGACTTTAATTGATTGCTGATTCCAATAGCAATAGGGTTGGCCGTGGCTATCGGTACGTTGAGCTGTGGGCTTCTTCATCCTACACGTCCGTCTTATAGATCTGGTCAAGTTCGCTCACAATGGCAACTATGACGATCTCATTGCAGATAAAGCTTGCCGATGCAAGGAATAAGGTTACAGATAAGATTTTCTTGCGCAAAGAGCATATCCGTCAAGGCAGACATCAAACCATATGATGCCGCGTCCTCAACACGTGGCCAGTTCGAAGGTATCCTGTCATACTGGGCAAGATGTCAACGGATAGCTGGAACACAGGCCAGCCTCTGACTCTCTCCCGTGCTTCGTAAAGGGCGCAATGGACTGGGGGATAGCTGACTGGTGATGCCGCCGATGCAGCTACCCGTACCGATAGCCGCCTCTCTCAACGGATAAAATATGACATTCAAACAGGTGACTCTCCTGGTATGCGTGCGGCAGCCGGTATTTGCGTTCGTCGAACCCATTTGCTCTTCTAAGCGATTTACCGGAATGCCTCATCTAGAGTAACCCAGTCTTCCACTCAATAATACGGTTGTCTGCAGTGGTAGCGGTGACCTTGACCTGGGATGGCAGACTAGCATGCCCTCGAGCAGGTGTCTGAACAGGATGATGTCCAAGTGTTACCGCTGGCTGAGATTGGATCACAGAAATGCCGATTTTTCTTGCGCTTTTGTAGCGTAGCCGGGAACGCTGTAGCGCATCCCTTCTTATTTGCGGTTGGCGGTATGGATCTGGAACCGGTACAATCTGTGCTGGAACTCAGATGGCTCTCTTGAACCTTCAAATACACGGCTTTTAGATGGTCCTCATCAGCAGCAACAGGATGCAGCTCGTTCGCTGCTTACCAAACTCATCGATAACTAATCTCTAGCAATTGAATCGAATCGAATTGATCGAACCTGGCTACAGTAAATATGTACCCCGAAAACCACGTTTTACAATCTGCGGCGAGATAATTCTGGAATCTCATCTCCTGACCCGCCAACTTGCACCGGGATCCCGGGGTCGACTGCGGAGTGCTTCGGACGCTCTGGCCGCAGTGGAGATTTGCAAACGCAGGAATAAAGAGGCTTATACGTGCTGAAGGCCAGAATCCGAGCGCCAGAATCTGGAGAAGCTTGGGACGCAAACTTCATCTAAGAAGCACCTGATCGGGGGCCGCACCGCTGACTGTTTAACGTCTAGATCCCCGCAGCTCCTCTGTGCCCCGGATTTGTGGCCCGCTGTTGACGGACAAGCAAGCCCATATCCCTTTATTGGACAGAATCTACGTCAAAGGTGACTGCCCTCTCATTGTTGTTTGCCAAGCCAGGGAGCCTGAGGTGCTGGGAGTCTCCCATGCTGTCTTTGACTGCTCTTATTGCTATCGATGATCATTTGAAGCTATATTAAAACCATACACTACATCTTCTGCCCCATTTCCAAGAATACAGTCATCATTTGCTCGACATTATTGCATACGCTTAGGCTCCTGAACTGCTTGGCTGCGCTGGCCCTGCATCCAAGCCATATCCAAGAATGCCTACAAACGCTGGGCACAAGATGCTACCTCTGCATTCTATTCTGAATCCTGCTTTGTCCGGGCCCTCCGGGCCTATTTTCCGACAGTCTGACCCGGTTATGGCAATACCATCGATACCATTGCCGTCGGGAGCATCACGAACGACGACGGATGGACCAATGCCTACCCAGAAGGCGAAACCACAGGGAAGCGCTGACAATATGCCCAAGCCGAAGCTGCATGGCCCAGTCAATTTCGCCCCTTTTGAGGATGTCGACCAAGCATCGTATCGAGAGGTTCAAAGGTTTCAAGTCAGTCCGTTTGGACAAATACGACAGAGTTGCGACCATATCCCTTACAGTAGCTCAAAGAAGGACTTTTTCGGAAAGACGGGAAGAGAGAGCATCGAAGGTAAGGGTCTTTTTTTTTGAGGGAGAAGGAGAGATTGCTTTCTTGCTTGAAAAAGGGGCTAACGAGACTTGATTGTAGTTTTCAAGTATGAGTTTTGTTATAACGAGGCCATCTATACCGTCATGTGGGACTATAATGTTGGTCTTGTTCGCATGACTCCATTCTTCAAGTGTTTGGGTTATGCAAAGGTAGGGCGTTGCGTTTCCTCCCCCCTTTCCATCTAAGCTACTCAATTAGATGCTTTACTGATGATGCATAGACCAAACCATCCCAGATGCTGGATAGAAATCCGGGATTAAGAGAAATATCGCCCAGCATTACTGGAGGCGCCGTGTCGGCTCAAGGTATGCCTAAAAAGGAATCCAGTATCAATATGAAACGCTCATGCTTTGTTTACTCTTTAGGATATTGGATGCCATACTCTTGTGCAAGAGCTGTATGTGCGACGTTTTGCACGAGAATCGCGGGTGCATTGATACCGCTCTTTGGCCCGTCGTTTCCCTCTCAGTGCACTCCTTCCGACTCTCCTTATTACAACGAGATGGTGATTAGTCGGCGAATTATCATGGAGGCCACTGAAGACGTCGCAAGATTTCGCTATGGACAGGAACAAGGAAATCGAATTGCAAAGGCTGTTGGTGGAATACGTGGCCCTCTGGTGCTTGGAGACTATCCCCTACGAGGCAAACGGGAAAGCCAGCCAACGCCCTCCTTCAGACTACCGTCGCGCCCTCAACCGCCGCGTTCTCAGCGTTTGATCACCTCGATTCCCGAGACTACCTTTGGTCACCATCCTATGGCAATTTCGGCTCCGAGTACGGCATGCGAAGCCCGCGAAGCCAACCTCTTTTCTCGAATGAACATGAACATGACTGGTAGATCTGTTCTCGATCCTAAGCTTTTCCAGCCACCGAGCTCTTTGTTCGATGTGTCCCCACGAACCGAGACGAGCGAATCTGAGAAGAAGCATATTGAGAAATGGAGACCGAAGCGGCGTAGACGAGCTCATAACGAGGATGGAACAGGGTCTTCGCATGCTCCACTTGTGGAAGCGTACGAGAAGAGACGACCACAGGTTGAACTGGAGCAATTCAGAGCAGCCGCAGCACTGCTGAGCTTGCATAGAGAGCCCCGATATGCAGAACATTCCTCTACGATAGCGGTGGAAACATCGGACGACGACTTTCCGGAACGGCGTCACCAGAAGAAGCGACCAAAGGCACATTCCTTTTAACAACTGGATAATGTTGGTTGGATTACCCAAAAAGGGGGGGAACATGATGTTGTTGTGATTGGGGACACTTATCCACGTGTTACTCGTTTCAAGATACCCGCAGGACCGGCGCTTGCAATCAGATTGTTTTTGGGTCATCTTTTTTTGGAGAGGTGTTGTTGATTTTCGCCTTTTTGTATGTTGTATTTCAAGTTTTCGTCAAGATTGACAAGATGTAGTAGTATCGATGTAGGTTTCGTTTCTCTTCTTTTAAGTCTTGAATTCACATTTCCCACATATGATGTTCTATTTGCCCTCTCTTCCTTGATATCTTTTTCACAGAGCACTTTTAAACGCCATCTCTAAACCAATTTTTTTTCATTTAAATCGCCATACTATCGCATCATCTGTGCTCTCCTCTCTCTGCTGCCCTCTTCTCTTTAAACTCCTTGACCCATCCCTCCGCCTTTGAAGTCGGCAGTACGAAAATCCTCACCACCTCATCTACAACCTCGACTTTGCCTCCACTCAGCACCTTCAAAAGGGGGACCTTCTTGCCCATCTTGATCAATCCGCCTTCTTTCGTCTCGATGTAGCACGTCACCCCCGCAAGAGTATACTGTGCTTCTTTGTCCCACGGCAAGGGGAATATGTAACCTAGGTGATCCTCCAGGGAATGCGTCTCGTGAAAGGCCTTGATGAAATCAGATTCCAAGTGCAGCGGATACAGCAACACCGTGGGGAACGCCAGCTCAGACGAAGGATCGTCTTCGTCCGGTGTCAGTCTCACTTTTGCGTCCTCCATCTCCGGCGGCTGCTCCGTCGTCCGCATCTTAATCCCTCTCGCAGCAATGGCCGTCTTGAGGAGCAGTGCTCGACGCTGCTTCTTCGCTTCTCGTTTCGCCGCCTTTCGTTTCAGCTCGTCCAGCGTCGTGGCACGCTTGATGATGCCATCTGCAACGCTCCGCAGCGCCTTATTCTCCGGCTCAATCGCCAGCCCCCTCGCGCAAACATCATCAGCCTCCTCGATGCGATCCACCGCCAGCAGCGCCTTTCCGCTCCGATAGTACGCCTTGACGTTGCGCGGGTTGAGCCGCAGCGCCGCCGCGCAGTCGGTCCAGCAGCTGCGGTAGTTTTGCATCTCCAGGTGGCACGCCGCGCGGTTGACGTACATGGCCTCGAGCATCTCCTTCTGCTGCCGGATCTCGTCCTCGGAGTCGGGCTCCCCGGTCTCGGGATGCTTTGTGACTTCACCATGGGCCCTCTTGCGCTCCTCGACAAAGAGCACGGCGATGCCTTTGCCGTAGAACTCGCTGGCGTCCTTGTAGCCCTTGACCTTGAAGCACTCGTTGCCGCGCTCCTTGAAGTCCGCCGCGTTCTCCAGCGCCGTGCCCTCGTACGCCAGGGCCTGCAGCGCGGCGATGTCGTCGTTCTCCTCCATCTCCGTCATGAACAGCGGCGACTTGTTCAGGTCTGCGAGCACCTCTTCGGCCGTCCTGTTGCGGTTCAAGGCCAGCTGAGGCGGAAGCGCAGGTCCCGTTCCATCAGCGGGCATTTGGTCGGCGAGGCTCATGGCCTGCTCGATCTGGTCCGCGAGCTGGTCGATGCTCATCGTTGAAACGGGCACAGTATTTTATTTTATTTTATTTGGATGAGGATATGCGATGAAGGGGATTGTATGAGAATGTATCTCCCCCTTCGTTTTGTGTTGTTCAAGGTGCACGCAAGAATGTTGGGTTTTAATGAAGATGAGGGTGGCGCATTGGGCTTGAAATTTTGATGAGTGACAAAATTTTGTGTGACATCTTGGAGCCTTGAGTTAGTAGCTCAGCTCAGAATTTGCACTTGCCAACAGGATCAGCGATTTTTCAGTGACGACATAAAATTCTAGAAGAATCACCGTTTTTAATTGATATTTGATGCCGAAATCCTATGTATTATCTATTTGTGCTTTTATTGTTTTTCCTTGTCTTTTTTGACGTTTTCTATACTCCGGTCGACCAGCGTCAAGTTTCTACTAGTACCTATAGGCAGCAATCAGTCACCTCACCACCCCAAAGAGGGAGAAAAATGAACAAGGTAGATATCTGTAAAAGCATCATCATTACTATCCTTTCTAGTCTCTAATGCTATCTAGTCCCCTTCATTCTTTGGGGACAAGAGAGAGAATAAAAAAAAAAAGTACCCAGATAAATACACATTTTCCCAAGCCCCAAAACGCCGACAAATGCGCAATCCATACCATACACCAAAGCAATTTACATGCGCCTTTCGGATATCATTTGTATGTACTCTTCCACCGCATCGCAACCGAGTTCTTTACCCACCAATCTGAACATGAACTATTGGGTACATATCCATTCTGAACCTCGTCTGCGGAAAGTGAACGCCAGTTGACTCGTGCGTAAACCTGTTCATCATGATTAACTTATTCACCACTGCAACTTGCAGATGGTATCTTTTCAAAATGTGACGGCTCCTACTAGGAGGATGCCGTTCATCATTTCTCTCATTTTCAATTCTCTTCTTTTAAAAAATCATTTTATGATTGCTTTTTCTCACTCCACATCCTCAACTGAAACTTCAGTGGGAGTGACGTTGTGGTTTTGTTCCTCAGTGTCTTCTTTAGATCGTTGACAACTACGATCTCGGGGAACGGAGAAGCACTGAACAGCACCGAAAATGGCAACCAGGGAGCTGCAATACCATGGCAAGGCGGTGCAGTCTACCTGGCTACCCAGTGTGTAGAGATAGCCTGCGACTGGTGGCGCAACCATGCGGCAGGCAGCGCCAGCGCTGGCGGCCAAGCCGTTGACTTTGCCCAGGGCACTCGCAGAAGGGGTGGCTCCTTTGATCAGGATAAGGAGAAGGGGATAAAGGGTGATGGAAAGTATGTTGCGTACAGCAAGGCACGCGTAGATGGAGGGGTAAAGAAGGGACTCGGGGACGAAAAGTAGAAGGGGGACAATAGCGTAAATGATGGGGTGTAAGACTGTGACAATGAGGAAAAGTCGGTATACACCAAACTTCTCGGCTGCCAGGGGGAAGATGACGGCTTGGACAAACAGAGCTATAGCTCCGTTGATAGCCATGATCATCCCCACATCTCGAAGGGAAAGGCCCAAGCCTCCGGGAGAATAGAAGGGTGAAAGGGCACCAAACTTGGAGAAGGTATTTACCGAAACTCGCTCGTCTTCAAAGAAGATTGGCATGAGGTGGTCGTAGGTCATTGAGTGGTAGGTGAAGATGCACAAAGAGACAATGAAGCCGACGATGCGCTTGTTCCAAATGGTCGTGGGCATCTTCTTTTCCATAGCCATGTCGTTCGAGTTGTTCTCTGGACACTCCCCGCTGCTGCTGCCGCCTCGAATGGTTCCGTAGGTCTCGGCACGCAAATCGACTGCCGGTCGCTTTATGGCGTCTGAAGTCTCCAACAGCGGAGTCTCTTCTGAGACGTAGGTGTCTGCTGGAAGGAGGATTCGAGGCTGCATGTCTGGGTGGGTTTCTTCCAGAAGAAAAAAGCCCATGATGATGCTCAAAAACAGGAGAGCAGCGCAAAGCAGATTGGGTAGCAGATAGGGGTATCGCTCGAATAGAGAACCCTTGGGGAAAGCATTGGGCCAGGACTCGTAAGGGTCGGCAAAGGTTCCGCCAATGCAAGGGCCAATGATGGTTCCAATGCTCCACACGAAGGGCATGACGGAGAAGGCGCGCGCTGGGAATGTGTGTTAGCCATCTTGTATCATCACATACTGCAAGGGGGAATAGCTTACGTTCATGCTCGGGTTTCGTGACGAGCTCACCGACCATGGTTTGAATGACGCCAATGTTGCCGTTGAGGAGGCCCCCTATCGCGCGTCCAACCAACGCGATCCAGATGTTGGAGGCGAATCCTACCATGATCATGCTGAGCATGGTCCCCACACAGCCGAGCATCAGGACTGGTTTGCGGCCGATACGGTCAGATAAACCGCCCCAATACATGCCCATGAGGGCTTCGGCGAGGGAGAAGGAGGAGATGAGGACACCCGAGTAGAAGGATGCATCTTGTTCGTTTCCGATCTTGAATCTCTTGACTAGAGCCCAGGCATAGGGGAAGATGGAAGTGAGAGCGATTGGTTCGGCAAGGCGAACAATGGCTGAGAGGGAGAGTTAGTTTCGGTTACGAAGCGCATCGCTGGTTCTTTCGTTGAAGCAAAACTTACCGAGGAGAAAGAGTTGAAGGGTCGGGAAGTCGTCCGGGTTGCGAAGACGTGCCTGCTTTGTTAGGGTCATGTCTTCTCTGCTTGGTGTGAGCTTACGACAACAGACACAAGCACAGGCGTGAAGAGTGCGCGTGTTGGTGTGCGTATCTCTAGAGAGGTTGACAAGTCTCTAAAGAAGGGGTTTTGAGAGTCGAGAGTCGAGAGTTGAAGTCGGAGCTGAGAGCGAAGAGTAAAAAGTTGAATGCTGTGTGGGCGAACACGATCAAAGGTAGGATCTGCTGTGTTTGCTGCGCTGAACGGATGTTTGTTGCCAAGTCCTGCACACAAGGCAGCAAGAACAAAGCAACGATCGCAAACAAGATGAACAAAGAACTGAACCGATGCGATGCAAAAAGATGTGAAGAGCAGAATCGACAGAAACTGGGCGGAAGTGGTGGGAGCAGGCCTATTTCTACCGGCGTCTATCAAGGTGGGAAGCGATACAGTAAGACACAGTGCCTGAGCAAGATATTCGGTGGAGCTCTGAAAGCATCGATAAGAAACATGCATCTAAGACATGTAGGGTCTTGTGGCTGCATGTGGCATGTGGAGGCCCTAGCGCAGTCTGCAGCAGTATGCAGAAAGCGAGGTGACACGAGCCACACGCTAGCAGCTTTAGCCTCTGGCAGCAGCCGCAAGCGTCGCACCCCAGGGGGTCTCACTAGGGCGCTAAAGCAGCTGGCTTTGAATGTTGTCTTGCATTGTTTTACTCGGACATACAGCTGGGGCTGCTTTCGACGGCAATGCTGATGCTGGTTCTGATGCCAATTCCAATTCTCCCCAGTTTCACAATTGAATGCATTGTTTCCGGTCCGGATCGTCACATCTGGGGGAGGCGAAATGTGTTCATTCGCTTGCTACAACAAGCAACTCGTATCTCGTTTCCCCCGAATGGCGAATCCGTGCTGCTTGCGACGCCGACCACCACCACCGAGAAAAAAAAAAAAAAAGCCCTAACCAGCAGCGATCAGCCAGCCTAGCGAACAGTCCCAGTCTGAAATGCTACGCCGTCCAACCTTGCACCATGTGGGAGGTTTCTTTGGTCTCGTGTCGCTTGTCGGATCCAGGCATCACATGCTTTGCTATTGGCCATCGGAGGCTGGCAATTTTTTCCACCTCCGAACTAGGAGTTTGATATAGTGCATGGACCTGCGCCACTACACAGTATATGCATATATCGCGCACGAGCATGCAATTGGGCGTGGTAATTGGCCAGTCATATTTTCTCCTCGCTTCAACCAACCCCACCAAAGAGGGCAAGTTCTCGACAACTTTTGCATTTTGCGAAGAGGCTTCTCGGTGGAGCACCGACGACCCGACGCCTTTCATCGACGATCTCTCCGTTGCATCGACAGTGCTCGTATCTGCAAAATTTTACTTTGTACGGAGTGGGCGCTACTTCGTGATTCTGCCAAACCGTCACAGCCGAATCTCGCCTTTTTGCAAGGCATGCTCGATTTCTCTGTCATGACCTTTTTGGCAGAGGCGGATGACCGCATGACGGTGCAATGACGGGAATGGTGATGACCAGGTTTCATGGCATGGCATGGCGACGCGCGAATCATTCAGTGGAAGCAATTTGCTACGCTGTTATACAGTCGAGACATTGCTATCCTTCTACTCCAAGCTGAAGATTGGTGGTGGTGTTGTTGTCCTTCTTTTCCGCTTTCCACGCACTTGGCGCCAAACCGCCCACCCACCAAGTGGTTCTGCTGTTGGATGCGACCCGGTCAATTTCCCATGCGACATTAGATTGATTGACAGCCGAACCAAAGACGGGATCAGTTGCATGCTCGTACTTGCATGCAGGCAAAATCTACCAGGATATCCCCTTGCGAAGGGCCCGAGTTGTTATTACTTAATGTTACTTGGCTTGGACCACCGCGCCAGTTTTGCTCGGTCACGCTACACCCTTCTTCTCCCGCCAGCACCAATTTGATAACCTATGCACCTTCCTAGCGCTAAAGCCAGATCTGCAGCTGGTCGTCTGGTGAAGGGGCAAGATGGAAAAGCAAAAGGGAATGCTGTCGTCATCAGTCCAATGAGCTTGTCTTGAACTTTGCAGAGCATCGAACCTCATAGAAGTCACGAGAACTGAGGCGACCGCCTGCAAGAACGCGGATTCCGGCTGCAAAACTGAGAGCATCCGGATCTGCGCGGCGTGAGCCAACATATCACCCGGAGCGTCTGTTCCCCGCCATGTGCCCCTCTTCGACATCTCACGCTCTCCTCTCTCCCTTCTCCCTCCCCGCTGCTCACCTTGGCTGGAATGTGTCTCGAGTCGCAGCCGGAGCAAACAGGCGGTCTGGTTCGCTACCCCCAGTTCGTCCAATGGGTGCTCCGCGCAGTAGTATTTGGTCTAGCAGCCTCATGACCGTTTCCCGCAAGGCACCCGCCGGAAACCACCCCAGGCGGGTGTCGCGATCCAAAGCATCCACGCACAAGGTACGAGGCAAACAGGCCGTTGAAAGCCCGACCCGGGACGCCTCCTCCGCCGACGCGGATCTTGGCTTGAAAGGACACCCACCAGCTGCAGTGCCGAGACCCCGAGGGTCTTGCACCCCTCCTTGCATGACCTTGAAGCCACTGGGAATAAAAGAATCGAACAAGGGTGGAGCACGAGCCATTCTTTATGCATCTATCGAGCGAGCACTAAAGAGAGAATTGCGCTAGTTCCCGAGGACTGGACCATACTGGGTGGAGCATCTTTTCAACATCAGATGGGCCGGGGAGCGAGATAGAAGACGACGCATCTCTTACGTGTAGTCATTGGGTCAAGCGGTAGTCGAACCACCAAAGGCCAGAAGCGGCTGTGACGCGGAGCCTCTACAACTTGTGATACTCGATATACAACAGGGGGCTTCAGTCACCTTCCCGGATGACCTTTGTGTCTCTTCAACCTTCTTGATAGCGGTGTTGGCTCACCGAGTCCCTCTTCGCCGGTCTCGGGGCGCAATCAGCATCGGCTATTCCGACTGCCTTATCGGTTATGAGCCTGTTGTGTTGCATTCAACATGAATTGACTACGACGCTGAAAGAGAGGAAAAAGTTTTGCCGCAACAAGACACAACCTTTGCTTAATGACATTTTGCTTGTCCAATTATAGACAATTTACCCCCAATTCCCACCCGGAAACTGATACGAATGCATACCAATGTCCCGAGCCAATTGAGCGGAAGAAATCTAGGCATTCAACAGCCAACCACGAGGAGACGCATTTTGTTTCAACGGCATTGGACAAACATTGTCAATCGCTTCAGTCACAGGTTCCCTGGCAATGTGACGACAGCACGAGTGTTCAATAAATGATAATGACAACATGCCGCTCTTGTTCAATTGTTGTATCTCTATCGACCATGGATGCTAATGTTGCATCCAAGGTATGGTAACACATTCACCGTGTATGCACGTATACAGCGCTTCTATGCACGCACAACATCTTCCGTTCAGACATCCGGACTGTTACAGCCGCTCACTTCCCCTGGCAGAATTCCCAATGCCCATCTCCCCCAGCACGGTCTTGAACCTCTCCGCTTCCTCAATCATTTGCTCCATTGTCCGCGCATTGCGCTCCGCGTCCTCAATCCTCGGCATCTTTCCAGCCGGTCGAGGCCTCTGCTGGTCCCACAGAGCTCCTCCCACGTTGGCCTCCTCGCTGGACAGGTGCACATAGATCTCATCCATGGCCTCTCCCATGTCGCCCTTCTTACGAGGAATCACATGGACGTGCACGTGGGGAATGGTTTGTCCGGCCTCGGCGCCATCCTGCAGCGCGACGGTGAAGCTGCCCGACATGAGGTCTGAGGGATCTGGGAAGTAGAGCCGGGCGAGGAGCTTCTGGACCTGCTGGACCGTGGCGAAGAGATCTGTTGTTTCGGCGGGGGAAAGATCCAGGAGGCGCTTGTGCGGTTTGAGTGGACAGATGAGGACGTGGCCTGGGAGGAGAGGCTTGAGATTGACAAGACCGTAGGAGTGCGGCGTTGTCAGAAAGACCTAGAGCGATGCTAATCAGCGGGGTTGAAATCGCTCTGCAGGAGGGGTTTTCCTGGCGATGATGTTTTTGCGGTGATTTATGAAGAAGAAAGGGGATTGACATTGGCTTTCCCATGCATACCTGCTTTGTGACCTCAAAGGGCCCAAACTTGATAGTCATTCCGTCTGTATTAGTCGAAGTCATGACGCCCCTCACAAAGGAAGGCTTCCCGAAGCTCTTGAGACTAAACGCTCTAGTAGGACACTCTGACCAAGGCCGTGTAGCAAATCGGCTTGCTCGGAGCAATGCTAGTCTTGAAGCCAATGAGTCTGCAGTCGCGATGATTCAAACCTCGCGCATTAGCAGCTTTGAATCTGTTGTGTTGCGGGAAAATTCGAGATGCAATTTCTCTCCTTTGAACTAACCTGAATGACGAGACAGGCGTTGAAAAAATTGGCTCATGGGTGAGAGAGACTGCGGATATGTATGAGCGCCCAATTGGGTTATCCTCCCTTTTTATTCTTTTTTTTTTTTTTTGTATTTCTTTGGGTTACGGTGAGATGAGAAACGTGAGAGTGAGATGTGAGAGGTGAGATTTAAGACGCGTTGGAGCGGGGGCGGAGTTGTCACGGCCGCCCATTAAGAATGGTTGATTGGGTTGAGTGTGGAGTAAGTTTTTCAACTCAACTGTGCTGAGAATGACAGCTTCAACTAAGTTATGGAGGCAGCTAATGTCATTCACCGGGATGAGATTTGCTTGCTCCGTACAGTGTATTGGTATCTTCTAATGGTATTCTAGCATTACATTTCACATCATACAAACCCCTCCTCTAACTTGAAAAAAAAAATCAGTAACAAGTCGCTCGGTGTTTACAACATCAACAAAGAGAAATCCAGTCAACACAATGCCCAAATCTTTCTACATCCTCCTTCTTATTACACTCGCCTGCTGTCGAAAGAAATACTCGCCACCAACCGCTGCGCCGCAAACCGCTAAAGAACAGGCGCCCTCGAAAAGTGCATCGTCAAAAACGTCCACTTGTTAAAAGAAATCCGTTTCCTCGCCGGCGGAGAGGAGTTGGCCGGCACTGGTGTCGAAGCGTCCCGGGCTTCGGTCCAATGGTTCTTGGTCTTCTTCGCCGACATCTTCCCAGTGGACTATAATTGAATGTTAGCAACTGAATGAGGGAGCTGAGGACAGCGTTTATTGAGAGAAGACATACCATGAGGCTTAATGATGAAAGCACATATTAAGCCGATGCAGAAGAGCCCACCGAGGAGCACGAAAATGGCCTGCGGGAATGTGCCAACCGTCACGGCGTATAGGCCATTGAACATGAGGGGCCCGACGACTCGTGAGAGCGCCTGCATGAAACCAACAGCACCGAGGACCTGCCCGACGCGTGCCGCGGGAACATGCTTGGTGACGGCGGCCTGGACAGTAGCGCTGCCCAGGCCTCCAAGAGCGGTGACCATTCCGCTGGCGAAGAAGAGGTGCTGATCCCGGGAGAGGGTGTATCCGACACAGCCAAGCACGTCTGATAGCAGAGCAAAGCGAAGAACCCAAATGTCCAGGTTATCCGCTCCCGTGTTCGCCTCTACCGCAGGTGCCCCAGACTCGCGTCGTCGTCGAGCTGCCGGTCGGATGCGGAAGACGTAGTTGATGATGGGGAAGAGGACCATGAGCACAACAACGCGGATCATGGAGAGGAGCGAGATGAAGCGAGACGTCTCAAAGGTGCCCCATCCAAACATGTATTCGCTGTACAGCATCAGACAGTTGCCCACGGCCATCATGGATCCCATGATGATGGTGTCGGCAATGGCCAGAGCGACCAGGTTGATCCGCAGCCTTGACGAGGTTCCGGGACCGGTGGGCCACAGAATCTCAAAGGCCTCAAAGGGGTTGTGAACTCGGCGAGAAAGAAGCACGCTTTGCTCGGCCTCGGATCTCGCCAGCTTCTCGCGGGCCAGCATTTGTCTTCGCTTGGACAGCGACTCTGGCAGGATAAAGCGAACGAAGACGATGAAGAATGCGTGGCAGCCAAGAGCTACGTAGAAGATGGAGATGATGGTCCCCGTCCACTTGACAAAGTAGCCGGCCAGGAGGGGGCCTACGGCAAGGCCGGTAAAGAGACAAGCGTGGACATAGCCAATGGACACGGCTCTCCTGGACGGTGGTGTGCAGTCACTCGTGTACGACTGACTGAGAATACTGCCAGCGGTAAACGACCCCGTAATGCCATCGAAGAAAGCGCCGACGAGCATCCACCGGTAGTTGAAGACCTGCGGGTACTTTGCGCAGAGAATGGTGACAACCTCGCTGAGCAGGCCACCGCAGGACGCCAGCGCCATGAGCTTTCGTCGTCCGTAGCGATCGGAGAGCTTGCCCAGCTTGGGGGCGACGATGGCGCTCAGTCCGCCGATGATGAGGTTCAGGCCCAGCATGAAGGTGGCGACATTTCGCTGGACTTCGGGGATGTTGCATTGCGGGTTGTCGGAGCCCAAGACGATGGGCTTGTAGGTGAAATGAGGGTTGATGAGTTGCTGGTCTGCAAAGTACTGCTTGCAAACAAGATCAAGAATTCTGCAGCCACCGTCATTAGCAAGAGGTTTCACTGATTGGGTGAAAAGAAAAGTCTTGTTGGGTGCTGCTTACAGGTTGAGCTTAGGAACAATCAAGCCGCCAAAGGCGAGAGTGAAGACGGCATACGGTCCAAGAAGCCAGAACACCTGCGGCGCATTGTTAGATGCTGTATCGCCATGAAATGAAGCTGTGTCTCCCTCCGCACTCGGGACATGTGAAACATACAGACGGCCTGCGCCACCAGGGCAAATGCAGGAAATCGGCGTCGTTGTCCCAGCTGTCTTTTCTCGCTCCGAATCCCTCGGGGCCGAGCAATTGCGACGTCTCGGTGACGTCTGAGTCGCGATCGTCGTCGATTTCGCGAATGGTCGGACTCGGACTCCGGTCGTCGCTTATCCGTTTCGGACCAGCCATTTTGTGTATGCGATGCAGCTGTCACTGCGGAGGAAAAGGGTTGTCTGTGTTGATGCGACTCAAGATGATCCAGTCCGAAGGCAGAAAAACAACAAAGAACAAGATACGAGGAAACGCCAGACGCGCTCGCTCAGGTCGGGAAGACTATAGAGAAGCCTCCGGAGTTCTGGTAGCGACAAATGCCTTGACTCAGTCCCATTTCTCGCCGGGCCAGACCCTCGATCTATGGCTATACGGGACAAGGGAGTGAATATTTATACTTTGATACATACGACAAGAAGCTTTGCAGATGGGAGGAAGCGAGATGAGAGCTGGAAAGCTATTTTCTGGAGTACAGTAAGAGCTTACATGCAGAATTCCAGCAAACGGGGGCATGGGATGGGAGGGAATGACAGGGGAATGGGAATGGGAATGCCCGAGTGGAGCCGAGGAACCAACAAAGCAAGTCAATTCTCGAGCTTGTTCCGTCAAACGTGTCTCTGGCAATCGCGTGGACGGCCTCGAGTGGATTCGGAAACGAAACCCGGGGGCCCCAGGAGGAGGGAAGATGGGACGGGCAGAGCCTGAGGTTGGCGCCCTCTGGGATCCTCTGGGGGGATTGCGAGGATGCGGATTGGCCTGACTGGCTATCTCGAACCCCGTCCGGAGTGTGTGAGTGGTGACGACGTCGTTATCTGCATCAGGCTCGTGCTTTCGCCTCGTCTCAACACAATCAATGCTGTCTTGGTTGGTCCTTTTTGAAAACGAGACGAGACAAGGCAAGACAAGACTCGCGGGGGCACCACGTCGTCGAGGCTAGCGAGACCAACGCAGCAAAATCGCCTGCAGCTCTCGGCCAACCACTTGGACGAAATCGATGACGCTTGCGTTTGGGCGTCGCCCGCGATTATCGTGCCTGAATTGCACGCTCTGCTCGCGATAGTCGCCCACCAGGACGCTGCCGGCGGCCGAGAGTTGCAGCGGTCCGCAGCTTCCAGCCTATCCGGGGGCGAGATGCAAGCCAGGAGGGGGGGCCAGGCGACACGCCTTTGAGAATAGGGTTGTGACTTGGTCCAAGAGAGGCAAAGGATGGGCTGCCTTGGTTGCTTGGTTATCTCTCTGTTGGTGTTGGGCAGAGCGAAATCTTGCTTGGTAATTCGGACTTTTGGGGGTCGGTGGAGTCCGAAGTCCGCCTCCGCAAGCTAGAGCGTCCATTGTGTTCTTTTGTGATGATGTCTAGATGATTAGCTTTTCGGTGGACCAGTTTCACACTGCAATTAATTACAGGTTAGACTTTTTCAGATGCATTAATGTCGGAGGAGCTGGGCAGAGCTATGATGTATGGATTTGGTCAGTCGGACTTGGAGAGAGGAGAAGATGGAACTTTTTTTTATTTTTTCGGTTGCTCTTTTGCCGTGTGCTGTTAGTTCGCCGATAGCGAGTGTTGGGCTTCAACCGGCAATCTACTTGTACTACTGTCATGTAGACTCCATATTTCCGTTGATAGGAAGCCAGAGCTTCTACGTGGCACGTCATGCAGGTTGTTGCAAGGGAACGAGATAAAAGAAGAAGAAAAAAAATACATCGTCAAGATACTGAAAACGGTCCAATTGGGTCAACAGAGAGACATCCGTTGGCGCCTCATGCGTACCTGGCAGTTTGCATGAGCCCTAACAATGCAACCTCTAACAAAGCCGAGACAATGAGACCTGCAGCCATCAATATTAGGTCAGCAACATGCCTAATCGGGGACAAGGTGAAGAGCTCGGTGGCCGCCGCCGAGCTGTCGGTGGTCCGCCAATCAGAATCCACTGCGAAAGATGACTCAGCACACCCCAGCTAAATGCAACGCGGTACGGCTGCGAGGCTTTGGATATTTTCTGGAGCCAAACCGGCCAGCGGACACGCATCGCCATTCCCAATCAATTCCATCACCACAATGCCCGTCGTCAAGGGAGGCGTCTGGACCAACATCGAGGACGAGATCCTCAAGGCGTCCGTCTCCAAGTATGGCCTCAACCAATGGGCACGCGTGTCGTCGCTGCTGGCGCGCAAGACGCCCAAGCAGTGCAAGGCCAGATGGAATGAGTGGCTGGACCCCAGCATCAAGAAGATCGAATGGAGCAAGGAGGAGGACGAGAAGCTGCTGCATCTCGCCAAGATCATGCCCACGCAATGGCGCACCATCGCCCCGATCGTCGGCCGAACCGCGAACCAGTGTCTCGAGCGATACCAGAAGCTGCTTGACGAGGCCGAGGCTCGTGAGTCGTCTGGCCTTGGTCTTACCGGGCCGGACGGCGGCGAGACGCAGGCCCCAAGCGCCGACGATGTGAGAAGGCTGCGACCGGGCGAGCTTGATCCAGATCCAGAGACGAAACCTGCTCGACCTGATACCATCGATCTTGACGAAGATGAAAAGGAGATGCTTAGCGAAGCCCGTGCCCGTCTGGCCAACACGCAGGGTAAAAAGGCCAAGCGAAAGGCTCGAGAACGCCAGCAGGAGGAGTCTCGTCGCCTGGCGACTCTGCAGAAGCGCCGAGAGCTCAAGACGGCCGGCATCAACATCAAGGTGACTACGCGGAAGCAGGGCGAGATGGACTACAATGCGGATATTCCATTCGAAAGGAAGGCTGCCCCTGGATTCTACGACACCTCGGAGGAGTTTACGCGGAATGAGATGCAGCGGGCGGCGTTTGATCCCAGAAAACAGCAACTGGCCAGTAAGCGAAAAGGAGACGGCGACGAGGACAATGATCGCAAGAGGAGGAAGAATGACAAGGACGGCATCTCAGAATCCCAAAAGGCCGCCATCAAGGCCGGCCAGATGCAAAAGATTCGGGAGGCCGAGCAGAGCAGCAAGCGCCGACCCCTAAACTTGCCAGCACCGCAAGTCAGCGAGGGCGAGCTCGAGGAGATTGTCAAGATGGGCAAGATGGGCGAGGCCGCCAACTTGATGGCCAAGGAAAGCGACAACGATGCGACTCGAGGATTTGTAAACTCGTACTCGACGCTCAACACAAATGCGCCAATCCGAACGCCCAGAGCGCCTGCGCAAGAGGACCACATTGCCAACGAGATCAGGAACATCCGAGCACTGAACGAAACCCAATCTGCATTGTTGGGTGGCGAAAATACTCCTCTTCATCAGGGTTCTGGCTCAACAGGATTCGAGGGCATCACTCCTCGGAAGCAGGTCATGGCGACGCCAAACCCTCTGGCAACACCTTTGAGAAACGGCGGCGTAAACGGTGCTGCCCCTGGACAGACGCCCATGCGCACCCCTCGAGACACTTTCGCTCTCAACCAGGAAGACGGCATGTCGATGACAGGAGCAACCCCTCGGGACGTAAGACTGCGACAGGTGGCCATGCAGAACCAGCTGCGCGCTGGACTGGCTGCGCTGCCCAAGCCAAAGGATACAGAGTGGGAGTTTGAGATACCCGAGGACCAGGTGGACAGTGCGGCAGGTGACGAGGCCATGGAGGAGGATGCTGCTGAGCGGGACAGACGAGAACGCCAAAGACGAGAGGCCGAGGAGGCACTTGAGCGGCGACGACAGACTCAGGTTATACAGCGAGGGCTTCCACGACCCGTGGTTGTTGACTTGGCAGAGCTGCTCAAGAGGGCGAAAGATATTGCCGACCCTGCTGCAGCTCTGATTGCTGTGGAAACCGCAGCTCTGATGGCCAACGATGCTACCAAATTCCCGCTCAACGGCTCTCAGGTCAAGGGAACGCTACAGCCTCTAGATCACATTGATGATGGACTCCTCGCCGACGCACGCCTCCGCATTCTCTCGGAAACCAAGCCGTTGCCCAGTTTTGAGGATATCCAAGCCGCCTTTGAGAGCCGAGCTGGAGGAGATTCTTTGCTTTTGGGTCTGGGATGCTACAATGATGATGATGATGAGCAAGATGCCGCTATGCGGGCTGCTTTTGACGTAAGTTGCTACTCTACTCGACAGTGTTTCTCTTTTAATGTATGCCCCTGATTCTGACCATCTCCAACAGGCTGTTCAACAAACCATCATGGCGTCGGCAGAAGAAGACGCAAAGGTTGAGAAGAAGCTTACACTGCACCTGGGCGGATACCAGAAGCGGCAGAAGATGCTCAAAGATAAAGTAGCAGATGCCGCAGACGCCTTGGAAAAGGCGAGGGTGGCTCTCAGTGGATTCAAGACGTTGGCCATCTCCGAGGATGTGGCTATCAACAGACGACTGGAATCACTGAGGGATGAAGTAAACTTCATTAGTCGAAGAGAGCGAGAAGCACAAGAGGAATACCGAAAAGCCAAAGAAGAGCTGGAGGCTCTGCGAGCGGGAGACGTCAACGGATACCATTAATCAGGAGACAAAAAGGGTTTTTCAATATTGTTACTATTATGAAGGGGTAATTTGAATGAATAGGCATCAAGGAGGTTCATGTACAAAGCAAATCATCAAGTCAAATGCATTCTATTCTTGACGCGTTTTTTCTAACCCAGCCATACAGTGCATCGAGGTTCGCTCTTCTATCCTCAATTTTTCGCAGATCCTCCCTACTTTTTTCGCGTTAAGACTTGCGATGCACCGGTGCCAAGCGTGGCAGCTTCATAGGTAGGACGATGAGGATTGAAATTGCAGCGACCACGGTGCAGAGGATAAACGTCAGCCTCAGAGACGCCTCGTAGCTCTGCACGACCTGTTCCCTGTACGGCTCTTGTAGCTTGGCAACGGCCTCGACAGACGCCCTGACACGCTCGATTATCTCGGCTTTGTCTTGACCTTGGACGAAGGCATTGAGATAGTGCACCAAGGCGTTTTGTACGACAAGACTGCTCATGGCCACTCCGAGCACGAAGCCCAGACTCCGCCAGAGGATCAGCGTGCTTGTGACGACGGCCTGCTCCGACTGCGAAGAAGACGCCAGGATGGCCATGAACGTGCCCGGGAACTGAAAGCCCTGGCCGATGGACTGGGGAATGAGAATGAGGAGGTAGACGACGGTGGACATGCCGCGGTGCAAGAAGCAGAGGATGATGCATCCGATGAGATACCACACCGTGCCGGACACGACGGGCCACTTGAGGCGGCGGGTCCTAGTGATGGCGAAGCCGGTCAAGGCGCCGATGATGGAGGACGCGATGGAGGGCAGGGCGAGGCGTAGGCCGGAGGAGGTGGCGCTGGAGAGGAGGACGGCTTGGAAGTATAGGGGGCTTGTGTGGTGAGTGTGTTAGTTGAGAGGAGGCGAGATGAAAGGAGGAGGGTTTCTTTTTTTGCTTACATGTTGAAGAAGATGCAGTTGGAGAGGAAGGCGGCGATGAAGTTGGCGAAGATGAGGTTTGCGCGGGGAGAGTGGCGGATGAGACGGAGAGGCATGATGGGGAGGTGGACGCGGGATTCGATCCAGAGGAAAGTTGGGAACGAGATGGCTGCGATGGAGAGGGAGACGATGACAAGGGGGTGAGTCCCTTTGAGATTGTCAGAAGATGCTGGTGTTGAAAAGGGGTGGTGGTTTGGTTCACTTACATGGATAGATGTTGCCGCCAAAGTTCTGTGAAGCAGGGAGGTATTGTCAGCTTCTCTTCTTACAAACGCCTACAATAACTTACCAATCCCAAAATCGCAGACGTCGTCGACAAAGTCAACAAAGCAGAGCCCTTGAAATCAAACTCGCCCAACGCTTCCCGAAGCCCCTTGCGCGGACCCTTGAGCCCAATGTCATCCGGAATCACCACGACGACGACGGCAATGCAGAGTAGAAGCGGCGGGATCTGAACTCCGAATTCCCACCGCCAGCCCAGTGCCTCGGCCATGGCACCCCCGAGAGCAGCTCCGAGGGCGGCGCCGGTGCCGAATGACATGTTGGCGTATGATTGATAGTTGCCGCGACGTCTGGAGAGAGGATTAGCTTATATCAACAACATACATATAGATGAGAGCGAGAGTTTCAAGGGGGCAAAGGCCGAGAACAAGCAAAACACACGTACTCAATCGGCACCAAGTCGCTGGTCAAAATGCTTCCCAGAGTTATTGTTCCTCCCGCCCCAAGCCCACAAACCGCCCTCGCCGCGACAAAGCTCTCAATGCTCCCCGCAAGACCACACCACAGCGTCGCCAAGGCAAAGATGGCCAAGCTCATGACGAACAAGGGTTTTCTGCCCATGGCGTCCGACAGTCTTCCTAGCAGCGGCTGAAAGGCCGTCGACGTGAGGAGGAACGCGGTGGAGAGCCAGGAGGCGGAGTTTGCGGCCTTGAAGTGGGAGGTGATGACGGGGTGGGAAGAGGCCATGAGGGTGCTGTCGAAGCTGGCGATGAATTGGGCGGCGAGGATTTGGCTGAAGATGAGCCAGAAGCGGGTGGGGGAGGATTCGTCGAGGAAGACGAGGGGTCGGGCGGTGGAGGAGGAGGATGTTGAGGATGATGAGTTGCGGCGGTGGAGGAGGGGGGAGTGTTCGGAGATGAGGGTGTCGACGTGGACGTGGATATTGGTTTTGGCATCTTGGTTGTGGCTGTTGTTGAGGAGATGACTTGAAAGTTGTTGATGTGCCGTTGGGATAGCTTCCTCGCTACCATCGTCAACTTTACGGTTTATACCTTTAACGACCTCAGCCTCCGGTTCCGGACCCGGCCGAGGTTGCGGCCTCACTCGGGAAGACATTTCGCTTTGACGATTATACTCTTGAGTTCTCTTACTCCAGCTCTTCAGACAGCTTGAGAAAGAGATTTCAGGCACTGAATTACTAGCGAGAGGGAGGAAAAGAAAGATTGAAGCGATTGGAAAACCAAAGGCAGAAGTTTAGAGATGCAAGGGGGGGCTGCAGGGGTGGAGGCGGTAGAGTAGAGGGTGGTCTTGTGATGCGTGTAAGTGGCCGCGGATCTCGCTCCCCGAATGTGACGGATGGAATGCGGGTGGTGCCGCTGCAGGGTAAAGCCTATCTGATGGATGAAAAGCAAGAATGATTCAAACGGAAGAGAAATTGAAGAAGTATATTTCTGGGGAACGGACGGAGCTACGAGTTGACGTCTTTATAGCTTCAAATGAGTCAACGTCTACTTAGTGCGAACCGTGAATCAGCACCATGCAGCGGGATAGATACAGTTAACGAGATCCCATGCAGCCATCTGCGGCTATAACGGTCGGGCCAGGATTATTTTTTTAAAAAAAAACTGGAGAGCATGGATCAAATTGCGGCGAGTCATCACACCAAGAGAAGCTCCAACCTATGGGCGTTTGTCAAAGGCAACGAATGGGAGGGAGCCAAGTCCTTCATAATCAAACCGAGACCACAAAGTGAACCGAGACCACAGAGTGAATAGACGCATACATGAGGACAATACGACTACGGATCCCGATGAGTTTAGTGTTGGTGGATATGTGCGGGTTGCCTGTTTCTGTAAGTTGATGGTGTATCGAGTCCCTCTTTTTTTTGTGTAACCCCTGGGAGATAACATAAGCTCTCTGTCACTTGCACTTAAAATACTTGAATACCGCTTTTCTTCCCTGTTTACTTTGTATACAGATTTCTTAATAGAATTTCTTGACGCCGTTATTCGGAGGCTATGCGCGAAAAAGTCTGTTGCTGGTGCGGGAATAAAGCGTATCTGAAGCTGCAGGGCGTGGTGATGTGCTCTGTGCTACGAATGGCGCGAGAGCCCGAGATACACGGCATGATATTACTTGATAACCTTTATGATCAAGTATAGTAGGCATGTCTAATTCGTTCAACATGTCAGATTACTTTTTCCACTTATTTGGATGACTTTATAGCCAGTTATTTTGATAAGGGCCTCGAAATCACTTGATGGATGTAGGATTGGTGACTAAGCTCGGCTTGGCCCGGCTTCCTGATATAAATGCAGAATTTCTAGACAGAAGAATTAATACACGTTATCGCGATGAAATGAGATCTAGCTGCAACGGCGGCCTCATTGTTAAAGAAACGAAACCACAACACCTGAATTAAATAAATCCCTGGCTTCTTCTCGCGCCGTCGTCTCTATAGTGGTCGGACGAGCTAGGGTTCTCGTGTAAGTTCGGCATTTCCCCAGCCCAGTCTAAAGGTGCGATTCCTACATACGTAGCCGTCAGTGAATGATTATCATGGTATCCATAATATATTTGGATTGGAACATGGAGAAATTTTTTTTTTTCATTTGCATTCTGGCCGGTGACAAGATTGTCTGCTCTACTGACTTGACCGTCTACGATAAACCAGTACCCTGAACAGCCAAGTGGAGGACGGAAAACCCGAGACTGAGAAGATTTCGAACACCCACGCATTGAATTACAAGTATACGCCTGTTCTTTTAGTATCTGCTACCATGGCTATAATTTCTCTAATTTTTACTTCCATATCTACGTTGGTTTAATAACTATTCTTGTATCTATATTTCTCTAGCAACTGCTAGTATAGTTGTATGTTTTATTAGAACTGTATTTGTCTAGCATTTTGTATCAAGGTAATTGAGCGCTTATATTTCCGAATGCATTTACTTGTTCACTTTGCAGTCTCGCCTTTTCTGACGTCTACTTGGGAGTTACCCATTACTGTAGGAATAACCGGTTCATTGCACAACTCTCAAACCAAGAGCTGCGAGAGAGGAAAACACAAAGAGAGCCCATCCTAATCAAATCAAGGCCTGGTAAGAAGCTGAATGGCGAATACCCCAGAACAACACAATCCCGCCTTTGCCACTTGATCAGCCAAATATTGGGGTCCCGAACCAATATCACATCCAGCCGAAGCCTCAATCACTCACAAAGGATCGGGATCTCCGTCCCTTGCATACGAACCAATCAAAAGTTGTCCTGAACTTCCACCGGTCAGTAATCGTTGTCATATTGTCTTTCAAAAAAAGAGTTGGCTAGTCTTTTCTTGTCGCTAGCGAATTCTTTTGCCGCTGGATGGACGGCTATCATTGGTCAAGTCGAGCCAATAACTCCAAGACGGCTCCTAGTTCTCATCAGCTGTCAAGGATTGAAAACACCACTGCTAGGTATATCCAAATCAAGAAGATGATGGCTGGCTGAAAAGTTATGTAAATCATGTGAATTATGAAAAGCATAAGACTTACTCTGGATAACCAAAGTGGTCATTTTCAGACCAGCCAGAGTTGATATTGAGATGAGGATAAACATGTTAAGCTGTAATGTTGCGCCCAATTCAAACAGTCACATATGCACAATTACAGACAGACCAGCTGAGTTTCAGTTGGTGATCATTGTGTTATTCTTTGCGCAGCTCAGTCCAGTGCGGCCGAGGCCTCAGCCCGCGATGTTGTCCCGTGTAAGTGGCGTTTTGAAAGACAGCTGAAAGCCTGAATAGGGATCAATATTTTATTAATGATATCACCATTTTGAAGCCATTGATATCATGGGGGCGATGAATGGCAACCTGTGCCGTGTATGTCTCATTTTATGTGATTCGGTGGGAATAGGGCGTCAAGATTGACAATATTGGCTATGGGAGTGGTTGATAGGGGAGAGAAGGAAGAGAGCAGAAAACGAATATATAAACACTGAAAACCTCGCTCTTATCTCCCCTTGTCCTTCAGCAACACAAGCCAAGAATCCTACTCACTGAGATTATATCAATCCATTACTTCAAACACATCTTACTCCTCACGGACTTCAAAATAACACTCTGTCATTCACAATGGCTACTACATACAAGATCTTTTTCACCAACTACTCCGGCTTCGCCAACAACTTTGCCTTCTTCAGCGCCACTCCCATCGTTACCAACAACGGTGGCAGCCCTGTCTACAGCAACATCATCGCAAGCCAGTATGTCCCGGCTGACAATGGCGATACGACCTTTGAAATCGACGTGACTCAGACCTACTATGCTTGTAAGAACACACTACCATTCCCCCTAAGCCACTCTTCAACCTTGCTAATTTGCGTTTCTTTTAGGGACAAGCATCTCCCCTATTGATACCGGGAAATTGCCCGGCACGAATGTTGTCACAAAGATTAGCAACTCGAAGCTCGCCACGTTAGGAACGTCTGGCTCGCCAGGAAGTACGTGTTGATGCCTCCCCCCTTTCTCCCTGTCTCTCTCTCTCTCTGTGTATGTGTCTGTCTTAGATATCAAGCATTAGCCTCGCAATCGAGAATAGATCAGCCGGCTAACCTTGGTTTTGCTTCCAGGCACCTTCAAGCTGGTGAACAGTGGCGGCAATCCTACCTTTGACGGTGCTGCGGCCACGTTCCAAGCTCCTGACGGAACATTCCAGATTGCCTCTGACCCCAATGCTTTCCAACCGGACCAGAATTTCATTTGCGGCCTGGGCTCTGTCGATGGCAATGGCCAAAGAATCCCCGTTGCGACGGTAAGACGGCACCATATTGCCTCAATCCTTTCCTGCCTCATCCTTAGCGTAGAGCAGCATATGATATGAGGAGAAACACAGCAAGGCTAACAATCGGTGGTGCCTTGATACAGTTCGCCGCGCAACCCAACACGGTCGCAACCATCGCGCCGGTGGTCAAGTTCTACATTGCTCAGTACGGGTCTCAGCAGGGCACTGTCATCAACGTGTCCATCTTGTCCAACAAGGCCGCCGAAATCGACTTCACCGGCAAAGGCGTCCACGCGGCTTTTGTCAAACAACTCTCCGGAGGCGGCTGGGAGGTCAAGTACGGCACTGCCAAGGCAATGCACGAGGCGTCCCAGGCCTTTACGGCTAAGCAGAAGAGGTCGTTGTTGAATGCTCGACAGCAAGACATTGCTAAACTCATGTACGTTTTGCACATATGCCTTGGTCCTTGTACCAAAACCAAGACTCCTTCCTTTCCCATAGCACCGCACGTCCCGGCGAAGAACAAACAAAAAGAGTCCCTTTGCAAAAGTCCCGTTGTTGCAAACAACGATATGCTAACATGATGAAACATAGGGGACTTCTACAGGCGAACCTTGATCCCGTTGACGATCGCTACTTGTGCTCATTCAAGTGGGCTAACGGAACGACAACTGACGAGAAGACTCCCGCAGTCGCCGATTTGGTAGCCGCAATGACTGGGCACGGATACGATGTCATCACCCAGCCATCGGGCCCCAACTATGATCCCGCCAACTTTGGCATCTCGGCGACTGGATCCGCGAGTACAGTTGCCAATAACTGGACGCAGGCTGTCAATGCACTGGGTGCTATCGCTTCTGACCCCAAGACCATCGATGCCAACCTTGTCAGCAAGTAAACAGACGGTGACGGCGGGCATCAGGCAAGCGATGCTGTGTAAACCGGCATATCCCGTGCTGGGATGTTGTCTCTTGTGGATATGTGTTTAGGTCCTCTCGTTTTCGCAACTAATTGTATTTACTTCAGTTTATTGTTTTCGCAACTCCTTGTATTTCAGTCCATCGTTTTCGCAACCAATTATGCTTACTTTAGTCTATCGTTTATCTAATAGTAAATCCATATGCTTTTCATATCAGCTATTCCCCGTGATTCAATACCCTGCTCCATCATTACTATGCCGCCGTTACGGTAAGCAAACGTCAGGGGTGACTGATATATAGTTACACAGAATCCTCTTATAGGTAAGGAGCCAATAGCTCAACGGTCTAATAGGCACAATGTATCGTGTATCATGGACACAAGCGTATATATATATATATGCATGTATACAAGGTGGTATATCAACCTCCTCTAAACATCATCATCTCCCATCAATCAAGCCCTGGATTCGCTCCACGCACTATTCTATCCCGTCATGACAACATGAAGCCACATCCATCTCTGGCTCTCGGTAATCTAAGTCGTTCATCTACGCTGTGCTTTCGCAACAAAAAGACCAAAGAGTTTTTAAAAAAGAAAGACGAGCAGGAAGAAGAAAAGAGGAGCATCACTCATGCCTCCGACTTCTTCCTGCTAGACGACGCTTCAGCAACCACCAAAATGCCCGCTCCCGTAACACCGCCATCGTGGCAAGGACTCAACACGACTCGTAGACGTCCGTTGTCACCGAATCTGCGCGCCAGCAGCTCGTCTAGAAATTGTTGGCAGTCGGCCAGGTAATCCTGGAAATGAACTATGCAGCCACCGGTGTAACCTACGCCGAGCTCACGAATGGGGGAGCTCGTATCTGCGCCTGCCCCTGCGTTTGCATCCTCGGGTAGCTCGTCTGCAAGAGTAAGCAGAGCGACGATGGCGGCGGCGATAATGCCTGATGCCCGAACTTCGATGGCCTTTGCAATGTGGTACAGTGCAACAGCGAGGTCTTCTGTCCACGCGAACAAAGAGTCGGCGTCTTCGGGGATCTGTTGTCGCAACTTCTCCAGCAGGGCAGATGGGGGCTGTAGCGGCTTATAATGACTTAAAAACGTCGTCGTCAGGCTCTCCTTTTCGAGCAGCTTCTTCGGCAGTGTCTCGATGGCTACTTTGGACTCGTTGACTAGATAATCGACCAAGATGATTCGTGCCAGCTCGCCTAGATATCTCCCTGCCGTCATGTACTCCAGAGGCTGAAACCCGGGCCTCTCGTTCTGCAAAGATAAGACATCGTCCCATTTGGTGACTAGATTTACCTCTGCCATGGGCGCCAATGTGCCTTTGATGCTCCACTCGGTGTTGACTGCAATTTTTGCGTCGGCAACCTCCTCACCAGGAAGAAGGCTCACCGTCTGTGGGCGTTTGCTAGGATGCAGCAGGTCCAGCTTCAGGGGCACCGTAGCGTTAGATCCAGTCCCCAGAATCAGAGCCATGGCTGCTCGACGATGCTCCGCGCCGCCGTAGCTAAAGATGCACGACACCAGCGTCGATACGGCGTCGTTTGCAATGGCGGTGACTTTGATCGGCGGCAGCTCAGTCCGTCCGGAATCTGCGTAGCCTTTCTCGATGTAAGCTCCCAAGTCGATGCCAGACGGCAGAGCGAACCCCTTGCCCATGTCCATCAACAGGGCGTGAGAGACGGATCGCTGCTCCATGGGGAAGCTGAAAGTGACGCCCAAGGGCAGGGGCACATCATTGGGAATGTCGAATGTTCTGCAGCCCTCGTCCACAACATGGGCGATGCATCTTCCTATCCATGAAAAGAGGCTGTGTGCGTTGTCGTTTTTGAGATGGTTGTCAATGGGCCACGATTTCTCCAGTGGTCGCTGGACACGTGATGCAGGATCTTGGTCGTCACCGTGCAGCTCGACGAAGCCAACTCGAAGATTTGTCCCTCCTCTAAGCAATATGGGGTTAGTATGAACAATCCAAGGCTCGAAAGCCCCCTCTTGATGGAATCCTCTTATGATCGAGGCCAGGTGGTCTCACATGTCTATTGCCAGGTGCCTAGATGTCATGAAACTCATTAGCCCTATGCTGTTGACTCTCACCAAGCCGTACATGACTCGATTTGCAGTATACTCTTGAACTGCACTCGAGGAAATAAAAGGGAATGGAATCACTCACCGCCCACCTCCTTGCTCAGCGATAGGCCTCAAGATGGACTCAGATATCGGCGTAGGCAAGAACTGATCCCTCGAATTCGCAGCCAGATCCCTAAAGTTGTCCAGAAACCTCCGCGACAGCTCCTCCGACCTATCGACGTCGATGCTCAGCGGCTCCAAGAACCGGTGGATATCCGTGTAAGGAGCCATGACGTTGTATGTAACAGCGAAAAATGCAAGAAAAGACGCTATCAAGTGAATCTCATGATATCATGCGGAGGGCGCAAAAAAAAAGAGACAGAGAGAGATAGAGAAGAAGCCACCCGGGTATAAAAACCAAGAAAACAGCACACCCACACCCACACACAGACGCCAGATGACTCTTTGACGGTGAGATTCTCCGATATCCAAAAGGCAAGACAAAGTTGCTCACCTCCCTGAATAGGATGGAGATGGGCAGATACGAGTAGCAAGAAAAATATACCCGGCAGTGAATGGGATGGAGGCGTTATGGAGCAAAGGTTGGAAGCCAGCCAGAACGTAGCATCGATTTTTAGTGGCCTTTTTTTTTTTTTGGAGGGGAACCTATGGGGGGCCTGTTCGCTGGGTCTTGGGGCGGGATGCCGGCGGTTTTGCGGGCGAATCTTTGCTGGAGATGGGGCTCTTGGGGGCTCTTGGGGCCTCTTCTGGAAGCACTTCAGGACCACCAGTTCGCAGCTACTGTAGTTTCAAGGTTCTGTTGCATTGGGGGTTAAAATAGGCCGGGCCGGGCCTCGCACGATTCAAAAAGTACCTACCGTGACGAAGCCCTATTTCGAGCGGTACCTGTTGTTTCGAACATATTGCCATGGACTCAACTCGTATCACTGAGGTGCTGCTGCTGCTGCCTTGGTGCTACAGTGCCTATGATCTGCTAAGAGATAGCGCTGGGCTGATGTTGTGATTGTCCCGAGATACAGCACTTTGTACTCCGCATCACTGCTTATCTCATTACTACTACCAGTACCTACCTGTAGTTTATAAATAGATTTCGGCCATGACAAAAAGCATCAATACCAAACACGAAGTCGTACACCATGAATGACATTCAACACCTACCTGTACCTGTAAAATGCTGTGCCATTGATTCTTTTGCCTTTATCCTCCAACCTCAGTCTCACTGACACGGTACATCGGTGCATCGGTACCCGAGTACTTGTACTTCCACAACAATGGCAAAACCCCTGCGTCCTCCCCCCTTTCGGCCTAGCGCCATTCCCCAACCAACGCAACCGCTCCTCTCCATGACGCTATGCCCTCCGTCCAATCTCGTCGCAGCATCTTCGCGCGAAAGCTCAAAGAGCTTCCAAAGAAGCATCATCGCCATCGTCAACTCTTTTTTTTTTTTTAATCATTTTTGGATATCATTTTCGTTTTTATTTCCTTGTCTAACAAGATAATATTAATCTACATCCAGCTATATATCGAGTTTCCACTCTGTTCCGACAGACAGAAACAAAACACCGCGCCCTTGAACTCCCTCCCCCATGACCGCCATCCATCCCGCGGCTCTCATCATGGACGAGAAGCATCAGCACCAACATCAACAGCAAATCATGGCATCTCCAAGGCGTTCTCGCGCCCGTGAGCTGCTGCTCGTTGTCATGTGCTTCTTCGTCGGCTTTCACCTCTGGACACACTCCGTCGCAGTGCCCTTTCTGCCGCAGCAGGCCGCCGACTTTCTCGCGCCGACGGATGACGATAACAGCGTCACTGGCCTCGTCCCGTTTGAAGCGCACATCATCAGCAAGTGTCCTGATACTAGGGTATGCGAAGATTCGACGCGACCATCCTATGCCCTACATTCTCTAATCATCTCTCTCTTTATAGCACGCTCTCCGCAACTTGATCTTGCCCGTCATGCAAAAAGTCCACGACAAGGTCGATTTCACGCTCTCGTACATTGGCAAGTATGTCAACCCAGCTAGCTCTCCCACATCCGTGTCATCTAGCATCCTTGCTAACACACCGGCACCCAGGCCCACTGCCAACGGTGGCGTCGACTGCAAACACGGTCCCTCCGAGTGCATCGGCAACATCATCGAACTCTGCGCCCATGAGCTGTATCCCGACCCCAAGATCTACCTGGGCTTCGTCATGTGCCTGACCAAGGACTACCCCCTCATCCCCGAGCGCACGCTCATCGAAGACTGCGCCCTCGAGCACGCCATCGACTTCAACAAGCTCAACGAATGCGCCGCCCGCGACGAGACCGCCCACGGCATAGAGCTGCTGCGAAACAGCGTCCAGCGGTCTGCCGAGGTGAGCTTCCCCCCTTACGAATCGCGAGAATGGTTGGAAAAGATGCCATGACAATGAATCTAACGATTTCTTCTTTCTTTTAGGCCAACGTGACGATTAGCTGCACCATCAGACTCAACAACGAAGTCTACTGCATCCGCGACGACGATCAATGGAAGGACTGCCCGAACGGCCCTGGCGTCAACGACCTCGTTCTCGCTATCGAGAAGCTGTCCCGCTCGTCCTAAGCGGCTCATAGATGTCCGTCCACAACTCGCTCGCCTCGCCCAACGTGTAGCTCATCGATAGCGCATCCATGCCCGCCTCGTCGTCTCCCCCCATCACCTTTAATGTCTCCAGGATGCTGTCTAGGCCGACGGCCTTGCCCGTGGCTTGCGTGGCCCCGGCCTCTAACGCGACATGAACAATGTGTATATGAAAGTGGTAATAGGTCGGTTGATAGTGAACATAGAGCTTCAGCTGGTTCTCCTCGATGCTCGGGTACGTCTGGGTCGTGGCGCCGGTGACCTTGGCCTTGATGTGCTCCAACCAGGGAATGTGCTTCTTCTTGAGATCCCGCAGCGACCAAATGTCCCGCCGCTCCACCAGCGCCAGCAGGTGCAAGCCCTCGAGCGTCTTGCGGTCCCAGTTGAGGTCCGGCAGCAGCAGGAAGCCTTCGTCGCCGGCCTCGCCGAGCTTGGTTCTGTAGATTACGTCTTCCACTTCGGTCCTGCCCTCGATAATGTTGAATACCCAGTTTAGTCTCCCCTGCTCCCTCTTTTGCTGCATAAACGGCCGGATATGATTCTTGTAAATCTCGGGCGTCTCCGTGACGAACCGCACGCCCTGCTTGCTGTACTTTTTGACGTGGGCCTCTGTGCACGGATAAATCAAGTTGATCTTCAAGTCGGCAAAGAAGTCGACGCCATTCTCGTGGCCGTTGTCGCCATCGGGCTTGACTTCGTTTTCCACGGGCCCCGTCCTGGCCATGCTCCACGCGTAAATGTCGTTGGCGCCGAGATTCCGCAGGCGCGAGAGCGACGAGGGCAGGCCGGCGAGGTAGACTTCTGACGAGGGGAACGTGGCTCGCTCGACGACCATGACGGCGGGTTGGTCGTCGATTGTGCCGTGGAGAGAGACGCGGCGGCCTGCCTGGTCTTTTTTTTTTTTTGGTAGTTAGTATCGCATTTAAAAAGTGTCACACGTATGGCTCGGAGGAATGATTGAAGTGGTGTAGCTGTGAACGAATAGAAGAACGTGAGCAATGCGTACCTTGGTTGAGAACCTTGAGAAGCTTGAATTTGGGCACCGCCGCCTCGGCCCTAGCTTTCATCTCGCTGTCCATTGCGCGTGAATTGGACGGAAACGAAAACTCGTGAGACGAGCAAGAGTATGCGCCAGAGGAGAATAAACAGTCAGCCTTTAACTTGGAAATGAAGTCCACAAAGGGGGTAGAAGTGAGGTGAAGCTGGCGATGAATCAAGTCGAAATTTAGGTGCAAGGTGAGACAGGTAGAGGTGGGAGAAGCTCAAATGCCCCTCCTCGAACGGCCGATAAGATTACGGGGTACCAGTACATGCACTTGGGCACTTGGGAATGTCACGCTCGGTCACTCGAAAAGTCACCGGCACATCAGATTTCCAATTTAATCAACGTGATCCGCCCACGAGCACTCAAGTTACGGTACCCCAAAACTCCACATATACTATTTTACATTCTCAAGTAAACAAACATTCAACAAAAAGCACAATCCCTCCCAAACATCGCATCATAAAAAACAAAAAATCGTCACTCACACCTTTCACACTTGCAAAATGTCCACATCAAAGAAAAGGCCATTTTTGCTATCTGAACTAAGTAGGCAAGTATATCTGAGACGACGCCCCTTGTATGTCCATGCCTGTACTGTAATACGCAACACCTCGGTGTTATATCAGCGGTAAAATGCGGTTCCAACTCTTTCAGCTTCATCGCAACTCCGTGCTCAGAGAAATGTAGCCCAGCCCAGTGACAAGAATGATTCCGCTTGCGCGCCATCCTCAACATCTGGCTAAAAAAAACATCAAGCGAGTTGCTTCATCTCAAGCTTCGTCTCCGATTAAACATCAACTTCGTCGCTCCTGAAATGGGGTATTTTTAAAAAATAAAACGTCTGCAAATGTATCAAAAACGCGGCGCAATCTCTATCCCACAATGGGGACATTGTGAAGGCGCTTCTCATATACTTCGTCAAGAGGAATGTGTGCATCCGAATGGTAATCGAGTGGGTTGATATAGGTAGCGATGCAACATTTGTCGAAGGGGATAAATATCCTGTCGTTCCAGAATCAGGAGAATGGGTGGGAAGAAGAGGGATGATCGGGATTTTTATGCATCATCAAACGACGGGGGGGATTGTCAAACAGGCGTCCCATGAAGGCCGCTGGCTCCAGTATCCGTCGAAGCATCTCCCTCAATCGTCTTCCTCCAGTGCTCCGGCAGGCAGACGCACACCAAGGGGAATGCCTTGAGGTCGCCGTGGCCCTGGGGCGAACTGTCTCTGGGAGCGGACGAGCTCGATACGCCACTATCTCTCTGCGCCTGTCTCCGGGCCTCCCATTCCTCCGCTCGCTGGTTAACCATGAGACCCGTCGCCCAACCGTCATCCCAGATGCCCACGACCTTGAGCATATCTCCACGCTCCAGAGCAAACTCATCCGGAGCCCTCGGCTGGTAAGCCCACAGGACGGCAACCTTTTCGCCGGGGTGGATATCGTCGTGCGAATAGTAGTCTTTGAAGAAAGGCAACTGCTCTGACTGCTGACTTGCCAGCCCGCCGGGAGATGAAAATCCAATGGGGCTACCAGGGACATCGCTTCCAAGCATTGAGTTGCTGGATAGAGAGCCTTGTCTCCTGGACGTCATCGGTGGGCCGCGGAGTGATGCATAGGGAGTCTCGGGCTCGGGAGTATCGCCAAATTCGGATGAGGACATGCGATCTCCAGCCTTGGGGGCATACGGCACCGCGCGGCCGGAAGGAGAGCTGCCGTGGCGGGAAGGAGAGTTGCCCGAGTGGCCCTCCAAAGCAGACATGCGCGCGATACGACCGCCGGGAAGAATTTCGTATCCTCGGGGAAGTGCCGCGCCGTCCTGGCTCATGGGAGGTCCTTTGCGAGCCGGGGAAGGCTGGTTGAAGATGCTGCCCTGTGCGCTGCTTGGTCTGCGCCTCATCATCCTAATGCAGAAGAACAAGAGAGCAGCAAGAATGACAACTCCAGCAATGGCACCAATCACAATACCGGCGATGGCACCGCCGCTGAGGTGGCTGCCGCCACTGCTGGCAACTGGCTCTGGGGAGCTTGTCGGTGTCGAGGTCGAAGTGGGCGCGGTAAAGGTCAAGGTGGCGGTGATATCGGGCAGCTTAACCCCTTTGCACCGGGATTCCGCACCGGCACTGTAGCAACAGGTATCCGTGGAGTTGATGCCGCCGGCACCGCAGTATGAGCAGAGACCAATGGTGCTGTTACCAAATCCACAGTTATCCGGCTCATTATCCACGCCGACGATGCAGCCGCCGGAAAGGGCCTGTTCAGGGAGAGCACAGACGGTGAAATCGGCTCGAATCAGTTTATTTAGGTCGCCATTAGGGTTCCCGCATAGAGCTGTGTCGGCGGTGATGTAAGCTTCGCTCTGAGCGTACTCGGCGCAGGTTTCGGCACAAATGGGTTGCGAGTTTTGTGCTGATACGCCGCAGCCAGCCGCAGACATTTGGACGATGGAGCTGCAAATAACAGTAGTCGTGTAGCGTGCGTACATGTCGCTGGGGTTTGTATAATTAATGTTGTGGCAGCCAAACGTCGACTGGAATCTAAAGGAATCACGGGTAAGTACAATGGGACACCTGAGCTGTACCTGGAAGAGTTGCCTACTTGTCTTGGAGATAGGTGGTTTTGACAAAACTAGACAATTGAGTGTCAAAAGTCTCTCTATCAGAAACATATCGCAAGAATGAGCTGTAACGCGGGCGTCAGTAGCTTGATCACCTGAATCTGGACAGGGGCAAGCAGCTCACAAAGTATCGATTAATGACTGGTTGGTGGAAATAGAAGCAGCTTGAAAGGCCGGGCATGCTGTCGATCCCTTTAAGGAAATGCAGTCTTGTGCTGAAGCGGAGCCAGAAAGTATTGACAGCATGGCTATTGATGCATTCCTGAGCGTCCATTGTCTGTGTCTCGGCTGTGATCCTCCATTACGGCCACGAGCCCTCGCCGGGCTTGTCTCGCAGGCCATTTTGACGAATGAGAAACTAGCGGTGGCCAAGGAATGCCCAATGAGTCCCAAATTCTAAGCGTGCGGAAAGCTGAAATTATGTCTCGATATGTAAAGAGCCCGAAAACTATCGCAGAGAGTCGAAATAAGGTCGAGCGAGCGAGTCGCGGCGCCAATGTGGTATCGAGATGAGGAAGATACGAGTTTCGTAAGGTGCTGCTGCTGCTGGAACCAGATGCTATAACGCAAGCTGAAAACAAAAAGAAACGACCGTGGTAACCAAAAAGCCGAAAAAAGCTACGCAGTTAAAATTCTAGGCAGCGATTGAATGAATGTCGTGCAAAGTCGAGCAAGATTAGATTAACGCGATGTCGGGAAAAGTCGTGGCGAGAGAAGAGCAACAACCAGGATACAAGAAACGAAGAAAAATAAAGCCTAGCAACACAACCACGATCCAGGAAGGAAGTCGCAGTTTGCCGTCGAAGCGATGAATGAAAGCTAGAAATGGCGAGGGAAAAAATAGAAGAAGAAAATAAAGAAGGTAAGGCCCAATGGCGAAGCTTGATGCCCGGGAAGGGGTGACAGAAGGCCGGTGAGTCGAAGCAGCGGTTTTGGCGGTATCTGCTGCTGGTCCAAGTCGCTCCGTGGTGCTCCGACCGCCTCGAACCTGGCGATTCTCGACCTTGTTTTTTTTTCCCTTGTCTTCTTTTTCCCTCTCTTATCTTTTTTTTTGTGTGTCGCGCCCAGGCAGCTCCAAGGTCAGACGCGAGTCGACGCTGGGAGAAGCGACCCCGTGGGCAAGCTTGGCGAGAAAAGAAAAATGCACGGAGAAGGAGAGTGGCCTGCGGACGAGGGAAAAGAGAAGAGAAGAGGGATTCGAGGCCTTAGGCGAGGCGAAGAAACGGCTTCCTTGGGGAAACACGAAACTGGCAGCCGAAGCGACCCAGAGCAGCTTAGGGCGTGGGATATTAGTAGGGAGGGGGTGGCCTCGAGGTGGAGCAGCAAGCGAGGATGCGAGACAAGATGCTGGTCTAGCGCCAACGATTCAAGGGCCAAGATGAAGAGATGAAGACGGTTGTGTCAAAGGAAAAAGAGAGAGACAAAGGGAGATTGAAGAAGCGAAACAAGAGCAAAATAAACAAGAACCAGGCCGAGTGGAAGTGGATGCTGCAGGTAAGACTTGGTTGGACTTGGGTAGCAAGAGCAGATGGCTGGAACAAGTTGCGGTGATGGTGTTTTCGGGCTCTGAGGTGCTCTTTTTTCTCTCTTGGGTTCAATGTTTTGATTCCCAGCACGGCGCAGCTCGGGCCAACGAGGCCAACGAACATCTGGAGTAGCGCCCTTAGCACCAATAGGCACCGGCTGTAGCGCTCGATAGTGCTGGACCGCCGCTAGTTCGGGCGGCATTAGGCAGGTCCTGAGGCTGTCTAGCGTCGACTAGGCGCAGGCACAGCGCTTCCATTGGCCCATCGGAACGGTTTGAGGTGGGAAACGAAAGGGGTCGAGCTGTGGTGAGAGTTTATGCCCAAGCCAACTAGAAGCTGATGGAGGTTGAATGTGGACGCTGCACAAGAAACCCGATGCGATCAACCTCAGGTGAGGTGCCACAGACGCATGCGTGCGCTTCTGCTCGAGTGGATTCAACGGATGGGAATCTGCAGTGCATCGCGAGAGATCCAAGCGAATCTTCAGCGGACCTTTGCGGCTCCCGTTTACCGGCCAGAAACACGTACGAGTCCGCAACTCGACTCGTATTGGAGGCCCAGCTCCACCATCGGGTATTACGAGTGCTATCCGGATTATGGAACATACGAGACCGGTACGTTACGGTGCAGTACATGAAGCTTATGCTGCTCCCTGTCGATGCCGCGGCCATTGATTATTTCGCATAATGTCAGGTACCGCACGAGTAGCACCTATCCAATCTCGAAACGCAACAACATGCACAAACTACCGCACCAGTACCCGTGGGATCGGTAGGTAGTCAGGAACATCACCATTCACTCGAAACAGCCTTGCCGTGTCTGTTCTTTCTCCGACGATCAACAAACGTCCAATCTCGCTCTCGCTAGCACGCAGGAAAGAAGAAGAAAAAAATATCCTAACCGTCGCAAATTTGGCGAGCAGGGATGATTGCGGATGGCGCCGGCAGGGGGTGCGAAACCCGCCTGATTTCTGCAGCTTCTGCGCCAAGCACCCGACGTCTGCAAGGGCAATTGCTCACAGGAAGACACAGTTCCGTTCAGGTCAATTGAGTTGTTGTCGATGAGATGAGTACATTGTGATTAAACCCTTTTTTGTTTGTTTTGTTTCGGCAGTGGTCATTGTAGGGCAGCAACATGACATCAGTGTCTTCAACCATGTGTGTTGCCGGCCTCGATATCGAGACAAACGTGTCACTCAAAGACTAAACGATCCTTCCCAAAGCTCTTCTTTAGCACTCACCTCGCTTCCTCGGCATTCTTCAGCTCTGGTCAGTAATATTCATGGTACAATAGACACTGCTAATCCTTGAAGATGAATCAACCCAGGCATGTACACGTAGACAAGCAAGCATAGGTCCCCCTGCGTAATTTTGCTCTCGCAATCGAATCGTCCCAACATTCAGCTCTGCCTCTTTCTCCACGTGGATTAGCGGAGCTTCAATCTCGACAGCAGGTCCACTCTCCCTTCTCGTTGTTCCCCGGCAACTCGCGTCTACAGACAGATCAGCTCGGCTAAAGCTGTTTGTGCGCTGAGCCGCCTGCGATCTGTGGGTGAAACCTCCATGTCTGAATGTCGATGACTTCATGGGCCAAACATCGATCGATCCGACTGTGGCTCCATTTGTGCTCCGCGTAGAATGAATCCAAGACAGACGTTTTCTTACGTGATCCATGCCTTGCTTCATGTGATGAGTGCGGAGTATCTTTGTTTCCTGACTCAAGGGGGAAGAGGGCATCATCATGTCCCTGCGGTAAGGATACCCGGGAGGCAAATCATAAACAAAACTGTACAACAGCCACATCATGAGGAAACAGGTATTCTAGGAGAGGTAAGTAAGGCAATCCAGTCTAGCAAGTTTTATACAACTACCTGTAGATATCATAACTTGTGCTACCGAGCCGGCCTCCATTCTCCCATAAATGCCTTCATGCACGCAGCGGCCGTTGCGGCAGCATATCTCTGCCACCTCTTGTTCTTATGACTATCCGCATAGTCACACACGCTCTTAATCACAACCGTTGGGAAGCTTTCCCAAACACCAGCCCCTTCCATCTCAAACGCAATGGCTTTCTCGCGGGAAGCAATTTCGTCGCGATGCTGTCCGGACTTCATGACCGAGTCTCCTGATACAATGACGCCAAAATGGATCACAGGTTTCCGTGCTTCAAGCATCTCTGCAGCAGATGTGTATCTGAAGTCACCAACACCTCTTGCCTTGTCGACGCGAGCTCGGCGAACCAATTCGCTATCCTGACAATCAAGTTCCTCACAAGTTGACTCCAGTGCGGCCTCGCAGACATCATCGTCCGGGCCATTGCCGTTGGCACAAATGGCGCAAGAACCGTCTTGATGTTTGTGACGATACGTAGACAGATATAGCTTGTCGTCCTCTGTTGGATACGAAGACTGCTTGAAGCCATCTTTATCGCAGAGCTCTTCAAGGTGGAGAGACGTTTTGTCTCTCAGCGTTTTACGACCTCTTGATCCCGATAGTTTCGTGAGAAACGCCCGAATCTCTGCATTTGGCCGACCTAGATTGTCTTGTAGGGTATCCCTTCTCACAGCCTTGTTCGCATATTGCCGCCCAAAGTCGAACTGGACCAGTGCCGTGCTGATGATAACGTCACCGAGGAGGACCTCTTTTTCGTCATCTGTCCCGACTGGCACGCCTCCGCAGATGCCCACAACTAAGCCAAGCCTAATTCCAGGAAAGCTGGCACGGAACCCGGCTGCCACGCTCGCCGAGTTCACCTTGCCCATACCCGGCATAAAGGCCAAGACAACATCGTGGCCGCACATTTTCCCGGTTGTATAAGCATTGGGATCCCATAGCGCTTTCCGGTATGAAAAGTCCTGTTCGTAATACTCATCGAACAGAGCCTCGACAGCGTCGAATTCGACCCGTAGCGCGCAGATCAGGGCGATCTGGAAGCCTTCGCGAGAGCTGGGTCGAGAGCTACAAAAAGAGGTTTCGGAATGTGTCATACTGAGATCGGATAAGCTGCTGTTTTCACTGGGAGCCGACTCAGAGACAGCGCGAGATGACCAGCTATGCTGCTCCGGGGTACGCCGCCTCTTGAACCCTCCTGCAAAGGGCTCTGTAGAGGGCTGAGATTCCAAAGATCGTGCGGCCATTTTCCAGGAGCGATCGGTTCGAGCCCTGTTGCGGTGATCAGACGCGGGCGGCGACTCTGACCTCTGTCGTTTGTGGGCAGGCCTGGGAATAGACTCTGCAAGCCCGAGCTCGAGTTTGTGAACAACTTCCTTGTAGAGCGTTTTCCGTATTTTCGAGTCTGCACCCTTGCTGTCAAGGTCACGAGATCTCAATTTCTCGGCTATCTTGCGATGTACGTGGAGGCAAGCCCTAATGGCTTCGAGATATGAGTCGCTTCTATCCTCTTCGAGACGGTCCACGTAGCTCACGAGTTTAGCCCAGGTGAGTTGATTCTGGCTATTGTAGGGACTAATCTCCAGATCGATACATTGGCCAAAGTCAATCTCCAACAGGAGCTTTGCAAAGGAAAGCAGTGCAGGGTGGCCCATTCGGAAGCTATACGGGTCGGCTGTCGCCGGAAGCTTCGAGCCAAATGCCAAGTAGGGCAGCTCTTCTTTGGGACCTGGCTTCGAAGCATTCAAGAAATAGATCCTTTTCGAGGTGATGTCGGCGTCGAAGAAATCCATGAGGCAAAATCCAAGCTTGACGGCCAGTGCTCGCTTATCCTTTGTGCTAAAATTCTGCTGTGACGCCCCATGAATTAATGCCTGGAGATCGAGAGGCTTAAATGCTCCCTTCTCGATGAGCTGGTCGAGAGACTCCTTGGATGAGGGGTCCGGCCCGGAGGAGGTAGGGTTTGCCCAGGCACCGAATATCCCATATTTCTCAATAAGAAGCATTAATGCCTTTCCTTCGCCGGTATGCTGTCGGATGTCTGTACAGATATCGGGAATACGAGAGATTGAAGTTTCACCTCTGAATGTTTGGTGAGTTGACACGTAGGCAAAGAAGCAAGTGTGCGAGTATTGAAGAAAATATAGGATCGGGTGTACATACAGATTAACAGACTCGCACTGCACCTCCTGCCATAATTCCAGCTCTGGACATGGCGAGAGCATAAGCTGCAAGCTTGGCAAAACCGAATTCTCGTCGGGGTCCTCGGTGAGCTTCAATAATACCTCGTGCGATGTTCCACATCTAAAGTGTTCGAACAGAGTCCCAAGAACAAACGTGGACCGGTTTCGTATTCTAGCCTTCTTCCACATCCGCTTCTTTTGCTGTTTTTGGAGAGGCTGAATAGTTGGCTCTTGGGGTGCTGACGCAGTCAATCTGCTGAGGGTATCGTTGCATTCTGTGACAATCTGCAGACACCTGCCAAGTTCGGCACCGTTGGGAAGTTGGAAGAGGGTTCTGTTGGCACCAATCGCCAGATCAACTGTTTCGGATGTCGACTCTAAAAATGCAGTTATCGCTCGCAAACGAGAGAAAGGCCTTTGATGATCATGGCTTCGAGACCACACAGGGCTGATGGACACAACACTGTCCAGCACAAGTCTATCTAATAGCAAGCAGAGGCTCTCCAAACTTGCTTGGCACCTATCAAACTCCCTTGAAGTTAGATTCCGAGGGAACTCCTGGACCATGAATGTGCGCCGAAGCTCAACCTCGAATAAGTCGGCGTTGGGATCTCTCGAATCGTTGAACGGCCTCGACTGCATGTGAACATATGGCGCTTTCCGGTGGTCTAGGAGAGAGCCTATGCCTCGGAGTAGGCGCCATTCGTTCAGCTCAATGAGATATGGCATCTCAGAGATGGAGTATTGAGGACTCGAGTTGATGGCCTGAGTGACATGCGGAGGAGATGAGGCTCAGCGATAGGACAGTGGAGATGGCAGTTCGTGGTTGGTACATGTAGTGGTGTCGAATCCTTCAGGTTCATAACGGATGACCCGTGACCGGGCTTACAGGTACATGTACAGGTAATGTAGGTACATGTACCCTTGACGATCGCCTCGCCTCAAAACGCTCAAGATTGGGGGCCGCAGCGTCACATCTTTTCCTTCCCCGCTTTAGCATGCATGGGTGTTGCTCCCACTGCTACTGCTAGGCAAACAACAGCCTCAACTCGTCTTCAGGTAACCATCAAGCATGCGATGCATGACATGAAATTCACAGCAGCATGCCAGTTACTTCCGAGGGCGAAGACCTCCTCTACAATCTAGCTTATGAGTGTGAAGGTCTCTTCTACCAGCTGCAAGAAGCCTTTCAGAAGACGCAGTCCGAAGTCGCAACTGCTCAACTATGCGCCGAGTTTCAACAACGCTTCGCAGTATGGGCAGCTCATCTCGGCGTTTTTGCTCGGAAGAGCCAATGCCTAGACACAAGGCTCCAAAACCATCCGGATCTTCAAGATCTCGTTGCTCGGTTGCTGGATGTCCTCCGTCGCAGCCTGCAGCAATGCACGGCCGATACGTCTAGCCAAGGAGAGGGAGAGGGGGTTCCAACGGCAGCTCTGAAATCGATAGACGATACCCTCACTCGACTGAATCGTCTAGGAGTTACCATTCGCCAGTCAGGTCGTGGCAAGTTCGATGCCAGAGCCAAGAAATTCGCCGCGGGCCTCGATCTAAGCTCATTTGCGTTTCTATGTGCCAACGCCGTGCAAGCTTTATACCCAGGGGCCCATCAGTCTCTCAAAGACTATCTCAGCAAATCAATGACGGATAGGTATGCGAGGATGCTATTCTTCGGTTCTCGCCATAAGAAACTTGAGACCCGTCGAGAACGACGCATAGGGTTGTCACCCATCCACGAAGTACCAAATAAAGAGACACAGTCAAGCAACCCCGTCGTCCGGCTGCCGATGATGCCCAAGAATCCAGTTCTAGCTCACCTTTTACGACCATCTGCTGCACCGTCTTTATCTGATTTGTCTAGCGTCAATATGTATCAGATCAGAAATCGTCTCAGACCACCAGACGAGGCATCGACAAGGTTTCACAAAACATCGTCAATTCAGGTAAACCAAGGCAACTATCCGCGACTGCCCGCAACCGACAAGGGCAGTAGCATTTTTACCTGCCACTGGTGTTCTGAACCACTTAGTAAAAAAACGCTATCTGAAAGTGAATGGCGGTATGTAGCCATTCTCACATATTCGAGATGAAAGATGCTAAATTGTTCTCAGCCAACACATAGATCGAGACCTCAAGCCTTACATATGTCTCTCGGAGGGATGCACCGAAGCGCACCCGGCTTACCCTACTTTCGACGAATGGTTCACGCACATGGAACTGCACGACTCGCGATGGCATCAGCAAATTTACCTGACATCTAGCTGGGTGTGCACCGTTTGCGAATTCAACCAAGACGTCTACAGCAGCCCGCAAGCCTTGTATTCTCACTTGGAAGAATCTCATGGTAGCGATTTCACAAACGCGCAACTCCAAGCCATTTCACGACAGAGCAAAACAGAAGAGCCGAGAGCTTCAGACGACTGTCTTCTTTGCTGTTTTGAAGTGCAAGAAAAAGGGAACACTGGCGAGCCGATGTTCCCCAAACGACGAAAAGGGCAGCCCAAGCAAGAAGCTAGCAAAAGTGCCAGGAAGACTTTGGAAATGACAAGTCCCAATTCTCACGGCCCAGATTTGGACCTCTCTGACACCTCTTCCGACTCAGACGACATGAGTTCTCATCAGAATAAAAGACAGCGCAACAAAGACCGTTCCAAGGCTGTAGCTCGGCATGTTGCGGTACATTTACAAGTGCTGATGCTTTTAACCCTACGCTTCGCCGCAGCCTTGCAGCATGATGATGAGGACCTGGATGATGGCGCCAAGAGTGATTCCGTCAATATCGATGAAGGAAACAGCGCCTCAATTGGCGGCACCGATCTGGGAAAACTATCTCACATCGACTCCGAGGCAGACGTCGTGATGAAAGATGGAGAGGATGGAAACGACGGGAAACAGGCGGAGGGTGTTATGGAACTAGACGAAGACATGGATAATGACATCGCAGACGCAAGTATCCCAGTTCCTGACACGGACTTGGATCTTGACTTCGTCCCAAGGCAATATGATGACCTCGAAGCCAAGGATGATGAATTTTTAAACACGGTCATTGAGTCTGGAGCCTACCAGTCTTGGCGAAGCGACTTGGTGGGCATCTCGGATATTATCTGCGTGCTGTATCCGCACTCAGAGATTGCTGGCAACGAGGTCCAGCAGTTGGCCATGAACGGATCGCCATACATCATCAGTAAGAACGAGGTTGACAGTTTTGGCAAGGACGAGGTTGACAGTTTTATAGCCAACAAAGATCTAGAGGATCACCCGAGCCTCTTCGAGCCTGATACCACGAGCCATGGCGACCACGCCATTTTACTACGGCTGTCGAGCCAAACCAAAAACCCTGCAGCTGGTTTTTCCTTTGGAAGACATCCTCTCAGGTGTGATGTTGCCTTCGTTAATGATCCGCTGCGGAGAATCAGCAACATACATTTCCGTATATACGTCACTAAGTACGGCATGGTGATGATTGAAGACATGTCCACTAACGGCACTTTCATCAACCAAAACCTTCTGACTTTTCACTCAAAATCCTCTGAAAAGCGGCCTATTTCACAGGGGTTAAGCTCGGGAGATATTATTAGTCTCCGTCTTCCCGATGGTTCGAACGACCTTTCTTTTCGAGTTCAAATTCCGCACCGAGACGATGAACAAGAGGAGGCATACGCGCACCGGGTAGAGAAATACCTTGCTCCCTATGCCTCACAGGCTGAAGTCGTTACCGGGCGGGGAAGTTCGCCTTCTGGTACGGACATAGTTTTGGAAGCCGCCAAGTCTTATCGCGAGTCCATGATGGCGCAAAAGAATGCTTCCGATGAGATATCGTCTCGCAAACACTCCCCTGACGAATCGGTGGTGGACAGATGGCAGCAATCAGCCGATCAAGTGGTTGCTATCGACACACCGCCTGATGAGGATGCCAAAGAGGAGTACAAGAGCCCTTATGACAACTCTAATGCAGACGTTAGGATGAACAACGAGATACACCCAGAAGATATCCAAAGGATTGAAGTTGCCCATAAGGGTACTGATGCGCCGCCGTTTGGCTCCCGAGATCCGTCCTGCGAACGCGATCAGCCTATGCTGAATACTCCAGTTGGCAGTCCTGTCCCTAAAAGCCCTCAGCCGTCGAATGAAGATGCAGAAAAGCCTGAAGCAATCTTCAAAACAATCGAAGTTCAGCTCAACAGCTACGTGACGCAGTTACATATTTCTATGTTGTCCCATGGATTGGGCAAATGCTGGGAAGCTTTATCCCTCCTCCAGCGGGATTTCTACTCGTTTAGCCGGCGTCAAGTCAAAGACGGCATAAATAATAATCGTAAGTTGTTCCATCCTTTGATTAGATTGGAATTTTATAAAATTGAATCGTTTTGATTGTCTAGAAATACATTTTCGCTCGCTTTCCAATCTACATGAGGACCTTCTGTCCACTTTAGTCGACTTGCGACGCCTTCTACAAACTGAAGATCGCATCCCTCTCGCTTATAGCTTGGCGTTTTGCGAGAAAATTGCGGCTTATCGAACACACCTGGCGGCTTTGAAGAGTCAAATGTAGGTCTTCAGGTTAGGAATATGCACAGAATCCGCACTGACATATGATGTGGCCACCAGACTTGAGGAGCAGGAGGCTGAGCCTTTCTCCCAATCAGATATTGAGGCTGTTCCGCTCGAGGCTTTGCAAGTCACCGATCAACATTACAGAAACGGTGTCCGTATCCTTGTCCGGCCTCTTCCTGGGCTTCCCGATTTGCGCTTGAACTCTGGCAACAGTGACAAATGGCTAGCACTCCGTGCTGATGGGGCTTCCCCAGATAGCCCTAAACATAAGGTCCTGGCTATAACTCAGGATTTGATAGACGCTAAATGCACAATTAGGATACCTGAGTCTATTGGAGATGACTTATCACGGCCGCCGTTATGGTGTGAGCTCTACTCTCTTAGTCCAGCTCGTGATAGTATTGCCTTCTGGAACAAGTCGGATGTGCCTGTCTCACTCAGCCGGATGTCTCATGCTAGTAGCAGCTTGTCACTGAATGAACATTATATCGTTAAACCGGGTCTCCCCAAAAGCCTTGGGCTAGGCACCTTTAGGGTTGAAATGGAGCTTGAAAACGACGATGTTGCATTGATGGACATTCGGATTTTGGGAAAGAGACCAACTGCCGCGAAGCCGGCTGTGTATGGCGACACATTGGCTTCTCAGGATGAGAGCCCAGAGGAAACTATAAAGAGAGAGGATGAGAGCATAGTGGAAAGCATAGAGAGAGAGGAGGACTTCAGTCCCCAGCTCAAGAGAGTTGGCCACGTGGATTTTGATAATCTCGCCAAGGCCAATGCTGAGACTGAGAAGGGCCAGCCCGTGCTGCCTCCCATTCCGCAGGCCCCTCCCCCTGTGTTGATCTCGGGGGAGCCAACGATTCGAAAAGCTCATCCGGTCGCGATGGTCTATAGTGGCCATCGGGCGCGCGATGGAGAAGAAGAAAAAGACATGGAGGCACCTCCTCACCCGCGCCGCGAGAAGCGGCGACCTATCGACAAGAACGAAGATGAAGAAGAGGCACAGCGTCAGCGCCTGCGCCAGCGCATGGATAGGCGGCGACCTATTATCGTGGACGAGAGCAGTCACCAGATGGTCGACAAATACGCAGAAGGAGACATGAGGGCACCTCACCCGCGCCGTGAGCAGCGGCGACCCATTATCGTGGACGAGAGCAGTCATCAGATGGTCGACAAATACGCAGAAGGAGACATGAGGGCACCTCACCCACGCCGTGAGCAGCGGCGACCCATTATCGTGGACGAGAGCAGTCACCGGGCACGCAAAGAGGAAGAAGATGAAGAAGAGGCACAGCGCCGGCGCCTGCGCCAGCGCATGAGTGATCGGAGCCGGTCGAATACCCGTCGTCACCGCGTGTCCTATGACGATGGAGTCTATCGATGGGAGTAAAGGAACTTGAATAATGTTTTTCCTAGTGCCATCAGTGTGTCTGTGCATTATGTTACCTGAGTTAAGCCGGAGCAGACGTTGTTGGTCCTAGATTTCTTGATTTGGTGCTTAGACTGCAAGAGCATATCGCACGATTTAAATACATGGAATAGGAGAAATAGATGTATCAGTGAGAGTTGTCACTCGGACATTGGGATTATGCTGTTAATTGATTGAAGCTAAACAAATCTCAACTATTCGACTAGATACTTACGTTGAATCCATGATTATTTCGATCCGGAAGTATTTAGATAATCTATTTGTTGTCCCATTTCGCACGCTTATGGCCCAGCCAAGCGAACCAGACAATGAATACAAGAATAGTAAACGGGGCTACAGTGACGGGGAATAGCCACCACTTTCTATAAACTTGCATCTCTCCATCCGCAAAATTGAAAATTGGGGTGCTTAATATCGCCTGGATGTAGACAGTTAGCCTTCATACTGAAAAGAATGTGAAAGGTGATGGCATTCTCACCGCAATAAACGTGCCGGGGAGGAATAATAGAGTGACTGCTGCAATGGTGAGCATCGCAGCGCTGTCTTGCCGTGCTAGTTCGGCGAGCTCCCGGGTGGATTGACTCTCTGCTTGGTTGGCAAGATGGTACATCTGATTTCTCTGTCAGTAAGTAAGGTCAGGTTTATTGTTCTAACATGCCTTACCAGGTCAATCCGTGTTTTGGTTCGACCGCTATAGTCGGAGATTAAGTACGTCAGTGACTGGCAACTCGAATCCAAATATTCGAGGGTACCGTTCAATGTCACATTATCTCGCGCCGATAGACTCGGGCAGGTAGTTGTAATCGCATAATATCTTGACGACGAAGCCTTGAAGAACTTTAGAAGGGCAGAGTAGTCGGACAGATTCCGTGCTAGTATATGCCACTCCCGAGCTAGGGCATGCAACTCATGGATAGATTGGTCGTTAACCTCTGAATGGTCGACTGTTTTGTCCTGGAGTTTATAAGCATGCGATTCATAGAAGCTATTATCCCGAATAGAATCTTACTAGTGATTTTAGCTCCGTGCGCTTCAAGGCAATGTCTTTCTGCCATGTCCTCATTGCCTCGTCCGCAATCAAGGTATCGATGTAAAAGAAGCGCGTCGAGAGTTTAGCATCAATGGCCACATCTCCGAGAAACCGCGCAAGTACCGATCCGGGAAGGTCAAGGAAGAAATATGTGGCTGAGCTTTCGGCTATTGAGAGCTGAGTGCATGAGTGCTTCTTCTCTTGAGGGATGTATTCGTAGAAAATGTCTAAGTCGCATTAGCTATTGCAACGGACTGTTTATATCACGAGCATTGAAGTACCAAAATCCTTTTTGTATTGCTGTTCTTTGTAATCATCACTGTAACACATGTGCTTTGCTGAGTACCAGTGTCCGATGCCGCAAGTTGCCTCAATGAAAGTGTTGAATAGCCCTGCGTGCTTTCGGAGACATCTTAGCATTGCTGGATTGATGGCAGCGGAAATAATCTCGCCCTGCCTAGGGCTTTTATTACTAGGGGTGACTTGACGAGTTTCTAACAGACTGTGGATTCGCGTTACTACCTGTAACCATAAAGAGCACGACTGTGAAAGGAAGACTGACATTAACCGTAGTTGTGCTTGTGGTTTCTCTTTCTATAGCTCTAGTTAGTGAAAAGCTTCTTAAGCATGGGTTGTCATACCAAGAAACACTCTAGCTCGGTAGCAAGTTCAAAGGCACGATCAATTGCTGAATTAGTCAACTTCAACTGTGCCTCAAGAGTTGAAGTGTTGTGTAATTACTTATTTTCCCATCATGAAAGTCCATGACACGGACTGCTGGCCAAACTCCTTGCCATTGGTCCCTTTCCTGAAGCGCCGCTTCCAGCTCGTTGGCATCAATGACTTCAGGTTGATTCATGGCGTTTAAAGATCCAGGCCGTTTTCTATACACAGATTTCGAGAGGTAGCTGCCTATTATTATTTCTCTTAGCCTCTCTCTTCTGCGCCCTCGTGACCTGGTGTATATATGCATAAGCTGATTGGCCAATCATGGGGAGATTGTAGTAGGTATGTCAGCACGATTTCTCAATACTAAGAGAATATGGAGTCGTTGGAGCGATCAAGCGGTAGACAGAATAAGCGAGTAGAAAAACACTACTTTTAACCAGATAGATGCTTAGAAAGAGAGTATATGACATGAGACTTGATGATAGATTTAATACAGGGTTACTTCAGGAGACTCTGAAGACTTGGGCAGAGAGAATCTGGTTTCCACAAACACCTTTTGCATGCCTTCGTCCTTTGCATCGAACTTTGCATACACCTTGTCCAGATCCTCGAGTCTGACTCTGTGAGACACCATCTGCATAGGGTCGAGCTCGCCTTTCTGGATCTTGGCAAGTAGTTCTTCCCAGTATTTATGCACCGGTGCTTGGCCGTTTCCGATGAGTCGAATGCCTCGCTGCATGAGGGAGCCAACATTGAAGTGGTTGGTCTAAGTTGATCGGTTAGCACAAGGATGTTTGAGAGAGCGATCAAGACATGTACTCACATATGCGACATAAACTCCCGTGACGCCGCAGCGGCCATAGTTGCGCACTCCTTCAACCATCTCATTGAGAATCTCGCTGGTGTCGGTCTCAGCACCAATCGTCATTTCCAACCAATGCATCCAGCCCTTGGCGTATTCCCCTGCCGCACACTCGATGGCGACGTCTGGGCCTCGGCCGCCGCAAAGCTCCTTTAATTTGCTGACAACAGTTTCCTTGGAGGTGATGCCGTGCGACAGCTTCTTATAGTCGACTAGAGTAAGTTTGTCGCTGTGTTCGGAAGGGAAACGTTGTTTGATGAAAGTGAGCCGCGGTTCGGTGTCTACGAAGATAATTCTCGAGGCTCCCTCTCCTAGGGCAAAAACACCAGCCATTTGCCCAATGGGACCTGCGCCGAAGATGGCCACTTGATCGCCTTGATAGACGGCTGTATCTTTGACGGCATGGTAAGAAGTGCAGAGAACATCAGAGAGATATAGTGCTATACGAAGAGTTAGCGTAATTATGATTCAGAACTTGAGGCTGTGAAGATTAAAGTCATGCCCACCCTTTTCGTCCGAAACATCATCAGGAATCTCCAACAAATTCACATCACCTAATGGCACGCGGACATATTCTGCCTGACCACCAGCAAATCCGCCTGTAAGATGGGAATACCCAAAGATGCCTGCCGTTCTCCCACCATATAGGCCCTTCATGGTCGTGTTTGCGTTGGTCTTTTCGCACTGCGACGATAGCTTTTGCTTGCAGAAGAAACAATCTCCGCAAGCAATCTGAAACGAAGCGACGTATCTCTTCCCGACCTGAACTTTGCTGACGGCACGGCCTACTAGTTCTACAACGCCGCAGAATTCGTGTCCTAGAATGTCGCCGTCGGCAAGTTGCACCACTACGCCGTGGTAAAGATGTAGATCTGAACCGCAGACAGTGGAACCAGTGACTTTGAGAATCACGTCGGTATCCTCTAGAATCTGAGGCTTGGGGACCTCGGCTTGGGAGATATGTAAGAATATTGGAGAATTATCGACTGTGAGAAGGGGTATGCAAACCAATCTCGACTTTTTGCTTTCCCTTCCAGACCAATGCCTTCATGGTATCGAGCGAGTCTTCTGGGTAGTTGGTGACATCTTGCTCAATTATGGCATTGTCATCATGCCCAATAACCTTTTCAGCAAGATACGCTGCTTTTGAAGTTGCCATGGTTGCTAACAATTAGATAGTCTGCGTGCGGAAAAGAAACGGCGGAATATTATATGCGCTTGAGCTCTGTTGCTAACAAGAGCGAAGAACGAACTACGTGCAATCGCTTTCTGTGGGAACTTCTTTCAATTAAATAACAATCCCCCCGCACGATTGTCGCGTAATATTTAGTGTGCTTGAAATCAATATGACATAAGAACCATGTGTTTACGATTATATATGACGATGATAAACTGACTGTAGGTTGGAGAATGGCGTATGTCAACACAACGTCATGGATTTCCAGATGCACCCTTACTTATCAACACGACGGTTGCCTCGAAGCACCCTGCCATAAATAAGATATAAAAAAAACACATAGGCGATTGAGATTCAATAGACTGTAGTTATTTCACCATTTTTTTTTTTGGTACACAGAATGATTAGCAGCGAACTCTTTTGCAATAAAGCGTGTAAGTGGAGTATGGTTTAAAGTGCATGCGTCCGAACTTGTAGCCAACACAATGAATATAATCTACTACCAAAGATGTAATAACTCTGGTATATACGACGATGTTGTTGGATGCACAAAGCCAAGCTATTTATAGTATGAGGAAAGAGAAGAACGAATATTCGAAGTCTAGTTTAGTAGTTACCTATTCAATGTCGGGCGGCGTTCAGAGGTGAAGAAAGTAAATGCACCTATCCACACAAAAAATCGTCACTGTAATAAAATGATACCTGCTTAGGCTAAAGGTCAATCTTTATAAAAATAGCCCAGGGGCATGCTTAAATATTGAGTTTCGCGAGTGGTTACCTGTACATACATATATATTCAGCTCAAGTAAACTGGAGAGACGCACTGAAATCGCTCTCTATCTACTGAGTCTTTTGCCTACATTCTATTATCGCTACCTTCTTTTGATATCTGCTTCGACCAGTTCCTCTAGTATCTACATGTAAGCCTCTGGCGGTGGATGGTCATTCCCCTTGATTGTTTGCTGCGACCAACAACAGAATCCTTCATGTCAAACTAGAGTCTAGCGGCTTTTTACAACCAACACATGAATTGCTTCACCGGATGCCGCGGTTCATCTTTCTCTTCAAATGAAGCTCAATGTGTGATTCAATTGACTGTCTTCTTCTTATCTGCACCATCATGCACTCTAATTCTTCGAATGGTGGAAACATCACTACACGTGCCTCTGGCTGAAGATGCAGCTCCGGGCGCCTTGATCCAAATGCTGTTGGACGGCACTCTTCGAATGCTGGTCATCGATGCCTAATTTAAAGGACATGGGTAGTGCAATCTCACGGGCTGAAGTGGAGCTTTCACGTTCTGCTCTTTTTAACCAGTTCCAAGCTCCCTCTCATGGGCCGTTCTTTTGTTCCCCTAAATTTGGTTCATCAAGATTGAGAGATTGGCGAGCCTTGTCCATGCGCGTCTGAACTCGATGTCTCCCTCGGTTTATTATTTGGTGCGTTAATTCACGTTCTCAACACATCAAACTCCTTGATTCAAGAAACTTGACCCAACTTTTCGGCGCTAATATCTAGATCAGCTATGGAGTGTGCTCCTGCAGCCACTTGTGTACTGTCAAATCCTCTCAAGAAATTCTCGGCTTGAGACTCCAGCAAATGTTACTGCTGCTTGCAAGTAGGTGGCTTCATTCCATCCGTTCCGAAGTCTGTATGAGCAGACCACTTAACGCTTTCTATGACAGTGCCACATTCTATGAGAAGGTCGGATGTAGCTCCAGGTTCTTTGGGATTGCTACAGGAGGCGGTTTTACCGCCCCATACCTTCTTTCCAATATTTGCACCGAAACCTGTTTGAGCGATCTGAAGGCCTTGAAAGAAAAACAACTCTCTGTCTGCAGCAGTTCAGACTTTGTGGGGACAGAGGATTTGAAGCTTCCTCCAACCTACGTTACAGACCTTCTCTTGTACACGTACCACTACTCCTGTGTGAGAGACCCGTGAGTGTGGCTTTACCATGGTTAAATGTCTATCTTCGCTGATATTGAGCGATTAGAGCCACGAAACTTTTCTGCTCTCCGTACTTTTTCGACTGGAATAGTAAAGAGAATGCAACGTCTGCCGAGCTATGCTCGGATTGCAACCTGCTCGTTCAGCAGGCGCATTTAGATTCGCCTATTGGATACGATGATGAATTGGCAAGCGCACACTCATCCCTGGCGTCGTCGTAAGTCCCTCTAGAATGCGCCCCTGTCTACGACAAGATGATGATGGGAGTTGACGGACCAATAGATGCGGAGTTGCCAAATACCCAATCACTTCTCGGCCTCCCTACATTTTGAATGAGGCAACGGCTGCAACGATGTAAGTGTGAACCATGATATTTTCTAGTTTGACATTGCATTTATTTACTCAATACACTTGCTGATCGCGTTATAAAGAACGGCTCCCCCCAACAATCCTACTCAGACCGACTCCATGTCGGCTTCTTCCAGCTCGAAAATCCGCCCTGGTGCGGGATACAAAAAGGGTCCTGGCTTTCATATGGACAAGCCAGTAGCTCAACGTTTCTCCATCCAAGCTACCAACGCACATGCCACAGCCGTACGCATCCCATACACCCCGAAACCTCTGCCTCTGGCACCCGGAACCGCGGATTCCTGCAAGTCGTATGAGCAATATAGGGGGCCCATATATTTCTTCAGGGGAAAAAACTTGAATGAGTGTCTGTGGCTTGCGACGTTCTATAGGGGCAAGTATTTCTTTTGTCCTCTTTTCCCCACGACTCGACAGTTGCGTCTATCCATTATCGTTCTGCCGTTCCCCGTTTTCTATGAAAGCCACATACTAACAATACACTCATACGTTAGTTGACATTGACGAATTTATCTCGTGGAATCCGTCCCTCTCTTTCGATGAAGCCGACCCATCCGCCTGTGCCATCTCGCAGGGCTATCGCTACTGCGTCAGCAAGCCCGATACGACGGCAGGCAACTCCTCCAGTATCGCTGCAGCCTCTTCCAGCATAAAAACTTCTTCAGAGCCAGCAATAATCACACACTCCCCCGGTGATGGCAGCGACAGTGAGTCTATCCCCCAAAGAACGTTGTTGTTTTGAAGCTACTTATCGCACCGGCTGTGTGATACATCTCTACGCGGTAGATGTTCGTATAAATAGAAACTGCTAACATTTATTAGTGCAGAAGAAACTCGAGAACATCTAGAACGACAATCATGAATGAAAATTGCGGTAATACGGCCGCTTTCTGCAGCACGGGCTGACGGCCCGCATTTGGCTGTGGTGATCGTGTTCTCGTCAAACTTATCGACCTCAACTATCGGCTGTGAAATCACCAGAGCACCAGTTGTAATAGAACTTCTTCCAGATTCAATTCCGAGTAGTTACGGAGGCGTTCATAAATTTATACCTGTCATCAGTTCGCGTTATACTCTACAAAGGACAAAAGACAAAATTGAGTTGAAATTCAAAATCCGATATCAGACCTTTCCACTACCTGTTCTGAATCTCCCATAGAATGGGCCGTTAAGAGTGAAGTAAAAGTGAAACGCATGTACATGTATGCGCGTCACCCGTCGCTCACATTTCTCTCAGATGCCCGTTTGCTCGATCCACCACCCACCCACCTCCCACCTGTGCACTTCTCCCAAAGGAAAATTTTTCTTGTGCATTATATATTTCGAAGGAGCAAATAACTTCATTTGGTACTCTAACTTTCCCAAAACAAAACACAAGCAATCATCATCCGCCCTCATCATGGCATTCTACGACACTGTTCGAAACCCGAGAGACTTCGCCCTTAAAGCTTCCTCTAAGAGCGCCCAAAGCTTCCAAATGCTCAAGAGTTCAGCGGAATGGAAGAGTTCCGCGAGCACTTGGGGATTAAAGCATCTCTTTGCTTGCCGAGTCGTATGCATCAAACCGACCCAAGTTCTCTCCGAATTAAAAGATACAGTCGAAGCAATAAAGAGAGAAAAGAACGAATGGGATTCAGTTCTCAAAGATTTAATCCGTGGACCTAACGAGGACAAGGCAACTCTGGGCAGCATGTCTGATGTTAAAATACTACGCCAATACAATAACGACGGTCTTGGACATCTCTGGGCCGCTTTGTCCCCGTTGGTGAAGTTCGACACTGGACCGACGCCAGATAGACAGCTGCGACAACGAAACCCTTCCCAAGTTGTCGAGTCTCAAGGCTCATCCTCGAGAGAGGCGTCGTCGCAGACGCCCACTCCATCAGTGACAGAGTCAACCCCCTCAAGCATTGGATATCACGAGGCCGAATGGGCACCTCTTCTCGAGGATATCACTGTCATTTTCGCCAGTTGCTTTATCCGACACGTTCTAGCCTTCTGTCAACCGGCAGACAAAGTTTCAGATGTTGTATATCGAGCCGCGCGAATGGCGCACAAGGACGGCACGTTGCAATTATGCGCCATTAATGATGGCGGTATTCAAGTTGTGGACCAAAGAGGAACGTATCAAGTAGCAATACTTGAGGCCAAAAGGGCATTCCAGACGATTCAAAATGGGAGCCCAACTATTTCCGACGAGCTCCTGGCCCAGATGGTAGGCGAAGCTCTAGGAGTCATAGCATCGGGATCTTCAATCTTACGGAACAAGTAAGTACATGTATTTGACTCGAATCTTTTCATCGACATCCTTTACAGTACTGTGTCTAACCTTACGTAGGGTGATTACCATCCTAGCCATCAAACAATTTGTGAAATTTCTCAGTTTCACGGTAGACGAACAATTCATGTCGCAATTCAAGACCATGGACCCAGCGGTCCTCAACGGAAGGAATACCTACCTGGTGGTAAATTCTACAGTGTGGTTTGACGCCGCCGTCCGTCACGGCCGTGAATCTATCGTCAGCCATTTGATGGCCTTGGTAGATTGCGCTGATGAAGTTGTTTCGCCTTGAGGAGACGAGCAGAGCTAAGATTGTGGGGGAGAAGGAAACTAAGGGAATGGTAACCTGAAGATTAAGACGCGTGATCTAGACGGATACGGATGCCTTATGCATGTTGGGCCGGCATATCAGGACGTGAATTTGAAAAATCCATTGGAGTTTGTCTCGTGGTGCCATTACGAAGCCCGTGAATGAATAGTTTCGTCCTATGCTTCTCAAGCCGCTATGCGACATTCCGATGTGGCACAGAAATCGTGAGTCAAGTAATCGTCTAGAGGCAAGTGAATTGCATATTTAGGCAGTGAGTGAGGGGGAACATTGAACTTTGGAACCTCGAATGCATTTACTACTCCCGACGATGACGTAAAGAGAGTGACACAAGTCACGCCCTTTGAATATAAATACACGTAGCAAGGAGGGTTCTCGAGTGGGAAAAGTTTTTCAGTGTCACAGCCACGCAAATCACGCACTCGAGCACTGCTATTGCATCCCAACACTCGCTGGCGATGGCCTATTGCGACTCTATTCACAACAAAAGCAGCCGCCAGGTAGCTATCTAATAGTCTCGACAAGCCCAGAGTTTCCAGGCTTTCCAAGGTTCGACTCAAGGTGCTCTCGCTGTTGATCTCTGGGCATCGACCATCTATTCCTTTGCCGAGTAATCTGCAAGCCATCTAGTCAATGTCTTCCTTTCGAGGAGACCAATATTGCCCAAGCAACATATGCGGAGAAATCTAAGAGTTCAGACGACAAGGGCACATCGCTCAATCACTTGTCTTTCCGCAGACTATACAGACCAGAATCTACCAGAGCATTAGCCACCCCAACAATCCGTCTCCAAACGCCATCAGAAACAATTGGTTTGGCATTTCAACAAACCGAAAAAGGCCTCCAAATGAACCCAAACGTATCACCCCCATCCTCATAGGATTCAGTCATCTGGATCTCGGTCATCTGGTCTAGAGCTTCGCTGCCTCTCTAGGGCCGTTGATTACAGTTAACCTGTGAATCGCATCGTATCTCACCCTTGCATGCCTTGGCAATTGAAGTTTCGCTCCACAGCAGAGGAAGAACTTGACTTGACGGCTTGCAGATAACTCGGCAAACGAAGAGATGGTGGATGCCCTAAAGATCAGCAGTCCCTCTGAATAGGTAGGTATCTCTGGTTTCTTTCGCCACTCCCTTCGCTTTTCTTGGTTAGGCCCCGCTACATGTCTCCTTGAACTGACTGAATCAACAGTGTCATCGCCATTGTTGCCATTGGGCACTGCGTCATATTCTTCCATCGGACTATAAAATTCGGAGCTTGGACACATTTGGGCTTATTTGGCGTCTACTCTGAGACTACAAGCTCCCAAGGACGGCCCAATGGCAGCAAGCTCAGGCCCAAACCCTCAGAGAGACTGCATCTTCTATCACGAGCATGTAGAAGAGCCACTTGTTGCGGAGTCTACGGCCTTATTTGCAAAGACTCTAATCCAAAATATGATTGCCTTTGCTCAATCACCGGGTAAAAAGGAATCCATCATCCAATGGCGCGAGGCCAGGCGTATACACCGGGGACGAAACTCCTGGTCATTCGATGAAGGAGGAGTTGAAGTTATACCCTCACGGAAGCAAGTGGCCCTTTTTGAGGCGAAGCATCTATCCCAAAACGTAAAAAATGGCGAACAAACTGTTTCCGATGGCCTTTTGAGCCAAGTTGTTGGGGTGGCCTTGGCTATGAGAGACTCTGGCGTGACCTTTTTTGCTAAGAGGTAAGTTTTTCGAGCAATATCCCCATCTAATATCGGTACTCCCAACTTCTCTAGACATCCGTCTTCTCCCATCACACTCCTTCCTCTTCTTCTATTCTGGGCTCCGCTACAAGTCTCTTGAACTAACCGAACTGACAGTGTCATTGGACATCGTTGTCATAAAACATTGCATCAAATTCTTCCACCTTACGAGTAACGATAATGTTTATAATCGATTCAGAAATCGGAAGATGAAACTGCGGATCCGGAAAGCTTCATACACGTGAGGTCAACAGAGCGGCTGGATGGTGCCACCATGGACGGTCGACAGAGCACCGCTCATCATGTTATGGCCTTGGTACGGTGGGCCGAGATCGCTTTAAATGGAGAACCCGATGACAAAGTGGGAAGCCAAGATGAGATGACGGGAACTGGGTGGTTATAAGAGTAGAGACAGAGAAATGGAATGATTACTGTGAGGGATCGATCGAAGGGTCACGAATGAGCGAACGAGCAAAGGGAGAAAACACACGGAAAGGCCCAGGGCGCTGAGCTGCTCAAAAGTGAACAAGCTAGCTGTATGACCGTAGTCTGGATGTAATAAAAAAAATCACTACATACATGTACCTAAGCAGGAAGGCGAGAAGAGTCTATTGGGGTCCCGTGAGAATTACTCGAAGAGCGGCCTAGTAAAACCACATGGACAGTGAGAGAATAATTCCTAGGGACATGAATATTTTAGCTAGCACTAATGTCTGATGTGCACTGAAACGTTTCTTGCAATACACTAATTGATAAATGAGAATGTATTCATATTCCAAGACCAAATAAACAAGGCGTATTGGGCACGAGTCATTGTTACCTCTTGGGCCTGATCTGCAATATGCAGTCAATATACAACTGGTCCACTCGGTCGTAGAGACTCATTGGAGATGTGACTATTATGTGATATTGTTTTGTGAAAGCTCTTAGTTGTCCCGTGGTAAAAGTCCATGATGAGACCTGTTAGATAAAAAAAAACCTACGAAATCTACAGAGACAGACTGAACGGGGTCGCTCTGCAGCTGACAAGAATCTTGCGTAATGTCATGAAGAGCTGGCACTATTAACATATATACAGTTCATGCACAGCCTATCTAGCTCTCAATCTGTTGGCTGACCTTGCTTGTAGTAATCGGCAGGATGAAGCAGGATCGTGAGTAGGCGATGGCGAAAAGTGTCGTATGGCTTTAACGGTACGCGGATATGGTGAATCAACAACGGTTGCTGTGCTGATTTGGCAGGTCGGCGGGAAGGAAAGTCAAATTTGTTGAGGTAATTGGACGAGATATGTGCGGCAAAGAGGTGGACGTGTTCATCTTTACGATCTGTCACCACCACCTGTGGCTAAATATAATGCGTCAGTGGATGTGTGAAGGCGAAAATGCCATGGGGGTGCAGCATACCCAAAAAGTAGCTCTTGACCATATCGAAGACGTTGTCCCGCGCCGTTGGTTATATGCAATTGCCAACAGGAGGGCTACTATGTATGGATCACGCAGACGGTTAGGTGGCGTAACTCTTTTCACATGGCGTTCGTGTAATCCCATAGTTTCCTTGCTGTGACGTCTACCTTGATAACGTAACATGTATCGATAGCGAAGGGAGTCGATGTGCCCGCGCTCGATGTAGACCAAGGCGACTGGCGCTGTGCCCTTCTCAAAGAGAGCCTTGTTACCATACCTGCTGGTGAAGATTTGACAGGGGAGACTGCAGATCCAATGGCCGTCAAAGTGGAAGTCAAGTGGTCTCCTAGTCAACCGTTAATGAAAAGAAAGAGAAAACAGAAGGGGACAAAAGAGGAATGGAGGGAGGGAGTAGACTTCCTCCCATATGAAGACCTACCCGGAGGGCCTCAGTGGGCATTCATCAGACCCAATGATGTATCTGATGCTACGGTCGAGTTCCCACCCACCCTTGCCGCTATTCACCTTCTTGACCGCCTTAACACACAATTTATCGACAGGAATTCCGTCCAATTCGTCTAGGTGTTCTTGTGAAGGCGAAGGTGGTCTGGAGTCTTCAAAGGAACATTGCAGCACCTCAAGATGGCGGCTGGTCCACTCCAGAGGGTTAACCAGAAGCCTGTCCCGCGGATGCAGCCGAAGAAGCTGCTTGATAGACAAGGTCTCCAGGGGAGGCCTTGATTGCGATGGCTGTGAGGTAGAACCCATGGTGAAGAGTTGCGTAAGAGAGGCTTGATTTGGACGTGTCGTATTGGGGCTGATGGAAGTTGTCGAAGGTTGCCTCTTGGAAACAAACATAGTCGGAGCCTTGCAGTGGCTTGCTCGGGCCCAATTTGATCCCGCGCAGATGTGGGTGAACCTTATGTACCTACCTAGGTAAATGTAGGCACATGTACAGGCGGCACAGGCCCTAAGGCACCTCCAGGCTACTATGCCTATAGGTACCTATGTCCCTGCAAGTGCCTTACAACCTGGACCTTTAGGTGGAAGTTATTGACCTACAGCGCATAATGCCTCCTAAAAGTACTACCTCCTACCAGGTAGTAATTCACCCCCGACCTCGTAGTAATTGATGTGATTTGACTACGTGCATTTACAATAGTCACAGCTCAGTTCTCCTTTCTAAACACCCCCAAAGACCAAAAGGTTTTGAATACCGACTCTTCCAAAACCACAACTGCGCATCAGTTCCCGGCCACGATGAAGAGGAAATTCTGCCACGACCATGACACTGATATCATCAGCGCTGACTCCAGCTTCCACCAGCAGCTGCACAACAGCACAAAGCGTCTCCCCCGTGGCAAGGACATCGTCCACCACTAGCACAGATGCACCTCTGCGGATCACATCCCGCTCCATCTCCATCTTCTTCTCTCTTGAACTGCCAGCTGTTGAATGCGAAATGTGCGACGGCCTCTTGACAACAGAAACGACGGGCGGCGGGAGCTTGCCGGCTTCACGAATCAGCACCAGGGGTACATCTGTCTGTGACGCCAGCGCCGACGCAAAGATGAAGCCTCCAGCCTCGCAACAAACCACTGCTCCGATCTTGTTCCAGTCAGCAGCAAAATGGCCCCGAAACAGAGACACACACAGCTTCAATCCTCCCGGCTGCTGGGAGATGTCGAGCAGGTGGCGAAACTCGATACCTGGGCGTGGGAAGTCGGGCACCGAACGCACCATGTTGGCCAGCTGCTGCAGGTCCTCGCTAAAGAAGGGAAGCAAACGACGTTGACCATACTCTTCTGCCATCTCACTTCCAGGCGTGTCGTTGTAGAAGATGAGATTCGGGCACCAGTCTGAGTCTCGCCCGCCATTGGTGGTGCCATTGGTGTCGTCCTTATTCTGATCAACAACTCTATCATTGATTTGACAATCTCCACGAGCCTGCCGCGCCTCTTCTCTCGATCTGACACGAGCTTCGATCACTCTGCTGTCTGGCACCAGATGTGACAGAGCTGCAACTGGAGCCTCGTCTCTCATCCCGGTGATCAACAGCACGTCCACGTCCACAGCGCCATGCACTACATTCAGAAAATGCTCCTCTGGCAGCCGAGGTCGTTGCCGCACTTGGTCTTGGAAGAATGCCGTCAAGGCTGGCCGGTGTTGCTCCTTGTAAGCACGATCTTGGAGTAGAGCAGTCAGGTCAGCTCCAGTGACTGCCGCGTATTCTCGCTTGGTTACATCGCTAATGCTAACCACCTGTGCCTTAAGGGTGTTGGGAGAACTTGTATTGAATACGGATGCCCAAACATCGGCGCAATAGTCCTTGCCGGCACCATGTTCTCCCGTGACAAGAACGATGAGCTTCGGTCCCATCAGTGCCTCTGGGAGTGGGCAGGTATAAGCCAGCACCTTGCATGGGTCTGCACGTCGTTTGAGACGAGCCAAACGCGGCCGGTTTGGACCGAAAGTCTTCTCCGCCAGATCGGCATCTCTGGGATCCGGTCCGAGATCTGCACCGTAAACTCCGCTCGCCAGGGGCAACAGAGTCCGGGCGACATGATAAACCCACTCCATAGCAGCTTGAGCAGTTTCGGTTCCGTCTTGGTGACGAGGCCAGACGCCGGTGACAACGCAGGCAAAGTCCCAGTCACGACAGCCGAAAGCCGTAGCATCGGGGGCCACATCGACAACCGCTCCGCCGCCCTGCAGCAGATGGAGATAGCAGAGGGCCGTGGGACGAGATTCGATTGCTGCTATTAAGATTGCGGCCACGTTTGCAGCTCCAATATCTTTCAAGAAGAGACACCGCTTGAACGACGACGTTTTGCCGCCTCCATGTCCTCCATGCATTCCGGACACGTACATTTCGGCGTCAAACAAGCCAACGCTGTCTACGACCTTGATATTGCATTCTGGTCCCAGAATTGTACCGGCAAGTGTGGGAGTTCCCGAGGCCGATTTCGTTCTGCAAGCTTCAATCGTGGTAATGCCAAGCTGCAACCGTCCAGCATCCCAATACAGATACGCATCTGCAGAACAGTTGCGAGGGAGGCCTCTGGCGAGGAGCCCATCAAACTCGGTGAGTCTACGCCGCGCTTCAAACTCATCATCCAGTGGGACAATCCAATTTCGAACCGTATAGACCGGAGCCGGGTACGATTTGAAAATGACGCTCATCACGATGCCAAAGTTGCTTCCAGCACCTTTCATTGCCCATAGCAATTCGGCTTCGTTTTCCGGGCGCACACCACTGGTCGGCCAATATTCACTTGGTACATGTCCGACACACAGGATCTGGGCCGAATCAACGCTCACCATTGTGAAGCCGACAACGGAATCACATGCAAGACCATGAAGCCTGGCGAGATGCCCAAGGCCGCCTTGTAACCATAACCCAGCGCCCACGCTTGGACGAGCTCCGAGAGGCACGGTCAAACCGGCCGCCATGGCAGCACGAATGATATCTCCCGTCTTGCATCCTGCCTCGGCGATAATCAAGGAGCCGGAATTGAAGCCGTAGTCTGTCCCATTATCTCCAGGAGCTTGAACATGTACTTGATCAAAAGCTTCCATGTCAACTGCGACAACGTTGGGCCAAAGACAGTGGCCACTATGACTTCCACCGATGACAGTCAAAGCAACTCCGTGCTTCAAAGCCCATTGAACGCATTTCTGGACATGTTGGATCGTCGCCGGCCTGAGAATTGAAGCGGGACGGTGGGACCGAGCCTCCCAGTTCTTCACAGTCCTGTCCTCTTTCACCAATAGCACTTGCGCTGTCAGCTCCGGCAACATTGTGGCACGATGATTGAACGCCATCATAACCTCGGGTGCGCTGAAGAAGAGATGACCTGGGTGGGCTTCCTGACGGCGACCCAAGTCGCAACACACCTTGCGCCATTCGACGTGGATAGCCTCGTCCGCGTCTTTGTCTTGCATGACAAAGCCCGCGACGAAGGAGGAAAAAAAGTTCAGTATCCCATCATCATCTGCAACACGAATAGTCCCGGAAGGGAATGAAGCCGTTTCATGGCACACCAGACCATCAAAGTACACACCATCACGATGGAAGACCACCACTACCCCGCCTTCGGGTTGCACAGCCAGCATTTCTAGTGCCCGTTCGATGAAGCTGCGCTTGGGTGTCATCCCATACATACTGTGGCAGAAGAGGACGACGTCGAACTTTTCTTGGGCATCATTTGCATCGGTGACGGTGCTGTCCAGAGTAAAAGGCGCTCGATAGATGTCGGGCAGGCTTTCCAGACAAGGGAGCGGAGATTGTGTCTCCAGCCATTCTTGCAATTCAGTGGCATATAAGCCATTTGGTTCGAACGCAGCGTACCTGTTGATCTTGCGTCTTTGGTCATCCGGCAAATACCCAAGCACGCTCTTGGGGCCAGGCCCTATCTCCAACACCGAGATGCGGATTCGCGAGTTGAGCAGAGTAGTCAGCACTTGGGATAGCTGGGGGGAAATAAAGTCTTGGTACGTCTTCCATCCGGGGCCCTGGAGCAGGATGTCAAAGCCAGCGCTATATTGTTCGTCGGACAGGGGCTGCTTCGGGGAAGTAGCTTTTTGTCTAAGAGCCCGCTTTAGAGCATCGAGAGTGGCCATTTTGGTTTGCTTTGAGAGAGAGTTTTTTGCACTGGTACGGATGTTGACAATTGTAATGGAAGCATGGTCTATTGGTTGCCACGAGAGGGGAAGAAATACAGGTAGCTGTGCAACACCACGTGAATTTGGTGTTACTCTTGGGCAGTCGTCTTGTAGACCACAGTACAGATCTTCCTCCTCTCCGAGTATTGTCCAATCCCTAGCTTGGGTGTTGTTGAGATCAAATTATGACAAAGTCGCTCCAAGTTCACTAATACGAGGCTCATTCTTCACTATGAATCATCTTACAGCTGTATCCTACGCTTGATTGGACGTGGCTAATGTATAATGAATTACAAATATAATAGTAATTATGATATTGGATAGATGGTCAGAAGAGATTATTATTACAGTTACTAGACCTATAGCTGGAGTAAAGTATTTAGAGACAGTAATGTACAGCTTTCAGCTAATTAAAACAACATCTGAAAGTCACAGCTTAGCCAGTTCACATTCACGGCAGACAAAGTCCTTGCTTCCACCACACAAATGCAGCACACATGACAACTATTTTTTCAGCGAGTGAGGCTTTACCTCGTGCTTCTGCTCGGGGGGCCTTTTCACCGCAATAAAGTAGTTTTGTCCCGTCTCAGAAACCGCGTGAACCGCAACATCTTCGCCAAAGGGCCATTCTTCGACAAATTGTGCGTCGCCCCGACGATCAAACTCTGCATACTCTGTGGGATCGAGAGACACATGCGCAGCCGTCCATGCATCCGCACGATGGACGTACGTGCCTTCAATTTCCGTGGTCTGCGAGCTGCCGCTACGATCGGCGTTGTAGTCCACCGTGATCTGCAAAAGGTAGTGCAGGAACTTTGCGCCCTCGGGCAGCTTTATCTCTCCATTTAGAGTTGAAGTCAAAGACTCGTTGTTAGGAGTAGTGTCGATTCCCACGAGGAATTCCTGCCCATCAAAGGAGCGGGCGAAAACCAGCACGCCGTCGCCGTGGGTCCAGGGCTTGGCTGGGTCTTCGTCGGCGCGGACGCGATAGACTTCAAAGTCTTCGGCTGTGAAGTTGACGGCTTCTAGGGCGTGGCTGGCGTATTTCTTTGCGGCGGCGAGGGTGCCGTGGGTTTTGAGGACGAATAGCGTGCGGTTGGCGCCGGAGGCGTCGTGGGAGTAGTCGATTACGGTGAGAACAGTGTGGAATAGCTGTTCTGGGACGAGTTTCGATGGGTTGTTGGTGGTAGCCATGGTGTTGATGTGTTTGTTACTTGTTCAGTTTCAACTTGCCAAGTAGAATATAGTTACTTTGTTTGATTTGAACACCACACGTCTACCGTGTAGTATTTATACATTCAATGGGGAATAATTGCCACGCGTAAATGGTGCTACGATCGTCATACGATGATATCTGAAGCTAGCGACACTTTTCATCACCTGACTATAGCTTAAATAGCTTTCATCCTAATGAAGTTCGGTATAGCTGATAAATGTTAAGAAAGCTCGTGTTTAGTTTCATGTGAAATCGGATCATCAGGGCTCAAGGTTTGTGGCTGAAGGAAAATGAGACTGACGGGATATGATGGGTGGGTCGGAGAACGTTCATACGATTTATACTCTTCAATGGCGTCCATGATCAGACGGGCTGACATGCGAATGCTAACCCAGTATAAACTAGTGTTTCATTTCCCTTTTTAGTATCAGGCGGTGCTCTGTTATGTAGTACCTCTCCCAACGTTGACGATTTGAGCGAGGAAGCCTAAGAGCAATTTAGTTATATCTTCTGCTATTGCCTTTTAAAGATGCCCTGTATCTCGATATCGTGTTTCTATAGTTCAAGCTTCGCCCTCACGGTCGTTTTTGTTGCCTGGCTACCTACTCCTCTCCCCTTCTTTTTCTTCTTTCTTACTACTCTATTAGTATGGTCTAAGGCTACCACCTGAACAAAACTTGCTATTGTGTAGTGTACTGTAGCAATAATTAAGACTGGGTTCACCAGCATATGATAGGTATAGGAAGCGGACAATAGTACTACGTTTATGACCATGAAATAATTCAATGGCGAAACGGCATGTATACATGAAGTAAACCCGTTGATTTAACATTTTTTCTTTTCTGACCACCCTCGGCTCATTAGCCCAGTGCTTCCTACTGGAATGAAGCTATCAGCACAGCTAGAGGTCATGATGCGGCGAACACATGTACCTCGTCTGGTTTCATACATCTAGATACGAAGAAGAATTCTTTTTTTTTAAGGTACAGGAGCCAGGCTTGCCCTGGCTTACGTCTCGTCCTGATTGTCGATTGATCACGCGCTGGTCAAAAGCTCTCATCACAACATACACATCTATCAATTTTAAGGATAGTGCCGCAGATGAGGCCCCAAAAAGGCTGCACGCACCTTTTGCATTGCACCGGGTCAATGTTCAGTAGCTTAGAGATTATTATTACGTGTAGATGGATGAAGTTAAAATAAAAATTCCGACTCTTTGTATATAAGTGCTTACCATTTAAATTCACAAGCGCACTAGCTTTAGAGACAACTGCGTATATGGTCGAGACGGCTATAAATAAATACTACGATTTGTGACGGTATTCAGCCGATTTTCTAATATAAGCCTTTATTCTAAGAGTAAACTCTTCTTATTGTCTAATCTTCTCCGGCTCCCGTTATATGGATACATATGTCTATGGAGACCCTCCTTTGAGGTTGCATATCACACACGCCTATACTTCGAAGTAACTCATTATCTCCTCAGAATTGCACGTCAAAACACACAACATAATATACATTCTATTAAAATGCGTCTCAACATTTTGATATGGCTCGCAGCTTCACTCTGGGCAAATGTGGCATTAGGGAATCTGGCGGGCCCAGGTGGTACATCGAACTACGTGGCAATGGGACTAAACTCCAGGAGACGCATTGTATTCTCTGTATGCCAAGTCATCACAGTCAATTCGGAATTATTCCAAGCTCTAGGATCTGAACCATATGGGCCATTGGACAGTGTCTGGCAGAGCGGGTTAAGAACTCGGTTGGATGGCCATCCGCGACTTGGTCATACTGGGGTGAAACTAGCAACGGCATGTTTGCGGTTGTTACAAAAATGGTATGGAACGGTGCGACCGACCAAAATTCAGCAATGTACGACTATTTCTGGGGCGTTTTAAAGTCGAAATCGGCGACGCCATTTAGACTAGAGCCATTTGACGGGTTTATTACAGACACGGGAGTTCCTATATTGAGAAGGCTGGACAGCAATGAAACCGAGGGAGCACGCATTGTGAAACGCAATGCAGGATTTTGTTTCGGGCCCCGCGATAATTATCAGTTTAGCGAAGGTGAGGTGTCTGTCGGGATTGCATCGACCTGCGATACTAATGGCGGTGCCGGAATTTGCTACATCCATGGAATCTGCTGAGACTTTGCGTTATGTCACGGTCTCGCTCTTATGATCTTGCCAATAATGGATCTTCAGAACAAGTTGATTCATAAGATGAGGGCTATAACACGACTTAAGACGATCATGTTGTCCCTAGTCGACATAGCCAAAAGCGACCGCATCTACATCAGCTATATATACAATTTGACATTCGCTCCATGCTCGTCAATAACTTGGATATATAATTGTTAACAAATTAATCAGACTGAAACTCACTTATCCTCCCGTATCCCGGTTGTGCGTACTGTTAGATGTAAGCCTAACCGTTCCTCCAACGAGAATCTAGAGCCATCTGCTTTACCACATGAAAACCATGTCCTGTACTAGCCTATAGAATATACGATACAGTTGTCCGGGCTCTTTATCACTCATGAGTCTCCTAGTACGCTCATGAATCCAAACTCATTTGTCGCACTATGAGTTATCGTAAAGATTAGTAACTGTCTTCAAATTTACGCTAATGGATAAAGAGTGAGGATTGCTTTATGGCTGTTGCCATTTGCCAAGGGCAATCCAAATCTATCTTAGAAGCTATTGCTAAGTTAGTTTCCTCCAGTGCCTAGCTAATAGTATTGCAAACTAAGCTTATAATAATTATAATAATATAAAAAGTAGCGCTGCTGGGAATAGACTGAAAATAGTCCCGCTGGACCTTTAGTGTTAGTCTGTTATAGAGAAGCTCTATGATATCCGTGATTATAAGTTACTTTACTAGTGCTCTTGTAATAGTTATGCTTATAGTTGATCTTTACTACTATGGCTTATACATGGTATAAGGCCAAGTTAAGGTTGGAAAAAGCGAGACTGCAAAATAAATAAGTGTAAATATTCACTATTAATACTTAATGAGTTTATTAAGTAGTACTTTTATATACTACAGGGGAATACTAAATAGTTAGCTAGTACCTGAGATTCATTAAATAATTATATTAATATTTACTAAATAAAATATAAGAATATTACTCTGAAAATTTAAAAGAATTTTAGAAAATTCTGAAAATTGATATAGCTATAGATAAAGCTATAAGTTATACATATACCTAGTTTTACGAAAATTCAAGCCCTTAAGCAGCTGCTATAGCTTAAATAGTGTTTTTTTACTTTTATTACCGGGTAGGTTAGTTCTAATGCTGCTGTTTATAACAGGGATTTCGAAGATACTTACGGGCCTCCCCACTCATGCAAGTTAAACAGAAGTACTCTTATAAGCCGGCTGATTTGAAATAATGCGAGTTGGATCAGGGCCTTAGACTGGTCATAGAGCAAGACCGCTTAGGCCACAGCTTTAGCTATGCGGAGATTGGGGGACTAGGTATTCAGCGGTCCAGATGGGTGACTCTGTCACTGCGGAATATTCTGGGCTCTTTTCGATAGTATACCAAGCCTACGCAGATACTCGGATCGGCAAGAATGCACAGGTGTCTATGGGCAACATGCATGGAAGGACGGTGTTCGATAAGACCATGTAGGGCAAGATGAACTAAGAAGGCTGTTAGAGAGGGTTCAGCGAGAGCACGATACGACAGAGGGTAAGTGTGAGCGATTTGACTAGCTTGTAGCTCTTTGGATACGACACCTATATAACAAACGCAGTCTTACTCAACCGCCTTCCGTCACTGATTCGAAGCCTCGTCACTGCTTTCGCCTGCCGGTCGGCTCTTTTGGAACGTGAGTTGTCTTCGCCCTCTTTGCTGCCCCTTGGCCTACTCCTTTGGAAACCGAGGTGTCCGGGGTGGCCGTTTGCGGAATCGGGATCTGCCCATCTTCCTGCAAAGCAAGGTCGGCGTTGTCTGGGCCTGAAAGGAGACTCCCCATGTCTTGTGATAGATCAGTTGCCTCCTCGGGTTGCGCCCCAGGCTCGTCAGAAACTTGAAAGTCCAGACTCGATGGTAGTTGGTCGATAGCCGAGCAGATTCGTTGGAGGTGTGTCGGCATCCAAACATCGTAGACGTTTTTGGTGAATTTATAGGCCGACCACTTCTCTTTACCTTCTTCGCTTGTGATATCGAGCGTCTTGATCGGATGGCGATAGAAGTTGGTTTGCTTATCATCGACGACAGCGTAATGGCCATAGATGCGAACTGATCGGTGGTCGTGCGAGATGGAAAAGGCGAGGATCTCTCGGTCGAGCTCTTTTTCTCGCTTCACGGCTCTGTAGAGCTCAACAACACTCCTTACAGCAATCGTCATACTGTGGGCATTCTGTCGGTCGGCGACATCGAGAGCCGCAGCGCCACACTTGACTTCGCAAGTGAGAAATGGGAAGTACATCCGGTACGTTGCGACAAAAAAAGAGGTGTCGAAAACGCTGCCTATAAGCGGGTCGAGCCTATTCAACTGTTCCTCTGTAAAGGCCGATCGTCGAAATCCAACAGAATAATCCGGCTGCGGTCGGGGTCCCTCTACCGGAATGCTCCCTGTCCATCCTTCGTTGACGTTCTCAATTAGGCATTTTAGTTTGGTAGCCCCCATGATGGTCAAATGTTCGGCCGATGGCACGATGTATGGCGAAATACTGCGGATGATTCGAGATTCATTTCGATCCTGAACACTGCGACATGTTGTTTCGAACACGTCGTCTCGAAAGGGCGAGTCCGTTGGGAGAACCTGGTCCGAGCTCAACAGTGTCTTACAGCTGCTCAGGCTCGTGTTTGTAATACCCAAGTCAGACTTGTCCATGTAACTCCCCTTGGCGGCGAGTAATGTAGCGTAACGTAAATCTCGGTATGGCGTGCTCCTGCTTTCTCTATTCTTTTCACTAGACCCGGTCAGACTCAAGTCTGATTGCTTTCGTCGGAGCGATGTAGGAGCCTTTTTCACAGGCAGTGGATATTTGAACCCATTTCTTTCCACATATTGGACGACGGGAACGGGTGGTTGTGCCATAATATCATGTAGCCAACTATCGTAGTCACAAAGCTCTTCTCGCGCTTGGTCGTCTGGTTCGAAGTACTCGGGGGGCCACTTGTCGTTGAGTACCCAGCTTTGGACTGGCTTGGCAACAGCTGCGCTGGTGTCTTGTTCAATCTCTTGTCCCTCTGCCGTGTGTCGAGTCAACGTTCGAGGCCGCTTCGAAGGTGGCGGACCTTGCGCTAGAAGGGAGGAACGAGGAGTCTTGCAGCCTCTTTTTCGTTTCAAGGGAGGTTCGTAGGAAGTACCATGTTGCTGGAGGGTGGTCATGTTTAGCAGAATCCTACTACCAAGGCAGTCAGCAGAGCCAGAGAGGTACTTTACCACTTGATGGCGCGAATCTTGACCGGCCAACAACAAGCCAGTTTCCGGTTGCTTTTCTCTGCTGCCACCATCAAGTTGTGATGCAGCTTTTAGGCGCGCACTTCTGCGGACTCTGTGTGGTTTCGCTTCGGGCGTGTTTGTCGTCTGCTTCTCTGCCCCCCGGGTCGGCGCGCTGCCGTCTCTGGCTTTCGAACAGGGCGTGCTGATTCCGGGAGAGGGTGAAGACTTGGATCCTCTCTGGGCGCTTGCAGATACTCGGCGCTTAGCCATAGCGAGGTGGAAGTGGAAGAAGACGACAGGCTCGTTGGGTTGGGTTGGGATGGGATACAGCCGCCGGGTTTGATGACATTTGAAGATGCGAGCGCCGAATGAAACGCTGACGGGAGTTGGCGCATGCCCGCCAGCGCTAAGCTACATATCAACGAATTGTTGATTACTAATATAATTACATGTACTTACAATCGGCGGCATGCGGACCACAAGTCGGGATCCAGAAGCTTTCTATCCTGATGAATAAAGTCGAAGTCGTGAAACTCGCTTTGCTTAAGAACTTCAAGTTGTGTTTAGTGCTTTGTAACTACCTATACTAGGCCAATCCTGCCTAATCGAAAGGACATGCTTTGACACAAGGTCATCAATGCCTATAACAACTAATTAGCAGTTAGTACCTAGTTACTAACGACTCACAGTACATGTACCTTGCTTGCAAAGTTTCGCTGATAGGAGCTCAACTACCGATGGCGAGAAATCTTACAGAAGTCGGCCTCGTGCTGATTGAGATTTCGACTCGGCATCTTCTGCATAAGGCCCTCTGCGAGACTGTACATACATGTAGCTACTAATGTAACGCTCATTGACTTCTCGCACCTTGATGCACGCCCTTCCTTTCCCTAGACACATGACGATAAAGGCACGGAGTAGATAGCATCCATGGTGAGGTTGCAATAAGCTGTGTGGTCAACTGAGGCTTCTATTGAATATAATAGGTGGGTCGGAGAACGTTTATATAATTTATACTCTTTAATAGCGTTTATAATTAAATAAGCTAATGGATAAATATTAACCTTGTATAAACTAATATTTTATTTCTCTTTTTAATATTAAATAATACTTTATTATATAATACCTCCTTTAATATAAATAATTTAAGTAAGGAAGTTTATTATAAAGTAATTTAGATATATTTTCTATTATTATATTTTAATATTATATTATTATATTTTAATATTATATTATTATAATTTAAGTTTTACTATTGTAATTATTTTAAGTTATTTTATTTACACTATAATATATTCCTATTTAAATTATAATAGCTTATGTATTAAATATTTCTTAGATTTTTAAAATAGGATTATAGTTTAAAATAGTTATAAATACTAAGAAAAATATTATAAAATTAACTATATAATTTTAATAATTAAATTTCTTATTATTAATTTTTAAAAAATTTTATAATATTATATTCTAAATACTTTATAGTCGCCTAATTAATACATACCTAAATTAACTATAGACTAATTTACTAATAAAAAATAAGTTAACATAGGTTGCTTATTAACCTTTAGTAATTTATAATATAAGTTAATATAAGTTACTTATTAACCTTTATTAACTTAATAATATTAACTAAATATATAAGATTTAGTTACTATACTCTTTAAATAGCTTAAATAACTAGTTATTAATATAGTAATAAGATTAATTTTTATATTTAACTTACTAGCTATATAATAAAATTACTTAATTTATATCCTACTGCCTTTATTAATATAAACTATAATTAGTTTATTACCTTAAGAACTACTTTATACTATTTAGTATAAACTAGTCTGTTATATATTAATAACTCTTATTTAGATTAGTACTATATATTATTTAGGTAATAGAAAGTAATATAGCTCCTAACCTAACTTTTATTACTAACCCTAAAGCTTTTATAGTTAATAATAACAGAAATATTACTATAGAAAATACTCTTAACTTTATAAATATAGTAAATACTAAAATAGTTATATTTCTTTAAAATATATATGTACTTAATAAGCAACTGGTTAATAATACTAATAAGGCTAGGGCTAATATAAAGGTTAAGCCTACTACTAAAGATATTAGTATTTTAATTAAGCGTTAACTGCCCTTTATATTTAATAGAAATATAAAAGAACTTTATTTTTTTTAAACTTAGCTTAAGGTATACTTTAAGGATTTTAAGAATACTTTTAATACCTTAGAAAAAAAGGTATTATTTACTACTTTATAACTAAAGGGAACTGCCTTAAAGTAGTTCTAACTTATTTAGGATAAATACTTTAAAAAGGATACTAGTACTATATTTAACTAAACTTAAAAAATCTTTAGAAGCTTTAATAAGTTTAAAATTAAACTTAAAAAGGTATTTAGTAATATTAGTAAAATTAAAATAGCTAAAAATTACTTTATAACTATTTATTAAAAAGGGAAATATATTAATTATATTATATACTTCTAAGACCTATTTACTAAAGTTAATTAAGGAAAATTAGCTCTTATTAAATAATTCTATAATAGTTTTAAGAAGGAACTTAAGGAAAAAGTATATTATATTAATTATAAAAAACATAGCCTTAACTTTTTTATAGAATAATATATTAAGGCTAATAACCTTTTATATAAACTTAAGATAAATAGTTCTTAAAAGTATTACTTAAAAAATAACTCTAGGTATTATATAAACTAAGGTAGAAAGTAAAATAATAAAATTACTTATACTTATAAAATAAACCTTAGATAAATAGACCTTAATATTATTACTAAAGAAAAGAAATTCTTTTATTATAATTATAGTAAAGAAGGCTATATAGCTTAAAACTATTAATTTAAGAAAATTAATAAATTTTAAAAATAACTTAGATAAACTATTAATACTATTTATAAGTTTAAGTAACTACTAGATTAAGAGTATAATAATAATAAAATCTTTAACTTAGATATAGCTTAAGTTATAAAAAAACTTAAACTTAATAAATTAATATAAGCCTTAGTAAAGAAACCTACCTTAAGGAAGGTTAATAGCCTTAAGAATATAGTGCTTATATATAATACTATACCCTTACTAAAGACTATTAATATTATTATAATTAATACTATACTCCTATTATAGAATATACCTAAGGTATAGTAGTATATATAAATTTATATAATATTATTTATAAACCTTAGCTAAATTAATACCCTTAAAGTATTTTAACTTATAGTTTAGATCTTTAGGAAAAATAACTTTAAAATATAATAATAGCTTATAAACTAGGAAGTAGTATAATATAATACTTACTTTACTAAAGAATATAATTATAAAAACCTAGACTTATATACTAAATATTACTATAGAACTTATATAATTAATAAGATTTAGGATTAGTATATTTAAAAATATAACTCTTTAGACTTTAATTAATATAATATAAATAAGTATTATAGCTATTACTACTAGGAATACTATTATAATATATATATTTAAGAATAATTAAAAAAAGCTAAATAGAACTTTTAAATTTATAAGGGAATTAGGAATTAGTATAATATTAAATATTATTATAAATATAACCCTATAATTATACTTATTAATAGATATTACTAATATAAGGTATATAATAAAAACCCTTAAGTAGTATAAACTTTATTATACCTTAATAATATTAACCTTAAAGAAAAATAGCTAAGATAGTTTATAGCTATTAACCTTAAGAATATCTACTATAAAGTTTAACTTAAAAAAAATAAAAAATCTCTTAAAAATAATATTCCTAAGAAAAAAAATAACCTTCTTAAGGAATTTATTAATATTATTATATAATTAATATAATTATTAAAGTTTTTAATAAAAGTAATTATTAAAAAGTATAAATTTATAATATTTCTTAATAATAAAGCCTAAAGTAACTATATCTTACTTATATTTATATTTAAACTATAGCTACTATATAAAAATAAAAGTAATAAAAACTATAATATATTTACTATAAATAACTAAAAGTTTAAATATAATAAAGGAATTATTAATACTAAAATATTTTTTTTAATATTAAAATCTAAGGTAAAATAAAGAAAATTAGTTTTAATATACTAAATATTCTAGGATTTAAAGCCTTATTAAGATATATATAATTAAAAAAAAATAACCCTTAGGTTAACTAAAAAATAAACTAAGTAAGTTAAGTAAATAACTTTAGTTTATTAAGAATACTAAAACCTAAATTATAATTATTTTAGGAGAAGTAATAAAAAAGTAGTATATTACTGGAAAACCTAAAGCTTCTTAAACTAGAAAATAAAAAACCTAAAAATATAAAAGTTAAATTTAAGGCCCCTTAAGAAATATTATAATAATATTAAAATAAATAAAATAAAGTAAAATAATAAAAAATTTATAAAATAATTACTTTAATATAAATAAAACTTTAAAATCTTAACTAAGCTTTTTTAAAAGCTAAGGAGAAAGTTAACTTTAACCCTAAGGAATAATATATAAAAAAAATTCTATAATAATATTATAAATATAAAAAGTTATATTAAAAAACCCTAGAAATAAAGCTACTACTATACTTAGAATAAAATTATAAGATTATATTAAAAAAAGGAACTACTCCTAAGTTTTATAAAATCTATAACTTTAGTAAATTTAAGCTTAAAATACTTAAGGAATAAATTAAAGAATAACTTTAGAAAAAATATATCTATATCTTTAATTTACCTATTAAATATTTTATTATTTTTATACTAAAGAAAAATAAAAAACTTTAACTAATTATTAACTATTACTAACTTAATAATATTATTATTAAAAATAAAACCCTATTACTATTAATTAATAAAATTAAAGAATATCTTACTAAAATAAATTACTTTACTATACTTAACTTAACTAAAGCTTATAAACTTACTTATATAAAAGCAGAAGATAAATAAAAAACTACTTTTTAAATATAATATAATCTTTATAAATACTTAATTATACTACAAGGGCTTACTAACGCCTCTGCGTTATTCTAAAAGTAAATTAATTATATATTAAAAGTATATTTAAATAACTTTATTATTATATATATTAATAATATTCTTATTTTCTTAAGAACTCTTAAAAAATATTAAAAATATATTTATTAAGTATTATAAACCCTCTAAAACACTAATTTACTAATTAACCCTAAGAAATATTAATTTTATATATAAAAAGTAGAATTTTTTAAATATATTATTATACCTAAAGAAATTTAAATAAACCCTAAGAAAATTAAAGTAATTAAAAATTAAGAACCCTTAAATAATATTAAGGAAGTATAAAGTTTTCTAGGACTTATTAATTACTACTAATAGTTTATAAAAAACTTTACTAAAATTACTACGCTATTAATAAACCTTACTAAAAAGAATTAAAAATTTCTATAAAGCCCTAATATTAATACTATTTTTAAATAACTTAAAAATATTATAATTTTTAAACTAATACTTATTATATTTAATCTTAATAAACTAATTATAATTAAAACAAATACCTTAAATTTTACTATTAATAAATAAATTAATTAGCTAGACTAAAATAGAAAACTAAAACTTATTATATTTTTCTCTAAGAAATTATATAAATTAGTATTATAATACTTTATTTATAATAAGGAATTTATAGCTATTATTATTATATTTAAATACTAAAAATATTACTACTTTAAAAATATATATAAAATTAAGGTTTATATTAACTATAAGAATATTATATTTTTTATAATAACTTAATAATTATTTAGAAAATAAGTTAGATATTTTAAGTTTCTAGCTATATTTAATTATAAAATAATCTATTATAAAAAATTTAAAAATAGCTGCGCTAATACTCTTAGCTAAAGGCTTAATTATTTCTAAGAAATACTAGATTTTATTATATAAGTCTTATAGCTTAATAAGTAAAAAGCCCTAGAGTAAAAATAAATTAACCTTATTTTTAAGGTTAAAGAAAATAATTTACTTTTAATAAAAATTATAAAATATATTAAACTTTAGGAATAAAAATAATTTCCTAAAGGTATTATAATAAAATTAAAATATTTTATACTTAATAATAAAATATAAATACTTAAAGAATTATATATAAAAAATAGTTACTTATATTTATAAATATAAACTATATAGTTATAAAGGAATTACTAAAATTATATAATAAGTTTAATAATATTATAAGTTTAAAGAAATTAAGTAATAGGTAAAGGAAGTAGTTATATACTATATTATATATAGAAAAACAAAAGATAGTTAATATCTGCCCTATAGTAAGTTATAACTATTACTTATACTAAAATTACTATAAGAATTAGTTATTTTTAACTATATTATATATTTACTACTTTCTAAAGACCTAATTATAGGATTTAAGTATAATAGTATTTTTATTATTATTAATAAGCTTTTTAAAAAAACCTATTTTATTTTTAATAAAAAAATTAACTTAACTAAAGACTAAGCTTATATTTATATAAAATATATAAAAAGTAAATATAAAGTACTAGGAGAAATAATTTTTAATTAAAAATCTACTTATATATTATACTTTTAGTAAGTACTTATAGCTTACCTTAGGATTAACTATAAACTTAGTATTACCTACTACCTATAGACTAATAAATAAATAAAGTAATTAAACTAAATTATTAAAGTATATTTAAGAAGCTATATTAACCTAGCTTAGAATAACTAGGTTATAAACCTATTAATAGCTTAACTATACTATAATAGTATTAAGTTAGAATTAATAAAGGTAATACCCTTTTATATAAACTATAGCTTTATTTTATAAATATACTAACCCCTAAGATAAAAACTATATACTAAGAAAGTAAGAATATATATAAAAAATATAAAGAAACTTTATAAAAAATTATAAAAATAACTTAAATTTATTTATAAATATATAAGTAAATATATAAACTAAAGAAGGATTAAAAAACTAAATCTTTAGGAAAGAGATATAGTTTACCTACTTTAATATATATAAGGCAAAAAGCTTTTTAATATTAAAATAAATAGATTAAGTAATAAATTTAACTACTATAAGCTTAGACTTTATAAAATTTTAAAGAAAATTAAGGAAGTAAACTATAAGCTTAAACTACCTAAGATTATTAAATTATACCCTATTTTTTATATTTTTTTACTAAAAAAAGTATTAATAAATAAAAATACTAAAAAAATTATTTATAATAAAATTACTATAAAAGTAGTTAAAGAAAAATATAAAGTTAAAATAATTATTACTACTAGGCCTAGCCTTAATAAATAATAAAAATAATATAAATACTTTATAAAATAAAAAAGCTATAATAAAAGTAAAAATATATAAAAACCTATTAGTAACTTTAACTACTTAAAAGTAACTTTAAATAATTTCCTTATAAAAATAGAATTTAGAATAGAATAATTAACTAAAAAATACTAAATAAAAATAAAATTAATTAAGAGGATAATAAAAAAATATCCTTTAATAATATAAGAGTACCTAAATTTAAGAACTTTAAACTAATATTAAAAAAAGGCTAATTATTAATAAAAAACTCTTACTATATAATACTATCTTATATATTAATTACCTTTATACTTTAATTAAAAACTTAGTTACTATACTTTTTTACTTTTTATTTTAACTTATATACCTTTTATAACTAGGCTAAAGTTTTTATTATATATTACTAATACTTAATAAACTAATCTACTGCTTTATACTTTTTAATATTATACTTTTTATAATTCCGCCTTAACTAAGCTATTAGAAATAATTAGTAAAGAAAGCTAAAATAATTTTAAAAATAAATTTATAAAAATTTATAATAGTATTACTATTATATATTTTTTTTATTAAAATATATTACTAATACTTAATAAAGTAAATACTAAACTTATACTTTTTACTAATATTTATATTTTTATAATAAGAATATAGTATTATAGCTATACCTATAGTATTTATTTACTTTAATAACTTAAAATAAGCTTAATCTGCGCGCTTTTTATCCTTAGAAGGATAAGAAAAAGACTAAGAATAAGTCTTAGAATTTTAAAAAACTAATATTATATTAATACTTATAAGTAAGGGGTTAATAAGAATAAGTTAAAATTTATAAATAAGGAATAAAAAGATATATTATATACTAAGGATTAAAATAGTATAATTATAAAATAAAGCGTAGGACTATTATAACTAGCCTTAAGGATAAAACTAATAGAAGGGGGATATTATATTATATTCTAAATGCTTTATAGTTGCCTAATTAATACATACTTAAATTAACTATAGACTAATTTACTAATAAAAAATAAGTTAATATAGGTTACTTATTAATCTTTAGTAACCTATAATATAAGTTAATATAAGTTACTTATTAACTTTTATTAATTTAATAATATTAACTAAATATATAAGATTTAGTTATTATACTCTTTAGATAATTTAAATAGTTAGTTATTAATATAGTAATAAGATTAATCTCTGTATTTAACCTATTAGCTATATAATAAGATTACCTAATTTATATCCTACTGCCTTTGTTAATATAAATTATAACTAGTTTATTACCTTAAGAACTACCCTATATTATTTAGTATAGACTGGTCTATTATATATAACTAAGTTTTTTATATAAAACTTATATATAACTTTTTAAAACTTAAAGTAGGTTTTTCTTATATCTTTATTAATAAAATTTAATAAAGGTTTATAATTATATTTTTTTATATATAAATTATATAAAAACCTTAAATATATTTATTTTATTAGTTATATAACTTATAAAATCTTTAAGTGAAGTCTTTTTATAATTATAACTTAAGGGATTACTAAATATAAGTTTTCAAAAATAAATATATAAAATAAAGTATATAATTACTTTATAATATTTTTTAAATAATTTTTATTTAATTTAATTTAACTGTTTTTTTATAAGTGAAGTTAGTAGTAGTTTTAGAGAATTCTGGTACACGGGCCATTTAGTGCGGCGCACAGGCCACTGCGGTTCAAATAGGAATACAATACAGCGCAAATAGGATAACTCATTACATGTAGGTATAAAGTAGCTATCTACAAGTTTACGCCAATGGACAAAGAGCAAAGATTGCCTTATAACTGTTGCCGTTTGCAAAGGGCAGTCTAAGCCCGTCCGAAAAGCCATTGTGAAGTCGGTTGCCTCTAAGGGCTAAGCCAATAGTAGCACACAGCAATCTCATAATGATCATGACAATGGAAAAAAGTAGCGCTATTGAGAACAAACAGAAGAGTCTCGCTAGACCGTCAGTGCTAGTCAGTCACGAAGAAGCTCCATTCTATCTATGATTATGGATTACCTCGATAATCCTCTTGAAATAACGAATTCATAGTCCATCTTCATCAACTACTACTATGGTTGATACATGGTATAATGCGTAGCTACGGATGCCGGAAACATCAACATCATACGCGTTACTACTGCGAATGGCCAAAACCAGCTCCTGTGGGCACGATGTAACCTGCCACTTGAATCGAAGGGCGAAGCCGCTAGACGACAGCCCTGTTGGGAATTGTCAGCTCTTTTTTCCACCAATTTCATGCGTTGCGGAAGCCCGCGTGGAAGCAATCAAATAACAAAACACTGCCGGCAACAGACTCGTATTCGTCCGGGCGATCGGCCACCAACACTAACACGAGCTTCCGTTTCCATCCTAATGCTACCTGTCATATCCCCCAGACGGCCGTTCTTCGGTCGGGTTCTTTAAGACTCTGAATCTGGAAAGTCTGTCTGATTGTCACGCTGAAACGGAGTAATGGTGCCGGGTCCCTTGCGTTTTGAGCATTTGCAGGTTTCATGGCGGCTTAGGATCAGCCCTGATGTTTCCGAACGTGGCAGGTCAGTCAATCAATACCTGTCACCGCCTTCCGACCATTCCAGCAAGATCTGCAGAGGTTGTAATAGAAGTACAGTAATAGAAGTATCGCGAGAGCCTCGTTTACGTTCCGGGCTAGCGAGAGCCGGATGGATGTGAATAAATAGGGAGCTTAGGATGGCTGTAGTTAGTTGTAGATTGGCACAGTTCAACTCATCCATCATCTTACAATCAACTATATTCACAATGACTTCGTCATCTCGCTTCATCCAAGTGGCTCTGGCCGTCACCATTGCCAGACTAGCATCCGCCCAGACAAACCCAAACGCACAAGGCGCTTGCGCAAAAACAACAGGCGGTTCAAATGCATGCGGTCCCAACGGTTCCGAAGCCTGGCTTAACACTGGCCTTGATGGCGATGGTTGGAATCCGCCCTTCTTGGACATCAACAGTCTGTCACACATCAGCCTGTCAGACTACTATAATGGCGTCGGTGCACCTTGCCGACAGTATGACCAGTACTTCCAGTCGTCCGGCCAGAAGTACAACATCGATCCCGCCATCTTGGCCTTCATTGCCATGCAGGAGTCTTCTTGCAACGCTGATGAGGGCGGCCCAACTCCCGGCCTGATGCAGTGCGATCCTGGAAACTGCCAGAACGGCCAGAGCAGCTGCCAGTATCCCATCCAGGACAATGTCGATTGCGGTGCCTGGGTTCTTCGGGGTGCCCTTAATAACACGGGCGGCAATGCTGTCCACGCTCTGGGCTCATACAATGGATGGTACACGGCTAGTGATGGCACTGGACTCAACGGCGGCAGAGGAATTACGCAGGACTATCCCTGCTCTCAGGAAGGGAGGAATCACGGAGATCCCCAGAATCTCAACTATCTCCACGAGACGCTCAATGGATGGTTCCTGGGCTACGACATGTACGGTTCTGACGCAAATCTCGATGGATCTTACAGATGCACGGGAAGCTGTAGCGACGGTGGTCTATGTTAGATGATGATATACGAAGGGATACGCTGGCAGTAGAATAGACCATGAATGTATCTGACCTAATCATATCGTACATATATTCAAGACATGACAATTATTATCACGTTTAGTTTGTTATTAATCCCAAATCACCACGAGGTTGAAGAATGCAGTGAAGCCATCGTCGCCAAGGTTACTTCCAGTAACTAGGATACCAACCAGTATATTCCCAGTCTAGAATTGCAGCGACCTTGAATGACCGCGAAAATTCTCCATCATTACTGAAGCTCCTTTCTTCTTTGACAAGAATGTTCCTGCGCTTTAGATCAGAATACGTGAATACGACAGAATGACCCTGCAACGCTTCCGATAAAGGACGATGAAAATCTTCAGTCATCCAAGCACGTTTGCCATATGACTCCCAGTTCTTCTTCGAACGCAATACAAGTGCATTGCAAATTCCTTCTCCGTAGAAAATGTAGCTAGCGATGAGTGAATGGCCATATAGACACTCCAGAGAAACATGCTGGTGGTGGTGACTGCCGCAAGCCATTGAACGCTTATCGTAATTGGTCAACGATGGGCGATTTTTCAATACTCTGACAGAGAGGGCCAGATTGTACGAAGCTGTTGGCCGGACATATATTCCATAATAATATAAAGCTTTTGCTCTTCACGATACTTGGCGTAAAGGCGTGGAGCGGGTACCTTTTTTACCCTTTCTAAAAGAAGCAGTGCGCATCCTTCGTTTCCGTATACTTTGGGTCCGTATTTCAAGACAAAAATCCCACCAATCGAGACTGTTCGCGGCGGACGTGTGTTGAAATGATTCGGAAGCTCAGTTGATGCTACTTCGATCTATATCGTTGTTGGCAGAGGTGCGGGTAACTTAATTTGGTTGCGAGTCTAAGGAAGAGCAGGGATGATCTCCGGCAAGTCCTTTATTTAGTAGCTCTAGAAAGGCATATGAATGATTCCTTGGAATTGCTTAGTGAACTCAGTTGAGCGGCGATTCGGCTTACTTTTATAATCGAGGTCAAGTGACAGTGGGGCTCAGCGAATTATAACAAGATCGTCCATGTTACCTGGTAGTTCCACTGTCCTGTACTGGATATTGAGAGCCCATTGAATGTTTATATGCCACTTCTCACCGGATAGTTGCCTTGGACTACATCCACGGATCCCTAGTAGTAATTTTCTTCTGGGGGTGGGGGTAGTTTATTTCTTATAATTAGGAGAAAAGATTTTATAAATTACATTCATTATTCATACTATTATAAAATACGTTAGATTACTATATACATTCTCTATTAAAAAAAGCCCCTGTTATGGCCTGGTCCTGTTGTAGCAGTGATTCTTTTATAGCTGGTCGATTCTGCCAGATTGATGGCTAAACATTGCGTTGATCGCCCAATCTTTTGCCTGGGGACAGTTTGAGAGCAGTGTCACTAATAGTTGACCATGCAGGCCCGCAGCTTGGTAGAGAAAAGCCTGAGACGATTCACAAATGATCGAGAATCTGAACATGGACTGGGCACCACCATACGACGAGGCAAGATTTACCGCTGAAACAATCTTTGTTGACAGCGGGAGGAGCCTTCTATCATTCGACAGGGAATGGGTTTGCGAAAACAGAAGGAGCAGAGCATGTCGGGTACGGAACCATTAGATAAAATATAAGACATAAAAACTAAGCTCCCGTGAGCGTTGAGAGAAAAGATTTCGTCACAGTAGCACATATGACGGCTCGATACGATAACGAAGTAGCACAGACTGGCTTACAACTGAGTCGGTGTGTAAAGAAATACGCTACCGTACAATGGCCTTCGGGATCAGGCAGACGGAGGGGGATAACATGTCGCAAGTTGTAACCCAACACACATAGCTATGCACCTCTTGGGTAGGACCAAGGCAGCCATTTTATCCCGACTATATACACAAGGTAGTACATATAGTAAAACCTTCATGAATACTTACTAAGGTATCCGATATTGAGGTGGTACGCAGCAGACCCCTCAATTGCATGGCACTCTAGACGAAACCCATTGACGACCTTGACTTATATCACGGCAGAGAGGCAGGCGAATAAGCCGGTTAGCAATGGAGTGATGAGTGAAAAGTGAGCCATCCCTGCTGGATACTTGCGTTGTTGAACCACCCTGAGAGGACCACGATTACTGGAGTCAGCCTCCCAAATATAAATCATGCCTATATAAAGATGCAGTCTCTACGCTTTCTGGATAGCTTGCCTGGCCAGCCGTTGGTAATTCACTGCGATCAAGGCCGATGCAGGCACAGCACTTTTATCCCACATACCCCTTATTCCTTCTGCGAAGAGAAATCATTATCCTGGAAGCCAACCGTATACTCTAGTACGGGAACAGAACATTATATAAGAGTTTCGAGTAAGTTCTCTCTACATGTGTATCTCACGTCCGCAGCTTGACTCGTATAGTGCTGCTAACTGGAAAAGTTTGGTGCTATATTCTCCATCATGCAGAACATTAAAGAGCTGCCTACTGAGGAGCTGTTTATCCGAATCCTGGATATCCTCGACTTTGAAAGAAACAGAGGGCGTCTGGTAAAGTATTTAGACGCCCAGTCAGCACCAGAGTCATACGCTGTCAACTTTTGGGCCTACGTTTTCAAGCTTATCTTTGCCGGGGATACTTATTCCATTGATCATGAAGTCCCCCCGGGGAAGTACAACACTCGGCGGCGTATCGACTTGGTCGTGGAAGAACTCATGGAAAGGCAGTTCAAACTGAAATTTCAGGCCATTCTTTTTGCCGAAGGAAAGAAGAACAATGCTTCGGAGAATGACCTTACTATCGCTGAATCTCAGGCTTGGACTGGTGCTGAGGAGTTTTATCAGCTGGGTGAAGGAGCCCCGCAGGCCTTGGCAATGACTTTTTATGGTACCCGTGCAAGGTTCTGGTTGTTTGACCACGACAGGCTTGATACTATGCTTGAAGAAGTCCTGCCACTGGTCCAAGGAGGAAAGAGTACGTATCTCGATATCAGAGCCAACAAAAGGGCATTTGCATCAATCTTTGCAGCTATTATCAAGAATTCCATCCCAGATCTCTTCACGGCTAAACAGATAGCGGAAAGCATAAATAGGCAGCAGGTGTGATAGCCTGGCTGTAATTTATTAGGACCAACAAGCCTTCACAATCGAATGATACTTGATGAGATTGACCATCGATTATATCGAGCACGCAGATTCAACTGGGTCTAGGAAGTTCGGAAATATCCCATAGAGAGCTAGTGATTAACATGGCTTTGCTACAATTGTTTGCAAGAGCAAAATTGTGCAATCTGTTAAGAGTTCCTGCACATTGCCCTTGGCTGGTGAAACCTACATACAGGTACATACCTAGGTAACTTCAATGTTTAGAGGTAAGAATCGCGTATTGCGTATCGGGCAAGGCGATGCGGGGCGCTATATGTTACATGTATCTTTGAGATTGGCGCGGCAGGGATAGATATTGTTTGCTGATCAAGGGAACGCAGCGACATCCTCCAACCTTCATCCTTCATCCTTCAGAAATGCGCCATCACATCGTCTTCTGATTCACGAGGCTTTGGCAACTGGCTTGAGTTGTAGACCAGCGCCCTACTTCCTCAGTGCTAGTAATTACCACTGAGCTAACGTCGTCATGTTTCGCCCATCATAGCACAACAACCTACTATACGGACAGCTCCAAGACCTTTGACAACATGGAAGCCCTGCAACCCGGCGATGAGGCACTACACATATGCATCCATCCCCAGTGTGGTGCTTGTGGACAACTTCTTCTACCCGGTGATCGTATTTGCGCACGTAAGCAAATATGCCTGTGCTTCCAGAATGGAACATGTCGCTAACACGTACAGTGTTATTTAGCCATACCTTGTGCCAAGTATATGACGCGCGCAAGTTTTCTCGCAACGGATATGCTGAGCAATCGACAAAAGATGATATTGTATTCTGCAAGAAACCAGGCTGCTCTCTATGCCTTGGTGTGGAGGAGAGCGCAACAATGCATATAGATTGCTTTGACTTGTGCTGTCGAATGTTGAAAAATTATAGGCACCGACACGACCTTGGAAATGACGCTTTCAAGGACGGTTTTAGGCGCTTATGGCTCGCGGCAACATGGAGATATGCTTGGAGGACTATGGCGCCTCTTAAATTGCTTGGCAGTAGTTTTACAAACCCTCCTCCAGACATGATAAGAAAACTATGTGGTTTTCGCAAAACATTTCCTCCTGAAATCGCCAGGATGATACAGAGCCATTCGCCATCTAGCCTCGTCTGGAGATTATGTTCTACACTTGAGTTTATGGAGGAACTGGATTCAGCCAAGATGCATGAAGCCGTCACCTGCTCGCTTTCTAAAGTGCTGCGTTGGTCTCGTGGGAGCCCCCCCCAAGTTTCTCGGGAGCAAACAGACTGTTGGCCCTTATGTTCGTTTAATAATAGATCCTCGGGTCATTCACTCTATAGAAAGGATATCTAGATCTTCGGCAAATAAGGCAATCCATGCCTCCAGTCACCCTCGCGTGTTCATACTAGAACTCGCAGAGGCAATGAAAACAATCGAGGTGGAATTTCAGGTATGTGTATTAATATGTTTTCTGATACCACACATATCTATCAGTTCTCGAACACAAGGTTAAATTGGTTATCCGCTAACTTTCTCAGCTTGGGATGGGTCGACTGCATATTCCAATACCATCAAATATCAACATCTGGAGCGCGCCGGTGCACATACCAGACTTTCTCCATCATCAAAGTACTGAGCGCGATACACCTTTATCCATGTCTCCGTCCTCACGGTTCGTCGCCACCAATCTAGATCCACGCCATTGTACAGGAATCTCCTTTTTTATGAGAGGCCCGAACATAATTAGTATACATGGACACAGCAACGAAGGCTTGCCTTCTTCCGAGATATTTGACTATTACACTCGTTTCACACGTGGGCCCTCATTTGGGTCTATATACCCCTAACAGCCGCAGAGAAGATCAACGCAATCGGTGTCAGGAGTGCCGCTTTAAACTCCGCGCCAAACTCTATTACTGTAGGTGTTGAGGCATTCTTTACTGGTCCAAGTTGGCTCTAATAATGTGTAGTTGCAGATGAAATCTGGACAATCTATAATTGGTATTTCACCAAGCAATACGTCGATCTTTGAAGCGTCATATACGATGACGGAACAACATCCTACGCTTATCCACGACATTCCGCGCGTGGGTCCTATCTCATCGATTAGAGTTAATACTACCCCTGAGATTATAAACCACGGTACATCGACAGACGAGCAACCCGTCCCTGGTGCCTACTTTTCTTCCGCGTCGTTAGATAATGTTTCCAACGTTTGTGTCTTTAATGATGCTTCAACCAAACTCTGCAAAGGCATATTGATCGAGTACAACAATGGTTTGAAGAGAGCCCTGGGGCAATGCCGCCTAGGCTTAGATTTAGTCCAAAGGTACAGTCAGCCATTACATCTCTCATATGCCATTACTACGTATAAACCATTACGTGAATATTATGGGGAATTGCCGAAAAGTGTGCATGTTACTTTCGACCCCCTAGATAACCTCTGTCACGATAAAGAGCTGAAGTGGGAGCATCACAAGATGAGAGGCCAACTCTGCTTTTGGTTTACAACACGTGAAGTTATTCTACAAGTTTCTCAAGATTAGGCACCTTTTATTTCCTTTCTTTCTAAATACCTAGAACTTTAGCTAGCATCGAACAGTTATTATGAAGTTTGAGAGCTACCCTGTTCGACTATTCTTATTCGGTTGGTGTTACGATCCGGTCAATTGAAATCCTAGCATGTAATCCCTCGTCAATAATTGGATCCGGCAAAACGACTGTTGTAGTTGTGATTATTGGCATCACGCCTTCTTCGATTTGGCTTTATGTCATGGCGGGTCGTAATAGCCCATATCTAATGAGCGGGAATGGCCTGCTCATACATCGACCTATGTGTCGACTTTCGGTCAATATCCCAATACACGTAATTCCTCCGCGCTGGAACCACCATACTGCAAGGTACACGTAATTCCGTCGTGTGCAAAGATTGATCTGGCTATTATTAGAACACAACAGCCAGCCAAAGCTCATTGCGCCTCTTAATGTAAGTCGCCCTCTGGAAAACGAGAGCTGTTTTCGCCCAGACAGTCAGATAGCAATTGCTCAGGCCAGCATCGCCGCTTTGTGGCGATGGATACTGACCAGGGCGGATAAATTACACATGGACTCGACTTTTCCCGCTTAACCAATATGCAAAATTACACCGCTACGGGCCTTGTTCGGAGTCACTGCTTACAGTTTCTGAACAATGCTTTTCGAGTGTTCTATTTGTAGGAGCTATATTCATAGAAGGCGTATTTAAATTTAAGAATAAGATAGTCAGTACACCTGTAGTATTTGGGTTGTTGATTTGCTTATATATATGCCCGAGTATCACTGAATGACAGTACCGGTTCTTTTTTCTATCAGAAGACACACAATAATAAATCTTCCAAGTTCAGGAATAAAATGGTAACAAAGTAATCGACTACACAGAGTCAACTTACATCAACTAACGTTCTCACATTAGATCTATAATAACAAGGTCTTTGCCGCTGTGGCTTTAATCCTAGCTGCTACCGTTTCTGCAGCACCATCGAATATCAGGGAGCTCCAAGACCGAGCAAATTGGAGATTCAACCCCAACATTTTCTTGTTCCAAGACGGAGCTTGTACGCAGAAGCCGGTATACTCGAAACCTACGACTGGACAGGATCCACTCGTTTGCGTCAATTTCGACGAGAAGCTCTACGGCGCTCATGTGCTGACGGATTCTTACCACGGCTGTACCATATACTTCTTTGAGGGCAGAGACTGCCAGGGATATTCGGTCACCTGGACCAGTAAGTGCATTCTAACAGGAGGTACTCAAGAAATCACTCACTAAGAAATCGTCAGTTCCCAAGGGTGACCTCTGGTCGGTAAGTGGTAGCATACTGCATCCCATCTGAAGTTTTCTCTCATACTTCTCTAGGACACATGTTATCCCATTGCGAACAATGACCAAGGGGCCTTTGTGCTTACCGAAGGAGTTCACAGCTTCTTTCTCGCCCTCGATTAGAAACTTTCCCGATCATTTGACTAGCCGTATTGCGCCACAGCCTGATATAAATAGTCACTTAAATAGGCCTATGGCTAAGGCATTACTGGGACTACAATAGACTGGAGGACAAATCATCAATAGAAATGACTGGCTTGTTCGATCGTATGATCAAGTGAGTCACTGCTCGTTAAGGGAGCACATCACGAATCATCTAGAATAAGCTTACTGGCATATCTTATATAGGTAGCTAGCTATTAACGAATCATTCGTTGTCTAATAAAATAGCTTCGTCAATGCCGCTGTACAACATGGTCCTAGAATTCGAGAATCCCACTCTACTCCGTGAGGGAATTTGCTATGAATCGGGTTGATTGCCTAACCTCCAGCTATGTGGAGCGCTCTAGCCAGCAGGTTCGGCACAATTATCAAAGTACATCCTATGCAGTTGCTCTACAACGATATCCGAATGTGTTCGGATAAATCTGCATAGAATCGTGGGGCACATTGGCAGAATGCTACTTATTATTGATAGTTACTACGCTGGGAATGAGCTATCTCAATTGTGAATAGGGCTAAGTAACAAAAATAAAGGTTTCGAGCCAGTATGGCTCAAGCTTTGTGTATTGATGAAATTTGTAAACCGACTTACATCGGAGCAGAATCTGATAGTCACATTATGAGTTTGTGTTGTTTTAATAGTCAGTCAACTAATTCCATGTCAGCCTGAAACGGGAGTATTTAAAGCCGTAATAATTCGCTATAAAAGCAAACACATATAATGCAGTTACTCCTCGACACTCATCCTATACAGTTTAACTCAACGCCGCTATTCAGAAATTATCTTCTACTGTTTTTCAACCAGAACTCGCTCTAAATCATGGCCCATGTCCCTGAAACAACTATCGCAGGAGTCACTGTAATCGACACTCCAATTGTGCGAGCTGCTCAAAAGTACGCTCGCGCTCACCTTAATGATATGGGATTTAACCATGTAATGCGCTCATGGATATTGGGCGTCGTTGTTTACAAGAAGTTCCGTGAGGCCGGTGCTATCTCGGAGATTGATCTCGAAGTACACGCTCTGAGCGCGATCCTCCATGACCTCGGCTGGGACGTAACAGGCGAGCTTATTTCCAAAGATAAGAGGTTTGAAGTTGATGGTGCAGAAGCTGCTTGTAATTGGATCAAGAAAGAACAGCGAAACGGTAAAGCAGATAACTGGGACGATTTCAGACTTCGGCTAGTGTGGGATGCAATCGCGTTGCATACTACTCCCTCGATAGCGCTGCACAAGGAACAGGTCATCAAGGTTTGTGCTCTTGGAATCGCCGCAGATTTCCGGGGTCCGGCCTTGGATGAGAATGGTACGATTTCTGAGGAGGTATACAATGCTGTTAACAAGAGGTTTCCTCGCCTCGACTTGGCTGACGGCGTTCGCGAAATTATCTGTGGCTTTTGCCGTTCTAAACCACAAACTACATATGGTGTGTATATTATATTCGATGTCATTGGTCCATTTCTGTACTGACAATGTGTAGACAGTTTCCAGATGGAATATGGCAAAAGGTTTGTCGAGGGCTATACGACGGAAGGGCGCCTCTTGTTGGACGCTGTCCAAGCAACTTCCAAGTAAATAGAGTTGTAGCGCAGCATTTGTGCCAGCACCAGGCCCGCAGTTGTCGACTGATGTATAAGAGCTTGGTATTAGGATCTAAGTCGAGTTCAGAGCCGAAACAGTTCGGAATCCAACGCCATCGGTCTGTATTAGAAGCAGGCCCACTACTGCTTAGATCTAGTGATGCGAATGTATGAGAAGTGACACACAGCACAGTCAAAGTTTAATATTCAAATGATCAGTGTGACTTTTACATTATCTCATATTCGTCAATCCTTATTCATTTTTTTAATTCGTTTTCTTTATCTCTTGGTGATGGTGGCGACTTCTTGTTGAATTGGCTCTTTGGCAATCATATGGCCACTGACTCCGCGGTCACGAAACTAGTCATCTTCCTTCCGGTTACCCTCGGAATAAACACAGCAATTTAAGGAATCATAAATTACTCGAATTTTAGTAAGCCAAGTACAAATAATACTATATATCGAACACCATTTGGAATCCCCTGTGGCTAGAGTTCGTATTCCAGCATTATCCGAACCGACTCGGATGGTGCCAACACCCTTTGCTCGCTAGTTACTCAAATGAATAGCTACCATGTCTTACATAAAGAACGCGAAATGGCCCATAATGCCATATCTGATCCTATAGAGCCCTATTGTCTGTCATACGTTTTAGAAAAACTGCTCGTCATGTCTACACCAGTTTCTAAATTTGTGAAAATTAATGAAGATGTCAATCTTCACTTTAACCAGACAAATCCCGCAGGAGTTGACTTTACCAAGGTTCCAACTTTGATCTTTCTTCATTTCTGGGGCGGTTCGGCCGACACTTGGTCATCAGTTGTCCGTGCCCTGTCTCCTTCATTCCCAACTATTGCGTTAAGCTTTCGTGGCTGGGGTGCTTCTTCAGGGCCTGCCGAAGCTGAGGCTTATAGCATTAGTCACTTTGCCTCCGATGTTGAAGCCGTCATTCAGAGTCTTGGATTGACAAACGTCATCTTGGTTGGGCACTCCATGGGCGGCAAGGTTGCCACTGCGATTGCTGGGCGACATCGTCTTCCATCGACTATTTTGAAGGCCTTGGTCTTGGTCGCACCCGCTCCTCCAGGGCCCCTTTCTCTACCTTCGCACATGAAGGAACAACAGATTCGTGCCTATGACAACACCACAAACGCCGAAGCGGTTATTCGAACCGTCCTTACTGCGCCAGGGAGCCCGGCCCTGACAGATGCCGTGGTGAGGGATTTGGCCGGCGATATGGTCCGTGGTAATGAGTTTGCAAAGTATGCGTGGCCTCATTATGGCTCCGCAGAAGATATTCGGCCTCTATTTCATCTTATTGAGGTTCCAGTGTTGGTAGTAGCTGGGAAGAGCGACGTTATTGAATCACCCGAAAAGATGATTACCGAAGTTCAGGAAGATCTGAATAGCAGGCGGAGTGGCCTGGCGAAGCTGGTCATTATTGAAGACTCTGGCCATTTGCTGCCTATTGAGAAGCCTGATGGGGTTGCCTCCGCGGTGGAAGAGTTTGTCCGAGCCCTATAACTGGTGGTGCTGGGTGTCGCATTCTGATCAACTCAATACAATTTAGAAGTATACTCGGACTGGGTTACACAATAAAGTATATTAGTATAAACGATGAACAACTTTTTTCTTTAGTGTCCGATAATGTTCCCATATGCAATGTTAAACAACTGGCTGTATGAGCAAAGGCCAAGTACCTATGAACCAGTCCGCAGCATATACTTGAAGATGAATCTTTCGTCGCTATTTGGCCAACAGACATTGGCAGAGTGTAAACGTAAGACCACGTCATGAGACGACGCGTTTCGACAGCGTCAGCCTCGTCACATTTCAGTTCTCATCGCGAAAAGAATTTCTGAAGATGGCAAGGAATGGTGGAATATGAGGCTCAGGAGGTGGCGGTGACGCGGCTATAAGGTGAAGTCCACCAATTACACGTATTGAGCACGGATAAAACGGTACGGTTCTCTGTAGCGTCGAGCTGGTTACCCAAAATGGATTTGTCTAAATAATGGGGGTGCTGCCGCCATCAACGCCATTCTCTCTTTATTCAACCACCAACTTCTCAAACATTTCCATTGTTGGTCAACGCATCGACTTCTTCTTTTGGTAATGTCTTGGTAACGGTAGTTGAGAAAACAGGTCATGGTTTATCGCGGCAAGCCGAGCGCTGCGTGCGAGCGCTGCCGGCAACGCCGATTAAGGGTAAGTTTAGCACTTACAAGCGAGCTGGAAACAACATGTGCGTTTAAGTCAAAAGGACATCTTGTTAACAGCTCGTTTTCTTTCTTTCTTGTCAACCATGAAGAAATTAATTGAGTCCAGGTTATGAAATTTTACAGGCTAATCATCAAAATTCGTAGTGCGATCATAGAGAGCCTTCGTGCACTCAGTGTATGCGGGCCGAGGTCATTTGTCTTGGATACCGGAATTTGCTGGACCTGAACTTCCAGGATCAGAGTAACGATGTTATTCGCAATTATAAGGCTCCAGCACGCAAGAAGCGCCATGTGCCGACACGTGTTGTAAAATCTCAGGCATCGGTTTCGACTGGAGTGCCCGTGGATCCAGCCGATCATGGACCGTTGTGCAGCGACAAAACGGCTTTGATCATTCCAACGGCTACTCTTGTGTACTCTGTGGAAGAAATTGCAAGGAGCTATCTCTATGTTAATTACATGACAGGAGGCTCCCGTTGCAGTTATATGTCATATCTACTACCTCTCATGGAGAACTCACAAAACTCGGCAGTCAACGCGGCAGTCAATGCCGTTGCATTAGCGGCTCTGTCAAATATCCGACTATCTCCTAATACCATGTTGAAGGCGCAGAAAGAGTATACTACAGCCTTGTCTAAGACCAACTTGGCCCTGAAAGATTCTGTGCTGTGCAAGACGGATGGTATCCTGGCAGCAGTGGTTATGCTTGGTATATTTGAAGTAAGCTAATACCGAAAGATCAACCCAGTGTCAACTAATCCTGAGAAAGCAAGGTCATGACGTGTTCTGACGGCTCGTTCATCGACCGTTGGGTGCATCATATGGAAGGCGCAACAAGGTTGATAGAGATTCGCGGCTCAGAACAGCTTTCTCGAAAGGAAGGGCTAGATTTATTCACGCAACTACGCGCTCAAGTGGTAAGACCCCACACGAGCCTACATGTGTGTTATCTAAAGGATATGCTCACCAAATTATATCTAGAGCCTCAGTCGAATTTACCAGGAGCGATACAGCTCATCAGTTTTCAATAAACTAACTGAAAAAGTCCAACGAGATCAGAATCCCAATGATCAAATCTTAGATCAGCTTGCCACTATAGTTACTCGGCTGACAGACCTTTGCGCCAACGTGACGAATAGGCACATTGTTAGCCCTACAGAAATCATCCGCACAGCTCTGAAACTCGATTCAGAGCTGGTATCACTCATGGTCGGCGTGCCCCGTTTGTTGAGATACGGTATAGTCAACATTCCAATGTTTGATGGGAAGCCCATCACCAAAGCGGTCTGGGGTGACAGCTATCACATATATCAAAGCATTCCCGCAAGTAGCATGTGGAACAACTACCGTTCAATTCGCATCATCATTCAAGAGCTCATTATCAATACCCTCAAGAATCTGGAAGATTCAGAAAGTGACGATATTGGACTTTCGCAACGCAGCAGCTTGGCAAGCCAGGCTAGCCAGACAGCGCTTCAGTTGGTGGAAGACATATGTGCCAGCGTGCCTTATAACTTGGATATAGGGATAGAGGATGATACCGACTTGAAAGGTTCTGCTCTGAAAGCCACACACACATCTATTAGTCACGGGTTAGATATGATGAGCACTCTATCACTCTTTCGAGCTTCGGGAGCTGGCGGCCTTACCACCATGTGGCCTCTCTTGGTTGCTGCAAACTCAGGATTTGCATGCGATGAGCTTCGAAAATGGATTGCCAACTGTCTAGACAAGATTGGCCATTCTATGGGCATTAATCAAGCGCTGGCAATGTCGAAATTAATACAGGATGGGGTTCGGTCACGGGCATTCCTGACACCAGAGTATCGATCTCATCCTTACAAATTATAAAATATTGTAATTATATACATCTCCAAACTACTAGATTATGTATGCTAGATGGACTATTCTTCATCACTTGGTTCATCGTGTATTTAGGGTTAGGGGATGACTCATATGTGTCATATCTACATCTACACATCTAGACTGACAATCATTTGCGTTGTGAATTACAAAGGAAACCAATTTCGAATAGGGTAACATGCTGCAGCAATGTTACTCTATTCAGAATTCGGCATCCTGAATATTACTGCGTTCATAAGCCAGACTGCTGAAGCGAGCTTGTGCGCTGGTACCTTACCCGGTCTTACGAAATACAGTAATCCTTTTGACCTGCATCCTCAGCTCAAACTTGAAGCATCGTCACGACGAAACATTTACTACAATTGGAATAGCGCAACCGTGGGGTTATGACCCAGCCACTCTCTCCAATAGATATTGGCGCACCCCTAGACAGGATGACTGGTAATTACAATCTAAGAGGCTTCTAAATCTGGTGATTGAGGTTTACTTCTTTGCAAAAGGAAAAATGAGGAAATAGCAGAAACGTTTAGCGTCGAATTGCATCCTAGAATGGGTCATGGATACAGCTGACGCGTGTGGTTTGTATCGCTTCGGTTCAGCAGAAGTTGATACAGCAATTCTCTTTTGTATGCGGTGTTGAAGAACTTAAATAGATGTGATATCTACTTAATTCTGGTTTTTGCTGAATCAATATGATTATCATCATCATCCAGTTCATTCTCATCTCACCTTGAGCATCTTATCAATCACTGAGCCAGAGCACTTGACCTGACAGGAACAACCCGAAAACCAACGGCACAAACAGCAATCTTCGCTATGGGGCTTATTTCACAAGACTACGTCTCCATCGTAGAGCTTATCATCTACATACCAGCCCTCATCGCTGCCATCATTGTTACCGCGCGCCACGGCTTCCACAGAGCCTCGGGATGGATCTATACAGTCGTCCTTTGTGCCGTACGGATCGCTGGCGCAATTTGTCAGCTCCTCACGCACACTGATCACTCAGAAGCTCTTCTTACGGCATCTGTCATCATCGACTCTATCGGAATTTCTCCTCTCTTGCTTGCTACCCTGGGAATACTCTCACGATTGTAAGCACACACCTCCAACACGTCACTCCCCAGAATCTGCTTCTAACAGCGATCCAGCATCGATTTCTTCAACGCCAAAGGAGCTCAGCTTTTCAGTGTAAAACAGTTTCGCTTTGTTCAACTCCTCATTACCCTCGGCTTAATTCTTAGTATTGTCGGTGGAACTGGAGGGTCGACTGACAGCAACGGCACCGTGACGGTTTCCGGCACAAGCAAAGCGGGTATCATTCTTTACATCGTCGGCTTCGCTGGAATCACCTATTTCTTCCTTCTTTCATCCAGTTACAGAAGCGGAGTGCCTCGTCAAGAACGTCACAGTCCGATCGCCGTTGCCATCGCCTGGCCTTTCATCCTCATCCGCCTCGTCTACTCTGCGCTTGCAGTGTTCGTTAATAACGAAATCTTCTCCGTCGTTGGCGGTAAAGTGAGCGTGCGTGCTGCCATGGCTGTCATTGAAGAGTTTCTTGTTGTCTTTGATTACCTGACTTTGGGGTTCATGTTGCACAAGCTACAACCTGAAGAACAAGGCGAGCTAGCCAACAGGGCGTGGAAGGATAGGAGGGGAAACAGAAGAGGAAATAGTAGAGAGAACAGGAGAGGTAACAGGAGAGATATTAGTAGAGGAAACAGCAGGGAGAATAGTAGAGAAAACAGGACGGAAAGCAGGAGATAGTGGCAGTGGACAGCCAATCTGAATTCAGGGAAACCCTGTCCAGCACCCCAACTCTGCTGCCCAGCACCTAGAGGTCCCATGGTACAATATTTAACTAGGGGCATAACTGATGAATAATAATACTAGAAACTACTCATAGAGACATGTAGCTATAGTGGCGGATATTAGAAAAGCATAGCGATAGTAGCAGACACCAGATTAAAATATTAATAGTAGCAGAAAGTAGTGACAGTAGAGATACTTGAAAAGCTATCTAAATACCTTAGATATCTTTGATTCATTAGATACCTGTAGGTGAGAAAAATAAAACCAATCTTCTTCACATTCTTTTCCGCCTCTTGAATCTCATGCAATCTCTAGAATACTGGCTAGCATTTCCCCCAATTCGCAGGTCTCACCCTGTATACTATTTATGACTCCACTTCACTCGTTGCCTTTTATACACAACTATTTAAGACTCGGATATGGGCGGCTTCATTTCTTTACCAAAACCACTGCCCGTATCTCTAGACACTCAAGAGACAGCGGTATAAATCTTGCGGGATTCGTACGTCGCTCAGGTGAGAACAGTATCACTTTATAATTGGAATGATACATTTCTTTCGCTTGAATTACTGTATACTTATTCCCGCACCTTCTCTCAAACTCTGGGTGACCTAAATCCCAGTAGTGTCGATCCCAATTCTTAGCTTTCCATTTCTTGACTCCGGCCACAACACGCCAATTGCCATCCTAGCAATCACAAGCGGGAACATAAATGGAGCTGACAGAAAAAGTCCATAGCCCATACCAGCAGCAGTGAGAATGCTGCTAGAAACGAGAGTGCTGCCAGCGACAGCCAAAGCATCACCAGTGGCCCCGGCCGTCACCATGGCAATCCCCGTCCCAATGTCTCCCCATGTCCACTCCCAGATTGACATCTCCTTTGACACATTGACGACTCTGTCATATTGCCTTATCAGTTGCTCCACGAGTGCCGCTCTTGCGGCTTGTCGGATTTCGGGGCTGCTGTTCTCATAATTGCATCCAAACTCGATATAGCCGTGGTCAGTAAACTCTTCCCATGTTGTGTTTTCAAGCTCTGCGACTCTGTCTTCATACAACTGCCTCTTTTCATCTGGCACGCGATCCCATTCAGTCGTAACAAAGACGAGAGTTGGTAGCTTCCCTTCCCGATTCAAGCGTCGTAAAAACTCGAGACTCTCCGTTCCTCCGCTATGTTTTCGACCATTTACGATGCTATGAACATATAAGATGCCGTGGACTCCACCAAAGTAGCGTGTAGCAAAACCGAGGCTGCCTTGAATAACGCTCTTAACTTGAGATGCACTGTAACTAGCAGTCCCAAAACCAGGTGTATCAACAAAGACGAAAAGTTCGTTCTTGAGAGTGACAAAATGGCATAAGGCGTCTACCGTTCCTAGTTCAAAATGCATTAGCTGCGTTATGTCACTAAAAAAAACATCAAATTTCACCATTTGTAGTGTGGTAATCGATCTGGATTGCACTTCTTGAGATGAGCTTGAGCAAATTGCTTTTACCGGCCCCAGCATCACCTATGATCAGAACAACCTTGGCTCGACCGCGTAGTTCCCTGAGATTGTTTAGTAAAACGGATTAGTTGTAAGACCAGACTATTCTACTCACCCACTTCTCAGTCGGCGGATTATGGTGTCATGTTGAGCTTGCCCTTCCTCTTCGTTCGGTGCGCTCGCTCCAGCTTGTGAATTAGATTCATCAGCCATATCGGTCGGTAATGACTCAAAGTGCTTTAGAAAGTCTGAGACATACTGAACATAACAATTTATCAAAAATTAAATATCAGATATGGTGCGCTGGAGAAGGTTGGGAGCGTTTGTGCCCAATCCATTACCCCTTTATTATTGATGCTTGAAATCGACACGACCCACTACCGCGACGGGCAGGACTGGGCTTACATGCAGTAATCTAGCCTGACAAAGGATTACATATACACTCAGTGTTTCAGACGGCTCCAGCTTTGTAATAATTCTCTTTACAGCCTGAATACTACTTGAATTGACTAATGTTATCGCCTTTGTGTCAAAGCCTTCCATTCTGCGTACCTGGCTGTAAAAGCACAAATGATAGAGACAATGAAGCTGGCGCATACAGCTATGGCCCTGATGGTTAATGCTCTTGGCACATACTTGGGGTGGTTGGTGACAATACAAGACAAGAATTCAACCATCGTTATCGAATTACATCTTGACGGATCACCTCTTATCTTCGTAGCTTTAACATCGTAATAATATGAGTCTTTTTATGAATTGTATGTTAATAAATTGAACTTTTACTCAGGGCTTTGACTCATGGTACCCATAGTAGCTACACTACATATTTATACTCTATTGTAATAGCTCAGGGAGCACCAACGAATTTTCTCGTTTCCGGGTCCTGAAAGACTCTTTCAAAGACCGAGTGAACCGACTCTGGGTGAATATCTGGGAAAAGAGCATTATCAAATGGCTCTGGCAAAAGAGTTCCGCCTCTTCCTTGGATCAACTGATGGCTAGCCTCTAGTTCCAGTTCAACGTCGTTGAGTCGTTTTGCTCGGGCTTCCTTTTCCACAGCCGTTTCCACATCATGGTAAGTGACTGTGTATTTATGACCAGTAATTGCCTCTAGGTCACTGAAGATTTCATCCCAGGTGGGAGAGGAGCCATGGAAGCGATATGTGCGTCTGTGGCCGTTGTTGGTAGTTGAGAATGGGTGCTTGAGGGTCTCCATCGTGTACGCAACGGCATCTTTAGTCGGAAGTAACGACTGTCGTCCTTCAGGAGTTCCGTAAATGTTGGCAACGTGGTTTGTATTGTCGATTCCAAAATGCTTGATAATGCTCCATTCTGTGAGACGTCCCAGTTGTATGTAGGTCCAGCCGAGATCTGGAGTATCCGTTTCGCGGCCACGCTTCTCCAAGTGCTCTCTTGTGATGACTTTGTCTCTATAGTAACGCTGCGTCCAGTTTGATCCCACGCTGAGGTCCGCTCCCCATTCACTTGTATAGAAATGGCGTACTCCAGCCGTGATGGCCGAATCGATGATGATGGGCTGGAATTTAATGGCATGGTTTCCCAAAGGCATCAAGACACAGTCAAAGCCAACGAATGGCTCTGTATCTTTGTATTGCCCAGAGACTTGCTCCATCCCACCATTGCGGAACATGTCGAATAGCGCCCGTTTCTCTTCTGTCTCTGGCCTAGATGTGTCGTTGAAGAAGGCAATGCGTTTGAAATCAGATTTTCGGGAAATCAACGACCGGCATAGAACTTTGCCGATGGAGCCCGTAGGACCAACTACCAGTATAGCATCGAGGGTCTGAGAAGCCATTGTAATATTCGATATGAGAGACGTGAGATACGATGCTTTGAGAGAGAAAGGATCAATGAATACCGAGTAACGACTTGAGGGGGATAAACAGCTTTTTATAACAGAGAGCTACATTTATACTTGCAAAAGTCGTATTGTATTAGTATGCTTCGGACTTGTACATACTCCCCGGGCAAAACTTAGATGGAGATGGTGAGAGCCACAAGCTCCAAGTAACCCAAACGGGACAAGGGATTGGTAATCAGCCTCTGACATTCTTACTCCTTCATTCCTATTATTTTGTAGATGCATATTCTTAGACGCATGTGTAAGCTTGCCTATTGGGGGATTTGTAACTTGCCTAGTACAGGTCATTGGTGATGTGTTAGATTGTTTTCTAGCCAAGTAAAGTTACGTTGAGAGACTCTTTCATCATGGACTGCAGACTTGTATGCCGTAATACCGAGACAATTGAAAAGGTGTTCATTTGACATCGTGATAATTAATCAAGTGTTGCTGAGGCCCATAGTAGTACGGTAGGCATAAAATAATTGGTCATAGGACGGAGTTTGGGATGGAGAAGGCATCTTCATCCGCGCTGGGGAACGAATAACAGCTGCTTGATGCAATACGTTCAGTATAAGTGCATGCATTGAACAATTGCAAGATTCATTACACCCTGAATCTATATATCACACAACTCGACTGTTACGGCAAGCAGAATGCTAAGCTATAAAAGCAGAAGCTGAAAATGTGGGCGAATAGTAAACCAGACAGTGCCATTTACACAATCGTGCACTCGGCATTGAGTCAGCAGCAGCACTTTATCGTGATGCCCCGCCAAAATTTGCATCGCGGGGCACAGATTTCTTAGCATCGCAGCTTCGAAGTCTCCCGGCATCCCCAGACAAAGAGCCCACGTGCTGCATGAGATTCCTGTGCGCAAACGCCTGAATTGCGCGCAAGAGGTTCTGCCGTCAAGATGGATGCGGGATCTCGTCCCCAGCTGGAGGCGATGGTCGCTGGTGAGCCTCTCGTTGATTTTCGAGCAGCTGGATGTTGAATCGCGTGCTGACAAAAAAAATGCAACAGACCTGGTCGAAGTCTGGCACATTCATCGCACGACAATAATCCTGGCCTCTCTCTTTCTCCTTGCTGGTCTGCGCATATTGCTCCATACGACGGAGCACAGGGAGCCTCTCGCTGCACTTCCAAAGATTTACAACCAGGAACTGCCCAAGACAAGCGAGAAGCCGATTGTTAAAGCGCAACCCGCTGTCGAGACCGAGAAAAAGTCTACTGGCCCTCGACGTATCAAAGGAGGATTGACAAGGAAATCTTCGCAAGAGGGAAAGGCGGCGACGAACGAACACGCGGACAGGCCTGCAAAGGTGCTGGTCTTCTTCTCTTCTGTTACTACAAAGACTGAAAAGATTGCCCGCGATTATATCAATGCGCTCGAGACATTCCTGGACCAGAAAGCAAAGGAAACAGACGGCAAATTCTTAAAGCCAGAATTACTCGATTTGACCGAAGTTGACTTTGAAGATTACTTTGTCAGCCCTCCCAAGTCCGCCGAAGGCGCCGCATACTTCTACCTGTTCCTCATTCCGAGCTACAACATCGACACCATCAACGATACCTTCCTACAGCATCTGCAAGAAACCCATCATGATTTTAGAATTGATACCGCTCCTCTATCTTCCCTGATTGGATATTCTGTATTCGGTTTCGGTGACAAGGAGGGATGGCCCAATGAAGACGAGGGATTCTGCTTCCAAGCCAAGGACCTGGACAAATGGATGTCCAAGTTGACTGGTCGAAAACGAGCCTATCCCGTAGGAATGGGGGACATGAAGAGCGATCACGCGGAACGGTTTGCGGAATGGACCTCAGGGGTCCAAGATGTCATTGCTCAGGCCACCCAAACCGGATTCCTCGGTGAAGGAGTGCCCGGCAGTGGTGATGCGGTCGAAAGTGATGACGAGGAGGCCGAAGCCGATGATGGCGAAGTCGTTTTCGACGACGAGGAGCCTAGTGAGGGTAGAAAATCTGACGACTCCCGACCATTGGACGATGTTGAAGATCTTGGCAAAATGATTCGTCCCAGCAAAGACGGAAACGAAGGCACTCGGAAAGCACCCCTAGCCGTTGATTTTACCACATATACTTCCGCCAACAACAAGAAGGCTCAAGCTCCGATCATCAAGGAAATGGTGGCCAAGAACTCACCGACTTATACCGCTCTCACCAAGCAAGGCTACTCCATTGTAGGCTCCCACTCTGGTGTCAAGATCTGTCGCTGGACCAAATCCGCTCTACGTGGCCGAGGCAGCTGCTACAAATACTCTCTCTACGGCATCAACTCTCACCAGTGTATGGAAACTACCCCTTCGCTCTCATGCTCCAACAAGTGTGTCTTCTGCTGGCGTCACGGAACGAACCCCGTCGGCACGACCTGGCGATGGGTGGTTGATCCCCCTGACATGATTTTCGACGGTGTAAAGGAGAACCACTACAAAAAGATCAAAATGATGCGCGGTGTACCCGGCGTCCGAGCAGAGCGATACGCCGAGGCTCTGAGAATCCGACACTGCGCCCTGTCTCTGGTTGGAGAGCCCATCTTCTATCCCTACATCAACGAATTCCTCGCCTTGTTGCACAACGAGCGCATCTCGTCTTTCCTAGTCTGCAACGCGCAACACCCCGACCAGCTCGCCGCTCTCAAGGCCGTCACGCAGCTGTACGTGTCCATTGACGCCTCCAACAAAGACTCGCTGCGAAAGATTGACAGGCCTCTCCACCGCGATTTCTGGGAGCGGTTCCTCCGGTGCCTAGACATCCTTCGCGAAAAGCGTTTCCGCCACCGCACGGTCTACCGCCTCACCCTCGTCAAGGGCTTCAACGTGGAAGACGAAGTCGAAGGCTACGCCCAGCTTATCGAGCGCGGACTGCCGTGTTTCGTCGAAGTCAAGGGTGTGACGTACTGCGGCACGTCAACGTCCTCCAACGCCGGCCTCAGCATGTCCAACGTGCCGTTCTACTGGGAAGTCTGCGAGTTTGTGAAAGCTTTGGACAAGCGGCTTCAGGAGAAGGGCCTCGAGTACGGCATTGCGGCCGAGCACGCGCACAGCTGCTGCGTCCTGCTGGCGAGCAACCGTTTCAACGTCGATGGCAAGTGGCACACACACATCGACTATCAAAAGTTCTTTGAGCTTCTTGAAGAGAGGGGTGCTGATGGCGATTGGACGCCTGAGGATTACATGGGCCCGCCGACTCCTGAGTGGGCTCTGTGGGGGAACGGAGGATTCGATCCTCGAGACGAGAGAGTAGATAGGAAGGGCCGCAAGATGGAGGCCATTGTTGCGCGTGAGGCGCCCGAGTAAGATTGCTTAATGGTACACTATGTAAAAATAAGATGAAAACATAATATCATAGTATTGTCAACCAAAAGATTGATGGACTGAATGACATGCATGCCCTGACAACATCACGTAGACCAAACCATGCAAGCCATTAGAATTTCATGTTGGATTATGGAAACGCTACCCGCACTGCCCTTCCCAAAGACCTCCCATGGCTGTATCATATCACCGCATACAACTGTTTACACAAATGCCCACCAGATATTTTGCATCCCGGGGCGAGAAGAAAGAGCCCGTAAAGAAAGAGGTACAGGATTTTTATGGTACACCAAAGCGATTTTTGCGTTTCCCCCCTACGTTTTTCTAGGTACAGATGGAGATTGTATAATGAAAAGAGGAGGGATCCGGAGCTTCGAGTCAAAAAGGACTTATTTTTGTCAAATTTTTTGTTTTGTTTTTGTTTTCTCTCCCATGTCATCAGTTCTTGCCATGTTCAAAAGGCTTTTCGTTTTCGTTGCAGAAGGAAAGTCGATGCGTTGTCTTTGTTTTCCCTTCTCATCATCAAATGTTTGACAGAAGCTGAGTGGAGTGGAGAGGAATACTCTGCTGTTTTATTAGGCTTCGGAGAGTGTCGATTTAGTCGAGGCCAACGCTGGGGATGTCGCCCAGGTTGATGCCTGCGGATGAGGGACGAGTGCGAATGCTAATGTCGCCGTCGTATGCAATCATATCGGCCAGGATGTCTAGTATAGGCTGTGGGGGTGTAAATCGTCAGCCACTTCAAGTCCAGTCGATGCAACGCATATGACATGACATAACCTACCTTGGGAACGGTGCTGTCGTAGATCTTGATGAGGTCGCCGGGAGCAGGGTAGACCTTGAGACCCTTGTAGAAAGCGAGCGCGGAATCGATCATCTTAGAAGCTATATCGGAGAAGAGATGGAGTCAGTCTTTGTGCCTTTGTTGGTGCGTAAGATGGCGACATGGAGGGGTTCGTTCATACGATCCTGGCTCAGCATCTCGCCCGTCATGACCTGTTCGTTGAAGAAGGCTTCTCGCTCCTCCACGCCCACAGGGAAACCCTCCTCTTTGGCTTCATCCACCTTGGCCTTGATGAGGCCGCGTAGTCGCTGTGTGGAGGCTTCTGCTTCTTCCTTGGCGGCCCGGACCTGCTTGCGCTCGTTTCTTCTCAGGTTGCGGCGGAATTCGGAGTCTTTTCGTCGCTTGTAGTCAAAGTACACGGCATAGGCTGTTGCGACGGGAAAAAAAGAAAAGCCAAAAATGTTAGCGAGCCCAGACGTCTACCGAGAACATGCCGCGCATGTCATTGGAGCAGCGACGAACCAACGAGGCCTGTCGCAACGGTTGCGACTGATGCCGTCACCACGGTGCTTGAGTTGACCATTTTTCGGCGAATGGAGGGGAGCTCTGGGGGGGGAGTTTCTAAGCTGCAGCTGCAGGTGAGAAATGGAAAATAAAAGACGACGGGCTCCGGGGGGTTCGGCCTTTGCGGGTGCTGCTCAGAAGAAGCCCTGGCGTGTGGTAGCAGTGAATTGAGCCGTGGCTGGGTAGATGCCGTCGCCGGTTCAAGTTTTTTGGCTCTGGAAAAGATATCACAAGGAATATGGAGATGCAGCGGCGATACCTGCTAGTAGCTCGGAACATCGATTGAGCGCTGGAGGCGGCCGGCACATTGTCGGGTAAACGGCACCGCCTTGGAGCTTGCTCTTACTCCGCTAGTGCTTTGGTAACTCGTACTTGATACCCCATACATTCGCTGTATCGAGTTGCATCTGCCACGCAACGGCTCTCCTACGAATCACATCACCGTGCAGCTGTAGGAAGCTCTGTGCAGCAACTTGGACGGGCAGACGCGACTGTGGAATTGAGCGATACGTGCGGATGTATCTGAAATCGTCATAAAACAACTATCCTTCTCTTCTCCCGTGCTGAGCCAATCAATCAATCTCCCTCCGTCATCCATTCAATGAGCAGCCAACATGTCTGAGGAACGCAGCAAGATAACCCTGTCCCTTCGAAGCGGAAAGCGACGAAAGGCTCGTCCCGTCATCAGTGCGCCGCGACAGATTTCTGCGCCAATCCCTCAAGATGACTCGTCTGGAGGAACAGCCGCCGTTCCTGGGATGCTTCCCATACCTGAGGCGCCCCGGCCCCGACCTGTAGCAGCGAGTGGAAAGGTGAGACCTCGATGCTATTGATTGACAAGTCTCTCAACTAATCTTCCTCTCAACTTTGCAGACATCCGATTTGGTCAAGCGACGCTTTTCTTCTCGATTTAACAACTTGCCTCCCGAGTTCGACGCGGCCGCCCCGCCAGTCCCAAGTCTACCTCCTCTCGAGCGGTACAACACCGACTATCAGCCCCCTCCTCCGTCCCGAGCAGGGCCAGGAGCTGCTCCCGTTGTCGACCTCAAGGCGCTGCGGGACCCGAATCTTATTCCCGACCAGTATGTAGCTTCAGTGCTGAGCGAGGCGAGCGAGGACCAGATCCAGGAATATGCAGAGTCGCTCCAGGGCATTAAGACGCGCGCCGGTGCAGACTTGCAGCAGAATCTACTGCAAAACCGAACGCAGTTTATCAAGATCAGTAAAGAGGCAGAGAAACTCAAGGGGGAGATGAGAGCTCTCCGCAACCTGATGTCCGAACTCAAGGCAAACACGACGGCTCTTAGGCAAGCCTCGGGAAGAAACGAGATGGACTCATCCATCGGAGGAGCCGTCACCATGAGCAAACGTGACAAGCGCAGCTCCGTCGCAGACCGAAGCGTTCTCTGGACCTCGCAGATGCAATCTCTCTACAAGACGGTGGAAGGGTCGCAAAAGTTTCTGCCAAACGCGATTGGACGTCATGTGGTTCTCAATGCTGGGCCCTGGATTGAATTGGACAATGCAACATATAAGAGCAGAAGAGCCATGCAAATATTTCTGCTAAACGACCATCTTCTCATCGCCTCTCGGAAGAAACGCAAGGTCGACGCGCCCAACGCAGACACCCGTGGGCCCATGGTAAAGCTTGTCGCCGACCGCTGTTGGCCCTTGCTCGACATTGAAGTCATCGAAATGCCAGGTACAGGCGATTCCATTGGCGGCCGTACCAAGTTAGCCGACGCCATCATGGTTCGGGGTGGTGGCCAGGAGACGTTCATCTACCGCACGGAAAAGCCAGAAGCGAGTGAGAAGAAGGCGTTGATGATGAATGTGCGCAAGGCAGTGGAAGAGCTACGCAAAGGTTTGCAGTCTGAGATGGAGGCCAATAACAAGGCAAGAGAGACGATCAACTACTTTGCATCAAGAGACCCTGGCTTGCTCCAAAAGACGGAGCTGCTAGAGACGCTATCTGATATCAAAGACATGCTCATCGAGGTGGACGGCAAGCAGCAGAACCTCCGATGGGTGGAAGGCCAAATGGACGAGCTGGATATTGACATTGCTCTTCAGGGGTTCGAGCCCGCAGTGGCGCGCGTGGAAAAGCTCAAGGGATTAGCACGGGGCCTCAAGGGCAATACGGTAGCCCAAGACTTTATCAACTTTGAGGTTGAAGAGAGATGCGCCAAGCTTGCGACGATAATCATTCACGGGATGGAGACGACGCATCACCAGCAGAACAAGACGAAGCGAAACCTTGGCTGGTTGGCGAGACTAGGCTATGAAGACAGGGCCAGAGAGGCGTATCTTGCAGCTCGAGCTGACACGATTCATAAGAGAGCCAGGTTCGTTTCCCCTCTTCTCTCGACTGGCATTGTGTCACACGTTGCATGAGCTAACATTTGATGAACAGACAATGCCTCTTTCAAGGCGACTTGCACCTGTACATATGGCAGCTATCCTTTGTTTATTTCACCCTCATCCACAACACGGTGCAATGCTTTCAGAGCTGCTTCCCTCCACCCATGATGAGCACGTGCGTCAAGTGGGCAAAGGAGCAGGTCGAAGCATTCAACGTGATTTTTGCCAGGCAGTTGGCGAGCACGGAGCGCGGCGGACAAGTCTGGACGCAGTGCATGGACCAGGCAAAGGAGCACGCGAAGAAGCTGTCTGACGTGGGACTTGATTTCACAAGCTTGGTGGGCAAAGGCGTGGATGGGCCATCGAGCGGTATGGGAGCCGAGGCTTCGGACCTTGTTGGACTGGGACTGGCTTGAAGGCAGCAAGAGGAGGCAGCATGATTATAGTGGTTATTATCTCCTGCAATGTAGCAGGACGTGATCAGACATGTCTCTACACAAAGGCTTTGGGCGTGAGCATGGAGTCTCGGGAGCCGAGCATCGGAGCTGAGCTCCCCCTATCATGTATCCAGGTAGGTGTCGACGAGGTTATGAGTCAGCAGCATCGTAATTGCGGCGTAAAACAATTAGTTAGCTTCTACTACATTAATATTTAAAATACACATAATTCGGTCAACAGGATTGAAAGGCGGTCATGTTTTCTGTTTTCTGTATCGCGGCGATTGGTACATAGCATTGTCACATCTGAGATGATGTGCCCCGGTTTCACCTGGGATAAGCTTGGCGGGGCAGCTCCGGAGCTGAGGTCGCCAGCTCGGGCGCCAAAGGGGGGCGGGAGCTTTTAATTTCGTTTCCCCTGGGTTCGTGTACTAATCAATGTATGTACAGTAGCAGTGCTGCTTGTTAGCATCATGGCGCGGGTGAGGAAATATCATCATCGTCATGTTGAGATGGATGTCATGGAATCATCTCAAGACGTATGTAAGCTCGATATAGCAGTGCTACCTATGCATGAGAGCTTGAAGCTACTAATTGGCTGTAAATGGAGGATACATGTATGCTGGTGATAGCTAAAGCTGAGAACCAACCCCTCATGCTTAGTACATGTACCTCGAGCATCAGCCACGCAAAGCAAGATCTGCTTAGACTGTCCAGAGCACAGCTGCAGATTTGCAAAAGAAACAAGGGATGAATAAAGGACATCAAGTCTTTGATACCTCTTTGATGCAAACTGCACGGATTCAAACCAATAGCCCAAGTTCCATGCAACTCGTAGCCGCTACTGTGCTGTAAAGCCTCAGTAACCCCATTTATTGTCTTTGCTTGTTTTGAACCACCCTCCCCCTCCCCTTGTCATCTTTCGCAATCTCGTGCTCCCTCCTCTCTCACACGTTAATCTCTCTCTCCATCCCTCCCTCCCTCCCTCCCTCCAGCTCCCTTTGGCACTGCGCTGCAACTGCACTGGCTGATAGCGACCACCGCGCCGTATCCTTCGCTGTAAAACCGCCTCCTTTGGCGCATCTGCCCCACCACCGGCCGCTATTTGCACTGGACAGTTACAGCTGCCAACCGCTAAATCGCCACCCGCTGCCCGCTGCCAGAGGTTCCAGGTTGCTGCCAGAGCCTCTTGGGACACAAACCCGAAGCGTGACCGCAACGTCATTCAAAGCATCAACTTTCTCCCCTCCTAAACCTCCCGCCAACAGCTTCGTCGACCCCCCCTTCTGCCTCTGCCTCTGCCTCCCCAACCAGCAACGCATCGCCCAATCGACTCGCCTCGGCCGCAGCTGCGCATTTCGACATGGACACAAATATGGAAGACGTCGGGAGGGTACCGGCCGACGTGTCGCCAGTGCAGACGGAGCCTGCGACCAGATCCACGCTGGAACAGTGGATTGAGAATCTGATGAACTGCAAACAGCTGTCCGAGGCCGACGTCCAGAGGCTGTGCGACATGGTGAGCATCCGATGCTGAAGCGATGGCGATGCGAGAATCCCAGATTTTCGACGCTGGGCTGGTGGCCCTTATTTTGGGCGCCTTGCTCGTGACGCTGTTTTGTTGGGCGCCAGCGATTGCTGACTTTTTGCATCTTCGTCTAGGGTCGAGAGGTTGTCCAGGAGGAATCAAACGTCCAGCCGGTGGTAGGTTTTGGTCCTTGAGCGATGCGGTGATCGGGCGTCTGTCCGTCTGGTCACCGGCGTGGGAGGAATGCTGACGCCGAGTGTCTTTTGCAGAAATGCCCCGTCACGGTCTGTGGCGATATCCACGGCCAGTTCCACGACCTGATGGAGCTGTTCAAGATTGGCGGCCCCAGTCCCGACACCAACTATCTCTTCATGGGTGCGAACAAACGCGACCTGGTTCCTGGTTTGAGCTCCGTTTGCTGACGACGACATGTGTCAACTGCCGCAGGTGACTACGTCGACAGAGGATACTACTCAGTCGAGACCGTGTCGCTCCTCGTCGCCCTCAAGATCCGCTACCCCCAACGCATCACCATCCTGCGAGGCAACCACGAGTCGCGCCAGATCACACAAGTCTACGGCTTCTACGACGAGTGCCTCCGCAAATACGGCAACGCCAACGTGTGGAAGATTTTCACCGACTTCTTCGACTACCTCCCCCTGACCGCCCTGATTGAGAACCAGATCTTCTGCCTCCACGGCGGCCTGTCCCCCAGCATCGACACATTAGATAACATCAGGGCCCTCGACCGCGTCCAGGAAGTCCCCCACGAAGGTCCCATGTGCGATCTCCTATGGTCCGACCCCGACGACCGCTGCGGCTGGGGCATCTCTCCCCGCGGTGCGGGGTACACGTTTGGCCAGGACATTTCAGAGGCTTTCAACCACAACAACGGCTTGACATTGGTGGCACGAGCGCATCAGCTTGTCATGGAAGGCTACAACTGGTCTCAGGACCGCAACGTGGTGACAATCTTTTCAGGTGAGCCTTTTCTTTTCAATTTTGACATTTCCCTTGTTTGCCAATGGCGAGCCTCTGCTGCAACAACAGCTCTACTGCTGCCCGCGTGCCGCCTACCCTTTTTCAGCCGCCTGCATGTCTTAATAATACTTGAGCTTTTTTTTTTCTAACAATGCCGCTGCTTGACAGCTCCAAATTACTGTTACCGATGTGGTAACCAAGCTGCCATAATGGAAATCGACGAGCATCTGAAATATACCTTGTAAGCAGCAAAGCTCCATCCCATGTTGGAGCCACAAGTGCTAACCCCTACAGCCTGCAATTCGATCCGTGCCCGAGAGCCGGAGAGCCAATGGTCTCTAGACGTATGTGTTGCAATTATTCCCGACCAAATGCTCGAACCAGACTGTTGACTATTTTTTCTTTTCTAGGAACCCCCGACTACTTCCTCTAATCCAGTGCCGACGTTGTTCATTCAAACGAGTTATTGCTGTAAAGGGCTTTTTGCAAGAGGGTTTATAGTTGTTAGAGCCCAGGGAGCCGGGCATCTAAAGAAAAAATAATGTACGATTAATCCTACTGCCGGTGTACGGGCCCACGCCACCCAGCCGTGACAAGTCTCAATGTGAACAGGAGTCGCCCAAGTGCTGCCGCTCCAGATTGGTTCAAGTTTACTGGCAGGGATGGCGATGCGCCGATGTGAATGATGTCAGCATGTGCGTACTTGCGCATTGTCATGGTCAGAATTGGGAGCAATAGAATTGGAATGGGAGAGAGACGTTGGCTATCAGTCTTGTTGCGATGCCACAAATCCCCTCGCTTATCATGCATATTAGATGACAAAACTGCTAATTGACAAAATAGGTGATGTTATTCTTGTTCTATTCATTATCCAAGAACGCTTATTTCTATACTGAGAGAAGATTCTTTCAACCTTTGTTCTTAACAAAGGGGGTCCTTTCGTGACGCTCCATGATTCCAGTCGTACAATATGATACCCTATCTATAGCCCAACGCCATGCCATGTCCTTGTCTAAATATACCGAGCACACTGACATGTATATACAGACTCTCAGGTGCCTCCATGCTGTCATTATCTGCTTCTCACCACCTCTTCTTCGTTTTCTCCAAATCATTTGCCGGCCTCGAGCTTGTTTCCGAGCGGCATGTCCCAGGTGGAATCATGCATCGTCTGCGCCGACGCGCTCGCCGGAAATTCCTCATCGAATACTCGTCCGTCCGAGCCTGGAACGCCGTTGACATAGTGGCCGGGAGAGCTACTTCCGTCGGGAATGTGGAAGCGCTTGTCAAATCGAGACAGGGCGTAGGTGAAGACGACGATGAGCTCGATGGCGTAGATGAAGCAGTAGAAGCAGGCCTTGCCATGGAACCACCTTGGTTGAGTTACGGGAACGCGATAGTATGCCACTCCCGCGCGGAAGGCCGCGCCGAGAGTGAGCAAGCAAGAGCTGAAGATGATGAGGAAGAGCTTGTAGCGCATGCTTCCGGCACCAAACTTCTCGATGCGCTGGCGGCGGGGGATGACGAAGCAGAGGGCGACGACGGGGATCGGGAAGAAGGCCAGCAAGGCAAAGTACGTCAGGGCAACGACCTGGACGTCGTGGGTCTTGTCGATGGCCGACTGGTCGAGCGTGTAGACGCTGTAGACGATGGCAACGATGAGCATGACGAGGCAGGCCACGACGGAGACGTAGATGGAGCGAAAGACGATTTTGGCGGCGAAGCTCCAGCCGAGGCGAGGGTGATAGGCCCTCAGGATACGCAGGACGAGGATGATGTTGATGACGAAGACGAGCAGGACGCCTGCGTTGGCGAGGATCTGCGCGGCGAGGCCGATGCGGCCGTTTCTCGGGTAGCACGCCCAGACGATGCGCATGACGTTTGCCGATATGCGAGCCATGGAGAAGCCGAAGAAGAGGCTGGAGAGGACGAACTTGTGGCCGCGGCGGCGGTTGCGCTGGAAGATTGCCATGTTGAGGGCGGCGGAGCAGATGAAGAGGAAGAGGATGACGGCGGAGATGGGGACGTCGACGGAGACGGTTGGGGTGAGGCCGAGGCCTGCGTATTTGGGGGGGTAAGGGGGACTCTGAGGAGGAGATTTTCATGTTAGTTTTCGTGGTGATGATTTGGATTTGGAGGTTGTCGTGGTGGTGATGGTGTTGAGGATGAACATGCCATGTTTGGCGGCATTGCGCCGCTTTGGCCGCTGGATGCCATCTTTTTCGCCTGAGATTCTTTATTTAATCAATTGTTTTTAATGAGATGAATATTTTTTTCGTGATTGTTGAGAGTTCTCTTTGATTCGGGTGATGGTAAGGAGATGCGTATAAGTCGTCGTCCAAGTCACACCACCAAAAAAAAAACACCAAGCTCGCTCGAACAATGACAGCGCACAGCGCACGATGGAATCGGTTATCTTCGTTTGCGGCAAGGCCAAGAGATTGAAATGCCGAGGCGAGCGAGCGATGTGATAATTATATTCAATTCACGGTTCCCAAGTCGCCAGGGGTATGATTGTTGGATGAGAGTGACTAGAAGGGGGAAAAGAAGGACATGGCAACTACTGCCCATATCTAGTAATATAGCCTGACATGAAACCAACCTCCGTCATTGTACATTAGTTTTCTTTTTTTCTGATTTCCAAAAAAAAAAAAAAAAAAATCCTCCGTAGCTCAGCTGCCCGCTTTCGCTTTCGCGCGAAAACTCGCATGTGCCATGACCGACGGTGTATCTTGCCCGTCCGGACTTTACGCTACGGTACTTGGGAACGAACGGCCCGGTTGCTGGCAAGGGGGCCGGTCCAGGTCCGCCGATGGGAAACAAGTTCAAACGTGGGTTAGATCGGTGCTCGCACTTTGAGCAAGATCCGGGGTTCAAGAAGGCTAACACGTAGGTCCGGGCGCGGGTGTAAGTGCGAGTTTGTGTGAGTGTGTGAGCGGGCATGAATTGTCAACGTTGACGGCAAGGGGGAGGAGGAGAAAACCGGGGGGGCGAAAGGGGACGGGGATATGGGAGGTTAAAATGGATAGGCTATTTGGAGACGGCCGATGATACGCCAGATATACGAGTATAGCTTTGTTGCTTACTGAGTGAGTCGAGACGGACAAGGCGCGGGTATCCCATCTTCTAGATGGAATAGATTCAAGCAGGGCTGGTATATTGCTGAATCGATTTAAAGGCTTGGCTTTTTGGCTTCTCTTTTCCAAGTACCAATTTTGCATTCCTCGTTTTCCGTTTATAGTTGCACTCAAAACGTCAAGATGCAACACACAGTCGGTTTCGCTCCCATCGCGTTTCTCACAACCAAAAAGAAGCATCGGAGGTCGGAGCATCGGAGCTTCGCTGTCGGCGCGAATGGCTCCAGGAGGGCCGACATTTTGGCCTTAGGTAATCGGCGGGATGGGCAAGCAACAAACAGCGGAGGAATGATAAATGCGCGATGACGAAACCAAAAGAAAAGGTTCCTTGTGAAGGATCTTTCTTGGAATATCGATTCGTGGTTATGATGTTATCTCCGTGAGTTTTGGAAAATACAGGAGATTCCGTGGACTGTTGATTGTTTGTTTGTTGATACATCGAGATAGGTAGGTGATTTGCTGGTGGGATATAGTTCCGCTGAGTAAGCTCGCGATTGTATGTTAAGTTGTGGCCGTTGCTGCGTGTACAACCATATCGCGGAGGCAGTCCATGTCCGAAATCAATAATATTGGCTTTGGAGATGAGTTGTTTGATATTCGACGATGAATCATACGATGCGGAGACATTTGTGCGGAAGCGTCGAATAGGGGCATCCCTATTATCAAAGTCCAGCTGTATAAGTCCTTGAGGATGCAAAGGCGAGATAGGAGAAGGATAACCAGTGCCTATGGGTTGCCAAGAAAAAACGGATCGAGGGAGCCACTTGATTCGTTTAATAAATCTAGGCGTCGAGGTCTGGGTGTATACAAAGTACTGGCAGTTTGATGCAGGATGGGGGCTATCTTGACTTCACTACTCTTCTCATCAGCATCACATCCGGCATCATGTTTAGGAAGAGTCAGGTAAGTGAAACTTCTTCTCAAGACAACAAGGACATACCAAAAGAAATGCTAATATTAATATTCTTCACCAATCACCCAGATCCATGTGGTAGATAAGAAACGCCACGTTGCCAAACCACGAACCCAAGTCTCTATCAAGTAGCACAAACACTCAGCTCTTTGCAAACTCCGCTATGATCTCCGCCACCACGCTCGTCAGCTCATCCGGCATCGACAAGTACGGGCTATGCGAAGCCTCCAGAGACTTGATTATCCATTCCACCCCCGATAAAGCAAGCATGCCATCCTGCGCCGCCAGAGGCAACGCGCCATCCTGAAGACAGCGAATGTACGCGCGACGGCCATCATATACATTGTCCAGCCAGCCAACTGCGGCAGGCCTCGATTGCACTGACATTGCAGACTGTGATGTTAAAGTTGGTATGATCGTTTTGGCCAGTTCGGGGGAGACGTCGTGGTAAAAGGTCTCTATCTCGTTTTTCGTGTACGTGACGCCTTCGGCTTCGAGCTGGCGAGCAGTTCAGCACATCATCACGATACAGATACCACATTGTACTCGACAAAACCAAACATGGGAGAGAAGAAGCAAAGGGGAGTTGAACTTACTTTACTCGTGTCAACCCACGGTGACCACATCCCCTCACCACCTCTCATCTCAAACAGCGACTTATCCGGTAGGGTCATAAGAGCCGCGATGCAGATGATCCCAACGACGCCTCCCTTCAAACCTCGAGCTTCTCGGCCCCTTTTATCCAGACCTGCAATGACTCCCGATCCAACCACGCCGCCGTATGAATGGGCGACGACCACAATATCTTTCCCCGCGTCGATCTGAGGGATGAGTAGAGATTGCACGTGTGCTACGTCGTCTTGCACCGTGATGCCCGCGTTGCCGGCACTGCGGTTTGTAGTAGTCTCGGCGGAGAATCCTGCTGCCTCGAGTGATTGAATGAATAGGTTGAAAACGGAGCCTGGGTGATAGGCTCCGGGAATGACGAAGACGTGCGGCTTGGGAGACGGAATTACAGCCATGATTACTGGATTGAAGTGCTATGCCGTGTATGTTTCCTTAAGGAGAATATAGACGAAGAAAAGTCTGTTGGCTGATATGTGTGTCTACTTGGTGACTTCTTATTTACGTCGACGAGACAACACTGTGTTTATATACTCCGCTCGGAACCTTCCGAAACTAGCATGATTTTACAGCCTCGGAAAGGGAATCCATGATTAGAACAACCCAGGCTCTTTATGCAGATTTCCCTGCAGGGCCCCATATTACTAATTGGTGTTTAGTCAAGGCCAGTAAAAGTGTTTATAAATCAGGCAAGTTATTGTCCGACGATGTAGGATGGGCCAAAGTTAGAGTCGGGATGGGATGAGTCAAAGGAATCATTAAGCTTAGTCTTTTAGTAGCAGCTAAAAGACTACATCTTTCTCTAAACCTTTAAAAGACAGTACACAATGGCGTCTTCTATTCATTAGTTTAAAGCAAACTACGGACCAAAAGAAAAGTCTAGTAAGAGTTGTGCTTTCATTGTGGAAACTCGCACGAACTCGCACGACACTTCCTGCTGCATACTTCCCTCTTCGGCATGAATTACCTAATCTAGGTGCTCCCAAAATAAACATCTCCGCTGCTAGATCAATGATCACAATAGAAAGTCCGAGTCCATGGTCAGCCAAAGTCAGCTTAGTTGGTTGGCAAGTCCCGTGGCTTGAGTGATTTTAGGCCAAGTCAATCAGAGTCCTTGCCACTAGCAATTCAAACCGTCTATATCCCGCTTAGTCTCCACCTCGTTTATCTTGTCGAGTAGACCGGGATAAATACGAGCAAAGTTGAGTTGTCAACTCCATGGAACTCCATGTCTCTCGCGTTATTGCCTTAACAAGATACAAACAACGGGTTAATCATAATTGGTCTTGTAAACTCGCCCCGTATCAGACCACCAAGGATTCAATCATGTGTGAAAGTCTCTTTGCAACCGAGATGATGGCTAACAATAGATCAGCTTCCTTCTAGGTTGTATCTTACAATTGAGTAGATAAAGGAGGAAGCGAGTCATATCGTATCAATACAAAAGTTTAAACGATATCCCGTCTAATCTGAGTTATTGATACATGACATGGGAAAGTTGCCTTGTTTTAGGAAAGATAGAGCTTATTCATACGATTCATAACTAAGATCTCGTATTTACAAATCATGCCGACTTCGTGAATGAAACACCGTAATTGGTTTACAAGCAACGTTGTATGAGTTTACCCTTTACATCCATTTAATCCATTTGACCTCGTATTGTTCAGAATCCAGCCAGCTTCTAGTAAGCTAGTGAATACTGGAGATTGGGTGATGAGGTGACCATCAAATAGACGGTATACCTCCTTGAGCTACTCTGAGAGCGGACTCGCCCGCCTGACTACCGGGTACGTTCGACCTTTCATATTATACATCGCTTTGCTAATTTTTAGAGAGTCAGCAACAACGAGAATAGTGATTGAGCATGAGTCAGGCAGTCATCTCTCCTCATGAACCACAAGTCAGTGTATATGGTGACATTGGCTGTCTTCCATAATCCCATGTATGTAAGCATCTGTCAGCAACGTAGGCTATACCGCCTATATCAACCCTAGGTAGACGGAGCATAGAGATTCCCCGTATCTATGCCGCATTCTCCGAAAACCCCAATACTATACGTAAGTTGATAGCGTTGTCTATGTCATGTACATGATGTGGAGATCCATCGGGAACCAAATTGCGCCGCCTTATGTATCCATCTAAGAAAGCAGCTTCATCACATCCGCCATTCTCGTCTCGTTGGACTTCTTTACCTTGTCCTTTTCCTGAAACGCCTTGGTGACCAGGTCGCGCTTCTCCTGCTGGACATCCAGCACACGCTCCTCAACAGTGTTTTCCATGACGAGACGCCAAATCTTCGTCTCGCGTCTTTGGCCGAGACGATGGACTCGATCAACGGCTTGGTCTTCGATTGCTGGCGCCCACCCTATGAGAGTACAAGTAAGTATAGACCCATAAGGAGACGGAAATGGGACGCAAAACATGGGGGTGCCAATAAAGCAACGACTTACAGCTGTCGGATAAAACGACCGTATCCGCGGAAACAAGGTTAAGCCCCACGCTACAAACCGCCAGACTGGCCAGCAGAATGCGCGTCTCTGAATCATTGTCGAGAGCATCGATGGCCTGATCTCGTCTGTCTGTATTCATGCTTCCGTCAATCCTGCAGTACTTCAAACCGGCACCTTGGAGCTGCTTCTCCACAATGTCGAGGAATGATGTCCACTGTGAGAAGATGACGATTTTCGAGCCATCATTCTTCAATGTAGCCCGAATTATCTGTAGCATTGCCTCTGTCTTTGAACTCTGCTGTTCAGTGTCAAAGTTCTTATCAAAGGTTCCCTCGGGGGCTGGTTCCAGAAGACTGTCCTCTGTCAGCGGGTTGCGGCACATGGGACATTTGTGCTGCAGCTGAATTGCCCTGGAGATGCAGTGGCGACAAAACACATGCTGGCAGTTTGTAATCACGGGGTTAGTAGGCACGTCGTAGCAGATTGCGCAGTCTTCTTGGCTGTCAATGTACAGCCGAAGAGCTTCCTGCAGCAGGGCGCGGTTCTTCTCGGTCAGAGGTACAACGTCCTGGTCTTTGAGCATTTGCATCAGATCATTAATCCGTTCTCTGCATAGAGTCCAGTGGTTGCATCTATAACACATCAGCAAGCAGCATCAAACAAAGAGCAGGGGACTTACGACTGCCGAAGCCGAAGAAGGCGCTCCAACACATTTTGGAAGCGGCCCTTCTGTCCACTTTGCGATCTTGCTTGGTATTCCTCCAACACGCCCCTGGCCTCAGATCTACGAGTGAGTTAGTGCCAAGTCCTTAAGCTAAGAATCATACGAGACGAGAAATGGTGTAGTTGACATACAACAGAGCGTCGTATTTGGCCTGCTCTTCTGGGTGGAAGGTAATTCGGTGGAGGTACTCTGTCTTCTTGGGAAGTTTGAGGTCGACAAATTTCATGTCTTTCCTGCGACGCAGACAAATATCCTGCATCAGAGATTGCAAAAGGACCTCCCCACTGCGATCGCCCATCATTAGTTTGCGCGAGATTGCATTCCCAAATATCTCAGGCTGCTCAATGCCTCCTGTAATATGCAGGAACTTGACCAGAGATTGGAGATCCTTGACGGAATTGACACTGATGATATGTTAGCATATTGTGACAATGAGAATAATAAAAGACCAATTGTAGCATGGCACTCACATTGGAGTTCCCGTCAGCACCCAACGGGACTGGGCGTGGAGCTCACAGGCTGCCAGAGCCGCCTTAGTCTTGACGTTCCTTATTGTGTGCCCTTCATCGAGCACAACTCGCCGCCAGTTCTTCTTTGGGCTCAAGAGAGTCTTGCTGACGCCGTCATCCAGTTCCTTGGCAAGTGTGCCATAGCTAGTAATGACAACGTCGTATCCCTCGAGCTCTTTGGCCGCCACTTTCTTGGCGCCATGATATATCAGGATACTGGGTTGATGTTCCTCTTTGACGTGCCTTCGGATCTGCTGCTCCCAGTTGCTCATCACACTAACGGGAGCAACTATCAGCGTTGAACCAGGGCCACCGGTAAGGATTAAGCTGATGATTTGGAGCGTCTTTCCCAAACCCATATCGTCCGCAAGGATACCGCCCGAGAAGAGCGTTGGCGGCTTGGAGGTGATGAACTCAGAGGCGACATTCCAAAACCGGCCCTTGTTGTCGCGTCTCCACAACTGGGTTATCGTATCCGAACCCACAGCTGGAAGTTTGGGGCTCTCTTTCGATTGCATCCAGGCCAGACCCTTTTTACACGCTGTTAGTCCTGATTTGACGCAAACATGGACTAACAAAGAATAAAGAATGGCAAGCAAGATTTTGTGCAGACATACCTGTAGCTGATATGGCAAGAGAGTAGACTTGAGCTGACCGGGTTGTTCGGCCTGGGGCATCTTGGACAGCTCATCCTCGCCCATTGCCAGGGTCTTGATGGCATCACCGCCTTTGCGGAACTCGATGGCATCGCTAGACTGGAGGATTTCCTCGAGTGACACTTCGGGAATCGCCTGGCTAGTGTCGATGCCAGCTGTCGAGATACTTTGAGACAGCCCAAGCACTACCCTACGTGCCTCGGCTTCCTTCCTGGTCTTCTTAAGCTGAGTAGCCTTGACAAATTTGTCTGCCTTTAGAGCACCCTCGATTCTGGTCCGCTCCGCAGGATCACTTGACCCGTAAAAGGACAGTCTTATGGGACAATCATAGTAGGCCTTTTCTCCTATGATTTGGCCTTCCACGGTGAGATCTCCAGAGTCCTATTCCGCGTTAGCTGTAAGCTTATAGGGGTAGTATTTAGAATTGTCAAACTTACAATGTAATGGGCGAGCTTCTCAGCAATTTTGCGAGGCAAGTGGCCGATTTGTTGGTGAAGCACGTTGTCTATGCGGATAGCATTTCTGTCATACTGTTTGCGCATTAGCTCTGTTACTTGATACTAAACCAACTGCAATGCTTGATACATACCCGATTTTCCGGCTCTCTGCAACACAAGACGGCCTCGCCAGGGGAAGCATATCCATCATAGTGCCTCACCCCAACGATTTTGCCATCTATATAGAAGAACAATTAGCAGTTCATTGAAACGATTGAACTGTGGAAAGAAACGAACCAAAAGTGCCATAAAACTCTTTGTCGGCGGTGTCGTCGTCTTGCGTCAAGTCCAGATAGTCTGGCTCTTGTGTAGCCGCTGGATAAGCAAACGACTGGCTCCTCTGAGATGCATAATTTAGGCCAAGAGGTGCCCGAGAAGTTTGCGAAGAAGACACAGCTGGTCGTTTACGAACTGGCTCAGGAGAATCTGCTGTGAGATCGATGAACTCGGCGGCGGCACGCTTGCGACGAGGCATGCTGCTGTAATGGGAATGAATGCTTTTGAATAGATGCTATAAAAACCAGGAAAATTAATTCGAAAGAGAGGATTTTTGATGTCTGAGGTTGCTAAAGTGAAGTAAAATTCTAGAGCTGAGCATCTCTATCGATTTGCTTCTTCTCAACTACCGAATCTACAATTATGGCAGGTCCGCCAGTTGATTCGCGTTCCGATTCGCTGATGCGCAGTTACGAGTACGAGAGTGCAAACGCGAGGTCATGTGACGTGCCTGCTAGAGAGAGGTACCGGCAAAGAGCAGGTGATCTGACTTAAGCATGGAGTACCTACGGAGTACTCCGTACAGGCTCCTTAGTACCGGACACCGGTCGGGCATCCACACAATCATGTCCCACGCATAGAGCAACGCCCGTGTATATACCAACCAGTATTACAGACAGCTCTCCTTACAATACAATGCAGCTTGCTTCTTGTTTTTATGCCCGTGAATGCTAACATCACCGTGACTAAGCACCCAAATACCTACCGTGATACCTCCGTAAACCCCCATAAAAAGTGCGCCGAGATCCGTCACCACCAAGCACTCGACTGTCCCCAATTAGGTCTAGCCGAAATCACGCCATCGATGGCTCTCCAGCACAAGAGGCCGAATATCAACGACATGCGTCCACTCTTGCTTTCTCCTTCAACTTCACTCTTCTTCTTGCTGCAGCAGGGCAGACGAGCTTGTATGCGATGAGGCGTTTCATTCAGTACCAAAAATGCTGTGCTTCGCTATATATCCGTCGCCGAGGACCGCCGTGGACGAACGCGGCAGATGCTACCCAACGACACCCAGAACCATGAACTAAAAACATCATCTTGAATACAGGCAACGAGACAACCATGAGAAGGACATCAGTCCCAAATCCAACGCCAGAACGCCGCTTCCTATGAATCCGATGCACACGCCGTCATGTCTGCTGCTGGCTATTCCTTGACCAGGCGGCCATACATGGAAAAGTACATGCAGCCGGGCACATGGCTTCGCTTGCCAGTCTTTTCGTCAAAGATGTGGCAGCCCTCCTTCGCTACGTTGGGGGGAGTGTACACTGGAGAGGTTGTCAGCTCAGGCCCAGCACAAGTGTCTTGAGGCCGCGATGCAACTTACAGTGCAGCGAGACAGCGAAGTCGCTGCCACGGTTGGATACTCTATGGAGGCCGAGCTCGTCGGCCATGTACGTCACTTGGTTCTCCTTGTATGTCTTCTCGGAGATGACAGTCATTTGTCCCTCGGGCTCGTCCTTCTCTGGGAAGGCGTAGCGAGTCTCAGTGAGATCGCCGCGCAGAATCTTCATGACGCAGTGCGCGTTTCCGTGGTCGTGGATGGGGCTGCCCTTTCCTGGGGACCAGACGAGTACAAGCTAGTTTGCTTCTTGTCAATACATTGGACGCACCTGTGCGAAGGTTTCGAGACACGACCTACCAGGTTGCTTTTGCCATTTCCTTCGTCGACGAGGTTACGAGTGTAGCCTCTGCTGCCGTCGCCAAATGCATACTTGGACCACTTCATGTCACTGCCGTCATAGTCGCGCATGAGCTCCATCAGGAAGCCGACGTCGACATCGTCCGACGTCAAGCCCGACGACGGGCCAAGGGCGTCCTTGAGCGCCAGCACGAGTTCTTCGAAGCGATCCCCCTTGTGCGCTACGACGTCGCCGACGCCGCCGAGCGCTTGGCTGCTAGACACAACGTTGACGGTCATGATTGATGATGTATTCTGCTGATGGCTATAGAGGGTGGATTGTATAGGGAGGTATCAATGCTATGAGGGATCCAATGGATGGGCAATACAGAACGATACGACGGGTGCATTTATCAACATCTCAGAGATACGCAACGATCGAAAAGCGACACACCGACTGGGGGCGGGGATGGCCGGTGTCTCTCGTGTCTGGTCAGCTGAGCCAAACCCCCGACGGAGGGTAGTGCAACCGGTGTCGGCCTGTCAAAATCCTCACTGACTGACCCCCTCAAGCCACACGAGAAAAAAAAAAGGGCAATGGTGAATGATCGCCTGTACGAGCAACGGCAAACGGGGAACGGGTACACCTGGCAACTATCGGTGGGTTGGGCCGCGCAAGTTTTGCACAATCTGGTTGGACGGCCAGACGCTAGGAGCGCACAACGGCCAGCCAGAGTTTAGGCGGTGCGGCGAACTGCTGACGCGCAGCCTCAGAGATAACATGAGATTGCTACGGAAATGATGACGACCGGGCATTGTCAGATTTCAAGAAACCCCGATTCTGGACGTGGTGACTTTGCACCTGGACTCGGATTTACGCAGCCTGGAATGTCACAGGTCTCACGAGAGGCTCTACGAGAGGGACTTGAGCATCGAGCACTGAGACGGATGTTGGCAGATTTTTTTGGTGACCAGACGGACAGTATCCGCCAAGCGTGGGGCGTCGTGAAACCTGGTACATGCTCGGAGCAGTAGCGTCGTGCTAAAGGGAAAAGGTTCAAGGGAGCCTTGAGAGATGTTCAGCCACTGATTGCGATATGCGAATGGAAAGGGGGTTGGTGGGAGATCTAGAACTCTGTGCTCTCCTTGCTCGTTATCGCCTTATCTGCCCCTGAGCCGTCAATAATTTATACTATCTGAATTGATTGTAATATTTTTCTGTTTGCAAGAAACACAGGCCCGGTCAATCTGTGTCTTATATTGGTGGCGCCGTTCCACTTATAAGATAAGATGCGGGATGGACGAAGGCCGGAGTACAAGGTACAAGATGCAAATTTCAAGACACCAAATGACGGCAGCGGCTCGGGGGTCTCCGACATCCGCGGCCGACATCCGCGCTGGGCCGTAACTTTGGGTCACTCGGCACGGAGGCTGGAGAGGCAGAAGATCACTAACATCAAGATAGAGTTGAATACGGAGTTGGTGGACACGGAATGGGCTTTTTTCAAGTTCCACATATATCGCCAAGCTTTTCAATAGGAGCTGCTTGTGCTCCACTGCGTAACTTTGGTCGAGGCTTTGCAGTACTTCGCCCGCTTTTGACTGAAGCTGGCAGAGTGCACGGATGAAGAAAATTCTTTTACAAGCTATAAAAAGAGAAAAGGGAGAAAATTAACATGTACGTTGCGACGCACGGCTGCTGCTGTTCCAAGGTGGGTTGCAATGATATCTAATGTACTTGATGCGAACTGCCACGTAAAGAACGGAACTGCTGGGCCGGGCTTATGTGTCCAGAGTATGTAATGTGGGCGGCCATCAGATGCCAATTGAACTGTATTCCCAAGAGAGTGCTTCTCTCCGGTGTTGTGTCCATCGCCATCTAGGTAGTTCGCGATGCACATTGGTGGTGAAAGATGTTGAACCCTAGACATTCATTCATGTTGGTGTAAGCAAGTCATACCTACTTGAAGCTGTGCGAAGCATACCGCTGGCGATGAAATCAAAATCGTAAAGGTAATTCAACCATTTCATCTCAATTCCTAGAGCCATCCAAATCATGGTGAAGCTGTTGCTTGGGTCACCTCGTATCTTACCTTGATCAATAACCGTACAAGACAAGTCAAACAATGCTCAAGACACATTTCATCTCGGCAGTTTCATTCAAGAACCATCACAAACCCGCATCTCGGCCCGTCGCCCAAACGGAACAAAAAGCAGCCCTGGTCATCATGTCCCCCCGACAGCCGCCCCCGTTCACGCCCCGATGCCGAGCTTCCCCCAGATTCACTATGTGAATCATCTTTGCACGTCAGAGGGCTGAGCAGCACCATTAAACAGAAAAAAACTGGATTTGTAGCTGCTAGGTAATCTTCTAGAATCCGATACTGGTGGATCCCCCGTCACCGGTTCATCGCAGGTGAGGAAAAGAGAGAAAGAAAAAAAAGGGTCCTCCGTACCTGGACGGCCGGCTGGCCGGTGCATCATCTGACCAGGGCCGGGAATGGGCGAACAAAACCAATTAGTCAAAGAAAAATTCTTTTGCCTCTCAAAGGTTTTAAATAACGGCAGACCGGCAACTTCACATGAAAAGAGAGAATCAATTCAATTCATTCAATCTCAGCGTTTTACACCCATTTTCCCAGAAAAGTAACTCCTTCGGCTCATTCATCCCGACGAACCGCTGCATCTTGCATCCCTTTGGTGGCTTATACACAAACGACATAACGTCATAGCAAAGGCCCCGAATACCGAAAAGGCTATGCCTAAAGCAATAAGCTCAAGACATTCATAAATACGGCGATTAGAACGACGACTTCAATCTTTACTATCATCAACTGAAGTTTTTGGTGTTTTTCCAATCATCATCTTGAATATCTTTTTGGTCTCATTGGAGACTCTCCATCATGATGGCGACTACAACAGCCAGGCCGGCAGATGCTCAACTCGGAGCAACGACGGAGAAGCCGCCACAGCCAGAAAACAACGCCAACAACAACAATGATAGCAGCAGCAGCAGCAGTGATGATGGCAATCCTACCAATCCTTCATGCCCTTCAAAGTCAAGACCCTGCAAGAATAACCGCGGCTGGCGCAAAATCGTCCGCAACTTTACCCCATCGCAAGTCTCACATACACATTCCATCCTCTCACTTACACCCAACACAATCACCAATATCTCAAGAAGAAAACAAAGCCCATCAACTAACACAATAATCTCAATAGATGGTTCGCCGTAAACATGGGCACGGGCATCGTCTCCATCCTCCTCTTCAACCTCCCCTGGAACGGCTACTGGCTACACATCATCTCCTACATCTTCTTCAGCTTAAACATCTTGCTCTTCACAATCTTCTGCATCATCTCACTCCTACGATATACGCTCTATCCCGAAATCTGGATCGCCATGATCTCACATCCCGCGCAACCCTTGTTCTTAGGCTGCTTCCCCATGGGCTTTGCCAGTACGTCTCCCTCTCGTCCCGTCTCAACACCAATCAACTAACAAACTCCCCCCCCCCAGCCATCATCAACATGATGATCTTCGCCTGCGCCCAATGGGGCCCCTGGCTCATCTACCTCGCCTGGGCATTCTGGTGGATCGACGTCCTCGTCTCAATGGCGACCTGCATCTCCATGCCCTTCATCGTCATGCACCGCCACCGTCCCGGCCTCGACAAGACCACCGCAACCCTCCTCCTCCCCATCGTCCCGGCCGTCGTCGCCGCGGCCACCGGCGGCATCGTCGCCGACGCCCTGCCCTCCGCCAGCCACGCCTACGCCACCCTCATCGTCTCCTACGTCCTCTGGGGCATCGGCCAGGCCCTCTCCGGCTGCGTCATCGCCCTCTACTTCCACCGCCTGACCGTCCACTCCCTCCCCCCTCGGGAAGTCATCGTCTCCGTCTTCCTCCCCGTGGGCCCCCTCGGCCAGGGCGGTTTCGGCATCCAGCAGCTCGGTAAAGTCGCCCTCAAGGTGATTCCCCAGACGGAAATGTTCCACGTCGCCGGCGTCGATCCCACGCGGGGCGCCGAGTTCCTCTACTTCCTCGGCATCTTCTTCGGCATCGTCATGTGGGGGTTCGCCCTGGCCTGGGTCTGCTTCGCCCTCATCAGCCTCAGGACCACGCGCCAGTTCCCCTTCAACATGGGCTGGTGGGGATTCACTTTCCCCCTGGGCGTATGGGGAACCTGCACCAATGCCTTGTGGAAGAATCTGGGCAGTGAATTCTTTAAATATGCAACCATGGTGTGTTGTCCTTGTCTCTGCATGACCTATCCTGCCGAAACGTTCCATCTAACCCTGTGATTTTTGTTTTACCAGATCATCACTCTTTCTGTCCTTCTCCTCTGGATCCTCGTCACTCTGAGGACGTTGCAGCTCGTCATCACAGGCGAAATGTTCTTCGCTCCTTGTCTCAAGAACCTCCGCGAGAAGGAAGAACCTGCCACCGACAGCGAAACTGTTTGAGCATTGCCATTCTATCTGATATTTTTGCAAACTGTTTGGGCATTGCTATTCTATTAATTCTTTTGCAAACATTTTCTAATTTAGCATCGTCATTGGGACACCAGGTAAAGGACCGCAAAAGCATAAGTCATCGGAGTACACAATTAGAGCATTTTCAACAAAACCTTCTTCCGGTATCATCATTTCTTGTAAGAACTTGGAAGCATTTTAACATGGATAATGGCGCAACGGGTTGCGGGTTATAGAACAAGGTGATTGGTGGTTTGATAGCATCAAGGCGATGCAATTCTCCAAGTACCCTAGACTAATACGCATACGCAAATCAAATTACACATTGAATATGATATCAAAGGTGTATTGCTTCAAGACGGGAGACGTAATTGACTTGCTTCTTACAAATGCTCACTCGGCAGTCTATCCTCTCTTCTAGTCAAACAAGAATTCTTTCAAAAAGAATTGCTCTCCGATATGTAAAAATACAGTTTGTCCGGTTTACCTAAGCCATCTTGCGTATGCCCAGCGAATCCTCTCCAGCGCCTTTGCTTGAACGTGCACCCCCTTGACATTGGCAAGGTCGTCCAGATCCTCCAAAAACTCCTTCTGTATGTTATCCGGCATCAGCTTGCTAGCCAGATTACGAAGCACGTGAACCTCGCACAGCAAAAGGCCGTGGTCCTTGTAGGACAAGACGTTGTTCTCCGTTGGTCTCGCCTCGGACAAGATACGGTCAATGTTTCGGAGGATGCGGATGGCCTTGCCAGAGGCCTTGGTATGACGCCGTCCAGATCGGCCACCAAAGATGCTGCGGAAGTACTGGAGGACACCAAAGGAAACAAACACACCGGGGGTCAGTCCCACGAAACCAAAAACCAGCTCTTGGCTCTTGAGGAGCGAATCAATGCCCGTCATGGCCACTTCGAGGTCAACCTTTGTCTTCTGAACCTGGATTAGGAGGGATCGGACAAGATCGCCCCGGACGGCACCGACAAATGGGCTTTTCAAGTCTTGCTCGTACGCTCGAAGAACGGGGGTCACGTCGCCCTCGGCCACTTTGGAGCGAATGTCTGCGATTTGGGATTCGGTGATGGATGAACCACCAACAGCAAAGTGAGGCTTGTCGGTGGCAAAGTCGACGACCATTCGCTCTAGGCTCTCTCGATCGGCCTTGAGGCTGTCTCTGCTCATAATGGCAATTTCACTCGTCTCATCGTGCCGAATCGTCTTGATGACCTTTTCGGTTGGCTCAACGACCCAATGAATCCAGAAATCCCGCAGTGTGCTTCCGAAGTCCGTGATCCATTGGATGATGTCTGCTTTGCGGTTGACCAAGATCTTGAGAATGGTGGTAGAGGATGTAATGCCGACGAGAGCCGGAAGCCAGTATCGAATGATAACCGGCGGCCGACCGTTTTCGTTGGCAAGAGTCTGCATGGCGTTGATATGTTGGGGTAATGTCTTGTCGATTATCTGAAGCAGTCGGCGAGCTAGGGTGCTTGGGCGATAGGGAGTCATCTCTTCTTCGACATGCACGGATAGCTCAGCATCTTCTTCGACACCGGCAAACACTTTTTCCTCAAAGTCATGAATATTGGCTTCCAGGCTGCATGCCTCCTTGAGAACCATGTCCATCAGTGCTACGCTGCGCTCAACGACCCCCTTGAGGTCTTCGTGGTCCTGCGCCCCGGCTCTCTCATCGTCGTGGCCCAGCTGAAGGCCTTCATCCATGAGCACTCCGAGACCGCTGGCCGTCATTTCCCTCAGCTTTCGCAGGTGCGCCTGTTTGCGCCTAGCCTCAGCTCGACAGAGAGCAACAGGCGAGAGCACTTTTCGCTGTATGTTGGCAAATGAGTGCTCCCGAATACTGTCTCGAACAACGCCATAAAATCTGCTCCATGGCTGCGAGATGGTGGATCTTGTAGACTCGACAAGCTCGGCCGAAGCCTCTGCCGCAGACAAAGAGCGCAATCGTGCCCGGCTGGCTTGGTATATGTCATGCGACCACGCCCACAGCCGCAGAGGAGATGTCTGTACCGCGTATATGCTGCTATAGCTGTAGGAGCTCAAGACTCCGTCCCAATACCACAAATCATCGCTCAACGGGACGATGCGATCAACCAGTGTGTTGAGAATAGCTCCATAGACCTGGACCGTCGCTTTGGAGACAAGGAGCCACTCGATTTCGTTCTCGTACGGCGTCTTGGTTTGCGCATAAGCCCCGCCTGCGGTGCCGTGGACCTTATTCGCTATCGCAGGAATGCCTGATTCGTCGAGGAGGAGTTTGACACGTTCGAGAGAGAGTAGCGGCTGAGAAGACGAGGTGGTGCTCAGGGAGCGAATGATGCTCAGCAGACGGTCCAGGTGCGGAACGTCCAGCGCCTCTGTGACGGCAAAGGGGTGCCCAGCTTCCGAACCCCCATCTTCAGAAGCCTCTTCGGACAGGACAGGGAGACGGTCGAGGTAGGCATCCAGTCGCCGCACTTGGCTGTTGCAGAGATTAGGCAGTTAGCAAAGTCAGCACAGCAGAGCAGTAGCTCGCTGTAGAAGCTACAGTATTGGAGGGGGGGCCGCAAACTCACTCGGCAACCAGCGACATGGTTTAAAATTGTATGAGCCGATGAAACGATCAGACAAGACAAGCGAACGGTCCGGCTGTCTCGACCAGGGCTAGGTTAACCTTGCTGAATCTGCATCGATCTGGGCTGGAGCTGGACCAGGTTGCGGGTGGAGTCGAATCCGGAGGTGCTTGGACGATAGTCAGACCATCACACCACAGGCAGCGTCCGGGAATACAGCTGGCCGAGAGGAAACAGGTGGGCGCGGCCAGTATTATCGATCCATCCGCGGTTTGCTGCTATGCGAGAGGAGGAGGAGAGAGGAGAGAGGCTTCTGCGTGGGGCAGTTTGTGCCCGAATTTTTCCTGAGCTCCAGAATATGGAACGCCGCGATTGATTGTTGGACGGCTCGTACTCGGAGCGACAGAGGAAACGAGACGAACAGCTCACGTCATGCACATGAATAGGGGGAAGAAGATGAAAGCTAATGTCGAGATGTCGAGACGAGGCGAGAATGGCTGAGCGGGATTGCGTATTCTCTTGTAGAGGTGCTGATGTGTTTACTGTCCAGTTGCCTCGTTGGAAGGAAAAGCCGCAGTGCAATTGGCTGTGATGTCACCACTGTCGCCTATTAGAGGCTTAATTGTGATGGGCGTTATGGGCGTGCTGAACCACTGGAGAATGCCCTTGATGAGATCATAGACAGCTCCAGCAAGTCGCAACCTCAAAAATCAGAATGGACCCCAAAAGTTAAAATTTGGAATTCAATACTATTACATTAGTACTGTAGATGCGCGTACAGCAGCACATGGGCCTTTGATGGCAATATCCAGTGTCAGGCTGTTGTACATACATGGAGCCCCCTTTGTAGATCTGCCCCATCCAATTACCAGGTCTCCGATTAAAAAGCTGCCCAACGTGGCGGGTGCATGTCGCTCGCGTATTAATGTGAGCCCTGCCTCTATCCAAAAGAAGAATATATGGACAAGGTGCAGTATCATACCCTTATCACCATGCTGAAAATGAAATCAATAAATAAATAATATAATAACATAGAACTTGAGAATGCCGCAAGCTGTCTCATAAAGATGCCGGGCGGCGGCCGCTGCTGCACGCACGTGGAAGCGAAGCGGTCAGTGCAAAGACAAAGGCAAATGGGGTCAGCAAAGCATCAAGATCAGATCAGAAGGCAAAAGACAAAAGAGAGCTAAGCTGAGTTTGTGTGTGTGTGTGTGTGTGTGCTCGTTGCGAGAACGAAAGCACGAAGACGTCGCCCAGATTTGTCTCACCCCGATGCGAATACGAATGCGGCCCATGCAGGAACGGAACGCACCTCCCGCCACAGCCTATCACAGGCCATCACAGGCCATCAGCGCCCAACCACGGCCTATCACAGGCCATGAATTGCGCGAGGCTGCGCGGGCCGTGGGTGGCTCCGATTCGATTCGCACGCTTCTGGCACTTGATCCCCAGAAGCCACAGCACGGAAACTCTTGTTCCCTGGTGGGCTCATTGCGCGGGTCCATTTTTCCCGCTCCCAGCCCAATCTTCTTTTTTGGCCACCAAAAAGTCCATCTCCTGACTAGCCGTTAGCACGGCCAATGAACGTCTTCAACTCTGCGAACCGACGATAAAAATCTCCCTTCTCGCCCCCCACTGCTCAGTCCCCTAATACGCTTGTCCTTCCGCTCAAGCTCATCTCCTTATCTACACCACTCTTCCGCTCCTTTGCTTCTGGGAGCTTTTCTTTTCTTCCCACATCCCCTCAGCAGGCTTGGAAGGAACATCAACAGACAGCATCTCACCAATTGGGCCTCAACCATGGACGTGGCGTAAGTGAGCCGCGTTTGCAACTGGCCGGTCAGTTTTCTAACCCGCCATCTTTGATAGGAGCGCGACTTTCACCGCGTTGAACCAAACGCAGGGCTACTTCAATGTCCTCGAAGAAGTTGGCAAATACAATGTCCAGCTCAACTACTTTGAGCGCCTCTGGGCTGTACGTTTGCACCCTCTTTTTCTCTTTTCTTGAAACCGAGAATAAAGACTAACTCGAGAGTTTCCAGGCCTGGTACCTCTTCATGCAAAACGACACTCTGGCGACCGGCATCATGAGCTTCGTCATGCACGAGGTCGTCTACTTCGGCCGCTGCATTCCCTTCATGATCATGGACAAGATCCCCTACTTCCACAAATACAAGATTCAGTCTCAGAAGATCCCGACCCTCAAGGAACAGTGGGACTGCGCTTCCATCGTCCTCATCAGCCACTTCACCGCCGAACTGCCCCAGATCTGGTTCTTCCACCCCATCGCCACCTACTTCGGCATGGACTACGGCATTCCGTTCCCCTCGCTCTTCACCATGGCCTGGCAGATTGCCATCCTCTTCGTCATGGAGGATACCTGGCACTACTGGTTCCACCGCGCGCTTCACTACGGCCCTCTCTACAGGAGCATCCACAAGATGCACCACCTGTACTCTGCTCCCTTTGGCTTGGCTGCCGAGTACGCCTCGCCCATTGAGACTGGTCTCCTCGGAATTGGCGTTGTCGGATCTCCCGTCGTTCTCCTTGCCTTCACCGGCGAGCTCCACCTGCTCACCATGTACGTCTGGATCACCCTCCGTCTTCTCCAGGCCATCGACGCCCACAGCGGCTACGACTTCCCCTGGAGCTTGCGCCACTTCCTGCCTGTCTGGGCCGGTGCCGACCACCATGACATGCACCACGAAAAGTTCATTGGCAACTACGCTTCCAGCTTCCGCTGGTGGGACTACATGCTCGACACCGAGGCCGGTGCCGATGCCCACAAGAGACGCCGTGAGAAGAAGTTGGCCCAGATTAAGGCCAAGAAGGCTCAGTAAACGGGCTTGGGTTCGCCCGGCTTGTTTTGAAGCAGAGTTGATGGGAGACGACACGATTTTTCAAACCGACAATCAATGAAAACGGAGGCACGATTTGAGAAACGCACATACTTTTGATGACAGAAAAAAGAAGGATTAGATTAATAAGTCAGCTATGGCCTAGCTGCGGCAGCCTCCGAGATGGCAATGGCATCAACCGGCGTTGGGGGGAGTGGCGTGAGCATGACCTTGTTTAATATTTTGTATATATATATATATGAACTTTGCGAACACCCTAGACATATACTTAATACAGCTCAACGTCAGTTCCATGGTTAAAAATCACGCTTCTAGCCTACCTTTGTAAACCCGACATGATTCTTGTATTGTTTAGCCATACAGATTCACGGCCAGTTCATACAGAATTTACACGTACTTTAAAATGCAACAAGCTGGGATGGTGACCCACTCGTTATGTAAGCAAACCGGAGCTTCACCGGAATATTTTCTTGCAATAAATTTCGCAGCCTTGAATCCATCATCCTTCTGTTTCCCCAATACTACCAACAAGCTCTACGTTCTCCAAGCACAGCATGCACGACGGAATGGTAATGGTAAAGCTACCAGAGACCGAGACTTCAAGTGACTCGACCATTGGCCTTTGATTCAAGGCCTTGACCGTCTCATCGAGGAAATGCTCGTCACGCCATATCTACTAAAAAGAAGAATCAATCACAGCTACAGCTGCGACAACGGACAGCTTGAGCATTAAACGTTTGCATATTATTCATGCTACCACTTGCCCTGACAGCCACCGCCATTACTAGCTCTGGCAACTGAGACGTTTCCCCCATGCGTTTTTCGGTACTCGTTCAGGGCAAAGAACAAGCTCGCGATTCCGATTAAGCCGGAGCGTCAATTGCCATCTTCTTGTCGAAAGGCGGGAGGTGCATAATTGAGGCTTGACTTTGTGGATCCAACATGATTTCTCCCATATGAAAGCCGGTGTAAAAAATATAAACAACCCCAGTGCGCCGTTGCGATAGATTTTAGAAATACCCTTCCTTTGTGCTTGGTGGATTCCCCTTTCCCCGAAAAAAAAAAAACCCCTGTGATGTGCCATTGATATTCAAACTCTTATAACCATCCTATGCTCACTTCAGCACTGTGTGCGCGCCACGAGCAGCCAAGAACTGCTCCGCAGAGCTCTGAGGCAGTGTTCTGATCAACCCAAACACCTCCTTGTTGTGATACCGCAGTCGGGTCTTGGGATCCAAGTAAGGCGCCGGAAGGCCCGTGATATCGCAGTAGTGCTTCGAGTGTGCTAATGAAGGCGCCGACTCGATGTTTGTGTACGTCGCGTTCGGGGCCGACACAGCTCCAGCCCCTCCCACAGGAGGCTTCAGTGTCTTTTCCAGCACGAGCTTCGACAGACTACGCGAAGCCTGTGCGAGATTTGGCGGTGGCGGGTTCCCGTTGGTGCTTGTGGCCGGCGTCGAGGTGCCGCTGGTCGAGAGGCCATCGTCGACGGCTGGGGTCGCATCGCCGCTGACGTCTTGCGGTGTCGCGAGGGCGGATGCCTCTCGCCTCGACGCGTCGCCTACGATGGCCTTAAGGTTCTTGTTTCGTCGCTGGTTGGGCTTCCAATTGGGGTTGCGGAAGTTCTTGTGGATGGAGTGGATGTCGAGCTGTTCGAGCAGCTGGATATGCGCGAGCTGCGCTTCTGTTGGAGCGGCCATGGCGGGACGGGATGTGGTGTAGATTAGAGTATAGGAGATGATATAAATGAATTGGGAATTGGTGTTTGTGGTGACTTTTGGGAGAGATTATGGATGAGGCGGAATGATCAGGCAACTGATGAAGGGATCGATCGACTGTCTCTTAGCCTCGGACTGCTGCTTAGTCATGGGCGTGATGCTCTCGCTGCTCTCGCTGCTCTCACCGAAGACGTGATACTGTAGCGCGCTGTCAAGTACAAGGTACAGGCGGAAGCGCTGCTAACCGAGAGCCCCTCCATCTCGTCTCTGAGTTGCCATATCATCTCATCAGCAACCATCCATCGAGGGACTGTAAAAGTCTTTCTATTAGAATGGTATTTATCAGAATCACATATGGATATTTGAACGTGGATTGGCTAATTCAGGTACAGGAGAGCCCGCACGAGCACCAGCAGAACCTGCTGCTTTCGCGTATCATCACAAACGTCGTATGGCCACCCACGACTAAGACGAGCATGAGGCTTTGACTGATGAGTGCAGGAAAAACTAAACGAAGCCATCGTCGTGATGAACAAGAGCCTCCAGGTAGGAATTATTGTCACGTATCTGTTGTGCTGTTTACCAATGCGGCGCAGGAGATTAATGTCCAAAACATGAACGTGGAGCTCGTCGCCCAGATGTTCAAAAACTACCAGTCCAACGTCCTGTTTCACCTTGAAGGTGCGATGCTCTTGAATTGCGATGATTGACTGCTCTTGGCAAGATGCTAATTCTATATAATAGCCACGGATAATTTGAAACCCCCTTCATGATGCGATGCAAATGATCGTTGGTGTATTTGTTGTGACTATTGTTGTTGGGTGGTATAGAGAGAGAGACAGGATGGCTGTGTCCAAGATACCAAGATGATGCGACGAATATGAATCAATAAAAAATAAAAATAAAAGAATCAAAAATTCCCTTTAAATGATGAAATGTACTTTGATCATTGTAAAAAGAACATGACATCTCATTAAGAGGCCGTCCATTCTATCTTCATACGGTGCACACGCTCGTGTACTGCTACTTGCGTTGCCTGTCTCAAAGCCCGTGAGGCGACCAAAAGAAACGTCGACGCGCTTGCGTTTAGCGGCTTGGACCCGCGCCAATGCATTTGCCCGTCATCAGCCTTGCAGCCTCGCGATCCATTGAACCTTTTCAAGCTCGCCAACGTCTTCCGAACCTTCAATTGGCCATCATCCAACAAACTGCCATCCATCAAAATCCGCCCAACGCCCTCCGGAATCTTCTCTCCCCAACATGGTCCCTGCTTAGACCCTGTGAGAGCTACGTCCTGCAACTCCTGCGAATAAACTCCCTTGCGACCAAATCATAATCATGGCTCCCTCGGCCATCGACGACCGACTGCCCCAGGCGCCGCACGAAAAGACATATCCGCCGGCCAAGATCTTCACCGTCAAGGAAACCAAGTTTGAAAAGTTCATCGAGCCCCAGACCGACGGCCGCAAGAGGGCGCTGGAGCAGCCCGGCAATGCTGCCATCGTGATAGATAATGGTGAGCTGTCGCACCGGCTCGAGAGACCTAGGAAGGGGGGACTGACAGTCTGTAGGATCCTCCGCCGTCCGAGCAGGATGGTCCTTCGAGTCCGCGCCCCGGATAAACATACCGCCCATCATGGCCAAGTACCGCGACAGAAAGCTTGCAAAGACCTTCTCCTTTGCCGGCTCAGATTGTTACGCCGATACGGCCTCACGAGGCCATATCCGAAACGCATTCGAAGCCGGCACCGGCATCATAAGTAACTGGGATGTGGCAGAGCATGTACTGGATTACATCTTTCTGAAGCTGGGCATAAACGATGCCAGCGGCTCTGTCGATGTTCCCGTGGTCATGACAGAAGCCGTCGCAAACTTGCCTTATTCAAGGAAATGCAAGTCAAATCTAACCCCAAATAGAAGACTGACTCCCAAGAGACTTTGACCGGCTAACATTTTATCCTACATCTAGCCATGACTGAGATTATCTTCGAATGCTATGGCGCACCATCCCTCGCCTATGGTATCGACTCGCTCTTCTCGTACAGGCATAACAATGGAAAGACGGGGCTAGTTGTGTCTTCTTCTCACACATCTACTCACATAATACCAGTCTACAACTCAAAAGCGCTGCTTTCTCAAGCCACAAGACTGAACTGGGGTGGCTACCATAACGCCGAGTATCTGCTCAAGCTGATCAGGCTAAAGTACCCTTCCTTTACTGGTAAACTCAACTCTTCACAAGCAGAGCACATGATACAAGATCATTTCTACGTCTCAAAGGATTATGACAACGAGATTCGCGATTATCTCGACTGGCATGGCCTAGAAGACCGAGATGTTGTCATCCAATACCCCTTCACAGAGGAAGTGATTGTTCAAAAGAGCCAGGAAGAGCTGGATCGCATTGCAGAGCGCAAAAAGGAGAGCGGGAGAAGATTGCAGGAACAAGCCGCCAAGATGAGGCTCGAGAAGCTCATCAAGAAGGAGCAGGATTTAGAGTACTACAAGAACCTTCAGGGTCGGTTAGTCGACGAGACGAAAAAGGAAACGCGGCGTCTACTCGATAGTCACGACATCAAAGACGAGGGCCAGCTGGAAAAGATCATCAAGGAGCTGGAGAAGTCGATCAAGAAGGCCCGCACCAAGGACGTTGGGGGCGATCCCGAGGAGGAGCAAGAACAACCAGATTTCAGTCTCTTGGAAATTCCAGACGAGGAACTCGACGAAGCGCAAATAAAGCAGAAGCGGCAACAGCGTCTCCTCAAATCGAATCACGAGGCTCGGGCTCGTGCCAAGGCTGAAAAGGAGGCAGAGAAAGCCCGCATCGTCGAGGCGGAGAGGCTCGACCAGGAGCGTCGTGAGAATGATCTAGACGGATGGCTTGGCAAGAAGCACCAAGCCTTGCAGGACACGCTCCAAAAGATCAAGGAGCGTGATAGGTTGAAGCAAGATTTGGGTAACCGCAAGTCTCTCGCGTCTCAGATCCGCATGAAGAGCATCGCCAACCTCGCATCTGACAACCCCACGAAGAAGAGGCGGCGCGGCGGTGACGACGACAACTTTGGCGCCAACGATGACGACTGGGGCGTCTATCGCCAGATTGCCGTGGGAGACAACAGCGACGAAGAGCAAGAGGAGGAAGATCTCGCTTCGACCTTGAAAACGCTAGAGCAGGACCTGCTCAAGTACGACCCCAACTTTACCTACGAAAACACCCAGGAGGCGCAAACCGTCTGGTCCAAGTCTCTGCTCCACGCCTTTACGCGCGGCCCGCGACCCATCGATCCGGCTTCCCAGGCAGAGCTGCACCAGATCCATCTCAACGTCGAGCGCATCCGCGTGCCCGAGGTCGTCTTCCGGCCCTCCATCGCGGGTGTCGACCAGGCCGGCATCATTGAGATTGCGGGCGACGTGCTCACGCAGCGCCTCGGAAGTCTGCCCAACCGCGACGACTTCCTCAAGGACATTTTTCTCACGGGCGGCAACACCTTGTTCCGCAACTTTGACGACCGCGTGCGGGACGGATTGAGGGCTCTGCTGCCGGCGGATTCGCCGCTCGTGGTGCGGCGGGCGGAGGATGCGCTGCTGGATGCTTGGAAGGGTGCTGCTGGGTGGGTTGGGTCGTCGGCTTGGAAGACGGCGGCGATTACGAGGGAGGAGTACCAGGAAAAGGGGGCGGAGTATATCAAGGTGAGTTTTACGCCGTCTCTTTGCCTCTTTGTTTTTCTTGAAAGTATGTTTTTGCTAACCGCTGTTGATATCTGCAGGAACACGACATGGGCAACTCGTACGCGTGAAATTGTTTGGATGGCGGAGTCAATTCATAATTTCCTTTTCTTATTATGTCTTGGTAGTCTTTAATACGCTTCCATTTATTCGGGTAATTTCCCTTCTCAACAGTCCAGATCATCCCATCACACGCACCAAGTAGACAAAAGAACCACCAATTCTCAACCATTAGTTTCCTCCAAGTCTGCCATCCTGTATGATATCGTAAGCATCATCGCACATGGCCAAAGCACTCGCTTGCCTCTCATTAAAAAAATCGTAAACATGCCGTGTTCTCATAAGCAGCCATTCTCCTATTTTATTTTCTCTCTTAAAAAAGCTCTTCTACATTCGGTATTTCCACCTCACACACACTCCTCCACCCAATATTGATATCACTAAATTCCCACAACGACAAAATAAAAGAAAAAAAAAGGAAAGGGGGGTTATAAACTTGCCAAGCCCGCACCCAAGCCACACAGCCTTGAGAGGAGACAACGCCCTCTATAGAAGACATCAGAGTATCGAGCAGGACATAGACACAAAGGAAACCAAGAGAAAAAAAAGATACGACGAAGAAGAGAAAAAAAAAATCAAAGGATAATTTCATATTAGAAACACAAAAAAAAAGGTCTCTTTCTCCCGGAACGCCCACCCATCGATTTAGAAAAACCCTCCCTTTTCTTGATTAAGAAACAAAACAAAGAAAAGGAGAAGAAAAAGAGTACGAGGCCAAAGCAAAACAAAAGCTGCGTCTGGATTATATCTGCACATACAACGCAATTGACAGCCCTCAAACGCCACCAACAAGAACTAGCCCTTTAATGAAAGATGGAATAAAGCGAATAGGGGAAGAAGATACAAACGCTTTCTTGGTCACCAAGTGGTTTTTCTTTTTCTTTTTTTTTAGAGAAAAAACTCAGCCTTACCCAGTGTCCATTTCTAGGGCTGGCTTGGTCGTTCTTCGGGGTTCAATGATCTGTTCAAGTCGTCCGCGGTGGGACGAGGGGTGTTGTCCTGCTCGCCTGCCGGGTCAGTCTTGAAAGGCGGGCTAGGATATGTCTGCGACCGCTCGACCATCTGCTCCTGAGCGGCCAGGCCAGCGACGGCCTGTGCGACAGCCTCGAGAGGGGTGCCGACGCCAGAGTTGGTGCTGTTGGTAGCCTGCGGCGGCGGGGGCGGCTGGTGGTGCTGCTGATGCTGCTGCTGATGCTGCTGCTGGTGGTGCTCAGCAACGCTGGGCGGAGGAGGCGCGGCAGACGAGGGCTGCGAGAGGTTGACGTTGGGAGGGGGCGGCGGGAATTCGCCCTGGGTATCGAGCAGTCGAGACTGGAGGTGGATCACGTATTCGCGGAGCGCGTAGTTTTCGGATTGCATCGACTTGTACGAGTGCTCCAAGTCGGCCAGGTCGCGAACTTGCTGCTCCAGCTTCTTGATGTACCCCTCTTTGCGCTGTCTGAAAGCTCGCTATAAGAAGAATACTCGTCAGCAATTATGACGCCATTGACGTGAATTGGGCATGTTGTTGAGCTCAACCCAGGCGCTTGTCGGTAGCTCATCCATGTAGGGACGCGATGGCGATGCGCAATGGCTTCACGCAAGTCATGCGAGCCAATCCGAGCGTTGCCGGCGCCGTCTCTCCTCGGCTGACCAATCTGGCATTACCCAGCAACAGCCAGACAGCGCCAGCGCGACATCGCCAAGTGAATTGGAACAAGGACGAAGCTGGAACCAAGACAAACTCACCTGTGCAGCTCTGTTCTGGGCGGCGCGCTTGGACTGCGACAGCTCGCGCTTCGCCTTGCGGCCGTCAGCGGGATTGGAGTCGTCCATGGACATTTGCTGCGGCGGCGCGGGGGCCAGGGGCACAGCCGAAGGTCCGGGACCAGCAGGGCCAGGGCTGTGGCCGGCGGGAGGCACCATGGGCATCATGTTGGCAGCGGGCGCGTGGCCGACGGAAGCTCGAAGATCGGGGTGGATGTGCGCTTCAGCGTCTAGCTTGGCGAGAGGGCGGGAGACGTCTTGAGGCGCCAGGACGTCGTATCCATTCGGCGGCCGCGACGGAGCTCGGGGATCGCGCGCGCTCGGGTTCGGCGAGGCGGACGAGGCAGCGGAATCGTGGTTTTGGAGGAGCTCGAGCTGTGCGCGCAAGTGCTGTTCTGGAGAGCCAGCTTGTGTTAGCTCAGCGATCATGAGACGGCGTGCCAGGATTGGAGCGACGGCTTTAAGGACGGAGAAGAAGAAGAATAGAAAAAAGAGGGCCGATGAGCGGTTCGATGGGATGCCAATCGAGGCGAGTCAACAAGGGAGAAAACAGTCAGGGCAGGTGGTGATGTGGTAAGCGAATCGTGGTGTCGTGTGGTTGTTGTTTTCGAAGCCGCGGGTCCTGGCAATGGCAAAGGAGTATGATTGATTATACGGACCGTCGGCGTCTAGGTCGCGCGCCAAGCGGCGTTTGAGAGACGGTATAGGATTGATAAACGCCGGAGGAGTCTGACAAGCAACCAGAAAAGCTGCCGTGTGTTCTTTTTCTTTTTTCTCTTCCTTTTTCTCGCGGACGGCGTTGAGGGGACGAGGCCGAAACAAGCAGCCGCACGGGTGGTGATGTTGATGATGCTTATGCCGATGCCGATGCTAGCGGGAGCAGTGCCCTTTTACAGCAACGCAGCGCAAGCAGCAAGCAAGCACCAGCTCAAGTAGAATCGGAGGCAGAACCAGGCCGGGCCGGGATAGGAATAGGAATAGGAATAGGAATAGGATATGATGGACACGACAAGGGCAGAGGCAGGCCAAGTCGAAGGGAACAACGAGAGCAAAAGAGCAAAAGAGAAAAAGGAACTGAACCGCTCACTAACCTTGCGTGTTTGCGCCGTTGGCGGGAGAGCTCTGCATTGCTCGAGGACTCTGACTCAGCATCCGGGAACGAGTGCTCGTACGCAGCGCAGCGCAGCTTAAAGAGCGAGGAGAGGCAGGTTGAGCTTTGCAGATTTTTGATGACTACTCAGAGGGGGGGGGCAGAATTGCTGACGTGAAACATGCAAAAACCAAGTGCTTCGTCGAGCTGGATGCGACGGGATTATGTAACAGCGGCGTGGCGGGATTGCCTGGGAAAATGGCGTGGCTGGCGGGCTTGTGCTCCGTGGCTCCGTACAGTACGGGGGTTTCGGTTCTTCTTCTTCTTTCTTCTGGACTTGTCCAGTTCCGCCCTTTTCTGTTTTGCTTTTGCTTTTGCTTTTGCTTTTTCTTCTTGGGTTGTTATGCACGAGTTGAATGGGGCTTGATGATGACTGATCGGATTCCGGGACGCGGAAAGGTTGGGTAATGAAATCGAGGAGAGCACTAGCGGGAGGGAAAAAGAGAACTCGACTCGACCTGAGTGAATCAAATCAATCAAAATGTCCGGAGAACCGATGCAGTGCGCACGACCCAAGTACCTGACGGCTGCCTGTGCTCGCGCTGCGCTGCGCTGGAGATGGCGCGGAACCTGCGGCTACATCGAGCGCCTGCAGCGGAGGCTCAACTGATACCTATCTCCGCTGCAGATTTACCAAGACACGCCACGTACCGCCTCATCCCTGCACTTGCTGCTTCTCAACACTGTCAAGTAGCTGCCAAGTACACGGCCGTATTGTTCTAGCACTGTCCCGGGTATCAGGCTCGAGCGGTACTTGGGACACGACTGTACCGGGCCTCCGTGCCGCATTACTCCTCCACAGTAATGGTGCTTCTGCTGCCACACATACATACGAGTAAGCCGTCAAGACCGATTTGAGCCAATGGTACTCCGTACATACGGTGAAGGTGTAGGTCGGTACGATGCCTACCAGGTACAGGTGCATAATAAGGGTACCTCAGCCGTTCTCTGCCTGTTCTCTACCTGTATCTGTTTCTACTATATATAGTACTATTTCCGAGTCCGTATAATACCACCCAAAGAGACACCCAACGTCAACACGAACGCGTCTCCTCAACATTGACAACAACAGCACACAACAAACACCATTGCTTGGCAGTACAGTACAGTACAGGTCCTAGTCAAACAGCCACGTCGGCAGCGTCTGAATCTAGCCGCGTCCAGTCCATCCCATCCATACAGGCGCCTCTCTTTTGTTTTGTCACGCCTGCGGGCGCCTCGGCCTTGACTGATCCCGGCTTCCAAGCCGACACCTGCAGCTCCTCAAAACCCGATCGGAGTTTGTCAGCAGTGTTCCCCATTAGCCCCATCAGGACTAGCGAGATTAGTCATGTTTGATAAGAAGTGGGTTCTCTTCGCTGTCGGATAAATGGGGTCTTCCCTGCTGTATTGCGCCGGAAGCGGTAAACGGTGCCCCAAATTTTCAGTACCGCCGCAGTACGGAGCCACACAGCGCCCTCCCCGGCCGCCTAAATGTATCCCAAGGTAGTCGCGCAGGAGGGCAGAATACAGTGCCAATAGGATGCCGCTTACGATGCCGCACACACAGTGCATATTAGATTCCCATTTGCACAGTCAGCCGCCTTTTCGTTCGATTATTTTTTCTTCTTCCTCGCTTTGCTCGCCAACCAGCCAGCCACCAATACGAGTCACGATTGCTCCTCGGGAGGGGTGTCTGGTTGGTGGCACTGATTCGTCCATGGCCCATGACCCTTTTTGCCTTTTTACGTGATGACATGGCCTGCGACTGGACTGGCATGGGGGACAAAAGCTGGAATGAGGAGCTTATTTCCGAGCCTGGGAGAGAGAGCCATGGTTACATGGTTCTTCGACAAGAAGAAAAAGACAAACAGCTTCGAGCGGACCGCGTCAAAAGCTGAGAGCGCAATTCGGCAGGCCTCCGCGTCTCGCCTTACGGCTTACCTCTTTTCGACTGCTTGTGCTAACCCACGTAGTCAAAACAAACACGCCCTTGATCACTAATACGCCTTCGACGCTCTCGAATCCCCCCCGTGCTCGTGCAAAGTCGACTAACCACAGTCAGTGCCATGATTACTCGTCTAGACGCCAGACGCAGCAATGGCGTTGGACTCTCTGGCACCTCTGGATCGAGGTCCTTTTCCGCTGGTGACATTATTGGGCTCCGAGCAATGCCAGAGTTTGGCAGTTGAACGTCAGGCATGTGTGGACGGAGTGCCAGTGTGCTCTGTTGGCAGAATCAAAAGACCCGCCCTGTCCGAAGCTAGGTACCACTACTGTACTCTGCGTCCCTTTTCGAGCGAGGAAGAAGGATCTCTCGGATGCGTCCAAACACCGCCGGCACTGGTCCGTCCAACACATTGGGTTATATCTACGCTCCCGCTCCTCAACGTGCTGCTTCTACAGTACGGAGCGTGGAGTGCAGTAGTAAGCTCGAACATTGCCCCATCAGGCATTAGCTCGGCCTTTGATTACATAGTAGCATTCCTCATGCTTGTGTCATCCCACCTCGGAATCGACAGGCTAGTTATTGACAAGCTGCGTGCTATCTCCGGCCAAGGTCCCTCGGCAAGTCCCGTTTTTGCCGGATCTCTCTCGGGAAACCGCGCTCTCGATACGGAATAGCCTCCTCGGTGACTTTTCTCATTCGTGATAGTCTAGACGCGGAGTCTGCTACTGCTACAGTAACACGCGACTCTATCGATCAAGGTGCAAACAATGGAGGCCGCGTCGTGTACGAGTATAGCATGGGTACTTGCACCTGGTACTCGACAGCGGATCTTATAACGATCCGTGGTTTCTAGGTGGGAATTCCTGGTCCTTGATGAGCGGAAATTGCATGTATTCGTATGCCGCTACCCAGGGGCTTCTCGAGTCAAAATCAGCATGTGGAATATATAGTCGACGTCTGTATTTTGACTACGATTTGACTTCGATGGCATCCTCCAAGTTTTATCTTGCATCAAAATGGGCAACTTTTCGCGAAGCTTGATATCAAACTCGGCTATCCAATTTCATGACGGCAAACCATTACGCGCCGGAAATAGCATTCATAGTCGAGTGGGCGCTTGATTTTTCCATCATGACTTCTAGAGCAACTCGTCGGATGTCTGAGTTGACATCCAGGGCCGACTCTTGAACAACTTGCCGCCTTTCCATACGTGCGTTATGTTACTGGTGTCCGTCAAGACTCGGATGTCATTCAGCGGGTTCTTGACAACAGCGATAATATCGGCATCATATCCCGCCTTTAGCTGCCCGCTCAACGGTGCCAGCCCTCCCAGGGTCTCCGGTCCATTGGCTGTTGCGCTTTCAATCGCCTGAAGTGGTGTCATGCCCAGTTCTACCGCGTATGTGAGTTCATGTGCATTGTTGCCGTGTGAGAGGGCTGATGCTCTCGCACTACTGGTCATGTCGGTTCCTAGAGCAACTTTGACTCCTCTCTTGATGGCCAATTTGTATGCGACCCTGGACTGGTCATGGATGCCAATCAGCTTGCGTTTGACCAGAGGGGGAAGCAGATCGCTGTAGTCTCGAGCTAGAATGCGGATAATGTGCTGCGTCGGGACGAAGATGGCATCCTTCTCAAGCATGACGTCGGCCACTTCATCGTCGAGGTAGCAGCCATGTTCGATAGACTTGACGCCCGCTCGAAGCGCAGCCAGAATACCAGCTTTGCCCATGGCATGAGCGGCCACTGCTCGTCGGCTTCGAGCCGCCTCTTCCACCATGGCCTTGAGCTCCTCGTCGGAGAACTGGCGGTCTTCCGGGTCATCGTTGAGGCTGCCAACACCTCCGGTGGAGCAGACTTTGATGCAACGAGCGCCTCGTCTTATCATGTTTCGAACCGTCTTGACGCAGTCGTCAACACCATCACATACACCAATGGGACTGCCGCCGCAGTTCATGGCAGCCATGACCGTGCTGATGGGCGCCGAGTGGTCATCGGCGTGACCACCCGTGATGGACAACGGAGCAATCGCAGAATAGATGTTGGGCCCGATCAGGGGGCCGTTTTGCACGGCAGGCCACAAGTCTCCTCCGAATCCTCCCAGCTCTCGCACCGACGTGTAGCCGGCCATCAGCGTCTCCTTCAGATCATCGACCGTGACGGCGCCGGCCAGGGCATTGTAGCCCGGGAGGTATGAGCCCATCGAGGCCAGGTCGCTAATGACGTCCAACCCCATGAAGTGGACGTGGCAGTCCCACAGGCCCGGCATCAGGACAGGCACATGTCTCGGCGGGAGATTCTGGTACTTGGACGGTCTGTTGAAATAGCTGCCAACCCACTCAATCTTGTCGCCTTTGATGACGAGCGCCCCATTGTGGATGGGCTCTCCGCGGCCGGGGATCAATAGCGTCGCTACGAGGAGATACAAGGTCTCGCTGTCCTCGACTGGGGGCTCTGAAGCATTGTGTGAGGGGGGAAGAGGGGGCTGGATAGGAACGCGCATTTTAACGGAACTTTGGAGCAATTATAGAACAACTCGAGTCCAACGCCAAGGGGGGAAGTGCTATGCCAAATCAATTCGACAAAGAAGAAGCGCTCAGAAAGGTGGAAAGAAACAAGAGCCATCTTCCAGAGTAATGCGCTGGAAGACGTCCTTTTATAGCTCCTTGGCCGTTATCACACCTGCATTGCGTGGCTAGAGAATCCTACAAAAGGAGCATACTATATGACATGGAGATACGATCTATACGATTTAGGCGCAGCACTTGCCCGAAGAGGATCTTGGCTAAATGCAATCCTACAAAAGATCTTGAGGCGGACGTTGGCTGTTGGCTGCGGAGCGGGTACAGGGGCCGAAGACCGATGGAAGCTATTGAAGCGGGGATTCGGGATCATCGATATGCTATCTGTATTCATCCAATTGAGAGATTGGCAAATAGATGACCGGAGCAACGAATATCAACTGTTAAAATGTAAATGAAGGAATGTTTGAGCTTTTGATAGACGTCATTTACATCAATTGACGTAGCAGTCATATTATAGACACATACCCTGGAGTGAGCTTAAAAAATTAGTTCAAGGCGACCCTCAACTAAACAACTCTCAGTTAAAACTTACTTACTCCCATCACAAACACCAAATTCCCAATTCATTGAAAGAAATGTCCCGCTCGAAAATCCTATCCTTACTCTTCTCCCTCAAGAACATCTCCCTCGCTAGTTCCGGCATCAGACACACCAGATTCATGTCCTCCCAATCCCCCAAGCTCGACCAGCTGCTTGTATCGAATGGCGGCAGGTGGACGTTGACGGCTGATGGGGAAGCCTTGCAGCGGAGTTTCAAGTTTAAGAATTTCACAAAGACATGGGTGCGTGAATATACATGATGGCGCTCTGGTTGTTGAGGCTGATGAGTGAGGGTTTTTTTTTTGGTAGGATTTCATGACGGCTGTTTCGCTGCAGTGCAAGATCTGGAATCATCATCCCGAGTGGTCTAATGTGAGGATATTACACATGATGATATGATATATATAGAGATTGTGAATTGACTATCTGCAGGTTTATAACACGACATTCATCCGCTGGACAACACATGTCCCCAAAGGCCTATCAGACAAGGACATCGGTCTGGCTACTCTCTGCGATTCCCTAGCCAAGGACTTTGGCGAACTGGAGCCGGAGCCGGCAAGTTGTGAGATGAAGAATTTGGCGGATGAGGTTGTCAAGGATGGCAATTGCTGTGTGAAGAAGTAGATGATGGAGATGAAAGCAATGGTTGTGATAATAGAGATGCTATGAAAAGCTAATCAAGACAATTCTGGGATTTTTCCGTCTTAAATTCGTTGCCCTCGAAATTGGATCCTTCGAGTTGAAGGTGAGTCTCATGGAGTGTGTCGCGCTGTCCCAATAGGATTGCCAAATACAGGTCCTTGCATGTATGCCGACCGTCCCACGTGCCTCGAGCAAGGAATGCCGAGGGTAGTCGTGTTCTTCTCGACTGATTGTAAGATGGTTATGTATTCGGATCCTCTTGAAACTGATGCCCTGGTATCGTTGCTGCTCGTCTAGATCCTCTCGAACCGCTGCAGACCCAGCGCATCTCTTGAATCCATGGTACAATAACTGGAACTGTCCCTGACTCTACATGTATCCTTCTTAAGCGGTAGGCTAAAACTCAACGTTAATGAGACGCCGCCACTACCTGGAAGCCATAGGAAAGATCTTTGGAGTGTAGAAGCGAGGTGGATTGAAGTTGAGCGATGTGGAATAGGCATGGTTGTTAATCTTCAAGAGGGCCATGAAAGGTTGGTTTGGGTCCTTCTCGGCATTGCGTACAAGGGCCAATCCCATGAAACTGGCCGTTTGATGTATTTGGAACAGCGCAGTATTCAAAGTCGGCATTCCAAGTGGTCGGGTCAAACAGGAGGATTTGGGCAGTGTGTGAGAGTACAGTTGCTGCAACGTCAATGTGGTCGCCTTCATCCTTTCCGCGACCGGTGATCATGTTTCGAACGATAGGGAGAAAAAGACAGGAGGGGAGCGAAACGTTGTTGAATATGGAGATTCCAAAGTCATGAGCGAAGAAGACACCTGGATTGAGACCGTTGTTGGCTTTTTGTTATCGTCTGTGAGTCCTGTACGCTGACTAGTAATGTTGAAGACGTCTCGGCCAAAGATCTCGTCAACATTGGTGTAGAGGATCTTTAGATTGCGAAAATCAAATGCCACAAAGAATGCCCTCCCTGTAAGCATTAAAGTTTATCAACGCTTCGCGATCAGATGCGTTAATACCTTGCGGCGATGCAGTGAATTCCTGTAGGTGTTGCTCGCCATTAAAAACATGTCTTTGGCAGCATCACGGCCATGTTTCTGGACAAGAGCCCTGTCGGTTTTGTCGATCTCGGACCCATGCGTAAGTATGTTTAGCAAGCGTATAGCTATCCCGATGGCGAATTGTAGATTGGGATCGATCCTAGCCAGGTGGGAGAGCAAAGTGTTTATTGCGTAAATGCGTGTCAAATGTTTGAGTGCCATGTCGTAGCACGGCTATCCTTGTCCCATGACTGTTTCTCGGCATAAACCTGCCACGTAGGTCTCGAGGAACCACTTGGCGGTGCTCAATGTGATAGTCAGCCGCAAATGAGTATGTGAGGTGGAAACACGGCCTCTTTTAGCAATGAACTGAGAGCGTGGAATGCCTCGAGCATCTCGATTCGTTGGTTCGAGCAAGATGTGCTCCCAGACGCATGATGAGGATGATAAGTATCTGCGCTCTTGTTGTCATAACGGCGAGGCGCTCGTCCTCGATCAGGAAACCTGGCTTGTGAGCTCGGACTAGATCTCAGATTACGACTCCAGCTTCGTGGCTCGGCGAGTCGTTAATGGTACGGATAACGACAAGTCCATGCGGGACTTTGACTCCTGGGAGTTGGGCGAGGGCCTCTTCAAGCAGGCGTTTTGTTCGCTGTAGCCTGTGATGATCAGGATGCGTCCCCATTTGTATGTCCGGATGGTGTCTGCGACGGACCGTTCGATTTCTTTGTGTTTGCCTTTGTATTGGCGGCCGGCATTGAATCAGTTGTTCAGATAGGATTTCGCTGAGAAAAGGGGCGCGGATGCCACCAGTCGAGACGCCAACTCAGCGATGAAGCGTGCGTTCGTCGGCTTGACGCAAGACGCATTCTGTTTTTTTCTTGTCTTGCCCATCAGCGACGTAGTGAGACACTCAAATGACTGGGTTTACGGAGGAAAACACGGTACGGCTCCATGTTTATCATCGGGGGCATCTGGCTCCTCGGCATCATGTGTGGTAGGAGCTCTAGTCTCGCCTGTGTGGACATAAGACCAAGCCCCTGATATCTTTTTGTGATTCAACCTTCAAAACAACGACGACCGTCGCAATTTCCCGAGAAACTCGGTGTCGCCTAATGTCTACTCGTAGACTTGGACTTATCGCCAGCATCTCCTTGATGTGGAGGTAAGTTTCTTGTCCTTGTAGATCTCAAAGCCAAGGTCTTCATTGGCCACTTTTGTCTGTGACTCAACGTGATACTTTGTTGATGTCGAGGTCCCATTCAAATTCTGCCTTCTGTAACATGGTGGAAGCATTCTTGTAACAGTTTCGCTTGCGTCCGATATGACAACGTTGACTTTTGTTGGATCCATCGCAAGATGGTTGATGTATTGTTGCTTGATCCAGTCACAATTTAGCTCCTCTATTATGATGGTCGTAGGTATGAGGTCGGCTTCAGGGAAATATACTGTTCCATCTAGCATCAAGAGCCTGGATCGTAGAGAGCGGCGAAGGGGGAGTCGTTTGAGAATCTTGGACACGACTGATTGCGCGAATGCGCTAGAGGCAAGGTAACTGTAGGTGGTTTAATCAACGTTGAATTCTTCCTTGTTGAGGACTAGTATGCCTATTCTGTCCAAATGCTTCCTGTATGCCGCGAGAATCTTTTCTAGTCCCTTCATATTGTTGAGTGCGGTTGCTTCTGCAGAACTCCATCAACGGAGTGTAAGTGAGAAGGATACAAATATTGATCATGAGCTCATCCTCTTCCCCAAATAAATCATCATATCCAACCTGCCTGCCGGTCCTCGTCCTAATTGGTTGCCTCTGGGATGTTCGGTACCGTATGGACCAGATCTGGTGTATCCCTCCCGAATCCCTGAAACGTGCTGTTGGTTGGCAGTCTAATAGGACCATGTTAGATCCAGACGTCATTCTAGAAACGTACATGGGCACTTACCGACTTCAATGCGGACGGGCAAAACCGTCAGAAGACGGTGATAAATAAATTCCAATGCCTCATCGGTGGAAACTTGGGTCTCATACAAGTCTCGGCGTGGCTAGGTTCCTCGTTTCGTTATTCTCGTGTCCCTAATATGCAGGGAGCAACTGTAGATAGTGTAGATTTAGAGTCAATTGTTGTTGGTAAGATGCGGGACGGCTCGAGATGGCTCTGGGAAAGAGTTGGAGCCTCAACCGGGGCCATGGATACGTCGAGATCGACGGGTCTTGGTGCGGACCACGGTCCACTCGTTCGCTTCTTTCGAGTTGTTCAGGGGACGCAAATGTTCGTACGCTGCAGATACTTGGGGGGGGGGGGGTTGTATATGTTGTTGCGGAGATGCAAATGTTCATGCGTTGCAGATACTCGGGGGGGCGTGTATATTTTGAAGGGACGCAAACAGTTGGTTGGTTGTTCAGAGAGAAGACTATCAAATCGCATGCCCAGATTGGATCCAGGAATCGGCAAAGGTTTGGTGGTTCGGAGGTGACCTCATCTTCGTTGACTTGGGTTATGCCATTGTGCGGTTGCTCGGCTGGACTGATTTTCCAACAGCAGCGTAGTACATATGTACGCTGCCAAACCTTCAAGGTCCCTTGTCCTTGTATGTTTGTGGCATGGTTTCGGAAGTGATTGCAAACAGCGTCGTGATTTGGTTGCGAATTGATTGAGAAATGTCTCAGAAACAGCCCGTAATCGAAGAGTGTGCATCTTGACATCAGCGTTAATCTACTTGTTTCGCTGATTTTCGTTCCAGGATTTCGGGGATTGATATCTCGTCATACCTTGGCATTGTTAGCACTTTTGGCTGACTCGCTGACTCCCACTGTTGGGGGGCGAAGGGCGCTCCCAATGTCCATCTCATTCTCTCCGCCCAAGTAGCTGTTGTCAGATCCCATCTGGTCGCTTGCCCTTGCACGAGTCCTCCATATGCTTGAAGCGGTCGTCGGTGATTGGAGCAAGGGTGTAGCTGCGTTGAACTGGCAAGCGAATTGTTGGGTTTGGTCTACGGGGAAAGAGTCTGTTGCATCTAGAGAATGCGCCACCGGGTCTACTTTGCAACTTCCTGGTGTGCTCGCTGTTCGATGATTGTTTAGTCGTCAACAGTTGATCCGTGTTGTGGTGCTTGTGGGATGCTGTTTGTCTGTCGGGCAAAGATGAGTTGTTTATACTGTGGGCAAGCTGATATGGCAAACTTACAAGACCATTAGCCAGTCAACAGGGCCGTGATGGAAGGTTTGGTTGAAACTGGATAGAGCGACTTACAGTAGTCATCCCCTTCGGGATACGTTTAAAGAACAAACCATTGTGCTGTCCCTGGAGGATGGAGCCGAGTCCTTTGGTGATTCATCTTCTGTAACAGTCTGTAGATTGGGGAGACGATAGGAGGCTGTGTGTAGTTGGGAAGGAAACTCGTTATGGAAATGCTGCGACATTATATAGATCTTTGTGATCAGCCATACGGATTGAAAAGACTGAGTGAATTGACGTTTAATTCACTCTATCTTGCGACTATCCGTAATTGACAGCTCACCACTGGGTTGTTGCATCTCACGTGTGTGGACCCGACCCAATACACCAATGAGATGTGTTGGTGGTTTCTACTATCTAGTAATTACTGACGGAGAGAAGCAGTTAATTGATCGCCGGATTGACCGCCGGTTGTCTGCAGATTTGGGTCAAGTGAAGCCATCGCTTAATGTCATGAGGCGGCAAGTTGGTGACAGGTCTGGGCGGTTTTGTTGAGGACTCTATGCTTCTTTCCGCATTCACTCCAGTCTACAACGTCATTAATCATCACGAGGTCGCCGATATGTTGAGCTCAATCTAAATCTTACGCGAGAACCCTATAGACATGCGCATTTGTTGAGATGCTGTGCTCTGGGTGTAGTAGGTAGTCACTCGATAATGCAAGTGTCAAATGAGATTGATCGGTTGGTTGCTTGATGCAGTTGACCCTTTTATCAAAATTCTCTTAGATTCACTAACTTGGAATGGAAGCTCATGGTATCCTCTGTCAAGTCTAAAGGCAGTATCCGATTGTGTGTTCCAAATTTGCTGGTAATGGCTGGTCCTACGATTGAGTATGATGCTCCTTGGCAACATGGAGTCATGATCGGTCAAGAATGAAAGGACTTTATTTCGTTTTAGTCATAACATGGTCAAGATGAATCCGTCTGAAACCCCCCTTCGCCAGTCTGATACTCTCGCAAAGGTCTTTTGTTTATAAGTGTGTCGAGTACATCTTGGCAGCCAAACGTCGACATGCAAGTCGTGATGATGCGATTCTCGAGACATCTCGTCGTGCCACACTCGGCTCATCATGAATCCTGAATCCCGAATCTTTACTGAAACCAACAACCTCAACCTCCAACTCAACCTCAACCTCACATGTCAGAATACATACCAACATCTTCCTCAACCAATCAGGCATCGTGACGTCGAGAATCACAGCCCGGCGCAGGTACCTCGCTAGAAAGACCCTTGCGCTAAGCCTAATCCGCGATAAGGTGAGCACATATAGAACAAGCACCCCCCAATCGCGTTCCGCCATGGTGTCCTAAGACAAGGGAAGCTTCATCTCCTGATTTCTGGTAAATCCAGGTTTGATTTGCGGCTGCTGCTTGTTATCTTTTGCCTTGCCCACCTTCAACGAACCAGCATCGCGTCCATCTGCACCGTCCTCTCGCCCCCGAAACATCTTGTCGCGACAACCTCAGCAGCCCGCACACGATAGCAAAACTTGTGTTAAAGAGAGGGGAATAACATCAGCTCGCCAAAATGTCCATGTGGCTGTCGGATAACCAGAGTATGTACCCTGCAGCGCGAGCTCTGGGGCTGTCCCCCGGTAGTGATGCGATGGCATGGCTGACTCGTGTCAATAGAGATTGGGGTGGTGTTCTGCTCTGGCGGTAGGTATGCGACCTGGTCTACAAGCTTCGACGTGGCAACGGGCGCTGTTGATCTAACGAGATGGCTTCGTTTCAGGTGGTCTCTTCCTCGTCGGTGGAGTGATGCTATTCTTTGATCGCGCCATGTGAGTCGTCCCTTTTCCAAGGACTCTACGCGGCGCTTCACCTGGCTAATACCTTGTTCCACAGGCTTGCGATGGGAAATGTACAGTCTTCCATGTTACCCGCTTGCGAACCGACGACCGAGCTGACAAAATAGATCCTCTTCCTCATCGGCTTGACCATCATCATTGGTCCCCAAAAGACATTCTTCTTCTTCGCCAGGAAACAAAAAGCAAAAGGCACAGCCGCATTCTTCGCGGGCCTCACGCTGATTCTGATAAAATGGACCTTTATCGGCTTCATAGTAGAAGCGTACGGAATCGCCGTACTGTTTGGCGATTTCCTGGGCACGATTGCAGGGTTCGCCCGAGGCTTGCCTGTGATCGGGCCCTATATCGGTATTCTCGCAGATCGGATAGGCCTGGGGCGCCGCAACGCCGAGCTGCCCGTCTAAGATCCCCGTGCACTTTCGCTCCGATGACAGCTGCCATACCATGATTTGGTTGTGCGTTGGAGAAGCTGAAGAATCCGAGGGTGGGGGTGATGATGGCAAATATGCTCAAGGGCTGGCAATGACTTGGCTCGAGTGAGCAGCGACATCGGCGTTTGTGGCGTTAACTGAACAGCGGCTCTCGGGGAGACTGGACGATGTAACAATACTGATGGAATTGTACAATACGTGTATCGTGCCTAGGCTTAGGCGGGACGGTTATGATGCAAACTGTAGTGATGGCTAAGCAGCTCATGGAAGGATTACTTTGAATCAGCTTTGGACGGCAACGTGAGAGCAGAGCGACAAAGGGCGCCGCGATTTGGCTTTGGGAGCCGTTTGGAATGAGACTTGAAAAAATGCTGTTATTTTTGGTTCTGCCAAGAAGACGTCTCTGTCCTCCCAATACACGGCAGCTAAGTTGCAAAGATTCCCACAGAAACTCCCCCCCACCCCCTATGTCATCCAACGCTATCCCGGACACGAAACTGCTCAACCACCTTGAACTTTTAATGCCATTTTGACTCCCCCATCTATCGGCGGTCAAAATTAATATCCGGTCTTCTTAAGGTGGTCGGCGAGAGCAGTAACGACAAGGGTGGCGTTTCCGGCCTGCGCGGATTCGGGGTGGATGCCGACAACGATGGCCTGCTTGGAGGCGGCAATGGCAACACCCTCACGGCCCTAATGACGCATATCAGTAGATTTCCAAGTAGAGAGAGAGTGTGTGTGTGTGCATATGCAATGAACATGTGAAAGGCGCGGCGCGGGGATCGCGGGACGTACAGCTCGTGCGTAGAGGTCGCCCTCATCGACTCGGGTCAGGACGAAGCGCTGTCCGGCAATGTAAAGGCCCTCAGCGTATGCCTTGTCGATGGAACCCTGGTTCTTGGCGACGATGTCGGCGATGGCCTTCATCTCGGCGGGTTGAATCTGCAAATTTCCACCATCAGTCTCTTCTACATGGCGCCAGACTAGCAAGTCGGGGGTTCACAATACCGTCAGCTCAGGAGAGGTAGCCCAAGCGCTGTCGCCAGCCAAGCTGATGATGGCACCCTTGGCGATGTGGCCGGTGCCGACCAAGCTACACAAGTCCCGCAGTCAGTATTTCGAATGATTCGGAGAGTCGGCCGAAGCGCGGGACGGAAAAGGTACCTAGTATTGACGAAATCTGCGAGAATGAGGCATGTCAGTACACAGCCATCATTTTTTTGGCTCGTCCTCAAAGGCCAAGGTGGGGTTATTCTCGGATCAGGGGGGGAGAAGAAGAAGAGCTGAGCTGGAGCTGGAGCTGGGACTGACCTTGCCAGGACATGGTGAGAGGCGGGAAATGTGGTGGTAGAGGAAAAAGGCAAGTTTGAGGAATGCAAGAAGCAGCAGAGAATGAAAAGAAGAGATGAAGGATGGCAAAAAGTTTCCGCGACTGGGAAGAGTCAAACGCAAGAGAGAGAAAATGGCGGAGTGGGTTGTTTATTTGGGCGGCTGTGGATATTCCATGTCATCAAATGTCCTGAGTGCTGAGCCTGTCTGTGCCCCTCAGTCCAGCCCAGGTTCGTTTTGCTTCAGCGAGGTGGTGCAGGTACCTGCCAGCGCCGCTATTTTTGCGCCGGATTCCATGTCACTGACCAATCCGGCGCCCAAAGTTCCCCGCTGCGGGAGGAGGCGACACTTGGCCCAAAAAACCCCCACCAAGAACCAGCTCAGCAGTACAAACTTGAAGCTCTACCTTACCTGTGCTATCGGCGCTACAGGGCGTCTACCGCCACTCTTGATGCCCGCTGCGGGTATCTCCAGATAGGGAGGGGGAGGGCCCGGTATAGGAGTTGAGTGCTGCGTGTGCATGGCCAGACCTAGGTAGGTAGACGCATATTTTAGGGGGAGCTGATTGCTGATGGGTTGGATCAATTGGATGCTGATTCGGGTGCCTGCTTATTGCGTTGAGTAGAGGCTGCGCTAGTTTGGGCTTGACGTCAAATTCAGCGAGATGATGCTACTGGGCATGTATGTACATGTACCCAGCGCAGTTCCATGGGTTGCGTGGTCACGAGCAAGCCGGTTGAATTATGGTTGCAGGTATAGAGAGAGAGAGAGAGAGAGACGAGTCGTTGAAGAAGCAATACATTAAGAAAAGGGGTTGGCCTGTGATAGTTGCGAGTTCAATTGGCTACATCAACTAACCTAGGCATCCGAATAATTCCAACAGCCACATGTAAGGCATCCAGGATTCGCTCCAAGACGCCAGGAATCATGGTGGCAGCCTATCCAACCCATATACTCAAAAGCCACCATTCCTGGCCTACAATGCCATCCATGTGCTGATTCTCATCATCCATCCTTTGTCTTTCTTCTCCCCGGACTCGGTTTAAAGGGGGTCCCTTTCCCCAGCAGAACAATCGCGGCCTCGGCAACGATCCATGGCCCGGCACGTCCACTTGTCCAGACATGGGTTTGTCCAGCTGTTCATCCAGACTCAAAAGGATATCTGATGCCAAGCGTTTTCCCACCGTTGCACCTACGTCACCAAAACATACCGTCTTAAGCTTGGAGCACAGGCAGAGCCCAGATGGAGCGTATGGATCCATGGACACGTTTTGCCGAATTTCTTCCAGCGGCTCCAGAATATTGATCCCATGTGATTCTCGTCCAATGTTGTCGGTGAGAGCCAAAATACATGTAGTCGAGTCACGCTCCGGATTCCTTTGCACAGCCATGCCCTTGTCCAAAAAGGATCATCCGTGTCCATATCATCTGCCAAAGGACTGTTGATACTATTTAACACTGACTAGTAGTTGACCAGAGATTGCATCACATGAAACCGGACCTGCTCCCGCAAGCGGGGCCCCATTTCCCCGTCCTCTGTTGTAAGTGGGACGGAGAAGGCATCGTGAAATGATGAGAGTTGACTGCAATTTCCTCCTCTATACTGAGGATGGAAGCAAATTATATCGGTTTTTACCATTATCAAACGGTGGTAATTTCTGTCTTCATTCGCGGAGAGTCTGGCTATAGAGGGCAATCTCCGCAGTGACAATGTCCTCCATTCCGCTATACTCGCATCTTCTCCTTAATGCTACCTACCGCCAAGGCGATATAAAACGTTGCCTCTCCTCATTCTCTTTCTTTCATCAACATGATGGTCGAGAATTCCATCGCCGGCATGAAATCGGCGTCCAAAGGACCACCGTTATTGTTGCACCTAGAATGGTGAGCCTTTTCTGCGAATTTCCGCAAAACCATCAGCTACGTCTAAAATGACCAGCCGTCATGATGCTTTCAGGCGCATTGATATCCATGTTTTGATTGGAATGTTCTAAGAATCCTCACACACTCTCAAGGCTCCTCGAGATCAACACCGGATATCGTGCCGCCGACGCCGATGGCGATTGTTTAATGCAGGATACAGAAATTAAACATGTCGATGCTCGTCGGATGGCATCCCGAAATTACACCTAGTAAGCTGGCTGCGCATCTGACGTATAAGCTAGACTATTCCCGCCATCTCCCTCCCAATGTCCCCTGCTCTCCATCTGATACAATGACAAGACAACAAGCTGTCAAAACCCACCTTTGGAAACCAATCTTGAAGTTATTGCTTATCGTACGACTCGCCATGGGGTGCCTCACGGCGCCTCTGACAGTAGAGACGTGTCAATTAGCACATGTAGTCGATGCAAGGCTGTAGAATGTCACCGTCCCCTTGAAGGTCCCGCCGCCATTTGCTTGGCAAGCACTTCTATCCATATACTACTACCTCTTACATAGTTGAGGAAGCGGTGGTTTTGTAATTATACAGATGCAAAGTGCAAAGTACATTGTGCACGGCAACATGACGAGGATTATGAATGCCAGGCAACCTCGTCCACGGAAGAAGTGAAACAGAGAAGTCATCCCCTTGACAAAGTGAGCCGACAGTCCCAGCAGCTAAATTGCAGGGAGGCAGAGGAACCGATGGGAACCGCAAGGGCCACGCAAGAGCTGAATACGCCCATGTTGATATACGAACTGCGAGTATTGCAGCTCGGAAGAAACCCTTGGACAAAGATCAAGAAGAAAAAGAAGGTAGAGATTTGGCTTAGCTGTAAGCGGAATAACCGGAGGCGTAGACCATCTGTCGCTCGGAGGTTGGCTGCGATAAACGAGCTTCCGTAGCATCGCTTAATCCCCCTTCGGCCTCTTCGCATCTGCAACGTCACGACGCATAGAGCGGCTTTTTCGCATGTGCTCCGTGTCGTATGTACGGAGTCGAAACTCCAACAAAGAACAAAGGACAGGACAGCACAGGACAACACAGTCAGGCACCGGCCAACAGGGCTGTCGCAGCATGTCTTCAGGAGTCGAGCTTAGTGTCGCACCCCGCCACGTTAAATTATCAGGGGGCAGAGGAGCCACCGCGTCTGATCTCAGATCGGCCTTAGCTGGAAGATATTGCCTATGTATTTCTGGAACGTCGGTTCGAGCGTGTGCTGCTGCAGTTTGTTGCTATATTTGTAGTTTCGTTGATTGATTATAGTAGGTACCGTGTTTGAGAATAGCGTTTGTCTGTGCTGTTCTTTTGTAAGAGGTTCTGACGCCCAACCACGGTAAAGACGGGAGGCGGTGGCTTCAATGTCTGGCAATATTCACATTGAATCCACCAAGGCGGTGGCGGTTACCGACAATCGATAATTCGCCGCGCTGGGCCAATGCTAAACCGCCCAGCTCGTCGGCTACATCGATCCTACAAACACATCCATGCCAGCCATTTTCCCAACTATCCCGAGGCTGCCTTCTGTCATGTACTCATACAGAGCAGAATTCCGCCGCAAACTCGGAATGGAACCCAATTTCTCCAGCTTGCCCAATCCGGCAATCCTTGCTAGCCATTTGTTTGGGCCCTGGGCTAGCCATCCTGGTGCGGATCAAGCCGCCTTAACATCCGGACATCGCGACCCCTCTCATCAACCTCAAACATAGCTTTGCCAACCAGAAGTGCCGCGCGTTGTGCTACTGGCCAAGATCGTGGCCCAAGTTCCGCATTTCGATGACATGGCTGCCCCAAGTCTCCCGCTACAGGGGCGGTGAGGGCCTTTGTCTGCCGCCTTGATGCATCAAGTAACACACACCGAAGCGCTCATACGACTGGTACTTGTACGAGCACGTTGTTATGCGCCGCGCCGGCGTCTAGGGGTCTTTCCGCTTGCAGCATCCAAGCAAACATGGGGGTTTCTAACAAGTTACCAAGTCGCCTAGGTGAAGATGGCCCCGTCCCGCTGCGGTGAGTAGGTAACATTTGATCTCGTGCCCCCCAAAGGACGCCGCCAAGAATGCAGGGCCTTTAAAGGTGGATGAATGTGCAAGTCGGAGGACAGGTATTGCGTTTTGGATTTCGAAACGCCACTGTCTTCATGCCGATCCGCTATCTCGGCGCTACTACTGGACTGGTGCTGATAGTTCGCCGTTGCCAGCTAAGAGGCATCTTACCTTTATCAAACGCCTCTTCCCCGTGTTCTGAGCCAAGAGGAGGAAATCATCGCATGATCGCTTCTGATCGACTTGTCCCCAGGCCAGTTCTCGTCCTCTTCACAGAGTCTGGCCCCGGTTGCTGAACGATGGGGCTGTTCAAGGTACGGGCAGGGGACGCCGCAACCTTGCAAAAACAAAATTTCTCCCAATCTGAGCTTGCCCACAGCAGCACGCCGACTTATGCAGCATCGGAAGAGGGCCCGCAAAAATGGGCAGATGGGGATTACAAGTCCTCTTATAAACCGGCCTCGTCCGCGTCGCTCGGATCGGTCACGACTGAAAGCGCTGCTAGCCCTTCTCAAAACCACAGTCCTTACCATTCTTCAGGCCTGGATGCCAATTCTGCCGCCGGACGGCTTAGACAAGTTGATCAGTTTGGATATAGCAGGTCTACCGATCAGATCAGTTTGGAATCGAAGGCGACCATCTCTGTTGATCATTCTGCGAGTACGAGACACTTGGAAGCACGAGCTATCCGGCATTATCACATCCCGTATCCACGCGAGGTATCGTCGCCAGCATCAATTTCCAAAAACACACCAACTTCATCCTCATTGGCGCCACCTCCAATGAACAGAGGCGACGCACCGACTACGATCGGAATGGCGCTTGGAAGCCCGAGCCACCCTCCTGGATCTGCCGAGGCACCATGGAACCAAACTCAAGTCCTTACGACGGTGACTTCTGGGGGAGATGCGTCGGAATCCAGTTCTAATCCCAACGGCATGTCAAGGTCAATGTCGAAAAGATGGAATCCTTTTAGTAGGACCAAGTCGAAGCGATCTAAGCCAGCCGATAGCCCGGCCTCGCGAGCGGCGGGTACAGATTTGGGAAAGAGCATGGATCTTGGAAGTCGTTCCAACTTGGCGAAAAATGGTGGCGATAAAGAGAGTGACAGAAAGGGGTCAGCGGCACGCAAGGACAGTTCGAGCAGCTTATCGAGACATCCAATCCCCGATATGCCTGTGCTACCAAATTCACGAGACGCAGCGGCGCCGACACGAGAAGCTCCCGCTCCGCCACAGATTCAGGTTGAGCAGCCGAAGCAACTACAGTCTCTTCTGAGTATCGAGATTCCGACAATTGAAATGGAGCGCTACAGCATCATGTTTGGAAATATTCTTCAGAAGCAGCAGCAGCAGCACCAATACTTCCTTCAACCGGCCCAGGAGTCTCAACCACCAAAAGAGCCGCAGCTGGAAGCACAAGCAGAACAGACTGCGAAGCTGCAACAAGTACAGGAAGCTCAAGAGGTTCAAGAGGTCTTGGAGATCCAGGTCCCTCAACGTCCCGAAGAACCTAGACGGCCGGCGCCCTCACCAAGACCTCAGCGATCAAACTCAAAAGAGTCGGAAAACCCCGAGGAGCCTCAGGAGCCACAACAATCACAAGACTCTCTGCAGTCGCCGCAGCAGCCGTCACAACAGTCACCAAGGCCTAGCTTGCCTGTCCGACGACAAATCAAGATAGAGAGGCTAAACCTGCCGGCAGCCAAGAGCTACCGAGATGGTTCTGTGCCCATCGAGATCATAGTACCACGGAGAGGAAGTTCGCCTTTGCCAGAAAGCACACCGTCAGACTCTCTCGCCGTGCCCAACCAGGCCCCAGCAGGCAATCCCCCTAGGCTCTCCTCACGAAGACGATCCAACACCACTCCTGCCGCCGTGGTCAACTTCCCGACTCCAGCCATGTATAAAGTACCGGCGCAGTCGAGAAAGAGAACTACATCGGTTTCTACCCCCTCCAACGAGGAGCCACCCCTGCCCGCAGACGCCGAAACAACGCCAGAGCGACGTGAGCGCCTCATCTCCAAGTTCCATCACAAAGAATCACCATCCGAGTCCAGCATGCCAAAAGTCACTGATCAGCCATCCGAATCTCCCGCCTCCGTATCCACACAATCACAATCACAACCACAGCCACCACAGCCGCGATCTATCCTCAAAAAGCCATCAGGGCCACCGCCTCCTCCACCCACAAACCGCGTGGCCAAACCTGTAGCAGCATCTCAGGAAGCTGCGCCTCCGAAGCAACACCAACACCAAGTATCCATGGCGTCCATCCGCACCAACGCAGACGAAGAAGAGGTCGAAAAGGCCCTGTACGAGGCCGTCGAAGTCTCGATTGCGCGGCAGATTAGCGTCTCAAGGCAGCAGCGTAAATTGCTGGTGCCTCTGAACCGTTCCGCTTCGAGGAGGAACCCGGGCGAGCCTGCGCCTGACGCGGCCTCCAACATCAAGCTGGACAAGAACAAGCGGCTTGTTGAGACGAGGACTGCGGTCCCGGTTTTGGTTCATCCTGCTAGCCGGGCGAATACTCCGCAAGGTGGTGGTGGTGGCTATCGAAAGAGCTCGCGTGTGGTTCTTGAAGGAGCATGACGGAACGACCTTTTACGTTTCTGACTGATGTATTCTTGTCTATTTTTTTAAGCCCTTATTTTCTCTCTTTCTTTCATCTTCGTTTTCTACATGATTTAGCCACCTGGCGTGCATCACTAGCTACCCACTCATATGCCCTCACTTACTTCCATTTCATCTGTCATTTTCTTCTTCTTCATATTTGATAAGCCCGACTTGTTCAAGATTCCCTTCTACTTTATTCAATGGCATTAGTGCATAGCCCCGGGGGCCAGCTTTGATGGCGGATATATAAAAACATTACAAAGCGAAACACTGGCTGTGTTGAGCAGTCTTATGAAAAATCTAACAAAAATATCATTTGGTATTTTTTATATATTTGTGTGCAAAATCGCAGTGAACACCCTCGTCTTTTCCCATTGTGTGTGTGTGTTTGTTTACGTATTAAATATAGGTGAGGTATTGTGCGAGTTGTGTGTCTTTCGTAATAACCAATCTTTCAAAGCAAACACCCCATTTGTTGCTGAAACATGAACCGCATGCAACGCCAAATGAAACAACCTAATTACATCAACACGCAGCAGGAATTCTGCTTCTTTGCTTGCTCTAAATTTTAAAATCCACATTAGTAAATGAATCCCAATCATCATAAAGAGGAAAATAATCAAAGACAAAGGGTATCATACGATAAAACATCTTGCTCTGAGCGCTCAGGCCATCGCTCTTCGCCACCAAGTCGTCAATCTTCTCTCCTCGCTGCAATACGCTCTCGATAGTCTTGTGCAGGACAATCTTGGTCTCGTCGAGCTCCTTCTGAATCTTCATGATGCTGTCGGCCTGCTGCGGGTCCTGGTACTTTTCGAGGTAGTCCTTGAGCTCGGGGAAGGGCAGGACGGGCTCGCCGGTGGCCCACGAGGAGCGCGGGTGCTTGGTGAGGAACTCGTCGACGACTTTGCTGAGGAGCTGGTGGGCGACCAGGGCGGGGTATTGGTGGTCGGAGATGATGATGCCGCAGATGCCCTCGGTGCGGCCGTAGGCGTGGAAAGTGTAGTCTGTGGTTGATGCGTGTGAGCAGCGTTGAAGGGTTTCATGAGTGGTGATGGTTTGTTTTTCCCCCTCCTCCTCTCCCCCTTTGGGGGAGTTTGGCAAGGGAGGGTTGGATTTTCCGTACCTTGTTCTTCGACGTCTTGTCGCTGGGCGGGTCGGGTGCGCTCGGCGACGGTCTTTGCGAAAAGGCTCATGAACTCGCCATAGCTGGAGAAGATCTCTGTTAGTCGTTTGTTTGGGCGAGACGGTGCCTTGGGAGAAGACGAGGCCGGCTTTCTGCGGGGAGGACGAAGACGAACTTGCCGCGTGTGAAGCGCGAGTATGCGCTCAGCTCCTTCTCGGAAGCGATCTCGACTGCGGGCTGGCTATCGTTGCGGATGATCTGTCTCGAGAGATGCCGTGTTAGCCAGGAGGGACGATTAGGCTCGAGGACTCGGTGAAGACAAAGGGTAGGAGGGCAACTCGATTGGACGCACGCCGATGTAGTGAAGCTTCATGATGGGCGAGACTTGTTGATCGCGGTTCGTTCTATCCGTCTAGATGTTCGAGCAAGGAGGTGCAGAGTCGTGCGCGGCGAGTGTGCTGGTTGAAATTGCAGGCCAAAGGAGCGCGTCAGAGAGGTGGGAAATGGATGAAGTCGATGTTGAAAGACGTCTGCGGTTTCAAACAAGAGGAGTTTCAGTTGCGCTAATGTTGGTTGGTTCCATGGCTGGGATTCACATTCCGCCATCATCTGCACGGGCGGATTTTAGGCGCCTTACCGCACAGCGGACCCCGCTAATTCCAGGCGTGCAACAAGCAGGATTCAGCGCTGTTGGGTGGATCCACGGATGTCTTCCAGGCGATTGATGGGTCGGTATGACTCTCCAAGTACTTGATGCGTCATCCAGATTCCAAGCATTTCTGCGGGACATTAAAAGGTTAGGAGGGACCGCTAAGCATCAGGATCACCAAAGCGACAGATTGCGACGTTTTTTCGCGTCTGACCGACTACGATTTCTCGATTTCTGATTCGTTGTGGCTTAAAGAAAGATTCGACCTTGAACCAACAATGGCCTCAGCTGATCTGTTGAGCGCAGAGGCCGAGTGGAGGCAGCAATTTGCTGCTATGCAGGCGGCCCTTGCTAATCTCAAGCTGCCTCAAAATAGCATCAAAGCGCCCGATGCTGATGCCGATCTAGACGACGACGACTTTGGTGGCTATTCCTCCACCACCAGCGGCCACGACGTCTGGGACTTCGTCTCTGACGAAGACGAGGAGTACTACAGCAGCGACTTTGCCGAGGACGGGACCGGTGCAGCCGCTGGTGGGTTTGGGGTCGAGTGGCTTACCGCCAAATGTGCTTCCATTGCAGCCAAGAATGGCATGTCTCCCGATGTCTTCCAGACTCAGATCGTGAGCGTGCTGTCATCTGGCCAGCCTGAGGATGAACTGCAGGCTCATCTCACTGATTTGGTTGGGTTTGATGACTTGGACTTTATCATTGAGCTCTTGGGACACAAAGATGAAGTTGTTGCGTCCGCCTCAACTTACCATGAGCAGCCGGAAACCCAAGGACGAAAACTTTTGACCAAAGCTCAGAGAGATGAGGCTCTTCGCACGCGAGACTACCAGCACAAAAACACTGCCCTTGCGCCTAGCTACGCCAAAGAACCTCAGTACCCTCACGTTTACAGGGCATACAATGCGGGAAACACCCTGAGCTCTTCTGGCAAAAAGTACGGCCTGCCGGTCGGTAGTGAGCGTCTTCAGTTTGAGAAATATGAGGAATATTTCGTTCCAGCTGGAAAGAAAGGCGTACCCGGGCCCGGAGAGAAGCTCATCAAGATTGTAGATTTAGATGGGCTTTGCCGCAATACATTCAAGGGGTACAAGACACTCAACCGGATGCAGAGTTTGGTCTTTCCAGTTGGATACAAGACGAGCGAAAACATGTTGATCTGTGCTCCGACCGGTGCAGTAAGTTCACTAGACTTCGTGGCAAGCTCTTTACCAATGCTCATGATTATACTAGGGTAAAACTGATGCAGCCATGCTCACGATTCTTCACACCATTGGTCAGCATGTTCAGCCAAATCCCATTGAAAACCCTGAGGCGATAGAATTTGCTGTCAACACGGATGATTTCAAAATTGTCTACGTCGCGCCCATGAAGGCTCTGGCAGCCGAAGTTACCGAGAAGCTGGGCAAGCGTCTTGCATGGCTGGGCATCAAGTGCCGAGAATACACTGGCGATATGCAGCTCACCAAGTCTGAAATTGTCCAGACTCAAATCATCGTCACCACCCCTGAAAAGTGGGATGTTGTCACCAGAAAGGGAACCGGAGATACGGAGCTGGTGCAGAAGGTGAGGCTGCTCATCATCGATGAAGTCCACATGCTTCACGATGAACGAGGAGCCGTTTTGGAATCTCTGGTTGCTCGAACAGAGAGGCAGGTGGAAAGCACTCAGTCGCTCATTCGAATCATTGGTCTGAGTGCTACCTTGCCCAATTATGTCGATGTTGCCGATTTCCTGAAAGTGAACAAGTATGCTGGCCTGTTTTATTTCGATGCTTCGTTCCGCCCTGTTCCGCTGGAGCAGCATTTCATCGGTGTCAAAGGAAAAGCCGGATCCAAGACTTCCAAAGACAACTTGGATAATATTGCCTTCGACAAGGTCAAGGACATGCTGCAGCGCGATCATCAAGTCATGGTATTTGTGCATTCCCGGAGAGACACTATGGTGACGGCAAGGATGCTTCACCAAAAGGCAATTGAGCAGTTCTGTGTCGATCTTTTCGACCCATCAGGGCATCCTCAGTTTGGCCAGGCATCACGAGACATGGGCCAGTCCAAGTCCAAGGATATTCGAGATCTGCTCTCCAAGGGCATCGGTGTTCACCATGCTGGTATGGCAAGAGCAGACAGAAACCTCATGGAGCGACTCTTTGCCGATGGCGTACTAAAAGTTCTCTGCTGTACCGCTACTCTGGCATGGGGTGTCAACTTGCCGGCTGCGGCAGTCGTCATCAAGGGTACTCAGGTGTACAGTGCACAGGAAGGTAAATTTATTGATCTCAGCATTCTCGATGTGCTTCAGATCTTTGGTCGTGCCGGTCGTCCCCAGTTTGAAGACACTGGTATCGGCATGATCTGTACCACCCTTGACAAGCTTCCACACTACTTATCAGCCATAACGGAACAGCAGCCCATCGAATCAAAATTCTCGACCAAATTGGTTGACAATCTCAATGCCGAAATCGCCCTGGGCACTGTCACGTCGATTCCAGAAGCCGTCCAATGGATAGGATACTCGTATCTGTTTGTGCGAATGCAGAGGAGCCCGATGACTTATGGCATTGAGTGGGCGGAAATACGTGATGATCCAAACTTGGTTCAGCGACGCCGTCAATTGGCGATACAGGCCGCGCGAACTCTACAGCAATCGCAGATGATCATCTTCAATGAGAATACCGAAGAGCTCCGCAGCAAGGACATTGGCCGCATTGCCAGTCAATACTACATCCTTCACACGAGCATCCAAGTATTCAACACGATGATGAGTCCTCAAGCCACCGAGGCCGACGTCTTGAAGATGATTAGCATGAGTGGAGAATTCGACAATATCCAGTCCAGAGACAGTGAAGCAAAGGAGCTGCTGCAGTTCAAGGAGATTGTTCCATGTGATGTTGACAAGGGCATTGACACGCCTCAAGTAAAGACCAACATTCTGCTGCAGTCATACATTTCCAAGATTCAGCCAGACGATTTCGCTCTTTCCAACGATATGAACTATGTTGCTCAGCAATCCGGTCGAATTTGCCGAGCCTTGTTCATGCTTGCTCTCAACCGCAGATGGGGCCACCAATGTCTTGTGCTTCTGACCCTGTGCAAGTCGATTGAGAAGAGAATCTGGCCGTTTCAACATCCTCTTCATCAATTTGAGCTCACGAAGCCGATCCTAAACCAACTCGACTCTAAAGAGAACATGACAATCGACGTCATGAAAGAAATGGAGCCCGCAGAGATAGGAAGCTTGGTACACAACCAAGGTGCTGGAAAGAATATTGCCAAGATACTCAACAATTTCCCAATGGTTCACGTGGAGGCCGAGATTGCCCCTCTGAACCGAGATGTGTTGCGTATCAAGTTGTACGTTATCCCGGACTTTTTGTGGAAAGATCACATCCATGGAACGTCTGAATCGTTCTATATCTGGGTTGAGAACTCGGAAACTTCGGAGATTTACCACCATGAGTACTTTATTCTCAACAGGAGAAAGTTGCATGATGAGCACGAGCTGAATTTCACCATTCCTCTGTCAGACCCGTTACCGACACAGATTTACGTTCGAGCAATCTCTGACCGATGGCTTGGATCTGAGACGATAACTCCTGTTTCTTTCCAACATCTCATTCGCCCAGACACGGAAAGCGTGTATACCGACTTGCTCAATCTGCAACCTCTCCCCATCACCGCACTCAAGAATCCCGGGCTAGAAGAGCTCTATGCCAAGCGGTTCAGCTTCTTCAACCCGATGCAAACTCAAATCTTCCATACTCTGTACCATACTTCAGCAAACGTTCTTCTGGGTTCTCCGACAGGTAGTGGAAAGACTGTTGCTGCCGAACTTGCCATGTGGTGGGCATTCCGAGAACGACCAAAGTCCAAGGTGGTGTATATCGCGCCAATGAAGGCCCTGGTTCGCGAACGTGTCATTGACTGGGGCAACCGTCTTGCCAAGCCCCTGGGACTCAAGCTGGTTGAGTTGACTGGTGACAACACTCCAGACACGAGGACCATCAAGGATGCAGACATCATCATCACGACTCCCGAGAAGTGGGATGGTATCTCCCGTTCTTGGCAGACCAGAGGATATGTTAGGCAAGTCAGCTTGGTGATTATCGATGAGATTCACCTGCTGGCTGGAGACCGTGGTCCGATTTTGGAGATTATTGTTTCTCGTAAGATGTTTCTTCTCGTAATCTTGAATGATTCGACTGCTAACTGATTTGCTAGGAATGAACTATATTTCGTCCTCGACAAAGAACAAAGTCAGGCTGCTTGGCATGTCGACAGCATGTGCCAATGCCACCGACCTGGCTAACTGGCTTGGTGTAAAGGAAGGCCTCTTCAACTTTAGGCACTCCGTCCGTCCCGTCCCTCTAGAGCTGTACATCGATGGGTTCCCAGAGGTTAGAGGCTTCTGCCCATTGATGCAATCTATGAACCGGCCAACGTTTTTGGCCATCAAGAACCACAGCCCTGAAAAGCCCGTCATCGTGTTTGTTGCATCCCGTCGGCAGACTCGCCTCACTGCCAAGGACTTGATCAACTTCTGCGGTATGGAGGACAACCCACGACGCTTTCTCCGGATGGACGAGGAGGATTTGCAGCTCAACTTGTCGCGTGTCAAGGACGATGCTCTGAGGGAAGCCATCAATTTTGGTATCGGCCTCCATCATGCTGGTCTCGTCGAATCTGATCGACAGATTGCAGAAGAGCTCTTCTTGAACAACAAGATTCAGATCTTGGTCGCAACCAGTACACTTGCATGGGGTGTGAACCTGCCCGCCCATCTTGTCGTTGTCAAGGGCACTCAGTTCTACGACGCCAAGACCAGCGGCTACAAGGACATGGATCTTACAGACGTCTTGCAGATGCTGGGACGAGCTGGGCGACCTCAGTTTGACAACTCTGGTGTGGCCCGCATCTTCACCCAAGACTCCAAGAAGGACTTTTACAAGCACTTTTTGCACACTGGTTTCCCCGTGGAATCAACCCTGCACAAAGTCTTGGATAACCACATCTCTGCAGAAATCTCTGCAGAGACGATTATGAATAAACAAGACGCACTCGACTATCTGACATGGACATTCTTCTTCAGACGACTGCACAAGAACCCGTCCTACTACGGACTGGAGATTTCGGCCGAAGAGCACAGCACCATCGCCGCTCAGCAGCTAGCCAACGAGTTCATGATTGACATGGTCGATAAATCTCTCGAAGAGCTCGACGAGTCCAAGTGCGTCGAAGTCTTCCCCAACGGCGACGTCGATTCTACTCCTCTCGGCAAGATTATGAGCTACTACTATCTCTCGCACATGACCATTCGGTATCTCTCTCGCAACGCAAAGCCAAACGCCAGCTTCTTGAACGCCTTGTCGTGGATGTGTCACGCGACGGAATACGACGAGCTGCCCGTCCGCCACAACGAAGATCTCGTCAACGAGGTGCTCTCTCAGAATCTTCCTTTCCCTGGAAACTCGTTCAACTTGCCCATGTGGGATCCTCACGTCAAGTCGTTTCTCCTGCTGCAGGCGTTCATGTCGCGTATCGAGCTACCCGTCGCGGATTACGTCGGCGATCAGACCAGTGTGCTCGACCAGGCGATTCGCATCATCCAGGCCTCCATCGATGTCCTCACGGAGATGGGCTTCCTCTCTAGTTGTCTGCAGATGATGAAGCTTCTTCAGAGCATCAAGTGCGCCAGATGGCCTACTGATCCTCCCGCATCAATCTTGCCCGGCGTAGAACCGGACTCTACGAAGAATGACACGACGCTCGCGACAATCAGCACGTATTCGCAAGATCAAATCGCCGCATTCGCCAAGAAACTCGGCGTCCCATCCGACCTCCAGGCCCGCTTCAAGCGCGCCGCATCGATGCTCCCCAACGTCGCCGTCACCGTCACCGACATCACCACGCTCTCACTCACCGTAAACGTCAAGCGTCTCAACCCCCTCGTCGACCGCGACGCACGCATCTGGGCCCCCAAATTCCCCAAGCCTCAGAACGAGGGATGGTTCGTCATTGTCGCGGACGTCGCCAAGGACGAGGTCCTCGCCGTGAAACGTCTCGGCTGGGGTAGTCTCTCCGCGGGTGGTTCAGGGGCAAAGAAGTCTCTCGGCCAGGGCTCGTACCCCTCCGCGCGAACGGTGCTCAAACTACCCGAGCCCAAGGCCAAAGAAGCCCGCAAGCTGGACATTATCGTCGTGAGTGATGGATACGTCGGCATGGAACACAGGGTCCTCGGCGTGGATATTCCAGCTCCCCCAGCGGTGGACGATGATTTGGACAAGTCAGGACAGTCAAAGAAGGCAGCAGAAGGATCGTCAGTGTAGAAATTTTGTAGCAGAATCTGTCCATGACCTGCATAAACATGAAAAATATTAACTCGTCAAAGTCCTACGCTACCCTAAGCTCCAAAAGGAACAAACACGTAACAAGCCAACCAAGACAACAAGTATAAAAAGAAGAGAAAAAGACGCAAAGAAAAGGGGGAAAACCGTGAATCAAACCCATTGCCCATAACCCCCCGTATATCCCGTACCATAATCCGCAAACAAACAAAAAAAGGAGTACAAGCCATGTCTCGTGAGAGCTCTCTTTCCCAATCCTCTGTATAACAAAGCAAAACAAGCAAACAAGCAAACACCCTTTGGGCAAGACGGCACTCCTATCGTCCTCTGCCTCTGTCGTCTTTTCCAGCCCGTCCGTACATTGTATCCTAAACGCCAACCAGCCTTCTAAAAAGTTCCATATGAGCAAATCGAGAAAAAAGCCCCGTGAAGCCCCGAGGAAAAGGAAAAGTAACGGTAGTAAAATAACCAATGTCGCCGCCGGGATTCAAAAAAAAAAAAAAACCTCTATGCGGCGAATCCAATGAAATGGAGCGGGAGTCTCTAGGATCGTGGGCAATCATCTAGCAGCAGCTGCTCCGCCGTTGTTTCTGCCGGCTGTCGACCTGCTGGTCTTGCTCTTGCGTGGATCCAGCTCTGTCAATGGTCACAGCGGGCGAGAAGCCCGGCGGGAACAGCCAGCTCCGCCTGTCGCGTCCGAGGCGGAAGCTCCCTCTGGCATTCATGCCCTCAAAGTACCCTCCGTCCATACCGGATTCGTACCCGGGGGTGTTCGGGGTGGCCGTCGCCTGGAGAAGAGCTTGCTGCATTTTGCGGTTCTGCTCGACGAGCTTCCTGGCCACGACGCGGAAGACCTCCTCGACACCCTCGCCGCTCTCGGCACTAATCTCGTGACAAGCGTCCCAGCCAACCTCCTGGCCCCAGAAGCCGGAGCTCCGCTTAGAACTGGGGCTCCGGGGTTCGACGCCGCCCATTGAGGGATAGGAATGGCCGTTATTGGGCGTGGCGGTCGGCGGCGGCGTGCTGCCGAGGCCGGGGGCTAGATTCTCGGCGACGTAGGCGATGCAGCGCTCAAAGGGGACCTGCCGGAGCGAAGGGTCGCGGGCAACAATGTCGGCCTTTGTGCCGACGACGTGCAGCACAACGTCTGCGGGCAGGTTGCGGCGCAGCTCCATGAGCCACTCGCCCATGTCGAGAAAAGATTGGGCATCGGTGATGCTGTAGCAGAGGATGCAGGCATTGGCGCCGCGGTAGTATAAACGGGATATAGAGCGGAAACGCTCTTGACCGGCTGCGAAAAGAGTCAGCATAAAATATTGTGCAGAATTACGTGATTTCAACAGGCAAAAAAGGTCATCATCGGGCATGAAAAGACGTCCAGGCAGCACCCAGCGAAGAAACGGCAGGGGTGCATAAGACAAGACGACAGCAATGCAAAGCAGCAGATGCACATACCCGTGTCCCAGATCTGGAGGCGCACAACAGTGTCGGAGTCATTGTCGACCACGCGCTTGGTCAGGAAACTGGCGCCGACGGTGGACGTGGTCTGGGCTGGGTTGAAGGAGCCCTTGCAGTACCGCATCACAAGGGACGTCTTGCCCACGTTTTGGGCGCCCAAGACGACAATCTTGGCCTCGAGAGAAGACGACATGGTTTACGGAAAGGCCGTGCAGACGAGGAGAAGAGGGTGAAGTCTTGAACGGAGTGCGGATCGAAGGGTGAGGTTTGGTAAGAGAAAACGAAGCGATGAGTCGAGAGCGAGGATTGAAAGTTTGGACGAGCAAAAAGACGAAGGACGGGATGGATGGCGCGCGGGTGGGTCGAAGAGGTTGCTTATCGCATTGTCGATCGCGTCAGCGTGCTGGGAGACGGTGTCGGCGTAGATTCGAGGGACGATGCGAGGGCATCGTAGGGGGGAAAACAGAGACGACACGAGAGTGGGCGAGAATGGAAGAGGGAGAGGAAGAGGAAGAAAAGTATGGCGCGTTACTCTTCCATGGAGGGAGCGAAACAGCTAGTGGCGCAGTGAATCGACTTGAGCCCCTCCAAAGCGCCTTCAGTGGGCGTTGGGTTGGTGCAGAGTTTGGTCGAGGTGGGGGATGAGGAAAGGCAAAGGGCAAGCCTCGTGGAGATGAGGCTATTCCGAGGTTTGCGATGTGAAGAGGAAAGGTAGACCAATGGAGGAGGTACATACGAGTAAGCATGCAAAAGCGGTGTTGAGAGGAGAAATGGACGTTCAGATAAGAGCCGATAATGGGCTCCCACATGGGAATGACGAAAGCTGCAGGCTTCAATCGTGGGAGTGTGGGCGACGGAGGGGGGCAGGGGGGCTCTTTTAGCGGGCTTAGCGGGCTTAGCGGTCCTCCAGCGGGCTAATGTCACCGCTGACAGGGCGCTGAAGGATGGATCCAATCCATGAATGCACGTGAAGTTGCCCACAGCAGGTGGTCATGCATGTTCCAGGCGAATACAGGCTGCAGAGCTACCCAAAGGTCTGGTGTCATGCTTTGTCTGGAGATGTTGCAATCCCCGGCTATGGTGGTCAGATGATTTTGAGGCCATGGTGGTGTAGTAAAACAATGCCATGCTGCGTGAGGGATCAGACGACGGGAGAGACAATGACAGGTAATATATTCGATGGATGCTATTGAACAATAGAAAATGGAGTATACGCCAATAGCATCGCATGTACCTGAACCACATGCTCGTGCCCTAAACTCAAGCAAAACTCTATTGCAGCATCATCTATCCGGTGACAGAAGAGGCTTACCAAGCTGTCAATATCAATAACGGCTGTGAATATCCATTCGATCTCATCGACGATTGATAATACGGAGCAGAAGCAGATGAAAGGCCGAGGCCCAAGATGGGGCCATGCGTACTCCGTAGATTGCCAGATTAGGAAATCTTCGTCTCCGCAAATTGACCCTTGTCAACGGCACTTGACGCCATCGTCGGCCTTATCATATAGCAGATAACGAATGCAAATGCACACCATCGTCAGCCTTCAGTCTCTATTATAGTTACCCAGCAGTTTCTCTAGATCTGCTTTGGCTGACGCTAAGATGCTGATGTGCTCTGTCAGAGTCCTTTCCTTTTCCACATTGGCCTCTTTATTTGTAGCTTCCAATAGAAGCTTGCGCGGCTAATTTTCGAAGATGATTGACGGCGTCTTTGAGATGTGCCTTGATCTGCTTCGGATCCTTTGCCTTTAGTATGGCAAGCTCATGACGCTTCTTTTTTATTGCTGCTTGAACGCCACGGTAGATGGGCAATACTCTCTCACTCGCCATGTCCGACAGCAAAGCAACCAATCTGTTTCGAAGGTTTTGAATGCCCCATCTGTCAGATGGTTTCATTGCATATACTCTGTGCCATCCGTTTGGAAGCTTCTGGTTTCCTCCATTCTCGGTTGCGTTTGGCGGGAACCGTGTCTCTGCAGCAAAGAAATCTGCTTCCCGTGAATCTCTGTCATCCAAGGAGCGTTGGTAGGCGCCAGGTTGTAGCTCAGAAGGGCTGCGATTACACACGACATGGCTTCCTAGACCAAATTGCCTGGGCTTGGGATCCATCACTTGGCGCACCCATGCAGCCTCCAAATCGGACTTTGGGTACATCATGTCCGGCTTGGTGATGATGCCAAAGGTCCTATCTGCACAGGCCGAGTCATTGACCAGTTTCAGTATTCTCAGGTTTTCTGGATCAGCTGTTCCGTCAGCAACAGCAAGTACGACTGCTGTTTTCCTTTCAATGTAGTTTCTTGTATATTCTTCCAGTGTTTTTTCGTCCACGACTGCTACCAGACCTGGAAGGTCTACGAGCGTCAACCGTGGAGCGTATGTCGAAGACGCTGGATCTGGAAAGTGATATTCAATACTCAGCACACTGTACGAGAACTTGTCCGTTTCCGATATCTTCATAATCTCCTTTGCACGGTTTATTATGTCGCTGGGGTCGTCCGAAGCTATATTCACCAACTCTTCCCCTTGTTGGAAATTGTTCGTCTCGGACGGCACGCCGGTTGGCGGTGGGCGAAACCTCACTTTGCTTCTTATATAAGTGGTTTCCGCCCCAGGAAAGAGTCGTATTCTAAGTTGCAATGTATCAGCAGAGAGACAAAAACTTGACGTAAAGCTGTGGTTTGATACATGTGTGACATACTCAATTGGGAACCTCGTACAAGGACCGCCATCTCCCTTTGGGAATTCGAGCCCCGTAAGAGCCTCCAAAACGGATGATTTGCCAGAGGATTGCTGGCCGCACAGTACCAGCTCTGGGACATCAATTTCTTGCTCGACATCACAGTGGCGGATTCTTTCAATGATTTCCAATATCTTTGCCTTCTTTTCATCTGGCGGAAAGTTGAATCTGGGCAGATGAGCCGCCACGACATGAGGCCTCGTCATGATTCGATCAAGAAATGGTTATCAAGAAGACCATATGAGTACATGTACTATTTATCAGTGACACGAGATGAATAGGCTACGGATATATAGTCGGGCACTCTTTCTAGACTCGAGATCCAGAAAATTAGGCATCAATGGTGCCTAATTGTATCGAGCGGGGAGGGAACTAATGTGCATGTACATATGGTACTTCTTTTTTCCTCATGCTTGCCCCTTGCATAGATGTGAATAAATATGCACTCTTCTCTGGGTACTGGGCAGCCATAGCCCACTCATGGATCCGACAGTTTATTAGCCAATTTTCACTTTATAATCGGTTTCAATTTCTTTGGAAAGGAGACTAATCTTTTGTAATTACATGTATAGATAGGTGGGTACTATAGTAAGGTACAAAGAGAGAGAAAAAAGCCCAGCTGTCAGACAAGGCTCTGGCTCACTCCCACAGCATGATGACGCTGTCGCAGCCTACATGTACATATGTAGGTAGTTTTTAGCCAATAGCAACTACAGCCCCGTCAGGGCACATGCACATCTGATTTCGATAAAGATTCTCTTCTAATAAAGGCCGCTGGAACCTGAGTACATGTATCCAGAGATATTGTGGCCGGACAATGTAACGAACCCCCTTACCGCGATTGAAAATGGGTCAGCCAATATGCGTTATGTTTGGATGAGAAGCCCTCTCGCTCTGCAGTATATGATTAATCGGGAAGGAAATTTTGCTATTATTCAAGGTTAACAATAATACATTTCATATTATAGCAATCCAGATCACAATGGCGTTGAATTTAGTACCACGGCATTCGCGCGGAACACAAGTAATTGCACAGCTACAGGGTATTTCCCAAGGGGGGGTATTTAACAACCCAAGTTTGCTATCTAGCATCTCATATCTCAAATTCAAAGCCAGTGGTAATATCGCATACTAGAAGAACTCGGTTACTACAGAAGACTCTAGATGAGTATCTATAGTAACAGACACTCAAAGAAAATAGCGATAGTGCTGGGAAGTACGTGGAGTGATCGTGGCCTTCTGCTTCCAATGCCCTGTATGTTACTCAGTGCACAACCATGATTCCGTACTACACAGCGCACCTATTAGAAAATAAAATATATACATGTAAATGCACACTTCATTTGTCTTCCACAATATTGACGCTATTCGGCTTGTGCTATAAAAACACGAAACTCGCATCAGTGCTCAGGAAATCTCGGACTGGTAACGCCCAGCCCGTTTCACGTAGGCGCCGAGCATCGATTGGCCCAGCGCCTCGGAATCTGAAATCCGCCCTGTGGCCCCTGTAACGGCCGCCCAACGCGGCTGTCGCATCGAGAGCCGGGTTTTGAGTCACCAATACATGTATCCGAGCCGCTTATTGGATGATTTCAGAAGTGAGAATAGCTTTGTGCTATCCCTTCAGTATTGATGATTGTATGACGCATTTACCATGGTCAAGATAACACACATAATTCACTCAAGAATTCTATTCAATATTCATTCAGTTTATAGGATCAATACGAGCCCGTGACTTACACACTATGTCTGTTCAATTGTCTGGTGTTTGCCGTTTGACCCCTGCTGCCGATCCCACCAGCAACACCAACACCCCTGTTCACGATTCACCCACTCTCAGCCAACCATTCACCCCCAGCGCCAGCATCATGATGCAAAGCGCCATCCCAGAGGCAAATCGTTCCCGTCAAGCTACCACAGTAGATTTGCGCCCACGAACTTGTTTTTTTCAAGACTTTTGATTGTCGCGCGGCTAGCCAATCCCAGACATGGGCTGCGACAATCCACAGCTTGTCCTTTTGGTTGCCTCTTTGATCCCGGCGCTGATACGCGTAACTTGAGCTCTGGGCCAATCCATTCTGCTAACAACATAAGTGAACTGGATGTGAACGTGGGTGTGCACTTCATCAAACAAAACGGACCAAAGCCAGGCTTTATTCACACAATCATGGCCCAACCGACGATTATATAGAGTCATCGTCCGGCCCCCCTTCTTCCTAATTTACACACACTCTCTCTCTTTTACGCCTCATTCATTTTCCCCTTCCCATACCTACCTATAGGATTGCATCCTGGTGATACACTCTCTTACACGTTATTTTCCCGCCTTTCCATACCTCTAGAAATTGCATCCTGGTGATTCATTCTTTCATACAAATTAATAATCATGGCTGTCCTTTTAAGATTCGCCGTTCTCATCCCCCTAATATTCTCCTTCGTCGCCTTTGTCCTGACGAACCTGACGCTGTTTGCCGGAAGCAAGAAGGGTTTCATGGAGGAATATGCCGTCGTTAGAGTAAGTAAAAATCGCCAACCAAGAGACGATTTACCTAGAACTAACACAGCCATGCAGATAAACACCACGATGCTTGGCCAAAACTTGCTGTCGTCAGACGACAAGTCTAGCAGCGACGACGACGACGACGACGGTGACAGTCTCTGGGACCAGTTTACAGACGGGCTCGACGACCTCGGAGACGCCGCCAAGGGCAAGATCAACGACATCGCCGGCGACATCATCGACGACATTGCCGACGAGCTGGGCGTCAGCGACTGGTACTCGCTCCACGTCATGAACGCTTGCTGGGGAGGTTTTGGGCCAAACGCAACGACGTCGCACTTTCAGCTCAACACCACCAACTGCACTCAGTCAGCTCCTCAAGGTAAGTCTGATGATGTTTTCGTGATTCTCACTTTCACTACCCAGCAGTCCAAGCTAACCACAGTCGCAAACAGTCCGATTCAACCTCACTTCGCTCATGGACCACCAGCTATCCATCGGGCCCCTCCACATCAGCCTCGCCAAGATCCAGTGGCCAAGCTCCATCCAGCGCAGTGTCGACGCCCTCAACGCCGCCCTGATGGCCCTCTTCGTCTTGTACGTCTTGGGCGTGGGCTTCAGCGGCCTTGCCATGCTGGCCTGCATCCCAGCCATCGTCCTAGGAGACAAGAGAATCGTCCTCATGATAAACACGGGCCTCGCATCGGCTGCCGCCTTTTTCATCACTCTTGCTAGTATCATCGCCACGGCGGCTGGTTCCGTTGCCGTCAATGCTATCAACAAAGAAGGCGAGCCGGTTACCGTGGTGGCTACCAACGGCACAAAGTTCTACACCATCACATGGGTCACTGCTACGTTGATGATTCTGTCGTCGGCGTTCTGGGTGGGCAAGTTTGTCTTTATCTGGAAGAAGGAGAAGAAGGAGCGCGAGCGATACTCCAAGGAGGGATTCTAAGCTGACATTTGATGACTCTTGTCGGCCGTTCCCTCTGCCTGGTGCTGGCGCTAGGACGAATGTCTGCATAATGATAAAGAAGAGAGAGAAAAAAGGGGGGTTGCGACACTTGCACTATAATGATTTCCCCGTGTTTCTTTTTTTCTGTTTTCCTATTGTTCGCTCGTTATATCAGAGCTCAGGTTATGGCTATGGACTGGATGGTCCGGTTTTAGGGTGGCTGTGGAAAGGCCATGATACAAAAACGCTACGACGAGGGCAAACCTCACTAATACGCACGCTGAGAACAGCAATGACATCTCTAAATAAACAAGAAATTCGCGCTCTTTAGATCAAAAATAAATCATCAGATCTCTTATGCAATGCTAGATAAGACATCAACTGCGAGCATAATCTCGCTACTGGTGTTTTTATCCTTGTTTATCGCTTTATTCCAAGCCTCCGCAACAGCGCATTAGAGCCCGCGCCATCTGCGTCATATCCTGCCCCAACAGGGAATTGAGCGCTTCCGTCTCTGCAGCAGCCAAAGCTCGTGACTTTGACGATCTCGCGCCCAACATCAGGCATGAATCTCCAAGTCCAACCCTTACTTTTCAATAATAAATACCTATAAATCATCAATTCAACCCAAAATTATAATCTCCATCAACATCTCCATAGAACCACCCAAAGCATGAACTCCAAACGCCCAGATGCCTCCTCTTCCTCCCGCGATATTGAAATTGGCGGCCCCAGCGAGACGGACTCTCTGCTCGACAGGGGCCGCACACGAGTGACGCGCTTCTTTCACGGCTTCGTAGACTTTGCGTTCCAAGGAAACATTTTGCAGATTGCGTTTGGTTTGATGTGAGCAGTCTTTCATTTCTCATTGTACACACTTACACAATAAAGGGCATACATAACCTACACCAAGAGAATACAAAGACAAAGCAACATTTGAAATCTGTATCATGGAAACTAACCACCACCAACCAGCCTCGCCGCCGCCTTCACAGACCTCGTCAAATCCTTCGTCAGCGCAATCCTCATGCCCCCCATCTCCGTCATCCTGCCCATCAACAAAAACATTGAAGAAAAGTTCGCCGTCCTCCGCCCCGGCCCCAACTACAATGCCTCCTCACCAGCCGGTGGCTACAACACGATGCACCAGGCGCAAGCTGACGGCGCCGTCGTCATGGCCTACGGCTCCTTTATCTACCAGATGGTGTCGTTTATCATGGTCGGGTTTTCGCTTTACGGGCTGGCGCACGTGTATACGCTTGTTTCGCATGATCCCATCATCAAGTATTCCAGGAAATGCCCATACTGTTTAAAGCGGATTAATGAAAAGGTGCGATATTTGTATATTTGACCCTACCCTATGAAGAGAATCGAAGGACTAATACTTCAGCCAAACACATACAGTCTCGCCGATGTATCAACTGCAGCAGCTGGCTTGACGGCAGAGAAGACATTGACAGCACACCCCGAACCACACAGCGCGACACTGAATGAATCATGAGCTACCTCCTGACATGTATCATTTTTTTCACCTGGAAAGACAACATGTATCTATAGAGGATGGCATCAAACAACGTCTGCATAGTACCTTGAAACATCCAGACCCGACGCGAAAGCCTGCGTCTCAGGTTCCATCTCCCCCCGTCGACGAAACCTCCCATAATGTTGATCTTGGTGCTGGCATTCTTCGTCCGTTGGCTTGGAAGCCAGTTGTTTCCTGAACATTACCATGAGGTAAACGATGACGACGATGTAGACGGCGATGAAGAAGAACTTGGGCAAGACATCCTTGGTCCCGTGCAGAATTCTGCTGTAGAGGCTGTACCCATGTTGCTGGGGGGAACCCATCGTGGAAGTGGTGAGAATACGCTGAGAAGAGTCTATCGTTGAAGTAGTGCGAAACTGCTGAGAATCACTGAGGTGTAACTTTGAAGTGTGTTGTAGTGATTGCGAGTAGTGGTATGGATAGTTGGTTGAGAATATCATCAAGTCGGAAAAGAGAGGCCTATAAATACTGGACATGTCAGGCAACGACAAAAGAACACCGTGATTCATGCTGTTCAAAGCCAACATGCATCTAGGGAACAGCCGCCCAGCTAGAATATGTTCATACAATGCACCCTTTCACCTTCACCCTAATAGCGAGGGTCCTGTTCAACAACGTTAATTATTCTATTACAAGTGAACATGACGGTAATTCAAATTCAAGACGCTAAAAGGCAAACAGCTTTCGCACAAAACCAACGGCTCATATGTTCATCAATTCTCAACACATACCCTACCTACTATCCATCCTCCCCGTTCACCTACAACATCATAACACCACCAACAACAGCAGCAACACCCGCCAACAAGCCATTCTGAGCGTTCACCACACCAGCAGCATTAGTGCTGCTAGGCGCAGCCGTAGTAGAAGCAGTCCGGGTACCCGTGCTCGCAGCAGTCGTCTGCCTAGCAAGAGTCGTAGACGAACCCGAAGAAGCAGTCGTCTCGGAAGCGCCAGTGTTGGTAGGAGCAGCGGTCGAATCGTCAGTGGCCGAGGCGCCAGGAGTAGCCTTGAGCTTCTCGAGACCGGCGGTGATGGTGACGGGCAGCTGGACGGACAGGAAGGACTGGGTGCCGGTGCTGGAGGTGGAAGTGACGCTGCCGGCGGTGTCTTGCGCGGCCATGAAGACGCTGCACGAAGCGATGTCTGCTGCGGTAGAGAGCTTGCAGTGGCCACCCTCGGTGCTATGGGAAACGTTAACTTGTATTCATCGGAATGGCGTTTGCATGTTCGTATGATGGGGGTTGTTGGATCGAGAATGACCGTGTCGCCATTATATCATCGACATGGGGGCAAAAGGTCACTTACTAAACGCCACCGTCACCATTATAAGTATTAGTGAAAATCCAAGTAGTAGGACCTTGCGTAATAGTCTGGCTGCTCTCAAAGCCACAGTCATCAGACGGCGTTCCAGGCGGACATCCATAAGCATAAGTCGTAGCCGTGCTATCGACGCCAATAACAGAAGCGACGATCTTCTGGGGATCGGCAAACGGCAGCAGCAGAGAGACGGTAGTAGATTGAGCAGCAGCCATGGCAGCGGCGCTGGAGAGAGCGAGAAGGGCGAGTGAACGAGCCATTGTTGATAAGACGAACGAACGAGTGTACTGGCAAATTAACCTCGTATAGGTATTATATACTAATATTGAAGCTTAAACGTTGGTTGCTGGGATAGTCGTGTAACTGTATATTGGTACTTGAATCTGCAAAAATAAAAAAAAGAATGGCTGTTGCGATTCAAAATTAAAAGCAACGATTGTCGAGAGAAAATGAGTGGATCGCGATATTCAAGTGAAAGAAAAAGGGAGAATCCAAGCGGCAACGACTCGAGTTTTAAAAGGGATTCATCGTTGCCAAGTCCAGACTATTCGTCTCCTTTTCCCCTTCAAGGTAGCGCCTCCAGATGCTAGTCTCGGCCATTGACTTTACGAGTTAGATTGTGGAAAAAATGATGGAAGGAATATATACCCGGTTCGCCGGGAAATTAGTCATGTTGCCCTGCATGATTGGAATCTCGCGATACTACTGCATCTACGACTGCATGGCGTATCGGAGAGCCTTTTATCCGCATGCTGTCTTGTATTTTCGGAGCATCGTTGGTAGCGTCCATTGTTCAGATACGTGACTAAAGATGCTAAAGGGGATCCGGAACTATTAATAACCTCTCCATGGCTTGGCTGGAGACGGCATTGGAGAGAACCCAGTTTTCTTGCCTCATGAATATCCTTCTTCCCATTATAACAGGGTGCAGTTTTAGAGGTAGAGACGTAAGTCTAAAACCAGTTTGCGTATTGATACTCCAAATGCATCACCAACACGGCATCTGATAAGTTGACCCCGTAGTTGACAGGCTGCTTAGTTGTTAAGTCCATCAAATCATTTACTGTGTATATTAAATCCATGCTAGCTATACCTAACTAATCAACTCAAAAAGCATACCCACGTATATCGTTTTATCGTCGCTATCCCGCCAGTGGTTGCTGCTGTTGAAGCTCAAACAATGACTTCTCCAATCCATTACAGCATCATAATACCGCCAACGAGAGCAGCAACGCCAGCCAGCAGACCGTTCTGGGCGTTTACAATGCCCGCAGCATTGGTGCTCTGGGGACCGGCCGTCGAAGTAGACGAAATAGAGGTACGAGTACTGTTACCGGTGCTTGCAGCGGATGTCTGTCTGGCGAGAGTCGTAGATGTAGAGCCTGAGGGAGCAGCCTGGGAGGCGCCGGTGTTGGTGGGGGCAGAGGTTGAGCTGTCGGTGGCGGTGGCAGTGGCGCCGGGAGTGGCCTTGAGCTTCTCGAGACCGGCGGTGATGGTGACGGGAAGCTGGAAAGTCAGGAAAGCCTCAACTCCAGAGCTGCCGGAAGCAGAGATGCTGCCGCCCGATACTTGGGCGAAATCAATGCTGCATGAAGCGGCGTCCTTGGCAGTGTTGAGCACACATGTACCTCCCTCGGAACTATATCAGAAGCGTAAGTGTGTTTCCTGAAGTACGTCTTTTTGCAAGAGAGCTTTATGCTCGTCTCGTGCGTGAGTCGGTGCCATAAAGACGATTCTAGGCTTTTGCTCGAGATAACCAAACACATCACACCCAAAGGCATCGCTAGAGTCAAGCCAGAATACCACTTACACTGAGTTGCCTTCAGCAGAGAAAGACATGGAAAAGGCCCAGGTGGATGGACCCTGAGTAACAGTCTCGCTGCCGAGAAGCCCGCAATCATCGGGAGAAGTTCCAGAAGGGCATCCGTAAGCATAGGTCGTAGCCGTGCTGTCAACGGCAATAACTGAGCCGACCAAGGGTTGAGGGTCCGCAAAGGGCAGCAGGAGAGACACGGTGGTGGACTGAGCAGCCATGACGGCGCCGGAAAAGGCGAGGAGAGCGAGTGAGCGAGCCATTATTGATGTTGATGTTGATCTTGATGGATGAACGAATGTGATGGCAGAGCAGTCAAGCCGGGTCTTGTAAGTTGACAAGTCCAAAGATTGATATTGGTTGCCGTTGGGTGGTGAAAACGAGTGAATAGTTGATTGACGTAACGATCGAACGAGTGAATCGCAGAACCAAGAAGAAGAACGAGTCCAGCGGTTTTAAACCGGCCACGACCCGCGCTTTATTGCGCTGCTGTCAAGGCCATTTTGGCCTCTTGCGGTCCAGACTACTCCGTATTGTCCCCTTTTTTTCCTTCATCAAGGTAGCGCTGCACACATGCTAGTCTCGGCGATTGACTTTATAAGTTAGATCGTGGTAAAATACCCGGATTGTCAGAACATTAGTCATGCTTCCCGATTTGAATCTCACGATGTTTAGTGCATAGAGCAGCCTTTTTGCATCTTGGGCATCATTACCTGAGCATGAGGATAGCACTTGAGAAGTCGAGTGGTGCTGGAAAAATTAGGCCGCCCATCGTTTTTTCCTGTCTGCATCTCATCGCCAAGCCCAGAGGTGTGTCGTGATGTTGAAATCGCAATGCTTCGGTTCCTTTTCCGACTTGGCAAGAAGTTCCAGAGCCAACAAGGTTTGCATGGATAACGAATTTTTGCCCTTTGCAACCCCTGGCTAACCGATTGGTCTGGCGGGAGGCGGCATTAGAGTGATCCAATTTTTTTTTCTTTTCTAAATGGATTTTCTTGCCGTGACAGGGCGCAGTTGGTTTCAGAGGTGGAGAGACGAGCCTAGAGCTGCTCGGCGAATTTTAGGAGCGAAATGCAACCTTGACACGGCATCTGTTGCTTGCTTGCGTGTTGGGTTGGGTCAAATCCTCTGCCGTCTATTCCGTGGTGTAGGTACTCGTATAACGCTCCTAGTAGCAATTGGAGTAAGCATATATGCAGCATGTGTATCCAGCTGTTGATTCCTCACCATCCCGCCAATGGCTGCTGCTCTCGGGGCTCAAACAGGCGATCTGTGCCACCTGGATTTAACCGCTAGCTGCTTTGCTCGGGCTGCACTTTCGAAGCCTCTGCACTTCGCTTATTTTAGCGGCAAACAGGAGACTGGCTGCGTACCTAACCTTGTTTGAATGGCGCCTGTTTGAGATGCTGTACTCGTACATGCAGTATCTTGGGATCGATGAGATGGATGGCGGTGCAACATGACAGATTCTAAGATAAGGTGAGTTGTTGTTCCCTGCCTCCTCACGTGTCTTTGCTGGCCTAGGCTTCAAAAGACGAGATCGGCGCAAACATCAACTTGGGAGTCACGAACCCAACGGACAGTCCCGTGCCTGCCCGCCGATCTTTCTCTTCTTCGAGACATTCACACACAACGCTACTGTACTCGTACCTTATAGATGCAATTCACCTCCATCCGTATCTCCAAGGTACCTCCGCGCGTAGATGTGCGCCAGAACTTGCCGAGGATATGCTCATCGGTACCCCACGCAGATAAGGAGAATTGCACTAAGCGGAAATGCCCGCTGCATAATATGCACCTATCCGGCAGCTGTCGCCTCTTGGCAGCCGCGCGCCGGCATCAAACCTTCTCAGACCTTGTCTTGGCAAAGCCTTGGCGGCCCATTGGTTTGACTCGCAGGGTCGCAGAAAAAGAGGAAGGAAGAAGAAATGCGTGGCCGCTTTTACGGCAGCGTGCCAAGACGGTCGTGATTTCCCTCCCTTGTTCTGCGCCGGCCTCTGCGCCTGCCTTGTGGATTTTTCCCGTGGTTGGTGGCGCACGATTTTCTATTGTAATGCTTGTACAATGTACTGCCTGGTACTGTTCGTACTAATCTTTGTGTGATCTATTTCTCTCTCCTAATGAGGTGAGCACACGAATACTTAGTACTAATTATGCTGATTATATCACTTGTAATGTGCATATAAATTAATTCTCATCTCATCCATGTGCTTATACGAGTAACTGATGCTCCACAGATTACCTACAAATCGACATTCGTCATGGGACAAAAAGAAAAGAAAAAAAAAGAAAAAAAAAGGAGCCCGGCAGTGCCAAGACTTCATGGAGAAAAAAACCCCCTTCGTAGCGGCACTGGCTCTAAACCCAATTGGCCACATGCCTTGCGACTTTGCTGCAAAGGAGACAGTTCCAACTCTTGGCATCGTGGGACCAAAATCGCTAGTATTTGACCCTTGATGCTTCCCATGGGCCGCTCTCGGGCTTCCTCTTCTTCTGGTTCTGGTCTCTGGCCGGACCTCTGCCGCTCCGTCTTGCATCTCGGCCATTCTTCGTCTTGCATCTTCCATCATCCATGCATCTGCCCGTGCATCTCGTTCGCCCAAGCCAGAGGTGACAGGACGCTGTGACGATTGATAACTGTCGTCAGTCAAAAGCCTTGCGTCAAACGGCCAACCTGCGCGCACATTTGACAATCGACATCTCACATTCGACACCGCCAAGCACGACTCTTTACACTTTGACGCACGCAGAGTCGCTCATCTCTCAAGTCTCACAATTGCGCTTGCTTGGTTTGGCTTCGCGACAACTTCCTCTACCTTTCCGAGCAGTGCCGTTACGGAACCACACCAATCCAGAAAGCGACGACTCGACATGGCCAGATTTAGTCCTAGACCTTGGTCGGCGCCGTTGCTTGCCTTGCTCGCGCTGGTCGCTCCATGCGTTGCCGACGAGACGGCACATGGCGAGCCTCACAGATTGGCCGCGACCCCAACAGTGACGGCGGCTCCCATCTATCTGCCGTACTATGACGAGCGCGCGTGGTCGCTGGTCCGAGGGAGCATCATTTCAACGGTATGCCGGGTCCACCACCTTTGGTTCCTTTACCTACACTCTCTTCTCCCTGTTTTTGAGATATATGAATGCCTTCCAGCAGGATTAACGCAGCCTCAAGGATCCCTCCGCCAGCAGAACAACGTTTACCATTTTCTGCCCTACGGAAACGCCCCTCGCATGCGACTTGTCTCTCGAATTCCCCTTTGTCATTGTGGAGGGGCCCGGTACGCTCGAGTTCCATGGAACGGTGACCTCGACATAGTGAGCAGATGTAACTCGGTGTGGACGTAGAAGAGATAAGCTAACGTTGCACCAAAAGTATTGCCGACGTGGAGTGCGACTTGAAGGGCACAACGGCTGCAACGTGCTCGGGTTACTCGAGCTACAGATCCGGTTACACGAACGCCCACCACACTGGGCCAACACAGGTTTCATGGACGACCACCTTTACTGGATCAGAGGTGCGGTGGGGTACCTTGACGATGGCCGAACCCCCTGGGGCAACTGACGATGACTTTGACCCTGCCGGAACCATGACCACGCCCTCGGCTCCCTCTGGGATGATGTACGAGCCGTCGCCGACGTCACTAGGATCGAATCTGCGCGTTTCCGGATCACGGTCGCTTTATGGGCTCGTGACAGGCATTATGGCCGTATACCTGGCGTTATAGTTATGTCGGTGCGATACGAGCACTCATTATCGAATAAGCATGGAGACGAGCGAAAGCAAGGGACGAAAAAATGGCTGGGCAAAAGTGATTAAGCCTCGAGAGTATGCTCTGTCAAATTTTGACACCCTGTTTCCGGGAGGCGTTATGATTGCGTTATACCCTCTCTGCGATTTCAAATTTTTTTTAGCGAAGCATATGGAGGAGTTTGTAATTTCATGGGAATTCAAAGCGTGGCGTTTTGGGATCGAATTTGTCAAGATGTTTTGTTTTGTCTGGTTATGACGGGCCACATGTACGGTAGCCTATGGAATAGCAAGGGATGGATGCAAGTTGGTAAACGGATAGCCAAGTCGATGAGGCATGGACTTCTGGTGTGTCTTGTTCCGTTTGTGTTGGGGGCTATGCTTGTGCAGATTCTTCATCGTGACACTTTATTATACCATTAAGCAGGCTCCTGTTTTCTCTGGTCATTGCCGCGAATTACAGTTTATTCAGACGCCCTTCACGATGGTGAATAAGTCACGATGCAGTTCAAGCCAGAATCATCACCCATGTCAGCCCGATCCACCGTGGCTGTTTCAACCCCCGTGTTTCATGGGCACGAAGCGCTGTCAGCCAATCCAGCTCCTCTGGGGAGCCTTTTTCTGCTGCTTCTTTTCCTCGTTCAACCATTGCCTATCGCTTTACTTATCCCTAATGGCCAGCTGGACAACTGGAGATGGTTTTTTTTTTTTTTTTTTTTTTTTAGCCGCGCGGGCAACATGAAACGCAGCCCCCCATGAATCATTCCCGTCCTCTTTTCCCTACAAACAAAACCGCAACCTGCAAGGCTCTTATGTCTTTTCCTCGCCACCAGCACCAGCACCAGCACCAACGGAAACCCCCTGCAGCCGCGCCTAAATCCAAAATGCTGCCCAGCTCCAGTTCTCTTCTTAGCCAAAGCCAAGCCCGAGGGATGAGCGTTTCGCCTTCCCCATCCCGTCCTATTCGGACCTATAAACCGGCACAATTAGGCTAGACGGGCTGCCCCAGACCAAATTCAAGCGCTGGACGCTGTATGTCGTTGATTGGCGTGAGATGCACCGAAAGAAAACGATGCCCTCGTCGGTTTTGTGGGCTTCCTTGTTTGGATAGAGGCTGCATTGGACGAAACAATGTGCAAGGGAAGGGAAGGGTGCTGGCTATTGTTACGTGGGACTTGCTATTTATTCTTATTTTTACTCTTTTTTTTTTTTTTCACTTTGAAGTTAATACGAGCTTGGTGCTTATTTATTTATTCATTCAAGCTGCCTTTTGTTTCTTTCCCCCGGTTTTGTTTCTATTGTGTTCAAACGAGTGTTTAGTTCTCTTTTCTTGTCCTTTCTTTTTCTTTCTGTTCACCAGGTCAGGGCATCGTCGCCTTTTGTTCACTTTTACTTCTGTCTGGTTCTTTTTTCTTGCTTGGATCTTGCTGTGCTTGATTCATTGTTTTCTTGCCTGTTCCATTGTTCAAGTGGCGAGAATTGCATATTGATTGCCCTCCTTTGTTGGGATCTGACGTGCCTGACCCCATCCTACCGATTCTTATTCGACCGTTTTGCCGCTGGACGCATCTGGTCGCTCGTTTTCCCCCGGTTCTCTCTTTTTGGTTGTTTCTATCTTCCAGGGCGGAGATAGATTGATTCTGCATTTCATTATTCCATTGGTATCGATATATCCTTGAGGCCGAGCTTCGGAACAATCTACTCGTGTTGGATATCCAATCGATCGACTGGCTATAGATTCGCCTCACACAAAGGAAAACAACAGCAACATGAAGTTTATAACAAGTGTCCATGCTGCGGCAGTAACCTCGGCCATCACAGCTCCCAACTCATTGGATGTCAAGAGTCTATGTAAGTGCAATCGAAATCCGATATAAGACGAGGCAACTAACACCAGCCGCCCAACAGCATCGGTTCGAAATGTCGCCGCCACTCTTGCATACGATGCCATGTCCTACTACAAGGGCAATCTCTCGGCCCCGGACTCGGTCGCCATGGGAGATCTCCAGGATCCGTATTATTGGTGGACGGCCGGCGCACTATGGGGGGCGATGCTCGACTACTATCACTTCACAGGGGACTCGACTTACAACGACGTCGTGATCCAGGCTCTGCTGGCACCTACGAACCTCGGAATCCAGCAGTCGTACATGCCGGCAGAACACGAGTTCGAAGAGGGAAACGACGATCTCTTCTTCTGGGGCTCGGCCGCCATCGCCGCCGCCGAGCGAAACTTTCCGCAGCCAAACACAACGCTGCCCTCGTGGCTGGACTTGGGAGCTAACGTCTTCAACCAGCTTGCGAGCCGCTGGACCACGCAGGACTGCGGCGGCGGTCTCCTGTGGCAGATTTACGCATCCAATCCGAACGGCTTGACGTACAAGAACAGCGTCAGCAACGGTGGTCTTTTTCAGATAGCCGCGAGGATGGCACGCGCCACGGGCAACGACACGTATCTCGAGTGGGCGGAGAAGGTCTGGGACTGGTCCATGGATATTGGTTTCATCGATCCCGAATCGTATCACGTTTACGACGGCGCCGGCATCGATACCAACTGCACAAAGACGAACCCGGCATCCTTCACTTACACCAGCGGCATCTACCTTTACGGCGCGGCTGTCCTGGCAAACTACACCAAGAAGCCCGAGTGGAAGCAGCGCACCGAGCGGCTGCTGGACGGCGCCGGCTGGTTCTTCACTCCGCCAAACAGCACCACCAAGATCATGTACGAGGGCGCCTGCGAAACCGTCGAGCGCTGCAACGCCGACATGACGACCTTCAAGGGCTACCTGGCGCGTTTCATGTGGCAGTCAACGCAAATGGTCCCCTCCCTCCGCGACAAAGTCGAGAGCCTCCTCACCATCAGCGCTCAAGCCGCCGTGAGAACTTGCACGGGAACCGAGACTGGCCGTGCCTGCGGCCAGAAGTGGTACGTGGGCGAGTTCGACGGCTTGGTTAGCTTGGGATCGGAGATGTGCGCGCTCGAGACCGTTCAGGGGCTGCTGATTGACGGAGCCGCGCCGCCTTTGGAGGCAAAGGATATCAAGACGGTGCGGGATACGAATTGGCCTGCTCAGGAGAGTTATACGCCTTCGCCCTCGCCCTCGCAGCCGACGACGAAGCGAGGCATTGCGGGAGATGCGAAGCCGACAGAGAGCGCGGCTGGTGCGAGATTGAATGTCGAAGTAAAGCCGTTGACGGTGGTTGGTTTTGGAATCATTCTGGCCACTTGGGGTCTGGCTTGAGGACGTCTCATTTCCTCTTATTATTTCCCATGTTTTGTATATGTATATAGCGTAAAGACCAGCCGGCTTTGTATATAACGTGCTGGCAGCATGTGGTTCTAGAACATGAACTGGATTAGCACCCCTGCTTCATATGGATAGATATAAATGCTCTATTTAATGTCATTGATGTCCTCTTTTACTCTTTTCTATTGTCCAACATGGTATCCATCTAAATCGCTATCCCCCCTTTTTTTATAATCCACACCATTTTCATCATCTCACTTCTCACGCACTTGCTCTTACTTCCGCCAACGTCTTCTTCAGCGCCTCCAAAAGTCTTGTTACTTCCTCCTCTGTACCAATGGTGATTCTCAAGCACCCAAGACATCCGTGCTCCTTACCCCTAAATCGCACGACCACGCCCTTTGTCTCAGCAAGCTTCTCATACACGGCCAACGCAACGGCATTATCCGGCTGGCCCTCCGCATTAAGCATCTCATACAACAGGAAATTGCTTTCCGTGCCACCGCGAAGCCGGCCGACGCCGGGAATTGAAGGAAGCTCCTTAATGATTCGGTCGCGCTGGGTGAGGATCTTGGTGCGGTTGCTGTGCATGACGGCAAGGCCCTCTGTGCTGACCGCGGAGGCGGCGAGGGCGCTGGTTGGGCTGGAGATGTTGTAGGGCGCCTTGAGGCTGTTGAGGAGAGAAGCGATGGGGGCCGGGGCGAAGGCGGCGCCGAGGCGGATGCCGGCCATGCCGAAGGCCTTGGAGAGGGTCTGCATGACGACGAGGTTGGGGTACTCGGTGACGAGCTCGGCGAGGGAGGCGTCTTCGGGGGCAAAGTCGATGTACGCCTCGTCAAGCACAATGACGCCGTTCCATGATGGGTGGTTGAGCAAGGCGACAACGTCGTCCTTGGCTAGGAGAGAACCAGTAGGGTTACCGGGCGAGCAGAGGTAGAGCAGCTTGATGGTCGAGTCGGACGACAAGGCAGCAGAGATGGCGGGAACATCGAGGCCAAAAGTCGGCGCAGGAAGCAGCGGCACCTTGACGATAGCAACATCATTAACCTGAGCCGAGACGGCGTACATGCCATATGTAGGAGGACAAGTCAAGATGCGATCCTTGCCCGGGACGCAGAAGCAGCGCAGCAGCGCATCGATAGCCTCATCGCTTCCAACGCCGACAAAGAGGTTCTCGGCGGCGAGCGTCTTGTCCGTGTGCGCGTGGGTGTTGCGCAGCTTGCAGAGCAGCTGCTTCAGGTCGACCTGGTGAGGATCCGGGTAGCGGTGCAGGCCGAGGGGATCGATGCCGAGGCCATTCTTGCTTTGCGAGGCGACGGACACGGCGTCGGCGGAGAGGGAGGGGCCGTAAGCGTTTTCGTTTGCGTCGAGGAGGATGTTTGTGCCGTCGTCTTTGTAGTCGCTGTTTTGTTTATACGTGTCAGTTTTTTTTATTTCCAGGTGAGTCAAAGATATTGGGAGGTTGGACAAACTCTCGAGCGCAGCGGTAGGGCTGGAGGGCGAGGATGTTGGGGCGAGCGCAGGTCTCGAGGTTGAAGGGAGACATTTTTTTGGAGGGGGGGAATTGAACCTCCAATTGACGATGTTGAGGCTGTTGATGTGGAATAAAGAAGGAAAAGGGAAGATATAAGAAGGGGGAAGAGAGTAGATGGTATTTTGGAGACTTGCGCTGAATGCGTCCAAGTCGGAAGAGTTCGAGTCAAGTCAAGGTACAGTATGAATCAGATGGTGATAACGATAAGCCCCGAGGCCGGAGGTTGATTTTTGGCGGCGGTTGGTGGGGCGATCGGGTTTGGCCTCCGGAGATGCGGAGGGCAGGTTTGAACAAGTATAAGATTGAATTGAGGAATAAATGATGATGAATTGCAATAAACAAGTAAGAAACTATATTCTATCCCACATATTTCCCTTCTAAAACCCGACAAACCCAATCAATGGTATCGCTTTCGTTGAATCATCCATAATAACCGTAAAGAGAAAAATAAACAGAGCACCAACAGCTTCCATCACAAGTGGTAGCCAAACACGTACCAGCATCGCTTCCTCATAAACAGCCGGTGAGTCACAATCTTCCAAAGAGTCATTACACACGCCAGTCCACCCGCCAACAGCGGAATCAGCTGTCCGACAGACGTAATCTGTTTAACGTCAACCTGAGTGATTCCGTTCCTCTCAATCAAGTGCTCGACCAGGTAGATGGACGTGCCGATCAAGGCCATGGACAGCACCAGCAGCACCAGCTCCACCTTTGGACGCACCCTTTCCTTTGTCGCAAAGGCATCTCGAATGCCGCCTCTGAATCTCCTCATCGTTGCAAAGACGCTGAAGACGAGCGAAAGGACGCAAACCACGACGCCCAGCACGGAAAACACCTTGCCCGCGGTGCGGAACCGTCCGTGGAGGCTGACGTCTCCAAAGAAGGCAATGTCGGGACATCCCTCCACCGTCATGTCGTCTATCCCGTTGAACCAGAACCAGCAGCCGTACGAAGAGACGGCCGTGTAAAAGATGATGCGAAAGATGCCTGAAAAGTGACTAAAGTGACCAACGCCATCGCCCGTCAAGCTGGACAGTGAGCCGAAGAGCAGGTATTGAGTGATGACGGCGCCAATGACGGGGTCGCCTGGCTCAGACTGCGTGCAGAGGCCCAGGAAGATGGACCACTGGATGATGAGGTTGGCGATGCGGTACGTGCTCTCAGTCTTGGGGTCAAAGAGTGTCGCAAGCAGCGTGGCGACCCATTGCGCGTAGAGGCCGGCGCGGACACCGACTCCGTAGAGATCCGAGTTGCCTTCCGGGCAAAAGTCTGGTGCGACGACCATGATGATGATTGTATCTGAGATTGGTTTTGATTCGATGATGAGAAGCGGAAGATGAGGCGACAAAAATTACCAGGGGGATAGAAACAAGAGGGCTGAGCTGGGGGATGAGACGAGTCCCAGCAGAAGCCAAGGGAAAAGAGCCCGCCGAATTTCTTCACTTATACCAACATACAGTCGGCTCGAGGGGCAAGTGACACAAGCGCAATCTCTCACGCTCGCACAGGGAGGGTTATAAAAAGGATTTAGTCGCCGCCAACCATCTGTCGATTCCCGTGAGCAACAAAACGTCGGTCCTCGATTAAGTTGCGGGCCCCGGCCGGCTAGATATGTGAGTAACGCAGATCAAGAACCATTGATTTTCTAGCCCCCTCGCAACGAGGTGGCAGTGCTCGTCCCAAGTATCAAGCAAAACAACGTCAACGACGGCCTTGCTTTGGCGATATCCGCCTCACTCACTAGAGTCTATCGATCCTCATGTGGTGCGTGTGGGGAGAGAGACAGACAAACTTGGCGTCTCTTCCCTGCTTTTTCAGCCTCACAACTCAAAACTAGTACTGCGAGCTCCCTCTTCTCGAGACATTGGGCACAGACACAGACCGGGGGCGCTGGCCCGAACCGCCCTCCGCCACAACGTAGTCCCGCATCTTGCATCTTGGGCCAATCAAGATGATCGTGTGAGAGCGAGGCAGACACTTTACCGACAGGGGTAGCGGACCAGCGATGCGCCAGCAACTATAGCTGTTCTTGGTGCTCCCCCGTTATACCATCGCCGTGCCTCTTTTCGCCCTGTGTCTTGCTTGGTTCTGGCTGTTTCCCGCATGTGATGCCTGCTAGCTCGAGCGGCTGAAGGAAGGGATGGGGAGGGGCGAGAAGAAAGAGCGTTGAGAGACTGAGGCTGAGGAGACAGTCTGGTACAGAGCTGAGTGTAACTAACCAACTCATGGCTAGGATTTACAGCATGTGTGGAGAGGGAGCCTGGCTGTGTGGCTGTGGTGCATCTGGCGATGGCGGCTGGGTTGCATGGTAACATGTAGATGGATACATAACTTGACATGGGGGCTTATATCCTTCCACAGCTTTGTTAAAGACCCTCCTCAACATCACAACACAACGCAACTCTGTAGCCTAGGCCTTTCCACAATTCAACTCAACTCAACTCAACCCAACAGCAAGGCGAAAACGTACAAACCACCGGAGCGAGCCATGAACTCCACCGACGTCCTCGATTGCCCCGTCAATGGCGACTCCGACCTCTACGGCCTGGGCATCCGCATCGGCATCTACATCCAAATGATGACGGTCCAGCTCTCCGGCCTCGCCAGCGCAATCTTCAAGACCGAGGACACCCTCGGCCAGGGCACAATCATCCTCGTCCTCGCCACCGGCATCGTCCTCATCCGCGAGCTGCAGGACAAGACCGTCCAGGCCGTCGAGGTCTTCCCCATCCTCACCCTGCTGCTCGCCCAGGTCGGCGTCTGCCGCGTGCCCTACTGGAAGGGCCAGACCACGGCGCTCATCTACACCTTCGAGGTCGGCGGGTTGATTGCGCTGTTTGCGTGGTTTTGGTGGCATGGCATGGATACGCTGCCGCGCGCGTGCCACGACGACAAGGCCTTCTTCTTCGCAAAGGTTAGCATTTGGCATTGGTTCCGCACTCTCAACAAGGTCGGCTCCGTGTTTGCCATTGTCGGCGGCGTCGTCTCCGTCATCTTCTATCTCGCAGGTCCGTCCTTGTGATTCTCCCCATGATGGACACTTCCGAGCACTAATGCATCCTGCTTTTTGTAGCCATTATCCTCTTCACTTTTGTCCGCGCCGCCAACTTTGTGCAGCGGTTCCGCGGCGAAGCAGGCGGAAGGTCCAAGGAGGAGGAAAACCCCATGGGCTTCGGGGCAATCGACTTCCTCGTCAACATTGGCGCCATCGTCTACGTGGAAATGGCCCTCAAGTGGAACAGCATCACGGGTGTCCACAGCCTCGTCGCCCCGGGCCAGTTCATGCCATTTTTCATCGCGCTCGCGCAGCTGTTGAGCGTGTTTTATGGTGTTGGCAAGGGGTTGATGTCCTTGGCTGCGGATGAAGATGGTGACTCGGATTCTGAGTTTGGTAAGGCTTCTTGATTCAATTGAGCTGTGAGGTTTTACTAATGCTTTTGATAGACGACGAAGATTTGCCTTGTCCTCACGAGGAAAAGGGATGGTCTTGGTCCTACAAGAGCAACCAAAACTCTCTTCCCCTCGTGGTCGTTCCCTCTACTACTACAAAGTAAGTGGGCGGACGGAGCCCGAGATGAAATTGGTAATGGCACTAGAAAATGCCAAATTTATGACTGCGTTATACCCCGTTTGTGTTTTTAATGGTATGAAATTATGATGGGCAGGTTTGGATATATGGTTAGAGATTGGGTTGGATCACGGTTACGTCGGTACGGTTTTCGGCAGCGGTATGCTTGATTGTATGCGATAGATATACTATTGGCAATATTTACTTTTCTTTATTTGACTACACCTTATGTATCATTGAACAATGACTACTCCAAGGCGCTTTTCACAAACGTGTTCTCAAGACGGTCACGTCAAATGTACAACTATTTACAATTATTTCCAAGTCAAGTCGCTACGTGGCTATTGAAAGAGAGTTTAATTGTTTCAAAAGGGAGACTCTAGCCAGCATCCTAAGTATGGTATTTAGTATCTTGCGTCGCAGATTTAAAGTCACATAATAGTAGATGATAACACCAGAAACCAGAGAGATATAGCCCTAGTAGCAAATATTAAAAAAAAAAATAGCAAGAGTAGCAGATATTAGAAGAATAGAGTAATAGTAGCAGATATCAGAAAAATATATTGATAATAGAAGATAGTGACAGTAGTAGAAACTTGAAGAGCCAAGTAGAGGTACGTATAACTATCTACTGCCTACGAGTACTGAAATATAGAAGTTCTCTTTGCATCCGTTCCGACATTTGAGCCTCACGCAGTCTCCGGCGTGGATAACTTATTGGGGTTGCAGCTAGTATTTCTCTTTCCAAGGATACATGTATATAAAGTCTTTTTTTTTTCTTCTTTTAAAAAGCATATACTAAATCAGGCTTTGTATAATCATTAGCCTTTTAATAAGCTGCTAGCTGCAAATCCACTTTGGGCCTTGATAGGGACGTGGGCGTAGTTTGTATATATCTCACAAGTGTATTAATGACCTTGCGTGTTGGTTGTCGCTAAGTTGGCACCCAACACCTATATACTTGGCCATGGCCTCCCAGGCAGAGGCGACGTGGTTAGGTATTGCCCAACAAAGCTGGGATTAGCCGAGCAGGAAGGTCGCAGTTTTGGCCATGCAAGATTCTCCTTTTGCATCGTGATCCAAGTGAAGCTCTTCAAGTGTCTCGAGATTTAGCCCCGTAGGCCTTCAACTACTAGTCGGGTGATGCCTAGGGAGCCTTCTTGTCCTCCAGCAACATAGGTATATGAAAGCTAACACGTTCCTCGAGTTTCTCCTTCTTTTCTCAGCTACCATCTTTTCTTAAAAGCCAAGAGTACCATCGCAGTACTTGAATCGCCAACGCCGACTCAAATTCTTCTTATTTCATTGAAATAGAAATCTGTGTCTCCTCTTGGAGCTATCCCTCATTCCCTCTGCTTTGGAGACTCATCTTGTAAGAAGCATTCTGTGAAAATTCATGAGACCTGTAGGCTAATACTTGTACTTACGTACAGCAACAGTAGACCCTTATCATGCCATCTCACAGCTCTAGCGGTTCTTCTGATGGTGGTAATTGGAAAGCTGATCCAAGTTGTGTCATTTGCCGTGGAACAGGTTATTGGACTGAGACGGTCATGGTCGACACTGAGGTTTCCTGCTGGATGTGTAACGGCCGCGGAACTAAATGCACCTCAACGAGGCATGCTCGCGATTGCGACAGGAGCGCAAATTATTGGGGCTTCAGGAACTGCGATTGCACCCATTGCCAGGGATCAGGCAAACGGATTGAACAAGTGCGACAAACTGTCACGCATGTTTGCGACTGCTACGGGTACTTTTGAGTTTTAACCACATATGGTGTTGATGGTTGTAATCTCATGTGGATCGATTTTGGGGATTCTCCTTTTGTCAGTTAAGTTTGTGTTTACTTCTATCGAATTAGGCAAATTGTCCTATATGAGTGTGACGGCTTCAGGTGTATTCAACTATATCTCAAGTTGAGGGTTGTAAACTCATGTGATGAATCGGCCCCTAGAATTCTTCTTTGTCGCTCAAGTTTGTATTTACTTCTATTTAGCTGGGCTGAGAGGGCGCGTCTGGGTGGAGAGTGCACTTAGCTGATCCAATCGTTGTTACATTCGTTACGCTTAATCGATTCGAGTCATCTTTCAATTCTCCCAAATGATTCATTTTGACCAGAGTATTTCAGAGTGATTGTGTATCCATTCGTTTTCTCCTTCAACCTTGAGCATTCTAACCATTCTTCCCTAATCAGTCCCTCGTCTACTATCAACAGGCATCACATACCACTAGAGCCCGGAGTCTATACATCATGTATTTACCCAGGACTAACATCCTCTCGGGCAGGAATTAGGAGGGAGAATCCAGTCACGCGATACAATATGTCTTCTTTCCCTTTTTGCATCGTCGACACATGACATAAATCGAGTAGATATCGTTAGGCCTGTTCGGTCTATTGACGAGGCTCTCGTCCTCTTTAACAGCCACATCCGGATCCTAATGAAATGAAATAGGTAGTAGGGAGAGGAGCCTATACCGTCAATACCACCACGCAAAGTTTCGCTCTGTACTGCCACGGGTTGTATCTTGGTGGACTGGACAGACACATGTATTTGGCAATTTCTACTAAAGACGCCCTCACAGCTAAAAAGAGACGCACTTCAGCCGGCCACCCCAAGCCTCTTCTCCCTGAAAAGAACGATTACACGACACTCCTCGGTTTGCCGTTTGGCAGGGTGGACTCAACCAGGTGTTGGTAATGTACAGAATGCGGACGAACGCATATACACCAAACATTCAACGATGAACCAGTGACCGCAGTGACACTTATAGTCCGGCAGGAAGCAGCATAATGTACTATGGATTGCTCCATCTTGCTCCGAGTGATGTAATGAGACTCGATTAGGGGTACCTTAAGTATTGGTGACGGTGGATGTAATGGGGTTGCGGGAGGCCTAGGCGCTGTGGAGCATCATCACGCACCTCACAACACTCCCCCGTACCTTTTACGAGTTGTATGGGTTTTCAATCTCTTTGCCTCTCACAGAGTGTCAATTACCTCATTTTGCTCTGATCAGAAGTAAGCCATCTTTGTGTCTGCATTTGGACGGCTAATTGTGAGGATATGGATAATCGAGGTGAAATCCGCTGACCTGCGGTGGGCTCACGGCTCCGGAGTGGACGGGTTCGCCAACCTGCGCTCCGGATCGGCGCGGACGGGGCCCTTTGCCTGTCTGGACTCCAACACGGGTTGGACCTTGGACCAGAATCGAGCCTCGATGTTATCCTTGAGCCATGTTGCGTCCTCTGGATGCGTTGCTAGGAATTGAATACAATCATCTGTAATGATGGCATCGCGACGAAGGTTTGACCGAATAATCTGGCGATATGTTTTTGCATCATACCGTCCAGGTGTTGGCTTTCGTGAGCGTTGAACTGGTGGCCTCGTGAATGGATACTTTTCCAACATGGATTGTATCTCTTCAGGCAGAGTTTGCTGAACAGCAATTCTACTCAAGTATTAGTAGACTGGTGCCTTCATAACGCCACGGAGGTCTTCTAACAGGGATTTTCCCGTCCACTTGTACCACAGAATTGGCGGATCTTCAGTAGATTCGCCATGATCGATGAGGAAATAACAGTTACGGTTCTCATAGCCAAAGTTGTCACCGTATGAATTCCAACGATCTTTGCTCGCATCAAAGTCACGATTCCAATGGTATTGGCAAATGATGTTTCGTATATACCCGACCCGCTGGCCATAGTCATTTCCTGGCACAAGATTTGTTACTGTTTGCACCAGGATCCGTACCGGTCCCGGATATTGTAGCGGCGGGTTTGGTTCCCCGATGGGGGCCTCCATGATGGCTTCTGATATAGTAGACGAGAGATGCAATTCCCAGTGGCGCGGGCCGTTGCGAATTGGGGCTCGGGGGGGTTGTGCGAAAATGACTAAGCAATGTGAGGATGGATAGGTGAAAGGCGAGCCACAGTAAGAGCCAGGAGGGACTCTTTGAGATGATGAGCGAAGTAAATGAGCTGAGTTGCGATGCTATTTGACTGGACACTGATGAAGGCGGGAGACATGGGCCGAGGGAGGATCAACGACGTTGGGTGGTGTATGCGCGAAGGCGGTGCGAGCGCAGCCAATCAGGTGACGATGAACGACCCAACGCTGTACTTCAATGTAAGTTCAGAGGCCTGTAGTTCCGCCATCGGCGTATCAGCATACACTGATGCCTACATGTATCAAGATTCCACAAACTTTGGATGCTCTCAAGATCATGTGGTCATGTCAAATGTACAATTTATTCATTTATACCCAACTATGGACAATTCGGACCTCCCCTATGCTACTTGAAGAGAGTCCAATGAAGTTCAAAGACCACCCGTATGTACACAGTGTCTTGCCAAAAATATATATACTGAATCAGATTCACCACCACAGTCAGCCTCCCATTGCTGACCAAATCTCCATTTTCTCTCTAGTTTTAGACTGATGTCGTTTCCGACTCACACAACCAATGGCTGGGCATTACGCTTGCCAGTGTTGCATGTGCCAGTAGGAGGAGCAGTACCGGCAGAGTTGAAATCGGTATCCGGGCCAGGGTTGGGGAAGAGCAGATCCTTGCCCTCGAGAGTTCCGCAGCCGTTGTTAACGTTGGCAACGAACTGAGAAGGACGGCTGTTGTACGGGTCGGACGGGCTGCGAGCTGCAAAGCCGCTTCGGCCCTGGATGGTGACGTGGGCGCAGTTCATGTACATCTCGCGGTTTCCAATCTTGTTGAACCAGGTCCATGAGAAGATGGCATCTCCAGCAGGTGTGTCGTTGGGTAGGGTGAAGCTCCAGGTGGGCTTGAGAGGGCACTGGCCGATCCACGAGTGGAAGGCCTTCCAGGTCTTGCCCTGGTCGTAGGACAGAGAGACTTGGCAGCTACCGCCCTCGTGAGTAGCAGAGCCGGATAGCGTCAGGTTGTAAGTGCCTCCAGCTTGCCAAGTGACAACTGACTTGCCCTCGGGCCTGCTGAAGTCGACCTGGTATCCCTTGCAAGGATAGTTGCCACCAGCCTGGAACAGCGGGTTGGTCATGCTGTAGTCTTTCAGGGCCTCGGGCACGTTGGGGTTGAACTTGGAGCGGAAGGCATAGGGCCATGAGAGTTCCATGTGGGCCTGGGCCATGGCGGCGAGGCCAAGAATAGAGGCGAGAGTGAAGACCTTCATTGTGATGATTGTGTGATTGTGGTACAAGCGTTGTCTTAGGCCGAGGATCTAATCGAGGCGAGCTGTCAGAGACTGTTGTTGTATAGCAGATCCAAGAAAAAGGCTGGATGGAGAGATGAGAGACAAGTGATCTCTTAAGTACTTGTTCAGCCCCTGATGCAGACCAGGCACGAAGCAATCCATTAGATTTAAGAAAGAATACCAAGCTAGTCCCATTGTAAGCGTTTGCCAGCGATGCGGCAATCGTTCCGTTACATCTGCGTGAAAGGGGGACAGGCATGTTGCTGATGCCATGAATAGCAGAGTCAACCTCCCAGATTGGGGCATGCCATCTCCCACCATCTCTGACCCCCAATGCTACCGCGTGTCGAGGTCACCACACTGGTCTCTTGGCATTCTATGCATTGTTGAAATCCTGCTAGATAATCATCCACATGGGCGGCATTGACACCGACCCCAGCAACAAAGAAGGCCGGCTCACGGCCACGCTGGGCGGCAACCGACTTGGGCGGTCCAATGAACCTGTGGACGGCGCCATTGTGGGGGAAGGCGATGCCAGAATCGTCTAGATGTTGTCAAACGCAGATCGTGACCAGGTTAAAGTGTCTGGAGTCTGTCCCAGCCACTTACACACACGCTGCTCTTGTGACTGCCAGCTCCAGCACAGGGGTGCCATGTGGACCTGAACCACTGCGACGAAACCATGAGGCTGTGATGCAGAGACTCCCTTGTCTGGTCCCACCGCTACGTATGGAAGCTGGTTATCATGATAATGCGAGTATTTGCTAGTGTTGCTGGTAAGCCGTGTATGTGCACGTGTAAGCGGCCCATGATGAGCCAAGGCGCCAAGCCCATCAAATCAACATGCAACGAGCGGCCGTTTGAAGAAAGAGACGGAACTGAAGATGACTGAATCGCATACTCGTTGACGTAAAGTACACATGTTATTCTCTAATTGAAGGACAGTTTGAGTGATGCTGCGCCAGCCTCTGCTTTGCCTAAGCAAACACCAGAGGTAAAGGGACGTGTAAGCGTCTCGAAGGACAGGGGAATCAACCGGCCGCCAAGTCCTTGGAATGAATATTCCCGCTTATTCACCGCCGCATGAAACAAAACAGAAACATTTCGGGGAAACAACAAGGCTCCGAAAGACGATGCGGAGACTTGACAAAGAACAGCCATTTGAAGGACCTGCCTGGCTCTGGAATGCTCGAGGCTTCGGACCGACAGCCGCGGATCCCACCAATCGGGAACCCCTGACCGAGGTAAGCATGCGGTTTGACGGGTGCAGGAACAGGAACATACAGGGTGCCTGTCGATCAGCGCATTCTCCAAAGTACACGCGGAGGTGGAGGTGAAGGGACGAAGAAACCATCGCCTTGGCCTTGGCTGCGGTCTTTGTAAACCACCATCTCTCCATTTGACACGTTACAAATACAAAGGGGTGCAGAGGATGGATATGAACAGCAACTACGGAGTAACGCCAATAGATTTATTGGCCATCCTTGGCGCCAATGCGCAGAGGCAACCTATACAAACCCAATCCTCAATCTACATCGGACATGTCTGTGGGCACCGATACGGCGATTATGCAGAATCTCGGCACCTGTTACTGCTCAGAGCTGCAAAGAGATGGGCTGCCTCAAATCATCTCATTTCGCCGACATCTCACATCTCAGCCATATTCCCAATGACCTTCATTCAATACAAAAGGTCGCCCACAAGGAGTTACCAGGGCTCCAGCTCCAGCTTCTCGTATAAAAACACCAAGCTCCCACTATCGTCAGCGATGTGCCGTTTAGAAATCCGGCCTCGTTCTCCGACAATTCCGCGCAGTCTCACCCTCACAAACGCATACTATCCATAAAGCGGAACTTTTATCAAGGCAGCCCCCCTAATTGCCAGAGCGGTAGGTCGCAGTGTTCGCATGCCGCGCCGTGCGACGTCCATACCTCACGGCCTTCCTATTCCAGAAAGAAGCTTGAAATTTAGATGCCTCCGACTATCGATCTCCCTTGCCCGCGCCATTTTCGCCATGGACGGCAACGCGCTAGCATGCAACGCGAAACGGCACTCAGCCGACATCCCTTGATAAGTTTACATGTACCTGTAGATTATCTTAGTAAAGTATAGCCTCCCCCCTTGTCTTCCTCGAACCGCTGCCAGTAACGTTAACTTTAAAAATCCCCCTTGACGGCCGGCATCTTAGCCTAGCAATACTAGGGGATCCTGGGAACACTTCCTCCTGCCCAATGGAGAACTCTCATGATGCCCCCCTGCTGCCTATTCGAGGTCTAGTCGAAGCTTACAGAAGAAGCTTGATTCCTTTATCTTTGTCCTGCTCGCCTTGGCGGTGGTGCGCGTGGGCTCCTGGATGCTTTTACTTTGCTTCTTCGGCTTGGGATGAAGATGGGGGCTCGTGGGACTGGCATGGCCGTGCTTGGCCGTGAACCGACGAGAGCCGAGCAATGGCAGTGTCAAGACCAAAGCCGTGATTGACATTTCGGGCTATTCGTGAAAGATTGGCAACCACACTTTTGACATCTACAAGACCATTCGGGCGGAGGGATCTTTTCTATCTAGCACCACGGATGAGATACAACCATCCATGACTATCGTTCGTCACACTGCTGATGCCACTTGAGTAGAAATCGAAGTATCGGAATAACTGTTATCGGATAGACAGGACTCTGTCAACAATCTACACCCACTTACACAGAGGAGGAGAATTTAAATCAAGCCTTGGCGTGGGCAGTCTTATCAATCCCTATGCAAATCAATTCGGCAAAGGGATCATGAAAAACTACACGGAGGCATCATTAGAATACGAATCAGTGGCAAGAGCGTCATGTAGAATTGATTAACCTGTATTCTTTAATACGGCTGTTTCCTACAGTATCAGCGAACATCCCGCCCGGTATATGAAGATGTCCGTAATAAGTGCACAGTCAAGTGGAGGTCAGAAAAGGAGAGACCGCAAAATAAATAAGGGTATACATGCAGCAATATACTAAATGACTGAGTTCATCCAGTACATTTGCAAATGAACGCCTATTTAGCTAGCACCTAAATTTCACAACCATAGTAGCAATTATTATAAAAATATAAATAAAATAGTAGTCATTAGAAAAATATAAATAAAGTAGTAATAACTAGAGAAATATAAATAGAGTAGTAGCTACTAGAGAGATGTAAATATGGTAGTTGATAGAGAAATATAAATATGGTCGCAGATATTATAAAGAAAAAAACGGGCTAGTGTATGATTGATCGTGTGGGAGTTTATAATCTTCTACGTCTCGATTTTCTGTCCCCCACTTGACAGTTACCTGATGCTATCGTTTTTCTCTTATGTGTACTTCTTAAAACTGTCAGCTTCCTGGCTCAATCCGTCAGATACTCAAGGGCAACCACGTCTTTGACAGGTTTCTTAGCTGAGAAACATCGAAAAGTCGTCAACCAAGTGATCGGTAATTCGCATTGGCTGCCGTTTGACTCGATAGTTCGAGTTTGATGTTAGCGTTGCCGAACCGGTGCCGAAAACGCATGATTTGGCCGGTGAACCTACTGCATTGGCTTTACTCCTTTAATCTGCCTATGAATGACGGATTTATGATAAGGAGTGGACAATCATGACTTCATTGGACCCGGAATAAATAATTCAGAGCTTTTGAGATCTCAAGGAATCACCAAATGTATAGGTTGGCATTCAATTTTCGCATGTTGGTGTAGGGTAGCGTGGCTCAGTGCAACCAACATGCGGGCACTGCTACGCTCACTCTCGCGTTCCGTGTAAGCCACACGTAGGCAAGTATTCAAGTGTAAAACCCAACGCAATTTTATACATGCATGTTTGCTTGAATTTTCTTTTTCCACAATGGCATGATCTACGTGTGGATAATTTTGAAACTACTTGATAAATGATGGAGATTTTCGTGGTTAAGACTGCCGGATGTTGCTCTCCTTATCTCCGGGCATGTGAGGTTCCCTCCCCTCATCTCATAAATACAGATAACATGAACATGAAATACATGTATTCACCTGTCCAGCCGAATTCGTTCGCCATCAATTCACCACCTCTCTCAAATCCGAAAATCGAGTGATATATTATAAAAATGTCGTGCCAGAATTGTTACCGCGGCTCCGTGCACGAAGGCGAGCCACGGGGCACCGTCACTCGCGCCTACGGTCTCGACACGTACGTCGTTGAACCCGCTGATGGGGCGCCCCCCAAAGGCATTGTCGTCGTAATTCCAGATGCGTTCGGATGGGCCTTTGTCAATATAAGGCTTGCCGCGGATAAGTATGCCGACCTGGGCGGGTTCAAGGTGTATGCTCCTGATTTCATGAACGGTAAGCCGTACTCGATATACAATCCATGACTCTTGAAGCAAGCTTTAGACATTGAAGACTGATTGCTGTAGGACGACCTGCACCTCTGTACACGATTGATGACTTTAAAACCATATCATCCCCGTCAGCTGGAATCTTCACCAAAATGCAAGTACCATGCTGAAGCACCACAGTGGACACTGAGCTACAGTTGCTAACCCGCAGCTCGGACGAACTTGTAGCTATCACTTCTTCCACGCTCTTCGCGGCATGGTGCCCTTTCTTATGACCAATTGGCCTACGAGGGCATGGCCAAGAGTCAAGGGCTTCTTCGAGCAGCTCCGCAAAGAAGAAGGCGCTTCACTGCCAGTTGGCGCTGCGGGCTTTTGCTGGGGCGGCAAGCAAGTCATATTCCTGGGTCGCGGAGACACAATCGACGGACGACCGCTGATGGACGCCGGATTCACCGGACACCCAAGCTTCCTAAGTCTCAACAGCGACATTGAAAACCTGAAGTTGCCGGTGTCGTTTGCCTTGGGCGAGCACGATGACTACCTCCCGGCGGAAAAGGCCGATGGGATCAGGGCCATTCTTGAGGCGAAGCCCGAAGCAGCTCGCGGCGAACTCACCGTCTATCCTGAGGCTGGGCATGGATTCTGTGTTCGAGCGGACCACAAGCATCCTGACTCTTTGCAGCAGGCAGACGACGCGGCTGAGCAGTGCGTCAAGTGGTTTACCGCCCATTTTAGCAAATTTTCACCGGCTTCCTGAGAGGTTTCGTGATGAAGAGAATTGCATGGTGTGGATGACTAGGTTTGTTTGCGCATGCTTTGGAAAGGTTGAATGAGAATTGTTACTCGTATTTACAGCGTGTTTGTTATATACTGAAGTTGAACATGTATAATGTAATAGGACTAGGCTGTCAAAGAACGAATTCGCGCCAAAGATGACTCGAAGCCGAGCCATGTGATTCCTTCTCGTAGAGATTGCTGGCTATGCTTAGTGAATATAGAAAGCGCAATTCTTATTTGCATAACATTCATTTAAATCAAAATAACATGCTGAAATGACGCACTTTTGTTACTATCCGACCCAATCAAGTATTTTCGGAGTATCATTCGGAGTCCACGATGGCTCGGCATAGAGGCTCCATCATCGAAATAGGAAAGAGGTTTGGAAATCTGGGGTAAAGAAGACAGTGCATGATATAGCCGACGGCAATTACTAATTCTGATGACTCTTTCTGCATCTTGTATGATAGTGTCCAGGAACGGACTTTGTGATGTATGAAAGTGTGCTGCGTGTAGCTCAAGAGGCGGTCTATACACTTCACATGCAATTTCCAGTATTCAAATCTTAAACTGCAGCACGGCGAAACAACCTGTTTCCGCCATCTAAAATGTTCAATCGAGGGGATCTTGTAAATGGGCATGTGATCCTGCAGTCTCCATCTCAATGGTGATAATGCGGGGAAGATGTGCCGGACAACGGATCTGGGGATGTCGGCATCTAAAAAGGCCGGCTCTTATACTATTCCACGATTGACCGGGCATAGTGGCCCATTTATCTGGGACCGTATAGTTGAACAATTACCGTCGGTTGATGTCTATTACCAAAGCTGTGCATAGGATTTGTAAACCCGAATAATTCGTCCAACTCACGAATAGTATCCGGTCGACCGAACTTGATAAATGTATAAATACCATGGCATTTGCTCTCAAGTCTGACGCAATACAACCAAACACCTAAATCAAGATGCTCCCTCTTCTATTATACGCTGCCGCCGTTACGGCTGCTAGCACAACCGGCCTGCGGAAGCTGAGCAATCTTGTCACATTCGGAGACAGCTACACAGACGAAGGCCGTCTTAACTACATCTTCAATAACAATGCACTTCCTCCTCCAGGCCATCTTCTACCAGTGAACAATGCAACGTCAGTAGGAGGTTATGCCTGGCCGCGACTCGTAGCACAAAAGACAGGCGCCAAGCTCTACGACTATGCCGTTGCCGGCGGCATGTGCTCTGACGGCGTCACCCAGCACTTTCTCAGCAACATCAACGGACCCTTTCCATCCATCTTGGATTACGAAGTCCCGGCATTTAAGACAGATCTTGGCTACAAGGGGCTGTATCCAGATAGGAGAGCGGACAACACCGTCTACGCGCTTTGGATCGGCACCAATGACCTAGGCATCGACGGATTCTTGGGCAACAACCAAGTCAATGGCGCTACCATTACAGATTTTGTAGAGTGCGTCTGGAAAGCTTTTGACGGCGTTTACAAGCTGGGTGGCAGGCAATTTGTGCTTCTTAACGTTCTACCATTACAGCTCTCACCGATGTATGCTTCTATCGCGAATGGAGGAACGGGAAACAATGAGTATTGGGGCAACAAGGCAACATACAACACGACGGACACTCAGTATAAGATGGAGGAATTCTTGACCAGCGCAAACACCATGTTCGCCACAGGAGCGCCGTATAACTTATTGGTCAAGAAGCGCTGGCCAGGGGCTACTGTCAGCTTACTGGATGTGCACTCGCTGTTGCTGGATTTGCGTTCAGACCCAACCAAGTACTACACAGAGCCGGTAGACATTACCGGATCCTGGAGAGGATGCGGAGACTCGGGATGCTTCCAGTCGGCAGAGCCGCAGTCGAATTTCGTATGGTGAGTGCTGTCATGGCGTGATTTTGAGACGAAATAGGTGAGAGTTGGGAATTCTGACTTGATATTGAGTTAGGTATGACGAGGTGCATCCGTCAGAGAGGACGTGCGAGCACGTTGCCGATGAGTTTATCAATCTGCTGGAAGGGAGATCGAAATACGGCACCTCGTACCACTAAGTTGCCTTGCTTGATTGCGTGGTGAATAAGTGGTAAGCGGCATCTAGGCCGTAATCAGGGTTACGACGGCCTTTGGTGGTCATCCGGGCTTTATACGCGGAATCAGAATTCGAGGCTGAGACAGTAAAGCTGTGTCGACGATTACGTTGGTTGGTGGCCGGTATTATTCATGGAGTAAGCCGGAGACTTGACGCTTAACGTTGCTGAGTGTCTGTGTGAATCACGGACGAGATTTATAATCGCATTTCAGCTTGTCGCATTCATGGCGACCGGTTAAAAGGTTGTATAATAGTATCGGACATTCCTTTCTTGGACTGGAGAAATGATGATGACGGATGGGCTCATGGTCAGGATGGAGGTTGACGGGTGATGAACAAATCACAAGCTATGAAAGATACCGATTCGATTTCACGCTGAAGTTACCTGTGATTGAGTTTATATACTAAGTACAAAGCTGATATCCATGGATGATAAGGTATTAATTCCTCTTGGTAGTATATACCTCTTACACATGTAGCTCTGCTGCTCTTCAGTACTTGATACCAATATCACCTCAGTTCTACCTGATCATCACCAACAATCTACACATTTCAGCAACTCTCGCCAGCTTATTCAGCAGAGGCACGGCCCGAGGCTTGCAGCCCGAACTTGCTCATCTCGTCAGATGCAATCCAATAACAATAAGCTGGCCGAGTTACACAAGCCGTCGCAGTTTTTCCGAGCGCCAGCAAAACTCTGCTGCTTTATCCGCAAAACTATAAATAAACACGCGCAGAAGGAAAAAGATAAAAACAAGGGCAATTGTCTCGTGTTTCTTCTTCTGCAAGTCAATCATCTCAATTCCTCAAAATCGCTGTATCTGCCCTTTATCTTTCGCAACTAGTCTCCAAGTCTCGAGATATTCCCAGCGCCTCGGCATCGGCATCTCACGTCATTTCGCGACTGCAAAAGGACAGGCTAGGCCACTTTCGCGCTTCCTCGACCCGCTAAGGCCATTTCCCATCTACAACTTCTTCTCAGCCAATCCGTCCAACTGCGTATATCTACGGCGCCGAGCCTCGCCATTTCCTCCCTCGCCATCGCCATCCGAACCGGACACGACACGACACGAGAAACGACCGGTGCAGATCCATTCGCCTGCCATGTACGCCAACAACTACGGCTTTGGCAATGCCGCGCCCAACTTCAACCCCGCGGGCACACCGCAGCCAGGAATGCAGCCGGGCCAGCAGGTCATGTTCAACCGCCAGCAGCAATTCGCCGGCATGGCTCCTCAAGGGGCGTTTCCTGGGGGGAACCCGCACATGGTTGCCGACGCCAACTCGGCCAACTCCATGATGCAGTCGCAAGGCATGATGCCGTCGCATGGCATGCCCGGCATGGCGCCAAACAACCAGAGTGCGTCTCTCTCTCTCTCTCCCTCTCCCTCTCCCTCTCCCTCTCCCTCTCCCTCTCCCTCTCCTGCAGTCAGCAGTCGCGCGGCAGGACGACTGACACTAACCCGCGTGCAACAGTGGCCTACCAGCAACAATTCCCCGGCGCGGCGTACGGTCAAGTCCTCCCCGCGGGCGTCGGTCCTCAGGGCTTCGTTCCGAATAACTACATGATGGGTGCCGGGATGCCGGGCTTTCCCATGGGCCAGCCCGGCATGCCTCAGCAGCAGCAGATGATGATGCAACGAATGCAACAGCAGCAACAAGCCCAGCAACAGGCTCAACAACAGCAAGCTCAGCAGCAGCAGCAGCAGCAGCAGCAGCAGCCGAACCAGGCCATGGGCCAGGTGTCGACTCCCCAGAGACCCCCGAGCACAGCCCAAGGAACGCCGACAAACATCATGCCTCCCCAGCAGCCTCAGTTCTCGACTCCGCAACCCATGTCCCAGGGACAGACGCCGACAAATCAACAGCAGATGGGATTGAACACCCCCCAGACACCGACGTTTTCCTCCAATCCGGCCAGCGGCATGGCTGGTCCACCAACGGGTGCGGTACCTATGAGCCCTACAACAGAGGCTCTGGAAAAGGAGAGGTTCGCCCTGCTGTTAGACATCAACCACGAGCTACTGTACGAGTCGATCCAGATCCAGACAACGCTACAAGAAATGAAAAAGGAGTTTGCCGCTGTCAATGGCAATATCCCAGACAGGAAACCTTCCGATGAGGAGAACCACTTCCAGCAGGACTATCTGCAGTATGTTGAACATGTCAAAAATATTGACACACGCACACAAAAAAACTAATGATTCATAGTTGCATGCGACGACTACAAGCCAACCTGTCGTACATGGCTGCACTAGCAGATAGGAAGCCAGAAGTCAAGGGACCGCCTTGTCCGGCATATCTCAGCGCACCTCCGCTGAACCTGACTCTCCGGCCCAGAGCAGTACCGATTGGCGCCGAGAATTCAACAACGCCTCCAGATGCCGTAGCGGACAGAGAAGAGCGAAATAAGTCGATCCAGGATCTGTATCGACGACTACAAGCTGTCTTCCCCACGTTCGACCCCAAGAAGGAGCCGGCCTTCCGCACGGCGCCCTCGGGCCAGAAGCCGGGTATTCCAATGGCTCCGAGCCAGCAAGCCAGTCCCGCTGCCCAGAGGACGCCCCAGCTGCCAAATATGCCTGGCCCGCCAATGAATCTACAGCCCAACTTGGCTTTGCAGTAGGACCATTGAAACGTAGCCTTTTTGCGCTGTGTAGCAATCTGGGACGTTTGTGGACGTAATGGAAGAACAGGAATAGCAAGGGAAGGGAAAGCGGGCCTGCGATTCCCGCTATCCTGTTGGCGTTTTCGACTTAGAGGCTTGATTTCGGTTACTTGGTTATATGATACCACTTGGTATTGCGGTTCCTCACCTTGGATTTTGGGGGGAGACCACATGACAGCGACGTTGCTTGCTTGGAGACGAATACACTCATGAAGCATCAAAATGACGAAACTCTCTCGGGAGGCATGCTTGCTTAGATTAGCTGTACCTATCTATTTCTTATACACTAGCTAGTTCTTGTATAACTTTTAGTTTTACAATGCTGACGAGCGGCTAGCCCTGCGAATATTTGGAGTCTGTGCGATGGGATGGTCTCTGCTACTACGCCCTGTTGGCTCTTTGGCTATGACGTTACACAAATTAGGGGCCTTGAAAAAAGGGGTGTATCATGTGATACTCGGAGATTTTGTTGAAGTCTTTGTCCCACTCAATGAAATGAGCGTATGCCTTTGGTGTGACGGTGCGTGTTCGTGATGGCTTCAGCTAAGTCAAAGCCTCATCTGATGTGTAAAACCCGATCTGGAGTGTAGATCTGCTAGCGCCACGCTAAAGATTTAGCTACATACAGTCTCCCGGTGGGCCACTGAGATACGAGAATAATAGGCCTATCGAGAGTTTATGTTCGTCCTCAGGTATATCACCAAATCACTTGGTCGCTTCAGCCTCAAGTCGTAGTAGGTATATGAAAACTCTGTTATATATAGATGGATCTGCGTGGATATGAGACAAGATTTGGGCTATAGCATCATTTAAATGGATCTGAAACATTGCGCAAGAGGTAACTTTGTCTGCCACATGGCAGCCTCTCGCCCACAATACTACCTGTACTGTCCTTGAACTGAAGGCCCTCTCACTTTGCTGCTTCTGCTCAACAACTCTAAATCATGCGCTGATATCCAGGGACCCAAAGATACGACATTGTCATCTTCATTGCTTGAGTGCTTATTTCGCACCGAAATGTCTCGGGCAGTCTTGCGGGCGAAATTTTGAACGTCGATTCTGGCCTCTACACCAAACTTTGACAAAGAGCTTTGAAACTCGGAATCTGCCGTGGAGACTGTTATCAGATACACTTTTGGGAACCTTTAGGTTTCTGGTGGAGTATTCAAATATACTTTTATTCTCTCTTATAAAAAGAAGTGGCACCATTGATCAGGAAATAGGATAAACGTCCCCTCGCATAAATCTACATATTCATCTACTTGACTATCCGGCTGCTCTCATCAGCCATGTCTACGGCATCTACAAAGATTCATCCTCCTCATCCTCAAGGTAAGATCAATGCAGCCATAATCCAGCAGAGCAACTCGCTGATTTGCACCAGAAAATGGAAGGGCTGAGGCTCCCGGACCGTCAAGAGGTACCAAGAATACCATGGCAACCATCAAGTTGATGTTCAGCGGCAAATTCCGATATGGCCAGCCAAACCCCGTCCACGTTGCAATAGCCACCCGAGGCTACGACATCCAGTCTCGCGTTTTGCGTATTCCTGACGGGTTTGGCTGGTTCACACGCGGACCCCCTCGCCGATCAGCTTTCGAGGGCCACGCGTTTGTGGTTGCAATCCTATCCCTTCTATTCGTGGCCGTCATGTTCTCGGGCTGTATAGTATGTCTGGGAGCCATTGGGCATCTCAATCTGGAGGTGCTTATAACTTTTGCAGTCCTTTATATGACGATAATAGCACTCTTCTGGGCAGTCATGGTCCACAACCCCCAGCGCAAGCCATACTATTATTGGGGAGATTATCCGGAGGTGCTGATAGTGTGATTGCTGGGCGGTTTGTATCTTTTGCGAATTGAACGGCCTTTTCTACTGGCGATGGCTGTCTCATATTTTGGTTAATGGTATCCTATGAGGCAGTATTACATGGTATCTTGGTGCTATTTGCAACTTTGGATGATGGAAGAGAAAAATGCCATTTTCTACACAATTTTTTCCCAACTGGTGAATGTTTTCTTCTCCTTGTCATGGCAGAGCAAAATAGCAAGAATGTGTTTGCCTCTTCAAAGGGCGACAGGATAATCAGACAAGTACTAGTCAGACAAGGGATCAAACAACTGACAGCTTGGAGCCAATCAATTGAAGATGACAGAAATTTTCAGACTAAACTCAATCTCCTTAACCATGACTTGCCAAGCTCCAAGATGAGAATAACTTGTACCCAAGACAATTACACATCGCAACCGCTTACCCACGGGCTCGACTAGGCTCTCAGATAAGAGCGAATCAGGATGTTCGTCCCCCAACCATCTTTGCATCTTTTTTTGGCTTGCCGTGATCCACACGGTGGGATAAAAAGCAAGAGAGAAAAAAAAGATCTGCGGAGGCGTTTGGATGGCGCTCCACAAACGAGATGGTGGTAGAAGCATGTGCTTGTGGTAGAGGAAAGTCTCGTGACAGCAGGAGAGCTTGTTTACTGCTTCACAGCGTGCTCGTTCAATGCCAATCTGGATATGTACATGTCCTACAATCCGTCTCTCTTTTCCGCCGCCGACATATAGTTTGCCTCGCGCTTGTTCAAACACCCAGCGACGCATCATATCTCGTCTAAACTCAGTGAATCCATCACCGATGGAGGGGTCAATCTTGTTTGATCCATCCATTGAATTTTTTTTTTCTTTTGGGGGTCTCAGGGCCGCTGCGGGGTCCAGTTAGTGCGTGGGCTTCTGAAGGAATACCACGCAAACGCCTGCAAACATCCATCATAGGCAATCTAGAGGCCCCCGAGCAGCGCCGCCATTGGCCCATCTGGCTGGTGGCGGTGGAACGGGCGCTGTGATCTCAGCTGCATTGGCCAATGGCGAGGCGCTGCCTCTCAACATTTTGAGGCTAATCCGCGCCGGTCGTGGCTTGATGATGGTATTGATTGGCAAGAGAGAGAGAGAGAAAAAAAAAATAAGATGGTGTCAAACCCGCCGAGATTTTTCTCTCTCTCTTCCCTTTTCCTTTCTTCTTCCTCCTCCTCAACTACGGCGAGAGCATCCTTCAAGCTTCTTTCTTTCTCTCCATACTCTCTGAAGGACGCCTTGCAACTGTTGAGGAAGCAGATGATAGCGAGGTAGCTTTTGACCTGCCCGGGAGAAGCTCTGAAAACGAGTTTTTCGTGTCAGTCGCCAGCAAACCTTCGCCCCTCACTTTCTCTTCATCACCATCTTTTGCCCCGCCTTGGGTATCGTCAGGAACAAGACAGCTGGAGAAGAACGGCTTCTTGAACGGCGAAGAGTCCAAAGTTGCTTTCTGCTGAACCTCAACCACACAAAAGAGGAAAAGAAGCCAGCTTTCTGCACCAAAAACCATGGCTGTCCAGCTCCTCAAGCCCGCCTCGGCCAGCTACGGCAGCAACGAGCGCCTCGTCTGCCTTGAGCTCGAGGATGGCTCAACCTACCAGGGTTACAGCTTCGGTGCTGAGAAGAGCATCGCCGGAGAGCTGGTTTTCCAGACCGGCATGGTGGGCTACCCCGAATCCATCACAGACCCCTCATATCGCGGCCAGATCCTCGTCATCACCTTTCCCTTGGTCGGAAACTACGGTGTCCCTTCGCGGGAGACGCTGGACGAGCTGCTCGGCGACCTGCCCGCCCACTTTGAGTCATCCCAGATTCACATTGCCGGTCTTGTTACCGCTTCTTACTGCGGCGAGGACTTCTCCCACTTCCTCGCTACCTCCTCCCTAGGAACATGGCTCAAGGAGCAGGGCGTCCCGGCCATGTATGGCGTAGACACCAGAGCCTTGACCAAGAGGATCCGTGAAAAGGGTAGCATGCTGGGCAAGATGAGACTTGCCGGCATCGCCGCTGCTGGCAACGGCGCGGCCAATGGCCTCGCCTCTATCGACGAATTCGAGGCAATTGACTGGGTTAACCCCAACACACAGAACTTGGTGGCGCAGGGTGAGTTTCCCCATCTGCCTCCCTTTTTGCTAGATAAGAAAAACACAAAGAGACAATATGCTCATGCCTTTCGTAGTATCCGTCAAGGAGCCCAAGTTGTATAAGCCGCCTGCGTCCGTTGTTGCTCGCAAGCATCCCTCCGGCCGGACAATTCGTGTTCTGTGTGTCGATGTTGGTATGAAGTACAACCAGCTTCGATGCTTCCTCAAGCGAGGTGTCGAAGTCGTTGTTGTCCCCTGGGACTATGATCTAGCCAAGGCTGCCGGCGAGGAGTACGACGGTCTCTTCATCTCCAACGGTCCTGGTGACCCGGCCGTCCTTGAGAGCACCGCCAAGAACATTGCCGCCGTCATGGAGGCCAACAAGATCCCCATCTTCGGCATCTGCTTAGGCCACCAGCTCATGGCCCGCGCATCTGGTGCAAAGACCGCCAAGATGAAGTTTGGTAACCGCGGCCACAACATTCCCTGCACAAGCATGGTCACTGGAAAGTGCCACATCACTTCCCAGAACCATGGTTTCGCTGTGGATGCCGCCAGCCTGCCCACCGGCTGGGCAGAGCTCTTCGTCAACGCCAACGATGGCAGCAACGAGGGTATCATGCACGCTGAGAAGCCGTACTTTAGCGTCCAGTTCCACCCCGAGAGCACCCCTGGCCCTCGCGACACAGAGTACCTCTTTGACGTCTTCATTGACACCATGGCTAACTGCGCCGAGAACCCTGCTCTTCTCAAGGCTCCCGTCGCTTTCCCCGGCGGAACCATTGAGGAGAACGAGAGGCTTCACCCTCGCGTTTCTGTCAAGAAGGTCCTTGTTCTTGGCAGTGGCGGTCTCAGCATTGGCCAAGCCGGCGAGTTCGACTACTCTGGTAGCCAGGCCATCAAGGCTCTCAAGGAGGAAGGCATCTACACAGTCCTCATCAACCCCAACATTGCCACCATTCAAACTTCAAAGGGCTTGGCCGACAAGGTCTACTTCCTCCCAGTCAACGCTGAGTTCGTCCGCAAGGTCATCCTGTATGAGCGACCTGATGCCATCTACGTCACTTTCGGTGGCCAGACTGCTCTGCAGGTCGGTATCCAGCTCAAAGATGAGTTTGAGAGCCTCGGTGTCAAGGTCCTGGGTACCCCCATCGACACCATCATCACCACCGAGGACCGAGAGCTCTTTGCTCGAAGCATGGACTCCATCGGCGAAAAATGCGCCAAGTCGGCCTCGGCCAGCAATGTGGACGAAGCTCTCCACGTCGTCAAGGACATTGGCTTCCCCGTCATTGTCCGTGCCGCCTATGCCCTGGGTGGCCTGGGCAGTGGTTTTGCCAACAACGAGCAGGAGCTCCTGGATCTCTGCCACAAGGCTTTCGCCGCCAGCCCCCAAGTCCTGATTGAGCGAAGTATGAAGGGATGGAAAGAAATTGAATACGAAGTCGTTCGAGATGCCCAGGACAACTGCATTACTGTCTGCAACATGGAGAACTTTGACCCCCTTGGTATCCACACTGGTGATTCCATCGTGGTCGCCCCCTCTCAGACCCTCTCGGATGAGGACTACAACATGCTCCGAACAACGGCCGTCAACGTCATTCGACACCTTGGCGTTGTCGGTGAGTGCAACATTCAGTATGCTCTGAACCCCTTCTCTCGGGAGTACTGCATTATTGAGGTCAACGCTCGATTGTCCCGATCCTCTGCCTTGGCCTCCAAGGCCACAGGTTATCCCTTGGCCTTTATTGCCGCCAAGCTGGGTCTTGGAATTCCGCTCAAAGAGATCAAGAACTCGGTGACCAAGGTTACCTGCGCCTGCTTCGAGCCTTCTCTCGACTACGTTGTCGTCAAGATGCCCAGATGGGACTTGAAGAAGTTCACTCGTGTTTCCACCCAGCTCGGCTCCTCCATGAAGAGTGTTGGTGAAGTCATGAGCATTGGTCGCTCGTTCGAGGAAGCCATTCAAAAGGCCATCCGCGCCATCGACTTCCACAACCTTGGCTTCAACGAGACCAAGGCTCTTATGAGCATCGACGACGAGCTGCAGACGCCCTCTGACCAGCGTCTGTTTGCTATTGCCAACGCCATGCACCAAGGCTACTCCGTCGACAAGATTTGGGAAATGACCCAGATCGACAAGTGGTTCCTCCGAAAGCTCAAGGGACTGAGCGACTTCTCCAAGCAAATGACTCAGTTCACCACTGTCGATGTTGCACAGAACCCCAGCATCCTTCTCCAGGCCAAGCGTCTGGGTTTCTGCGACCGACAGCTGGCCAAGTTCTGGAGCTCCAACGAAATTGCTATCCGCCGCCTCAGGCTCGAGGCTGGCATCCAGCCCTTTGTCAAGCAGATTGACACCGTTGCTGCCGAGTTCCCGGCCTTTACAAACTACCTGTACCTCACCTACAACGCGTCTGAGCACGATGTCGACTTCGATGATCATGGTGTCATGGTTCTCGGCTCTGGTGTGTACCGTATCGGTTCGTCAGTCGAGTTCGATTGGTGCTCCGTCCGTGCCATCCGCACCCTGCGAGCCACCGGCCACAAGACAATCATGGTCAACTACAACCCAGAGACTGTGAGCACAGATTACGACGAGGCGGACAAGCTGTACTTTGAGAACATTACGCTTGAGACGATTCTGGATGTGTACCAGCTGGAGACTGCAAGCGGCGTTCTTGGTGCCATGGGTGGTCAGACCCCCAACAACATTGCCCTTCCTCTGCACCGCGCTGGAGTCAAGGTGCTGGGTACCTCACCTGAGATGATTGACACCGCTGAGAACCGATACAAGTTCTCTCGTATGCTGGACCGAATCGGCGTCGACCAGCCTACCTGGAAGGAGCTTACTAGCTTCGAGGAGGCCAAGGCTTTCTGCCAGAAGGTGTCCTACCCTGTGCTGGTCCGCCCTTCATACGTCCTTTCTGGCGCTGCCATGAACACTGTTTACTCTGAGAAGGACTTGGAGAGCTACCTGGCCCAGGCTGCCGAGGTCTCTCGCGAGCACCCCGTCGTCATTACCAAGTACATTGAGAACGCAAAGGAGATTGAGATGGACGCTGTCGCCAAGGACGGCGTTGTTGTTGGCCACTTCATTTCCGAGCACGTTGAGAACGCTGGTGTTCACTCTGGTGACGCCACGCTCATCCTGCCCCCTCAGGATCTTGAGCGCACCACTACCGACCGCATTGTGGAGGCCACTCAAAAGATTGGTGCTGCTCTGAACGTGACTGGCCCCTTCAACATCCAGTTCATTGCCAAGGACAACGACATCAAGGTCATTGAGTGTAACGTCCGAGCTTCCCGCTCGTTCCCATTCGTTTCCAAGACCATGGGCGTTGACCTCATCGAGATGGCCACCAAGGCCATCATGAACCAGCCCTTCCAGGAGTACCCACCCACGGATATTCCTCCCGACTGCGTTGGTGTCAAGGTGCCCCAGTTCAGTTTCTCTCGTCTCTCCGGTGCCGACCCCGTCCTCGGTGTCGAGATGGCTTCTACTGGTGAAGTTGCCTGCTTCGGTGTCGACAAGAACGAGGCATACCTCAAGGCTCTCCTGTCCACTGGGTTCAAGATCCCCAAGAAGAACATTCTTCTGTCCATTGGTTCGTACAAGGACAAGAAGGAGATGTTGCCGTCGGTGCAGAAGCTGCAGAAGATTGGCTACAAGCTATTTGCCACCGCTGGTACCGCCGACTTTTTGCAGGAGCACGGAGTTCCCGTCCAGTACCTCGAAGTCCTCGGTAAGGAGGAGGACAAGGAGTCGGAGTTCTCTCTCACGCAGCACCTGTCCAAGAACACGATTGATCTGTACATCAACCTGCCTTCCAACAACAAGTACCGCCGCCCGGCCAACTACATGAGCAAGGGCTACCAGACTCGTCGTATGGCTGTTGACTACCAGATCCCCCTGGTTACCAACGTCAAGAACGCCAAGATCCTCATTGAGGCCATTGCCCGAAGCTTCGAGCTCAATGTTGCCAAGCGCGATTACCAGACCAGCCACAAAACGGTTGTCCTGCCCGGCCTGGTCAACGTCGCGGCCTTTGTTCCCGGACTTGTCACTCCCCAGAGCCACGACATGGAGATTGTCACCAAGGCCTCCATCTCTGCGGGCTTCAGCATGATCCGCGTCATGCCGCTCGGCCTCGAGGGTGCCATCACCGACGGCATCACTCTGAGGGCTGCTCAGCAGAACAGCAAGCTCGGCGACTTTTGCGACTATAACCTGTCTGTCTCTGCCACTTCTGAGAACGACAGCCAGATCAGCGCCCTTGCCGGTGAGGTTGGCTCCCTCTTCATCCCCTTCAACCACTTGTCTGGCAACATTAGCAAGGTGGCTGCCGTCACTGCCCACTTTGACGCCTGGCCAACGCACAAGGTCATTGTGACCGATGCCAAGCTGACTGACCTGGCGTCGATCCTGTTGCTCGCTTCGCTGCACAACCGCCGCATTCACGTTACTTCGGTTACGAACAAGGACGACATTCGGCTGATTGCGCTGTCCAAGGCCAAGGGTCTGCGTGTTTCTTGCGACGTCTCCATCTACTCTCTCTACTTGTCCACCAAGGACTACCCTGAGCTCGACCGACTCCTCCCCACCCCCGAGGACCAGGCCGCCCTGTGGGAGAACATGGCACACATCGACGTCTTCTCCGTCGGTAGTCTGCCTTACCAGCTTGCCAAGTCCCTGGGTCACAAGGCGGACACGTCCAGCGGCGTTGCGGATGCCCTTCCGCTCCTGCTGACGTCTGTCACCGAGGGCAAGCTGACGATTGACGACCTCAAGCAGAAGCTTTACCAGAACCCCATGGACATCTTTGAGCTCCATGATCAGGTCGGCACCAGCATCGAGGTGGAGATTGATCGTCCTTACCAGGTCCTCCCCGGCAGTGTGTGGTCGCCGTTTGAGGGCCGTGTGATGCGCGGATCTGTCCGCAGGGTCACCTTCCAGGACGCCACCGTCTGCTTGGACGGCGAGCTCCTGCCGGTACCCCCCAAGGGCAAGGATATGTCTTCGCACAACATTTCTCGCGAGGTCCCCGTCTCTCCCCCTCTGAAGCCTGCCATGGGCCTCATTACCCAGGTCACCGAGAGCCCCAAGCCCAGACAGCAGGCCGCCTTCAGCAGTCCCAAGATTGCCGCCAGGTTCCGCAACATGGAGGGACTGGGCTCACCCGCCAGACTTGGAGGCGCCGTGGATGAGCTGGGTCTGTCTCTGTTACCCCAGCCCACCGCCAGCTCCCCTCTCCAGCAGCTGCTGTCGCAGCCCAACTCGTTCAAGAACTCTCACGTCCTGTCTGTGAAGCAGTATACCCGAGCCGACCTGCACTTGCTGTTTACTGTTGCCCAGGAGATGCGACTTGGCGTTCAGCGCGAGGGCGTCTTGAACATCCTCCGCGGACGTGTGCTCTGCACGCTCTTCTACGAGCCCTCTACTCGCACCTCGGCCTCGTTTGACGCTGCCATGCAGAGACTTGGCGGACGCACCATTGCGATTTCAACGTCGAGCTCGTCTGTCCAGAAGGGCGAGACGCTGCAGGACACTCTGCGAACGCTGGCCTGCTACGGAGATGCCGTTGTCTTGCGCCACCCCCAGGAAACCTCTGTGGACATTGCAAATAAGTACTGCCCCGTCCCCGTCGTCAACGGCGGAAACGGTAGCAAGGAGCACCCGACCCAGGCATTCCTCGACCTCTTCACCATCCGTGAGGAGCTAGGCACTGTTCAGGGTCTGACGATTACCTTCCTGGGTGATCTCCTGTATGGCCGACCGGTCCACTCGCTGGTGTACCTGCTCCAGCACTACCAGGTCAAGGTCCAGCTGGTGTCCCCCAAGGCTCTGTCTCTCCCCGCCAAGGTGAGAGAGCAGCTGATTGCATCAGGACAGCTACTGGTGGAGTCTGAGACTCTAACGCCCGAGATCCTGGCCCGCAGCGATGTGCTGTACTGCACGCGTGTTCAGAAGGAGCGATTCGAGAGCGTGGAGGCTTATGAGAAGGTCAAGGACTCATACCGCGTGGATAACGCCACGCTGAAGAACGCCAAGAGCTCCATGGTTGTGATGCACCCTCTGCCCAGGAACGAGGAGGTGGCTGAGGAGGTGGACTTTGACCAGAGGGCGGCGTACTTTAGACAGGTAAGAAGGACTCCCCGGCGGATTGAGGAGGTGAATTGGCTAACATTGATTTACAGATGCGGTATGGTCTTTACTGCAGGATGGCGCTCCTGGCACTTGTTATGGCTAGCTCGTAAAGAGGCTATATTCTGTCAGACGCGGCGGCGCATGTTCCCAAAGACTGTACGGAGTAGATTTTCTTTCGTTTCGGGTTTCACTCTCAATGATTTCTTTTTTTTTTCGGGATGGAAGGCGAATAGCTCGGCTCGGTTTATTCAAAAAGGGGGTATGATGTAGAAGGCTATTTCTTTTTCTTTTTCTTTTTTCCGGACGTTACGCGTTAGAGTGCGTCCTAGGTATAAAACCCGTATTTCAGCAAAGGGCAACATTTGCTTCATTTGGAGGGTTTTTGGGCGTTCTGTGTGGCGTTGAAGCCAGCAGACCGTAGATGATATTTCGTATGATACCCAATAAACATGTTTGTATACGCATACGTATTTTTATACGTATGCGTATGTGCGTACGTATGTACGTATGTGCGTTCCGTGCGTTTTGCGTGTATGTGTGTTTTGTATGTGTGTGTTTTATGTGTGTGTTTTATGTGTAAGTTTGTTTGAGAGGTGAGTCTTGCATATATATATATATTACAGGTATGTTTACTTGGACATTTGTTTCGAGCATCAGCAACTGTAAGATTCAATTCTCGAGAGCAAGTAGTATACAACTCTTGCGAGTTTCAAAGAGAAGCGATTCATTTCACTTCAAGTCATTGAATTGAATCAACAGACTCGAATGGTAGCGCGTAAGACTCCAGCTGTTCATCAATCAAATCCTGCTTTGTCATCAAAGACGATGGCTTTTAGTGGGAACCTCCAATTAAAACAGACACCCGCAAGCACCAACGGACCAAAGTACACTCTACTCGCTGTTTCGCTGCTATAACCATGTTACAACGGTGTAGATGCTACCACAACTTTTAGATCCACGGCTAAAAAGCGCCTCATTCGATTTCGAGAGCGTCATGCAATCGGATGGTGGTCCCCACTTTTCGCGCCTTTCTTTCCCTCAAACTCGCTGCCTCTTCTTTTCGAGAAGTTGATTTTACTGAATTGATGATGATTCACTGCTGAAAACAAAAAAGACTCATGGATCTTGTGATCATCAGACCTTGCATATATAAGAGCCCTTCCATTACAGCTTTGTTTTTAAATTCTTCGTAAGAGAGGGGGGGGAATCAGCTTGAGTGCAGAAAAAGCTACTGTTGAATTCTTGAATGAGATATTCAGGCTTGCGACATTTCGCTTCGACGGCCACGACGACGAGGATGGCTCTGTATCGCCGGCCTTCGACGGTGCTCACCACTGAGGAGGAGAAACTCATCTGTACGTCTCTGTGTCTCTGTCTCGCAGGTACCTCCTTCACTCACTCCCCTCAACACCACAACTCACCCATCACCACCCCCCTTGGCAGCCTCACCTCAAACACACAAAGCTGACATTCCTTCAATAGTCGCCCCAGCAGGCCACCACCCCCACGGCCAAGCCCCCCAGTTCACCCTCTCCCAGCTCCACGCCCAGGACCTCGACCCGACCTCCCCCATCCCCCAGTTCAACGCCTGGTTCTCCCTCGCCCAGCGCACCCCGTCCATCTCCCAGCCCGAGGCGTGCACCCTCTCCACCGCCCACCTGCCCTCGGGCCGCGTCTCCTCCCGCATCGTCTACCTCAAGGAGCTCGACCAGCACGGCTTCGTCATGTACACCAACCTCGGCACCTCCCGGAAGGCGCGCGACCTGCAGACCAACCCGCACGCCAGCCTCGTCTTCTACTGGCCCCCCCTGCAGCGCCAGGTCCGCGTCGAGGGCATCACCGAGACGAATTCCCGGGAGGAGAGCCAGACCTACTTTGACACTCGGGTCAGGGGCAGCCGGATCGGCGCCTGGGCGAGCCGTCAGTCCGCCGTGTTGCAGCCCCAGCCCTCGGCGAAGCAGTCTTCGTCCGAGGCGCTGGTCGACGGCGCCGACGCTGCTGACCCAGAGCACGACGCTGCCAACCCCGAGTACGAGGACGACGGCAGAGCCCAGCTGGAAGGCTGGGTCAAAGAAGTCGAAGAGCGCTTCAAGGGCCAGGACAAGATCCCCGTGCCCGACTTCTGGGGCGGCCTGCGTCTGGTCCCCCAGCGCGTCGAGTTCTGGCAGGGCAGGGAGAGCAGGCTGCACGATCGCTTCGTGTACGAGTGGGAGGAGGGCGAGGGTGGAAAGCAAGGCAAGTGGCGTCTCGAGAGACTGAGTCCTTGATTTCTTTACAAGTTATCCCCCGGCAATTCGGCTGCATCACATGGCTCTCTATATACATGTAATAGTAGAAAAAATGCAACATGTCTGGCATAGAATGCACCAATACAAGACTCACCCTCGGTGAAAGAAAAAGGGGGAGCAGATGATACAAGAGAGTCAAGGGATTCAAATCGCGACATCTATGGGGAAAACATCATGTTGGGTATATCATACGCCTGGGGGGGGGGGGGGGGGGGGGGGGGGGGGGGGGGGGGGGGGGGGGGGGGGGGGGGGG